AGCTTGCAGCAACCTGGTTAGCAACATGAACAGCACTCTAAATTCCATAAATACCGATAACCTCACCACGAACAACCCTAGTCCCAACAACCTGACCAGCGACCTGACCGCTACCGCTGCCAACACGACCAGCAACTCCTCCTCCCCCTCAGCTGGAGCTCAGCACGCAGCGGCATCAGATGCTGCCCCACTGCTACTCCACGGCAAAGTGGTCCTAGTGCTACGAGGCGAGTGCGACTTCGCAACCAAGGCGCTCAGCGTCCGGGCCGCGGGCGGCATTGCTACCATTGTCGTGAACTACGACGAGGAAAGCCTGCAGCCGTTGGCCGTTAACTCCAGCACTGGGCAGCCAGTGGATGTTGGGATACCCCTATCGGGGCTGTCGCAGGTGGGATGGGTGGGGCAGAGGTGCTTGATTGGGGCTATAGTACGACCGTGGGTTGGGATCGGGATAGGGGTACGGGTTGTACGGCATGCAGTACTACGGCTGTTGTTGTTATGTGTGTTAAGAAAACTGGCCGAACGGGGGGAGGAACGCCCCTACTGTAATTGTCGGAAGATGTAGATAGTCGACACACAACGCCGAGTGTGAATGGGTTGCAACAGGTATGTGCATGTTGTCTTCGGCAGACATGTCCCGGATGTCTCGGGCATGTCCCGGATGAACCACCTGATGGTGCCGTTCGCCCACCGGCGCCATACTGACATGCTTCTGACACTGCTCCCCGCTTCACCCACATCCCCCCAAATACATCCCCCGCTGGCCAGAGCGTCGGCGCTGCAATCAGGGAGACCCTGCTGCAAGGAGGCAGTGCGGTGGTAACCTGGTTTAACGTGAGTGCGGAAACACGTACGGCAGCCGTCATCACAGGGTACGACTGCTCGTACGGCACATACAGCCCTCCAGCGGTCCGTGCTAACACCTTTTACGTCCCACAAAGTTAAGCAATCCCCCACTGCCCAATCCCATTCACAACCAACAATATCCGAGCTTCTTAGGACGAGACAGTTACCCACTTCAATGAAGTACAACCCAATCCCTTCCAACACGTCCCCAGGGCTCGCGAACCTTCGACACGGTATCGTCATTCAGCTCCTTCGGACCGGCTTCCGATGGCCGAATTAAACCCGACATTGTGGCGCCGGGGGTCAACATCCTCTCAGCGGGGGCAGGCGACTACGTCACCAATGTGAATCTCTCGCAGTATGTCAGTACGGACAATGCGTGTACGACTGTACGACTGAACGGTACCTCCATGGCAACACCGTTGGTAAGGAGGTTGCTGGATGCATGGGGTGGGTTGGGGCTTCAGGCTGGTACCTGACATTACAGTAATGCGAACGACCCAAGGGTCGCTATCCTTTCCTGTCTATCCTGCTCAATGACGATATCTCAATCCCTGCTCCATGCCTTCACCACCCGGTCAACCTTAAACACCTCTGCAGGCTGCGGGGCACACGGCTCTCATACGCCAATACCTCAGGTGGGAGCCAGGAGTGCTTAGGCCTCTTCCCCAACCCGCGCCGCACTGCTGCGATGTGTTGATTACCCGTTTCCCCTCGTACCCCGCGTAGGGTGGGGTTTTATCCAACCGGACGAACCAATGAGACCTATTCGGCGCCTTTCCGTCCCTCGGGCATGCTTTTGAAGGTGCGTGTTTTAAAGTCCCGCGTTGGGGGTGGGGGACGTTGGGGCAGCTTTTACCTGCTTTCGTGCTGTGCACAGTCACACGACATGCGACACACCAAGCGATATCTACAGTGGTGTCTCGCGCACTTCTTGGGTTCTTTGGCATCTCAGCACCTCAACCCCGCCTTCCCCCCTCCCATGATGCGTCTGCTGCTACCTCGCAGGCGCTTCTGATCGCAGGAGCTCACTCCATGCAGGTGCGACCTGGCCCGCGGCGCATGGCACCGTACCGTCTCACAGATACATGCGTGCTACCGGTACCGCCAGGCCGGGCCGGGCTGCGCCAGGCTGGGCAAGCTGGGGGTAATAAGGCAGCAGGCTTCCAGCAGTCCAGAATGGTACCGGTGTAAGAGCGCACGATAGCTGCCATCCTAATTTCTGCTACATGTTAACATCTTAAGGGGCCATGCAAACAGGAAGGTACGGTAGATAGACTGGTGCATGAGTGCATCTATGCGATGCCATGCATACGCTCACGCCTTACCTTGAGCCTTCTATCTACCGGTATCTGCAGCAGCTCCTCGCCTGGAATGCCTGGGCGGGCCCATCCACGGTATCATCTATCATCACGGGGCTTCATTCCCACCTCCCCCCCACCCCGGATGCACCCCTGTAAACCTTGTCATACACCTCGTCAGTTGCTCGTCAGTGTCTCATTACATATATTTTACCCCGCATGCACCAGGGAGGCCTGGCGGAGGCGGCAGCAATGGCGCTGGGCCCGGCTCCCGACCCCTACCAGGGCTGGGGCCGCCTGAGCCTGGCGGGGTCGCTGCCGCTGCGGGGCTTCACCGACCCGCGGGTCGCTCTGCAGCTGGCGGACATGGCGCACGTGAATGCTACGGGGGAGGAGGTGCTGCTGCCTGGCCTCACCACTACGGGTACCGGGTGAGGTGGTTAGTGCGTATTTGTGGAACACGCCATTAATGTCATTGTCATTGCACGGCACGTGTAGGCAGCGTGCGTGCACATGTTTCGGAATCGCAAAGTTTGTAGCCGTCACGCAGGCCTGCGTGCAAGCAGAACTATAGAAGTGTGGAACTTCCGTACACATTCCGTACACAAGGAGGTCAGAGCTCAGCATCTGCGTAACACCCTTTTGTTATATTTTATTGCGAACATAATTGACAGCCTCCAGACTGACCCAGACCAAGCAACCTATTTACGTGCGCAGACCCATCACTGTCGTACTGACCTGGTACGACTACCCGGGAGATCCCAACGCGGCTGTTGCGCTGGTGAACGATCTGGATTTGGTGGTTGAGGCTGGGGGCAAGGCATTGCTGGGAAACAACAGGGAAGGAGCAGGTGAGGAGAAGGGTGAGAACTGGGACGTCTTGTGCGATTACGGTAGCATCCATAGTTTGCCCCATGGAAAACCCGTTGATGGCAGTAGGGTACGGTAAAACGTTGATTCCAGCTTTCCTCGCCGTACGTGTTTCCACGTATTGTTGTACCTCTTTCCTCCTTGGTACCTCAATCAACCATCCATCTACCACCCAACAAACCCTTCATTGTTATCTCCATGCAGAGCCCGCCAAGCCAGACAGAATCAACAATGTCGAGAGAGTGGTTCTGTCGTCACCCCCGCCCGGGGCCCCCCTCAACATCCGTGTTCGCGCCGTGGACCTGCCCTCCAAGCTGTTCAGCCCCCGAACCCAACGGTTTTCGGTTGCGGCGGTCGGGCACTTCACGGGCACCATCCTGTCGCTCCGGAACCCGGCTTACGTGCGGAAGCTCTGGGTGGAGCAGGTGGGGTGGAGCAGCTACTGGTGCTGGTGATCCACACCTGCTGCACGACACGTCACCTCGTTTGTGATGTGATATACACCTGGGTAGAGGCCTAGTATGCGTACGGCATACACAGAAACCTATTTCGACATGCAAATTAAATGATGCATGCGGTATAGCCTAGATAGCAAGACGTTTAGGTTCCATACTGTACGGAACCGCACTATCCGATGTACCGTACACCAGCTCCTGAAGACCTGCATCCAAATCGGACGTGTGTCACTTGCGAGCGGTCCTAACCCTCCAGTACTCGTTCCTAACCTCTCCTCACTACCTCACTCTCTTTCCCAACTCCTCACCCTGCCCCACCCGCAGCCGCCGCTTCCGCCCCAGCCGCCCTCACCACCAACCCCCCCACCCACTCCGCCACCTAGCCCTTCGCCACCTCCGCAGCCTCCACTCCCTCCCTCGCCGCCCCCTGCACCCTCGCCGCCTCCCAACCCTCCACCCGCTCCTCATCCGCCTGCGCCGCCGTCGCCGCCCAGCCCCCGTCCTCCAACACAGCCGCCCGCTCCCCCCGCACCTCCACTGCCGCCCTTTCCACCCGGCAATCCTAGCCCCTCTCCATTACCCCCGGCCCTGCCTCCCTCCCCATTCCCACCCTCACAACCACCATCCCCGCCGTTCATGCCCGTGCCACCACCAAACACAACACCACCGCCCGCTCCGTCCCCTCCGCCGCCGAGCCCCATGCCGCCACCTACATCGCTACAGCCGCCCGTGCCACCACCTACGTCGCCCCAACCACCCATGCCACCTCCTCAACCACCCACATCCACCCCGCCACCGCACCTGCCACTATCTCCCCCCTGGCCTCCCCGCAAGCAACGGAGGGCCCGGACGGCTAAACCTCAACGCCCGCCTCAACCCCCTCCAGTTGCCTGACGGGCTGCTGGCAGTGTCGGTCGGACCCGCGGACTGTGGCAGTGCTCAAGCAGCCGCATGTGAGCTATCATTGCCTGTCGTGCATTGCCGTGCGTGGCCCGTGCCTGCCGTGTGCGCTGCCGTGGCGCGGGATGTGATGGATGTGAACATCCTGGGCGATGCGTGGGTGCGTGCTGGGAACGAATGGAGCAGCCCAAGAGGCATGGGCTTTCCCCTAGGGTATGGTGTGGTGGGGTAGCGTGTCTTTCCCTTGGATGACGATGTCCCTCGAAGGCTTTCGAAGACAAATGATGTGCAACGGCAAGCGACAATGCGTATGCATGTGTCCTGGGGCCGCCAGCCCCACATGTGATCCACGCATGCACTTGTCCCCCCGTGTCCTGGCCTTAAAACCGGGATCCAAAACAACAGAAGTATTGCTGCATTGTGTTTTGCTGTCAAGGGTTGTCTGAGCGTTTACTGTGCTGAGGATGTACGGGACGGAATTCGGGGGGAGAGTACACGTTTACCACGTAACCCATAATGAGGGTCACCATGAAGTTAAGCGTTCATGCGGAGGTGGTATTTAATGGTTGCAGACTCCTCGGATCTCTGTTGTAGGGCAAAACAGCTTCGTCGTCTGGCACGCGTAGCTGTGTCGTCAAGCTTTATATTTATTACTCGAGGGAAAGTGGGTGGAACGGCACACATGAACACTACTTTCCGACCTTCTCCGGCAAGAACGGTGCCAACGAAACCATGTAGGATACCAGTGCTCTTCATTGGACAACATTATTGATTCTGTCGCGAAGCTCCCAATACAGTTTCCATAGATGCGGAGAAGACGAAGCTAGAGACACCCTGTTTGTTTCTCGCTCCCCTCTTTACCCACCTCATGGTTGGGTAGGGTTATCGAGCAGCAGCTAGCTGACAGGGTAAGCAAACACGCCATTCACATAGCGCACAGCAATACGCCATAAACACGACATTAAATCCAAACAAATCCAAACGAGATCTCGATCTCACCCAAGGCGACGTATAGCCGATAGTGATATGCCGACCCATGGGTCTCTGGGTAACAGCCAACCATATCCAACATCATCCAAAACAACAGCCATCAAACCTTTAGCGGAAACCCCCCTAGCCGAATCACCGCTTCTCTGTTACTTAGTTACCGTGTCCTACCTGCCTATATGCAAAGCGGTCCGTAATGCGGGTGATAGTTACCACATCCCATGCACCGAATGCACCTGCTCCACAAAGGTGAACAGGCAATCGCGCACACCCAGTGGGTCATCAGTGGGTCATCCCCCTACCACCTGAACGCCTACTTGCGCAAGCCATACGACGGAAGCATGCGTTGGGTACCACGAAGGGGTTCGCTGACAGCTCCCGCAACAATACCACTGTGCGTTCGGCGCCTCGTCGGCATCGCAAACCGTGAGTTGGACGCCACCCTGCACCACTGCAGTTCAGCCTTCTTGCTGACGTGTTTATGGTCCGTGTACGTGAATCCGCGTAAATCCAGTTCTCAACAACGCACGACGGTTGACTCACCGCCATCTGCAGTCTCCGTACCCGAAACAACACCGACCACCCAACCACCGGCCGAAACGCCAAGCACAACTACCGCCGTCCATAACACCAAACCTGTGCCATAATGCCCAATAACAGCGGCGCTGTCACGAAGGGGGGGTTCAGCAAGAGGGCGCGCCCAAGATACTGCTTTGTACCGAATGTAACGGCGGCCAGCCGTACACTACCGTACATTCGGTATAACATATCTCCTATTGTGACACACATACACATACACATACGCATGCACATAACAGCAGCAAACACGGCATTCCGACCCCAAAATACTCCCCTCCCTACTACAGCTCCTTCGCCGGTGCCGCCACCGCCGCCACCTCCGCCCCATTACTCCCCATCCCATTCCCCGCCCCCATTCCCGCTCCCCCTTGCCGCTCCCTCTCCGCCGCCTCCTTCCTCTCCGCCTCCTTCCTCACCCGCTCCTCCCCCGCCGCATCCAGCCACCGCAGCACATGTTCGTACACCAGCAGCGTCACGGCGCTCTGAGGCATCACCCGGAGCAGTGCGGGGCCCAGCCCCTTGTAGAAGCCCCGCAACCCCTCCCGCTGCCAGGTCAGCTGGACCGCCTGGGTTCATGCGTGCGTTCGTGTGCGTGTGTGTGAAGTGATGGGGCGTGGGGGCAAGGACGTGAACAACGGGGAGGGGTGGGCGTTAGGAGAGGTCAGAAGGCAAGGGGTTGGCAGGTACGGCAGGAATAGAGTGCAGGCGGAGGAGAGGCACCCTATGGGGCGTGAGTACCGTATGCAAGGGAAGGCAAGGGCAGCTATAACGGATACAAGCAGGGTACCCGGCTCGACCCTACAACCGCACCCAGTAACCAACACCTCTCCCACCCTCACTCCTACCCCCACCCCTCTCCCTCACTCCAGTTACATAATTTATTTTTCACCCCTCAATCCCCCAACACTACGGTCACGGTCAGTGTTTCCGCGGCTCAGTTTATCTAATCCCCCCCACCTGTGCCGTGGAGCGGTAGACGAGGGCTCGGTCCACATCCATGCGCTGCTGCAGCCGGGCACGGATTACCTGGAAGGGGGCGTAAAAGGTGGAGGGGTGGAGGGGGGGCGTGAGGGAGTGTAGGGGTTAGGGTGTAGGCGAGTTGGGGGTTACGGGGGAGCGATGAAGGCACCAGTGGAGTGCATCCTGTGTGCACTGTGTCGGTCGTGTGAGGTCATGGAATGGACAGAGCAGGGCAGGGCAGGGCAGGGCAGGACTGCCCGTTCTAGTGCTCAGCAGTCACACACATACACACGTGCACGCCGGGACCGTCCCCCCCCCACCCACCTGCGAGGGGTAGGTGGTGACGCTGGCGGTTAGCTTGGAGGAGGCGGCGAAGAGGCTCAACTCGCCGCTGCTCAGCTGCCGGTCCGACTCCTCAGCGCCGCGACCGAAGCGGGAGGCGAAGAACTTGAGTTCGTCGTACACCGCGAATTGTACGGCACCATGCAGGGTTTGCTGCCGTACAGTTTCGTTTGCGGGGGCAGGAAGGGGAGGCAAGAGGGGGAAGGGGCAGGTCCAGAGCGCGTCATGAGTAGCATGCCAGTGCGCAGGGTTTCCATGGCACGGCAGGGGGAAGGGCAATGAGGGGCGATGCTGCTTTCTCCGGCGCCCAGCCCACCCGCAGGTCCCTCCACACCACCGCCTCCACCTACACCCCCACTTGCGCCCTCACACGACCCATCAGCTGGCCCCAAGTGGCCCTTAGCCACTCCTGGATGCTCCCACGGACCCCCCCCCCCCCGGGCAACCCATGGTGAAGCCTCGTCATCCAGTTCGTCAGTTTCCCTTACTTACCCCCCCCCCCTCCCTGCTACCCCTCTTCACAGCAGCCCCTCACAGCAGCCCCTCACAGCAGCCCCTCACCAGCCACGGCGGCCCCGCCCTCCCCTCACCCTTACCAGGAACAGCGAGGGCCCCAGCCCCTTGTAGTACCCCCGCAGCCCCTCCTCCCGCCCGATGCGGATCATGGCGTCCAGGAACCCGCTGTACGGCAGCACCTGCCGCCCTGCCGTACCCGCTGCCGCTGCTGCTGCCGCTGCTGCCGTACCGGCTCCTGCTAGCGGCATGCGCTGCAGCTGCAGCCGCGTCTTCACGAGCCAGATGGGGTTGGTAAGCAGGCAGACCTGTGTGAGGTGGGCGGGTGTGGGTGGAGGTTGGCATAGGCAGGGATAATATCCCCGGATGGGGTGAGGAGGGACAACTGGGGAGGGAAAGAAGGTGCCTGCCGCCGCCGGAGGGAGGCCTGCGGGAGTTTGCGGATCTGTGGTTCTGGTATATCCCTATGACCCTTCCCCCGCCCTTGCCAATGCCAGGGGCAGTTTGCTTTCCTAGTCATCAAAGCTGGCTTCCATGTTGCACCGGGCCGCACGGATTCCTCCTTCCCCACCTCCTCCCCCCCTCCCTCCCTCCCCCCTCCCTCCCTCCCCAACCCCCTCCCTCCCCAACCCCCCTCACCATGGCCCCCGCCTGCGCCGCGCTGGCCATGTTCCAGCCTGGGCTGAGCCGCTCCCGCCCCTGCCAGCGGCAGTGCCACGCCTTCACCGCCTCGTAGATCGCGAAGTAGGCGGCCCAGGACACGCCTGCAGGAGGGAGGGGGCGGGGAGGGTGAGGGAGAGGGAAGAATATAGATAAATGCATCAACGGAGTCCCAATGGGGGGGAGGGAGGGCAGGAAGGGTAGCGCATAGCGGCATAGTTTGCAGCGGGATGGTGCAGCTTGCAGCTGGTGCAGTTAGCAGCGGGGTGTTCCAGGACTGGGAGTACCGGTATTGAGATGAGGTTTAGCAAGCTGCATGGCGTGGGGAGGAGCGGAGGACAGGCCGGAACGGTTTGACAGCGACACTGTTTATGGACCCATGGGTCCTGGAGACGACGGAAGTACCGTTATGAGACTCGAGCGAGAGCAGGAGTTGGGCGGTTAGGGACTAACGGGGCCGAAGTGAATTGCTGCCACGACGTGAAGAGAGAACTGGTTCGGGTAGGAGCACGGCCGGATGTGGGCAAGGGTGACCACGATGGCAGACCAGGTTGTGCTTACCTGAACCGATGAGCGCCGGCGTCAGCCCTTTATAGAAGGACTTCCAGCCTTCTTGCGCCATAAGGCTCCGTGCTGCATCGAACGCGTTCTTGTACTGTGTGCCCATTAATGCTGCTCCATCTTGCACTGCACAGTATTATGGCAGCCGAACGCTCAATCCACCACAACAACATCGACGTTATGATTACAGTATTGCAGCTGGCGCCGCCGCCGCCAGGATTACTCCCTGACCTTGCAAGCGAGTTTTGATGACGTCGAAAGGATGGAGGAAAAGCACCGCCACCGAGCCCGCCACACCCCCAGCAATCATGTTGTTCCATTGGGTTTTCTCGGGGCGCTGGGCCACCGCCATATTGCTGCAATTAGTAGTGTGCTAAAGCCTTAAATAATTCCGTTATCGGTCTCGCCAAGGGCTGCGCATCGGCGTATATGTAGAAATGATATACAAGCTGAAGGCGTAGAATAAAGGCCCGTCTGCTCAGTAAAAAAGCTCCGCAAGAAATATCGTGTTGTTGTAGGGCAGGAGGCTTTACAAGCGGTGCAGCACTAAGACGGAATAGTTAGGTTAAGTAATTCTTGATGCTATGATGTGATGTATCGGCAGGTTGCACTCGGGTAAGTTGGTACGGTGTGACGGATCAGCAGTTTCTCCTTCTCAGGCTCTACAGCAATGCGTTTTCCTCTAGATACGTCTATATATGTTGTTGCAGCAATGCAACGCCAGTTTTTCGAAAGCCTTTGCTGAGTACTGGGAAAAGGGCTTCACCTTTCACACCTGAACTAAGCTGATGAAGTGCGCACCACATGCAAGAGACCAACTCTGTTAGTTGGCTAACAGATAACGTAAGCCCTTTATTCACTTGCTTTACTGAGGCGTTCGCAACATACTTGCAACCAGCTGCCTATAGTGACCTTGACGCCAGGTGTCCTGCCGGGTTACGCCAGAGTATTAAAGAGTTCTGCGAAGGCATTCCCGGGTTTCTGCTTGTGGCGTTAGCTTCTAGTGCTGGGGTCGCGGTTGCTTGGAATCTCTCACATCGGAGGCGTCCGCACCGCGAGACCACAACCAAAAGCAGCAGCAAAACTTCCGCCACTACCAGCAGCAGGAGCGGGATCAGGGAGCTGCTGAGGTTCCAACCAAGCCAGCTGGGACGAGCAGCCCTCAGTCATGTCGTACGTCCCCTGAAGTGGCTGTGCTCCCTCCAGGCTTTGCTGGCCATGAAAGGCTGGTTCGCGAGCCTCAGCAGCAGGTTCAACGAGCCAACAAATAAAGAGCTGCAACAGCAACATGAGCAAGATGAGATCTACAAGAAGAACCGTGCCAAACTGCAAGGCTACCATCAGTTGGCGCAGGTGTGGCGTGATGGCGGGCTTGATGACGCTTGCGGCTTGTTCCCCCTCCCTCACCCCTCTCTCTTCCTCCTTAGGAAGCCTTCCAGCGCGCCTACGCCGCTGACAGCTCCGGCAACGTGTCCGCTGCCGTACGGCTGTACGGCACGGGGCTGCAGGCGGCGGCGGAGGGGCTGGCGCTGCCGGTGCAGGGCTCGGGGCTGGGCAGCCTGGCGGACAGCGTGAGCAGCTGGCGGCGGGATCTGGCGGGGTGGCAGCGGGACTATACGGCTAGGTAGGGGGTGGGGTGGGGGGGGGGCCGCTAGGGGGGAGGGGTTGGGGGAGGGGAAGGGGTTGTGAAAGGGAAGGGGTTGCGGGAGGCAAGAGTATGGGGTTATGAGCGGGTGGAATGGGTTGGGGTAGGGTGGGATGGGATGGGCAGTTTGGCGGGCAGTGGGCTGGGGGCAGTTGGGGAACCCGTTTGCGCGGGGGGACTGGTGGAGCGAGTTCCGTAGTCGGGTGTCAGGGAAGCGATACGAGGTGGGAGCCAGCGGGCATGGCCAGGTGGGTACCGCAGTGCACTGCAGGTAAGGAGTGGACGACATGGAGGGGCGACTTACCCCCTTCGCCCCGTCGTCCCTCCGCCCCTCCTCCTTCTCTTCCGCCTTCTCCTTCTGTAGTGCCTTCCCTTCACCCGGTTTCCTTTGTTCCCCCCGACCTGCTTCGTCCCTGCCACCCGCCCCCCCCCCTCCCCCGCAGGTTGCAGGCGCTGCAGGCGCCCGGGTGCACCGGACACCCAGCCGCCACCGGGTCAGCAGCAGCAGCGGCAGCGCCCGTGAGGCCCCTCCCGCATGCCACCATGGCCCTACACCAGCAGCAGCAGCAGCAGCAGGGGATGTCGGTGCAGGTGCCCTTCCACAGGCCGGCCGGGGGTAGCAGTGCAGGTGGGGGACGAACATGCGTGCGTGCGTGTGTTTTGGGGAAACTGTGTGTGCGCTACCTGTGTGGGGTCGTAGTGCAGGAAAGGGGGGCTACAAACGGAGGTATGGGTCGTGTGTGTTATCGTCGTACCTGGCCCATGTGTGTCTGTGAGGTGTGGAGGAGGGGGCCTTTGCGGAGGTGGTGTTGGCGCTTTGCACCGACCAGGTCGCTGATGTGGGCATGAGCTTGCTTCTTCAATGCATGTGTCTCGTTGTTGGTGGCGGTGGGGCAGTGTAGCAGGGCACACCCGCCCCAGCCCCAGAATACCCACGAATATATCCAAAACCTAGGGGGTTCCTGCCAATCTCGAGTAAGCCTTTTCGCGCTGCTACAGGCAGGCAGGTGGCAGGTGGCGGTGGGGCAGGCAGGTGGCGGGCGCCCCGGGTCCGATTGCACTGCTCAGACAGCTGCGACACGCAGCTCGCGACATGACACGGCAATTTGCACCAATTTGCACCATGAAAGAAAGCATGCATAGCGTTGCCGTACCCGGGGTAGCGACGATAGTACGGCAAACCTTACTTACCCATCACCTCCCCCAGGTGGATCCAAATCGGTTATCGTACAACGTCCACCGCAAGTATCCGCGGCGGGCGGCAGCCGACGTACGACAGGATCCACCTCGGGTGGCGGCGGCGGCGGCGGGACTGGCGGCGGCGCCGCCGCCGGCCGTGACGACACGGGCGGTACGGCAAAATACCGCGAGACCATTATGGGGGAGATCTTGGATCGATCTCCGTCGGTCAAATGGGATGACGTGGCAGGTCTTGCAACCGCCAAAAAAGCGTTGACGGAAGCGGTTATCCTGCCGGCGCTACGACCGGACTTGTTCCAAGGCCTGAGGGCGCCGGTGCGGGGCATCCTGCTGTACGGGCCGCCTGGGAATGGCAAGGTACGGCAGTGGAGGGTGTTTGCGGGGTGTTTTACCCGTACAGTTATAGCTGGGATGCTGTTTGTAGGCGCCTAGGCCGTCCGCCCCCATTGCTGCGCCACCTGCATTGCCAAGCCGCTAGCTGACAGCTTCCCGTCGGGCCACTCCCCCGCCCCACCCTCCCTTTACATGTTGCAAACCATGATGACGCTCATGCTCACACGGTCAGCTACCGCTAGTAGTTTCCCCTATTCACCCCACCCTCCTCCCGCCTCATCCCCCTTTGTCCTCTGCCCTCACTTGTGCTGTGTTTGTGTTTCCCCTCTCCACCCCCCGGGCCCCAACACTTTGTCTTGTGGCACCCTGCCGCCTCCTACCCCCATTGCTTTGCCCTAACCTGTGGTCTCCTATGGTTTGGTATGGTCTTTGCCCCCCCGCGCCCCCACCCCCCAGACCATCATTATCATTACCATTGTATCATTATCACACCACACTTTGGAATTTCTTTTTTCCCCCCAGACCATGCTGGGCGGGTCGGGCTGGCTCACATGTTGCAGCCCATGTTGACGCCTTATCCCTCAGTCAGTCAGTTGTTTCCTCTTTACCGGTACCCCCCAGACCATGCTTGCCAAGGCGCTCGCTGCGGAGTCGCGCGCCACCTTCTTCAACATCTCCGCATCCTCCCTCACCAGCAAGTGAGTAAGCCGGGTTGGGAGGGGGAGGGGGAGGGTTGCGGCGGCATGAGGGAAAAGGGTTTATTCACAATCATAATTTATGGGCAATATTTATCTCCTTCTTTTAGATTACCCCTCCCTTCCCTTCCCTCCCCCTATATGCAACCATATAAGAATCCAGACAAATGCGGGATATGTATCCCTATGAATCCCTCCCCTTCCCCCCACTATTAATCCCCCACCACTAGGTGGGTGGGCGACGCTGAGAAGCTGGTTCGCGCGCTGTTCGAGACCGCCGCTCAGCTGCAGCCCGCCATCATCTTCATGGACGAGCTGGACAGCATGATGGGCTCGCGGGGCGGGGCGGGCGAAAGCGACGCGGCCCGGCGGCTGCTCACCGAGTTCCTGGTGCAGTTCGACGGGGTGGTGGGGGGAGGCGCGGGCCGGGAGCGGGTGGTGGTGGTGGGCGCGACGAACAGGCCGCAGGTGCGGAGGGGAGAGGGAGGGGGAGGGGGAGGGGGAGAGGGAGGGGGAGAGACCCATGGGTCGGGGTGAGGTGGGCCGTGGGCGGGTTTCTGTGTAGGGAGGGGAGAGGTGGCGGGTGCAGGTTAGGTTACCCACGTAATGGAGCATTGAGAGGGGGGAAGAGGAGGGTTGTTTTGAAAGGAGAGGGAGTGGTATGAACAGGCAGAGCAGTATGGGATACCGGTCCGCCACGTTGTCGTACCGTATCCTGCCGTACATTTATACTGCTGGAACAAGCTGTCGTGCCGTACACACATTGCTTGCTGCCGTACTTTAATACCCTGATGTCATGTCGTACACGTTACACACAGGAACTGGATGATGCCGTACGGCGGCGGCTGACGAAGCGCATCTACATCCCCCTCCCTGACGAGGAGGGCCGAATGGCAGTGCTGACTCACCTGCTCAAGGTACGACACACTTCAGCCATGATTGGTTGCTGTACGACAGCGTCGTACGGCGGGTTGTGTATGGGGTTGCGTGGACCTCGGATAACTTTGTTCACAGATCCAGAGATCCTACACATGCCGTACCTGACCACTGAGGAGGGACAAGTAGGATCTGACCCCAAACCCGATCCCGCTGCTGTCCCGGTACTGCTGCGTGCCAAACCCCACTCCCCCGCCTCACTTCCCACCTCACGACTCATCTCTCCTGCCCTCCACGCTTTCCCCTTGTATCCCTCATCACCCTGTCTCCGTATGCTTCATGAGTCGGGACATGGGAGATTGGGACTCCAGTTGCCTCACTTTTCCCACCTCCCTCCTCCCACTCCCTCCTCCCACTCCCTCCTCCCCCCTTCCCCTCCCCCCTGCACTTATCTAATTCCCTCCCACCCCGCCCTGCAGGGCCAAGCCCACCGCCTCTCCTCCGCCGACCTGCACTCCCTCGTCTCTGCCACCGCCGGCTACTCCGCCTCCGACCTGGCCGCCCTCTGCAAGGAGGCCGCCATGGCCCCGCTGCGGGAGCTGCCCGCATCCCGCCTGGCGCACGTGCCCGCCTCAGCGCTGCGACCGCTGGGGGCGGCGGACTTCGGAGCGGCGCTGCGGGTGGTGCGGCCGTCCGTGAATGCGGCGTCGTTGCGCAGCTTCGAGGAGTTCACTCGGGAGTATGGGACGCAGTGAGGGGTGGGGGGGTTGAGGGGTGGGGGGCGTGAGGTGGCAATGAGGTGGGCGTGAGGGGTGAGGGAGTGGGTTGGTGGGTGGGTACAGGAAGGTAGGAGGTTGCGGTGAAGGCGGTGGTGGTGGTGGAGGCGGTGAAGGTGGTGAAGGTGGTGGCTGCTGTAAGGGGCTGCTTTGAGGGGTAGGGGGCAGGCGGTGATGGTGGGCAGCAGCAGCAGCTGCTGGGGGAGACTGGTTGTGATGGCGACTGTGGGCACCGGTAATCGGCTGCAAGGTGAAGAGGGGTTTGAGGCGCTCTGCTCTGCCTGGGGAATTGGTGGCGCTAGGTTGTGGTAGGTGCACAGGCGGGCCGCGGGACGCTGGCTGTCTGGCCTACCATTGTTGCCTCGTAATGTGAGAGGGAGGTTAGGCCGGTTAAGAGGGAGCCGGGCGGGTGAGGTGAGAACGGGGCGAAGAGGCAAGTGGAGGAATTAGTGAGTGGGGGAAGAATGTACTATATAGCATGGATGGCGCGTTGGCTTGTCTCTTGGTGTGTGGGTATGTGCTTATCAAATGCCACTGGAAGACGACTTTGGGGGCACAGATGTGGAGCATTGCGCGGGCCATGGAGGTGGTTGGACCCATGGGTCGGTTTCCCCTTTCCTGAGCGGTGTGTCGATTGTGTTGCGATGTGATTGTGGGCCAGCAGTGTTGACGGTACTGGGCCGTGACGGTATGGACGTTGTAATAGGAAGATGCTGCAAGGAAGCGCTGTATGGGGAATCCCACCCGTGGGGGCTTGCGTGTACCGGTTATGAATGCTAACGTATTGGTTGCATGTTGTGTCGAGGTGTCGGGGGAGTGCCTCAGGAAGGAAGAAGCATTAGGCGTTGTTGGCGCGCTGTCGGTGTCGGGGAGTAACGGTACGTCCCCAAACACAGATGAGGTTACGGCGGGCCGTGAGACCGCCCGGGTTCGTAGGAGCGGTGGGGTGTTACACAACCTTACAAGACATAAGGTTCTTGGCAGCAGTAAAGGCAACTACGGATGGCATACGACCTCTCATGCGTATATGTTATATCAACGTATCACTAGGGCAGCACGCGTTGCCGTCCGACTGCCGGTATCACCATCCAACAACCTCTTCCACCGCACCTCATTGCTGCCAATCCGTGCCATGTTATGCACAGGCGCGTCATACAAAAGAGTCGTATGCTCTCTCTCCTTACACACTCTACAAAAACGTGAGGCAAGCTCTCCCCTACCAACTCCTCCCAGGGCTCCAGGGGCTGCAAGCATGCCTAACATGTCTGTTGCAAAAATTAGGTTACAAGCGCTGTCAAGCCCTCGCGCACTGCAAAGGGTCCCGCCACGCTGCCAGCTGGTGTTATCCCAAAAGAGATGTCTGCTTCTGGTTCGACGCGAGGGCACATGCTGCTGGGATGGCTGCTCGATGGTCCTCGGGTCGGGCGATGCCGCTGGTCACTGGACGGCCATTAGACCAGTTTCCAGCTTAGAAGGCCTTAGCAGCTCTTTACAGGCCAGAGCGACCCCACACGACCAGCGACAGAGAGAAGGAGAACATGACGCAGGTGGCAGCCCAGCCAATCTGGACGATGGCAGGCTCGCCCTGCACGCAGATGAAATTATGCAATCAAACTTGTAAGCCGCAAAGCAACGATGAGCAATGCCCGATAAAGTCCTCGCAAGCGACGGAGTAAATGGTCAGCGCAAGCACAGGAACCTCAGAACCAAGTCGCTAAGCTCGTTTTACAGCTGATTCAATGACTTTCAGTGCGAATATTGAAGGCTATGAAGCGTTAAGAGCGAGTAAGCGGCCCAGCATTTGCTTGCATGACAGCCTTACCTCAGCAACCATGGCCACCTCCTGGGCAGCCTGAGCAGCGGGAGCCAGCGCCATGGCAAGGGCTGAAGCAGTAGCAGCAACAGCGGCCGCAGCTGCCTGCATTAGCATAAAAGGGGCCCCGTCATTTCTCCAACTATGAAGCTCTAACGGCAAACTTTGGCGATGGCAATGAATAGATGCGCTGTCCAGTAGCCACGAGCAGCCGCAATTAACGATGAATTGATAAAGGCCTTTAATGTCATTTGCAAGTAATGGACAGGACAACATTTGAGCCTCAGGCTTCCTACAGCGCTGAAGCGATCAGCCGGTAGATCCTATATAGTATATGTTGGACGGCGCCTACAGACCTTAGCCTCGGTGGGCTTCACGGCATGGACCTTCACCGCCTGGCGCGAGGCCACGCGAGGGCGGCTCACAGCCGTGCGCTGAGCGACGCGAGACACGCACTGCATTTTGGATATGTATTGGTAGTATTAGGTGTCCTAGCGTGCAAGTTTGGCGCAGGTTGGGACTTTCTGCGGCCGCTTCAGGCTGCAGGACATTTCCGTACGGCTTATCTCGATCAAAGTCCAAGCTATTCATTCCTAGCCTGTGTTTGCAGTCTGGTTATGGGACCCTTTGTACGCTGTATACAGCTGCGGCCTGCCAGCTTCAAACTTGCGTAACGAGCGAGTCATCGGCTACCTTCACTAGGCAGTTACTTGCGAGCAAGACCTCCTACGTGATACTAGGCAAAAATAACATATAGCACTTTAGAACCGCCGTGTGCTTACCATGCAGCTTCGCGGATACGTTGATACTGCTCCATCGCATGCGACACGGCATGCGACACGGCCGAGAGTATGCACACTGCGTCATAGGTCGGCAGCTGGGAGGTGAGCGCTAGGGACCTCGTTTCCAAAGTTATCCAGAGTAGTTACGGGAAGTCTGGTACAGGCTCCTCCCCTTTCCTCTTCCCCGCGCAAAGCCGCATACACATGGGCCCTCCCACCGCCGATTAGCACGGTTCTAAAAGGAACAAACCTGCAATGCTACCAGCAATCAAACAACCTGCTACTGTTCATGCTATGCTGCCTTGCTGATTACCGTCAAAGGCAACCTTCTCAATTGCAGAGCAACAACGATCTCAGTCCTGGCGCAGCAACAGCAAGATCCGCAACCGTTAACCCAAACCTCTTCGCAACTTCGATCCGGACCCACGGGTCTCAATGTGGGCCAGCACCGGCCAACCTCACCGGCTGGCTGGGCGGAGATGGCTGCGGCGCTGCGACAAGCCAATGTAGGTCTCACCAGTGCTCCTGATTCCATATTTGCTGCAAAGTCTCTGTTTGCTGCTGAAAGGGAATATCATCATGCGTCCTTGTGCTACTGGTTGCTAGTAAAGACGCGGCTGTGAAGCCAGTGGGGTAGAAAAATCGCGTTGTATGCAACTGGAGAATGGCAGTTAACGGTTGGCGGTTGTTGGTTGTCAAGAGCTAGGGCGCATGTCAGATGCCAAACCCTTCCTTGCCTTGGCTGGTGCATGGCGCTGTGGGGTATGTGTTTCTGGATAAACCCCTGGGAAGGCAACATGAACTTTGTTTCCGGACTTGCTTTGTATACAAACAAGGCTGTACACACGCACTCTGTGACCCATGGGTCACACCTCGCTTCCACTCGCAGGTCCGAATGGTGGCTCCCCAGGAGCTGTCCTGGCTTTCAGAGAAGGGTGCCGTACTGCTAGACATCCGCCCTGCTGAAAACTATCAAGAGGTAACCATGGAGAGGAGGGGATAGGGTCGTAACGTCGCATTAACGTATGTTGGTATGTCTTAGGGGAGGGTCGCCACCAACATAGGTCCCCCACTTCCGTTCATGACGTATCTGCTATCTTGCCACATGGCTTGCAACGTACAAAGCCCCTCTCTTCTGTCGACTCCACTCATACTTTACCTCCAATTGCTAAAACGCCCAATTGCTTCTGGCTACAGCCTTCCCTTCCCTTGTCCTCTTCCTCCTCTCGCCTCCTCAACCAACCCTTACCGCCCCCCTCCACACCTCACCATCCTCCTCACTCCTCACGCCACCCCAAATCGCTTCCATTCCCCTGCAGGGCCACCTTCCCGGGGCAGTCAACGTGCCCTTCTACCAGCCCATCCAAGGCTGGTGAGAGCGACTGAGCACGCACATGGCTGGGCTAGGGCTCCAACTAATGTGGTTGTGTGCCGAGCGGCGCTGCTGTGTTTAGAAAACTGATGTGGCTGTGCCAACCCATTTGTGTGCTGCTGGGGCTACCAGGGCCGGTGTACTTCGTACGGCATCACGTTGGGTTAGGGTTGGAGAAATAGTATATACATTACGGTACTAAAGAGGGTCAACACGGCGCACACCCCTTCTTCAGTGTTGCAACCCATGGTGAAGCCGTGTCCTAGTAGTTAGTAGTATTAGTAGTTGGTTAGTTCCTCCTCCCCTCGCTTAGCCCTCCCTCTGCACCCCCTCCCCTCTCGCAGGACTCCCTGGCAGGTAGCTCGCCGCATGGGGTATGCCCTGTTTGGCATCGCCCACGGAACCGAAGTGAACCCCAACTTCATGGCAGGTGAGTTGAGGGGGAGGCTGCAGGACGGTACGGCTGTGTTAACGGTAATTGAGTTTTGCAACAGGGCCTCACGACTCTGTTTACCTCCCCAATCAATACCGTGCATCTCTACTTGTGCCGTACGCAGTTACAATGTGTCTAAGTCCCATAATTTCGTGGCATGGCACCCAACCACACGCAACTCCAACCCCAAAATCAAAGTGCACCCTTTCCCAACGCAATACCACGCGTTTCTTGTGCATGCAGATGTTTCAAAGCTAGTAGCGGACCCCGCCAGCACGCCTGTCGTGCTGTACTGCAGTCTCGGAGGGTCCTTGGAGCCAACCAACAACGACAAGAACGGACAGCAGGTGCCGTGGAGTTTGCGACGGGTTTTGGGCTTTCAAGTACCGGTAATTGTAGACTCAAAAGCTAGGGTGTGGGGTAGAAAAGGCGTGACTTTAAACGTGCTACTGCTTAGCGCCTGTGGGGTTAAGATGGTGTTACGAGCGTTGTTAGAAAGCGTATCTGCCCCTCCCCCCGCCTCGTTTCCCCTTTCAGACGCGTTCCATGGTGGCGGCTTACGGACTTACCCAAGCCGGATTCAAAGCCCTCCACATCCTTAAGGGTGGCTATTTCGACTGGATCGCAAACGACAGGTGTGTGCCGTACACCGTACAGCAGTACGGCACTTGTTTCATATGCAAATGTGCATGCTCGTGGCCATCATCTTTTAAGGCGCACATGTACCTGCACCTGCAACAGCTTGGCTGGCTGAATGCTGACTCTCCCGTGCAATACTCAACGGGTTGTGGGGCCTCTTGCAGGGAAATTGAGATCTTCGAGTGAGCTTTGGTCGTCAACGGAGGCGGCTGCTGGCTTGATCAGTGCCTAAATAAGTCCATGTGAGCTGCGGGCCAAGTGGTGCTGGCAAGCTAACCCGCCGACGCGCGCCAACGAATAGTGGTATTTAATTATTAACAGAGGTGGGCTGGGTGTTGAAGCATGGACTGTAAGCTTCAGAAGGGGGTACTGATGCCAGTGAGCAGGGTGATGTTGCCGTAGGTTGTGCGCCACGGGAGATGTCAGTGACTGTGCTGCGGATATATATGCGGCTGAACGAATGTCGCTAATGGTCAGAATGCGGCTGTTCCTTTAATGGATGTTAGGCATCCATGCTAGGCACCATCAGATTAGACCCAATAGGTGTTCAAGGAGGGGCTGTAAACGCAACGGTAACTGCATTCCATCAGAGGATTGCCATTGAACGGTCTGAAGAGGGCTGTAACATATGCCCGCACTTCCATTGCGGCGTGGTATTTGCGGTTGTTGCCTGTAAGCATGGGACTTCCGTATAGGAGGAACACGACCCATGGGTCTGTATGCAGCACAATGGCAGCTGGCAGTCTTCCCTTCTCTGCAGTACCATCGCACCCTCTCATCCCCCTCGGAAACGCTGCATGCAGATTACGCCGGCTACTCTCATGCCACCCGTCGCAATCGCACTTTGCAACCGATGCCGTACGGTTACTCAACCCATGGCTAAAAGGCATTACGTACGCCTCAAAGAAGAGCACGTCACATAAGCACATAAGCACATGTCCAATGTATCACGTAACTATCCTGAGGCCTGAGACGCAAACACGTGTCCACGCATCTTGTTCTACCTGCTGGACATATCGATTGATCTGTTCTTACTCGGCAACTCTAAGAGAACCAGCGACGCCCAATGAGGAAAGGCCTGCATCAGTGCCGTGCCCGTATGCAATGTGCACGCGAACACAACAGGCAAGCTACAACGTCATACTATGCCGTCCGAGCCAAATGACCTACATTCTGCGCAGAGCCTTATTTTGCCACAAAGAGAAGAGCCCCTCCTGTACTCGACCTCGAATAGAAAGAAAAGCATGTGAAAGCCATTGAACATACGATGTATACATGGCAAATGGCTAGACTACAGCCGTACATCACGCAAAGCTGTCGTACGACGTACACCAGGGTCACCAGCCCTCTACAACTATATTTCCCGACTCGTCACGCCGCGCTGCCGCATTGTGCTTGTGTTAACTGCCCACCGTACCATATGCAAAAACGTCAGTAGTCAAGTAATATTAATTACTATCCACCCGCTGAAGTCATTGCATTGATTGGGCAAGATCGTGCGCAAAACCTAGATCTATGCCATGTCAGTACGACTGAAGCACTACATCCACCTGCTGCGTTTTGCCCGCAACCTTTAGGCTGTTGTGAGCATGATGCACCCTGCCAACAGTCACCTAGCCTGAACGTTCCACCCGAAAAAAATGAAGACTACCGCACCCCTGCAGTACTGCCATAATGCGCACGTCCAGCTCAAAAGTAATGAGAACGGAAAGAGATCAATAGACACCAGGAGAAAAAGGAGCACATGTGCACCAAAAGCACGTGCGCCCAAGGTATCCTGCAAACAAGCAGACGGCCCCGCCTGCCCCACCCACACACATAAGGCCTGGGACACATCACTGGGACACCGAAAGAGTGCAGTACGGCACCCCGCCCATGAATCGGCCACCTCGTTCACTGCTACCAGCAAGCCCCATTGTGAAGTACAAGAAAGGCAAAAAGGGAAAGCAGGCCAGAACGTTTTCCGACACCTCATCTGTTGCGGTCTACTCTATCAACGTCACTCGCTGTGCTTCTGCCGCGAGCGTTGACGCCGCATGCTTTCCTCCTGCATGAAGTGTTTCAGCTTGATCATGTGCTCCTCCGACAGTAGCGTCTCCCGTATCAGCTCATAGCCGTTCAACTCGCCGTCTAGCAGTCTCGCAACCGCGTTGCGCACGGCTGACAGGTTTTCGCGGTCGAGTATCCGCCGGTAAAACCAATCCAGCCGATCGGTGCAGCTCTGCTCCAGCATCTTCATCTCCTCGGGAACGAGGGTGATATCCACGGCAGGCGAGGTAATAGACCCCTGGTACATGCCTCGACCAAAGGTAGAAAAGAACGACTCCGCAGTTTGCTTGTAGTGCATGCCTTCCCAGCCCACGGGCTCGAACAGCCGGAGCAGCGTTGCCAGACGCTTCGTGTAGCCCTCAATCATGAGCGAGCCGACAAAGAAAGCGTCTTGGGACAGAAATTCCTCGCCGACCATTTGCTTGGACTTGCGTAGGGCTCGGATGGCGTCGCTTAGCGGCGGCTCGTGCTTGTGTCCGTAGTCGTGTTTCTTGACGAGGTCGTAGTAGTCTCGGAGGTGTTGCCGTATAGAGTAATACCGGGAAGCATGCATGCCAAACACCCACAGGTGACCCACATCGGTTGGGGGGCGAATAACCGCAGAGGCGTAGCGCGACTCGTCAATCAGCATGGATATGTCCAAGTCGTTGATGCTTACAACACCGATTTGGAAATCGTTGACGGACAGGTCGAGCATCTCGTTTAGCATCTGGGATGAGGGGAGGGAGGAGGGTTGCGACGGGGAAGGGAAAGGTTGAGGATTGGAGGGGATTGGAGGCAGCTGAGGAGCATGGTGGTAAGAACAAGCTACTGCCACCGACCCAGATCAAGGCCGAGAGGGTTGCATGGGTGGCCCACTCAAAGGGGAGCCGCTAGCCCATTCAGCCTAAGAACTTAGCCTAATCGCATCCCCTGGTACACTATCCTTAGACATGCGCATCCATATCCCTGCAAATCTGACCGGCCCCTCTCCGAGAATTGCGCAGAGTAAGGGAGCCACAGTTAACAACCCAGCCCCTTGTGCATCCGCAGAGGTTATAACCCTAACACGACACACCTTGAGAGCTTGAGGGTGTACGACGTTGTCTTCCTCAACAACGATAAGCTTTTCGTAGGACATGATGTCGAAGGCAAAGAGCTTGACAAAATAGTGATGTAAACCAGGCTGCAGGCTGGCATTATGACGAATGTAAAGCTGGTTGAGTTCCGCTGGGATGGGGACGTCCAGGACGTAGCTGCTACCCCCGTCCTGGGATATGACGAAGTCCATCCCTTTCAAACCCTCGCTGAGTAAAAGCGGTGGCAACGCGTTGTGGATAGTGTTGACCCGTTCAAAGCACATGTAGACGACCAGAACGCGACTGCGCTTTGTGAAGTTCCCGCAAAGAGCAGTTCGCGCAACAGCATAGTTGTCCACCATACTTTCCATATATGTTTCCGCCGTATGGACACGGGCTGCTATCTTGGGGTCAGCCAAGTCTGAAAACGCGCCTGTCCCAGGCTCCATCAGCAGGCCTCTGGCTGCTGCGGTCCCGCTACTTAATAAAATAGCGAGGAGAGCCAACATCATATTAAAGAGGAGAACTCTTTTGGCAAGCTTAACTGCTGACATTTTGCAGCCTAGCACTTTGGCACCATAAGTCGCAGACAGGATGACCGCTCTAAGAGGCTATGGATGTGAGAAGATGTAAGCAGATAAGCAGGTATGACATAGTAAGGTAATATGCTGCCTGTGGGCTACAGGCTTTCCACGGCGGGAAAGGCCGTACAGCCAAGTAACAGTTGGGACTCTGCTGCGATGGGTCGTACTCAGGTGTTTAAGCAAGGAGCAAGAACGGATTTGCCCAGAAACGCTGCTCAACTGATAGATAAGAAAATGCAACTTTTCATGGGAAATGACCTCTTGGTCGATTTCCCTTGGCTAAATTATTGGCAGCCCCGGCAATGATACCCTCCACTTCCTGCAGCAATGCTTCACAGCTCTCATCTTCTTCAGCCACTGCACGATTACAAGACGCGCCTGTCTCCATAGACCAAACGTCGACAGTGCATGACAATTGTAACTGTCGGCCTCTGTAAGAGTAACCGTAGTTTCGAATACTTTCGGATGCGCGCCTCCCCAACCACCACCAACATTGGCCACCACCACTCCCTTTTGCATGCACAAAAGTCACACATTCCTGTATCATACGTTCGGCAGTCCATGCACGTATTTAAGCCGTAATTACCTACAACACCATATCTATATAGGGTTTTTCATGTACCGTATATAACAGCCCCACCTGATTCACACAGGCTATAGCAGGAACACCACAAGAGAGACACTGCACCCGCCACCACATAACCCCATACACAGCAGCCGCGCGTGAGCGCTGGTCGATGTGGGTTTCGCGAATGAGGGAACTCCCAGACAGACAGCCATGCATGTCTCTGCACAATCCCTACAATGCCCTACCCGTATGCATACATGCAATGCACCCCTCCATGCGGCGCATAGCGCTTCGTATATGTAGCTAAACAGTGCATAGCAGCAGTACAAATCAGCTTGTGGAACTGCGTCCTCAACTTCCTTGCAGGGTACGAGCAGGGTGTCGTGCAGCACGTTGCAATAGGAGATGAAGGTTTAGGTTTAGGCATACCCACAAATTAAACAAACCCATCGTACACACATCACCCAACCCTCCGATCAATATCAACACCTCCACTTCGTTAAGTTCCCTCCTTACGCCACCTGCTTACCGCACCACCAACAAGCAGCTGCACAGCAGGCCCACTAGCCCCCTCATGCACTCCCGTACGGGTCATCAGTCACATCGTCTGCCGTATGCCGTGTACGGCATACCGGTAGAAACCGCCGTGAAACCGCCGGTAGCAGCATGCATGCAACCAGCAACCAACCGTTCAGATCCCACAGGTCACGCACATCATACGCAGGCGCGCACGCAGAGGCGAGCATTGCAGCACACGGGCAGTCATACGGCGCGCATCAGTCGGGCGCATCAGGCATGCACCGCAGCATCATGCATGCACATACGCGGCCGGAAGCAGCGCGGAGTCACCCCTCCACCCTGGCAGCACCCTGGAAGCACCACACTGGCAGCACCCAGGCTACCCCGGCCAGCCTGCCCGTACACAATACACAAAGAGCTAGGGGGGGGACACCCAGCCACAGCAGGCACGTAAGGCCCAGAAGAGCACAGCTGCTGAAGCCTTTATACCATAAATATAGGACGTAATAGGTGGGGATATCAACTGCAAGCGTCATAATAAGGCAAGTTGGGAGCTGGCAATAAGCACCGTTCTAGCGAAAACCTGCGTTTTTTGCGTCCTTTGCGACGTCACCATACAGCAGCAGTTGTCACATCCTCCTTATACGTGTCAGACAGCGCCCTTCAAGGGGGGTCCCTGGTAACGTTGCGCGAAAGCCTAGTTCACGGTATGATTTGTGAGTTGAGTTGCGGTGTGGCGTCGTATGTGATCATCTGTTATCAGGGGGTAGACGCACCCCCCAGAAGCATATCGCAGCGATCAACACCTACGTCCTGTCCCAATTGACTACTAGGAAACCATGTATGGCCTTGCGGCAAGACATAAGTAAAGAAACATGGGTTAGTGGGGTCATCGGCAACGCTACCTGCGGTATCCGCGGCAGCACCAGTCAGTGTCTTGATATCTATATACGGCATCCCGCAGTACACCTATCCATATTAAAGCCGTCGTACAACAGGCGGTCACATGGCAATTCATAACCTGTGAACAATGCTGAGCAAACACAGTTTATTCGGCGGGCAGCTAAAGCGGCCGCTTCACTGGTAGAATGGGTGCTTCCGCAGGGCTTCCTTCCACTAATCCACCCACCCAACCACCGCCGCTGCTACCGCTGCTAATGCCACTTCTTCTCCCACTCCCACCACCGCCTCTCCCCCCGTCCGCTTGTGGTGGGGCGCAAACCGAGGAGGACCCTACGCTCCCGACCAGGGCCCCAATCTTCCCGACCCGCGGATGACCCATGGGTCGCTCTCCTCTCCCAACCCCCTCCGCTGTCGCGCCTCCACAACCCGCACACCCCCCAGCACCGCCGCCATAACAGCGCTGCCTACCCACAGCCCCTATCGCGCTGCACGATTGTGAAACCGCTGCCGTACTGCTGCTGCAGCTGTTGAATACCCTCGCCCTAACATACATTTCACCGTACGGTATTGCCCTACAGCCGTTTGTAGCACCCCTGCTGCCGCTGCTGCTGGTGCTGCTGTGTGAATAAGAGCTGCTAGCCTGACTCGGATTCCCGCCGCCGCATCCGGCTGGAGAGGGGATACCAGCCATAACACTCGACCCGCCACCGCCTCCACCGCCGCCTTCACGGCAACGTCTCCACGCTACGGCGGCAGCAGATGCTTCATGTGATGCTGACGAAACCCCAGCCTCAAGGCCTCGTACGGCAGCCGTTTCCGTACTTCGCTGCTGGTGCTGCTGCTGCTGCTGATGGTGGTGGTGCTGCTGCTGTAGCAACCGGCAGTAGCCACCTCCGCCAATCCATCCTTGCACCCCAGTAGTAGCAGCAGCGGCGTCTCCTCCCTTCTCACCCCTGCAACCGCAACCCTGGTTAACGCTCTCCGCCACCGGGCCAGCCGCATAGCGCACTGGTACCGCTGACGGCACCGCCTCCGCTAACCCTCCCTCAGGCTCGGGCGTTACGGGTGCCGGCGGCGCGGAAAACCCCACAAAGCTGCTCCTCCTGCGGCTGCTGTCGCCGCCGTCAAGGCCATCATCGTCGTACTTGTCATCCGCCTCCGCTGGTGCGTCCAAAGGCTCTGGAGAAGGGTGTGACCCTGGTTGCGATGAAGGTGACAGCAGCAGTTGCTGCGGATTCTGTTTCTCACGTTGCCGCTGCTGCTGCTGCTGCGCACGTGCTTCTTCCTCCAGCTGCATTTGGTGTACGTCTATCCAGTCGGCCAGGCTATTCGCCACGTAGGCGGACGTGCCGGGGGACAACACGCCGCCGTCGTCGCCGGCAGCGGCTGTGTCGCCTCCGCCGCCGCCGCCTTCAAGAGCCGTGATAGCAACACTCGCAGCGCCGTCGACGTCGCCGTCAACGTGCGGAATGCCGTCGTCGTCGCCGCTGACAGCGGTGGCGGCGGTGGGTGTACGGACGGCTGCGACGTCGCCGTTGCTGGCGCTAGCATGGCTTCCATCGGCGCTTTCCGACTCAGCTGCCGTACTAGCCTCAAGGTCCCCATCGTCGCCGCTGCTGCCGTCGCCGTCGTTGCCGCCATGTCCGCCGTCGTCAGTGCCGTTACCGCCGCTGCGGGCGGGTTGCTCCTCACCGCTTCCGCCGCCCTCACTTACGTCATGCCCACTCCCATGGCCCTCCGTTTCTTCTTCCTCCTCCTCCTCCTCCTCGCCTTCCTCCTCACCGTCCTCCTCCAACTCCTCTTCCTCTTCCTCCGCCTCTTCTTCTTCCTCCTCTTCTTCTTCCTCCTCCTCCGCCTCCTCGTCTTCCTCCTCTTCCTCCTCCTCACGACCGCTGCCGCCAGCACCGCTCTCCCGCATCTCAGGAACGCTCGGAGCCGTCAACGAATGCTCCTCCTCCTCTTCTTCTCCCTCCCCCTCGTCCACCACAGCTCCAGGTAATGGCGGCGGCGCAGTACCCGCCGCCGCCGCCGGCCCCGTCGCCGCTCCTTCCCCCGCCGCCACCTCTGTCACCTCCCCCTCCGCCGTCGCCAACAACGTCGCACCCGCCAGCGCCTCCGCGAAGCTGCGAGACGCCGTCAGCGCCGCCCGCGCCGCCAGCGGATGCGGATCCAATTGTACGGGGGGCGACGGCGGCGGCCCCGCCGCCTCCGCCAGCTCAGCGGCTGCCGCCTCCGCTGCCACGACGACGGCGATCGTGGCGGCGACGGAGGCGGAGGTATTGTGCGCGTCCTCGTCGCCCTCGGCAATGTGCTCCAGGGGAGAGCCGCCGCCAGGGAAGCGCCGGCCCAGCGGTGACTTGCCGGGTGAGGGGGTGGAGGGGTTGGCGCCGAGGCGGGTGCTGGCTGTGATGCTGCGGAGAGGGAGGGAGGGAGGGAACGGAGAGTGGTAAGGTGAGCAGAAACTGCGGAAACGGGTCAACCCAACCTCGAAACACCATGGGAATCGTTGCCTGCGTGCTGTCAAACCATTTCGAGGTCCCCAGCACTGTAGCACGCTCGCCATGTGTCATCCGTTTCCAGACGCCACATGCACCCATGGGGTTCCCATGCACCCATGCACCCTGCCGCCCGCCGCCATGCCGACTCAAAAATAACATAAGAATCAATTAGCAGTAACAATCATCATCATCATCAGCAGCAGCAGCCCTGCAACACTCAGCCCACTCAGCAGCACGCCAACCCCAGCCCCAGCAAACACCCCGGCCCCCCCTCACCCCTGCGCCTCCTCCACGGTGAAGGTGTGCATGAAGGAACCGCGCTCCACCTGCTCTATGCGCGAGGAGCAGATGGGGCAGCCGTAGCCGCGCGCCATGAGCCCGTTGGCGCACTCCACACACAGCGCCGCGTGCATGCAGGGGCGCAGCCGGCACTCTGATAGGGGGGGCAGGGACAGTGATTTTTTTTAGCGATAAATAATTGGTCCTAGGGCCGTGAGAAAGCGATAAGGTGTCTGTGCCCAGGGTATCTCATCGCTCACACCCCCCGTGCCAGACCCTCTACATGCTAGGGATTTGGGTCCAGGAGGGCACTGGGACCATTGAGAAGCGCCTCCGCATTGGGGTTTAGAGGGCTATGGGCACGTGTGACCCCAGGAGGCCGCTTTAGGAAGCGATAAGCCCCGAAACCCCTCGGCTTGGCTGGTTGGGAAAGCGATAAGCGGTTGCCCAGGCCCGATTTCTATCGCTCTAGCAGCGATAAAAAATACCCCCTCGAAAACGAAAAAAAAACGCTGGCAGGGAGAGGGAGAGGGAGGGGGGGGTCAAAGACCATACCGAACCATAGGAAACCACACAGATTGGGGCAAGAACAATGGGGAAAAGGCTCAGCGAGGGGGGAGGGGCAGGGAGGGAGGGAGGCAGGGAGGCTGTTGGGTGTAATCTTGGTGCCACTTGGTGGGTTACACCGCAACCATCACATCAGCGCTTCAGCCCTAAGCCGGCAGTCGGTGGGCGGGAATGCACTCGGGCATGCCGGCGAGCAGCATGAAGCAGCATGAAAGGAGGCGGCTTTCCGGCGTTTTCGTGGGGCACAAGTTGAAAAGACCACATACACCGGCAGCCAGTACCTAGAAACCCCCGCCCTCAATCGCCGACTGCTTCTATCCCACCGCCGCCACCCCCGTCTCACCCCGCCGCCCCGCCCCTCACCTCGTTCCGCGTCCATACAGACCATGCAGAGCTTGCGAACCGATGTGGAGGGCGTGGAGGATTTGGGGGTGTCGATTCCTGCAAAGGCGTCTTCCTCCTCGCCGCTTGCTCCCCCGATCGACCCATGGGTCGATCCTCCGTTGGACGCTGCGTTCTGAGCGGCTGCTTGCGCCTTCCGTACTTGCACCTTTAGCAGCCGTACTTGCGCGTTTTCTGCATGCATGCAAGCAAACGCATGGCAGGGCCACGTGTGTAGGGGTGGGCGGGGTGCATGATGGCAACACAGACCGTGGAAAGGGGTACCGGTACAACCGGGTTCTACCAACAATGTGACGCAGACCCCTGTCCCGTGAAGCCGAGTACTTCAAACTTCACGTAGTTAGCCATTCTTTGCCTTTTGATTCTCCTTCTGCCTAGAGCTGCCCGCCATCTGTACGACATTCCCCCCCAAGGACCTCCGTGCTGAGCTGCGTCATGCATCCACTGTACAGCTACCCAAGGCATCACCCCCACCTCAGTACCGGTACGGCATCACCTCCCACCTACGCAACCCCACCTGTCGTACCCGCCCACCGCCCCACCTACCAGGGTCCAGCCGCTCCGCCTCCCGCACGTCCTGCAGCGCCTCCTCGAACTGCCGCAGCTCCAACTGGGCGTGACAGCGCATCATGTAGGCCTGCAGGGGGGGGAGGGGGGCAGCAGGGGAAGCATGGGGGGACAAGAATATACCAGAACCACAGGTTAGGACAAAACAATGGGGGGGGGCGGAGGCGGGGAAAAGGCAGCACGGGGCCAGGGCAGCAGGGACAAAGATGACGGTTGGGGTTTCATCATTTTCGAGGTTTTCGGCAAGGAACGCTGACGGGCCCTTTAGAGAGGTTAACGGTAGTGGTATGCCTCCTCACCCACGCAGGTGTCACCTGTTCGTCATCTGACCACACTCCCCTCCCACCACACCCCCACCTTACCGCACCGCTCGGCTGGCGGCCTGCAACACCGCCCTTTTCTCTCACCACTCACATGCCCGCCTCCCACCCCCACCTCCACCTCATTCCACAGTCCGTGCCCCCACCCTCCTCCTCTCTCCCTCTTCCGCTCCTTCCTCCCCTCTCCCTACCTCACCCCCCCCACCTGCAGCAGGTTCCCCTGCAGCTGCAGCGCGCGCGTGTAGTCGGCCACCGCCCCGCGGTAGTCCCGCTGCTCCAGCCGCACGTTGCCGCGCTCCAGGTAGGCTGGGGGGGAGGGGGGGAGGAGGGGGAGGAGGGAGGGCGGGCGGCAAGGTGAGGAGACACGCTGAATATGCGCATGAGAGTGAAGAGTGGGGCTTCGGGGGTGTCTGTTAACCAACTGTTAAAGGATTGGAGCACTTGGAAGGCCATCCCTCTGCAAGGCCTGTTTTGGCTCCCCCGCTCTCTCCCGGGGTATGGGACTCCAGTTGCTTCACTTTCCACTTGTTCTGACTCCCCCGCTCCCCCCCGCCTTTGGCCTGCACCCCACCACCCCTCCCGCCTACCCCTTCGTACACTTCGACCTCATGCGCTGCACCGCAATGCAGCATGCGGAGTACGGCATGCGGCATCTCAAGACCCCCACCCCTCTCCCGTCCAACCCATCCCCTACCCCCCCACCTCCGCACACCCAACCCCTCCCCTGCGGTTGTGTATACCTTTGATCACCCCTCGACCCCTCACCCAGACATCAGCCCCATGCACCCACCCCACCCCACCGCTTTCCCTACCCTGTGTGTTTTTGACACATCTCTGACCCCCCCTCCCACCTCTTGCGTATGTCGGCCAGGTGGCGATGGTGGCGTTCAGCTCCTTCATCGCCTCCGCCACCCTGCCAGCGGAGTGGTGCGCTTGCCCGCGCAGCAGCCGCGAGTCGGGGGTGATGGGCTGCGGCTTGACTGCGGGGGGGCGGGGCGCGGAGGGCGGGGGGCGGGGGCGTGTGTGGATTGGGGGAGGAGAAGGGGGTGGGGTGTGTGTGGGGGGGGGAGGGTGAGAGGGCGCGAGTGGCAGGGCGTGTCAAGGGAAAGCGGTGGTACAAGGTAGGGTGTGGGGGAGCGTCGTGGGGGATGAGGAGGGAGAGTTAAAAGCAGAGATGGAGGCTGGTGATGGAGAGGCCGTAGTGCCGTAGTCGTACGGTATATCGGGGCTGGCAGGTCTCACTGAGGGTCCCGGTTCCATTCCCACGTCACGCCCTCAAACCCCATTGGACACCAAGCAAGCGGCCTCGGGGGGAAGGGGAGTGAGGCTCGAAGCAGAGGATGGCCCCTCCATCCCAGTATTCAATCTCTTACTCCTTGGCATATACGAATGGTCGTATGGTGACAGGCCAAGGACGCTAACTAGTCGTGCATGTTAGTAAAAATGAGGTGGAAGGAAGAAGTGTGCGTAGGGGTTGCTCGTCGGGTGGCGTGGAAGGAAGGAACGGTTGGGCAGGCCTCCTCACCTGTCTCGCCTTGCTGATGGGTCTGCGTTGTTGTTGGTGGCGGAGCCGCGTGAACAGAAGAGCTACAACCCATTGTGCGCCTGATTAAAGCTCCTGACCAGAAGCTGAGCTGGCGAGTGGTCGCAACGAGCTAGGACAATTGGGATAATCGCCACGCCCAAGCGGAAGCCGGGGCGAGGCTCAGTCCGCGGTTCGACAGCTCCTTCACCTAGGTGGTGGGCATGTTCTATTCTTATAGGATTCACTGCTACGTGTAATTAATTCACTGGTATTCCATAGGCCCGGGGTGAACCCGACTACAATGGTGGGCCGAAAGTATTTGGCAAGGGCTATATGTATGATGCATATCAAGCTGTCGGTAATTCCTGGAAATGGCTCCGTGAGAAGGTAAACGGGCAGTCAAGGACTTGGATAGTCAGAGGGTGCACCTGTAAGAGCGCGTGCCTGGTGCATTGTGCAAAGTTGTTCAAGTACCAGCGCGAAATATTGCATGCCTGTAACATACTGGTCAATCGCGTCGAAGCAAGGGTACATGACTTGCCGTACGAAAGCGATAATTCGTTGGCAAATGGCACTGCCCGTCCGCGCTGGCGAACTACTGCGCAACTCATACCAGAGAGAACTGATTTAATATGTTTATGAAACATGTATTGAAGGCCCTTACGACGCATTACATAGCCATGCAACACTCCTGCCCTACTCCAAGTGTATTTCAGCTCTGACCAACCTACCTGGAACCCGAATATCATGTTATTGTGAAGCGCAGGGTGGTATTGTAGTGCACGAGCCGTGCCGGAGTCTCGGTCCGCAACAGGGGCAGCATCAGCGCATACGTTCTTTCTGCTGCCGCCAACAGCGGCAAGGGCAGCCCCTCTGCAGCATGGCAGGCTTGACGCAGGTGGGATTACGGTTCATTCCTCAGTTGATGGAGCTAGCGGTCCCCAGCCACAACGCAAACACCACAGGGAAGGATTTTTGGCACGCGCATCAAGGCTCATGGCCCGGCCTCGCCACGCCGCATCATTACCGGGGACGTAATCGTATGAAATAGCTAGGACGCAGGGTCAATGCTGCTGATAATGATGCACGATAAGGTGAGCTGACACTCGCTTGTATTGTTGGGTCTGACAAGCATGTTGCAGTGACCACGACCACCTTCTATCCACTAGATAAGAGTCCTCAGGGAATTACAATGACCGGACTAGCACATGCACCTGCTGCCTGTGCGGTCCTTCACTCGTGAAGAAGTGCCTCGCACGCATGACACTAACGGCAGTACGGCACTCGTGCTGGCGAAACGTACGGCACTAGCAGCAGGACGGCACTACGGCACGATCGGCCGCCCTTGTTGCAGGCCTCACACACCACTCACTCCAAGGATCGCAAAGCGCAACCGGTTAAGCTGGCCAGACGGACAAACTCCAGAGCAAAACCAAGCGCACTGCGAACCTTTATACCTTTGCCTGTGGGGTGCGGATGCTTCTCGCGCCCCAACTGGACGGACCCGTGGGTCACTAAGATAGCTATTGAAGATAAGGAGCTGTGGGGAGGAAGAAGAGTACTCAGAATGGAACGGTCTTCCGGCAGCTGCCCTCGGAGGGGGACGTGCGGCACTGGCGGCACAGCAGGCAGTACAGTGCCGGGCGGTGCCGCACGCGTCACAGAGAGCGGCATCTTGGCGCCGTCGCACAGACCTGGCAGGCTGCTAGACGTTGGCGGAGGGATGGGAGGAGGTAGCGGAACAGGTGGCGGGGGAGGCTGGCGACGACTTGGCGGGCGGGAGAGGGGCGGGGAGGTGGTGGGATGAGGCGATGGAGGTGCGAGGTGGTGGGGGCGGCAGACAGGACGATAGTGGAGCAAAGAGTGGAGGGGGACATGTGCCGGCGGCGCTGGCCTAGATTGAGTGAGGGATGCCCTGCCTATGAAGAGGGAGGTGGCGGAGGCGGGCTGGGGCTTACGTGGGTAAGCGAAGGGGGCTGAAAGAGAACATCAGGTCCGCGTTGTGGTCGCTGCGGTAGGGGCGGGGAAGGCTGACGGATGGCGATGCTGTCAGAAGAGCGGAAGGTCCAAGCAGGGATAGCAAGGCGAGGACAAGAAGAGGTCGCAGAGGGGAGGGGAGGAAAAGATGCGCCAAGGACAGGGTGTTGGGCAATCAGGAGTTGGCAAACCCTCGCATGCAGCACACAGCGTGCAGTATCGCGATTGTACATGCGAGGCGGGCGGTACGATCTTTTGCTCTTGTGTCCTCACCCTACTACTGGCATAGAACAGAGCCTGTACGGCGGGTGAGGACGGCAGGCCCGGGGGTGAGTAGGCGGCGTAAGGTTAAGAGGTACCCTACCGGTGCGTGAAGGCGTTGGGAACGTAGGATCACTATTCGGTGGAGACCGAATGGAAAGGTTGAACTACGCAGAAGGGAAGATGTCAGGTTTGCACAGGTGGCGATTAGGAAAGCACGCACTGGTTCAGCAAGCACCTTCACTCGGAGGGATGAGGATGGAAGGAGGCGAATGTATGCGCGCATGGGTAATAGTGTACCGAAGAAGCCACATGAAAGGAGACATAATGTCGAATCGCCTAGGAGTACGCCAAAAGCTGCTCGACTTGTTGGCACTCGTATGCAAGGGGCCGCATGGGCCGACTGCTGTTGTCTAGCCAAACTAACCTGCAATGCTTTAAGGGGTCACCTTAAAAGGGGCCGTCTTACAAAAGGAAAACGATAATCCCGCCTGCAGTAACAGTACCAGACACGCGTAACGTGACATCCGCACATGGCGAGGTCGACTGTCCAGCTCGTCAGGGAGCTCCAATTCGCAGTGGAATGCAACCCAAAGGTTCTGGTAAATGAAAGCTTGGTAAATAGAGTATAGCTCTACCCCTTGTTTTGATGACCCGAAGGAGGATAGGCGTAGTTACGCAATAAGGGACGGACGAGTGGCAGTGAGGCTAACAAGAAACGCATTTGGAAAGGGTTATGGGTATGGCATTGCTTCTGTGTGCTGAAATAGAATGATGTGTAGCGCCGTACAATGGCGGTTAACGCGCACATTGCCCTGTTGCGGCTACGTAATCGGCGCATTGTCAGACATACGTATTTCATATAAGAAACAACAGATTGGCAACGTGTATAAATTGCTAGATCGCCCATGAAACAAGCAACATACCGGTACCGGTACGCCTTGGCCCTTTTCATTCCTTACCGCTACAATAGCCCCACTTCCTTACCGATACAATAGTCGTGTGCTTCATCACGTTACTTGCGGCATCACGCGTCATTTTTCCTCAGGCGAGATATCTGATGGCCCCTTTGGATACCGATGAACCGGTGAGTTAGGCAACCGTAGTCGATTGATGCGAACGCTTGCGGATGCTTGTGAACTGTTTCGGCGCAATCCTAGGGCACATGCCGACATGCCTTCATGGTGTGCACCTTTTTTTCCATCCATGCGTCAACGCGACTTGCTACTTAATGTCCACATGTGCGCGCTGTCCCCCTTCCTTCTTCCAATGCTCATCCCCACCTAGTTGACATCACCGCTCAAATCTTCCTCCTCCTCCTCCTCCCTAACCAGGCTTGGCAATCTTTTCCTCTGGCCAAGCCTGACAGCCAAGTGGCCACGGAGTCACGTCCCAAGACACTTCCGTTGTACGTCCTGTTACGTATGGAGCAGTGCAGTTTGCATGAAGGTGCCCGCTCAGCCCCGCGACGCCATCTCCTTCACCTTCCGTCTCTACCGCCGCCAGCCTTAACACAGCTGGTGTTAGGGGCTAACATGGCTTCAAGGCTACTTTGTCGGCGGCGGCTAGGAGACTGCTTGCCTTGGGCCCCGCCATGGGCATGAACGATGAAGGTGGGTGCGAGTGATCTGGCTAGTGGTGTGCATGTTGCATTGGGATAGCGTGTTCGTGGCACGTGTCTGCTTCGCCTCCGAGAGCTGGATGACGCTCACCTGCATCCGAACTACCCCCAGCGGCAGCCAGTGCCACTCTCAGTCAGCTCAGAACAGCCAGCAGCAGTTTCAGCAGCAGCAGATATATCAGCCCAGCAGCAGTAGGGTCAGCTGAGTCGACAGCTTTCCAAGGTCGAACACACGTGTCTTGCTGTACTTCCTTTGCCTATCCGGTACTTCTTTGCAGAGTCTAACCCAACGCCCCCAATGCCTTTCTTCCCACGCATGTACCTCTTTGCGAGACCATGGTAGCGAGGCCATGTCGTCGACAACAGTACCTCTGTGGCTTACGACAGGAGGGCCTCGCTGCCGCCGCCGCCGCCGCCGCCTCCAACCCTTCTCCTTCACCTTCACCTCCGCCATTACCGCCACGTCAGTGATGACGCCGTCGGCCCCCAGCCCTTCGCCGGAGCCGCCCAGCCCAGCACCGCCATCTCCTGCACCGCTCCCGCCTGGCGTGCCGCCTCCCTCGCCTGCTCCTCCTAGCCCCGCACCGCCATCTCCTGCACCGCTCCCGCCTGGCGTGCCGCCACCTTCGCCGGAGCCCCCCAGCCCCGCACCACCATCTCCTGCACCGCTCCCGCCTGGCGTGCCGCCGCCTTCGCCTGCTCCTCCTAGCCCCGCACCGCCATCTCCTGCACCGCTCCCGCCTGACGTGCCGCCACCTTCGCCAGAGCCGCCTAGCCCCGCACCGCCATCTCCTGCACCGCTCCCGCCTGGCGTGCCGCCACCTTCGCGTGCTCCTCCTAGCCCCGCATCGCCATCTCCTGCACCGCTCCCGCCTGGCGTGCCGCCACCTTCGCCTGCTCCTCCTAGCCCCGCATCGCCATCTCCTGCACCGCTCCCGCCTGGCGTGCCGCCACCTTCGCCTGCTCCTCCCAGCCCCGCACCGCCATCTCCTGCACCGCTCCCGCCTGGCGTGCCGCCTCCCTCGCCGGAGCCGCCCAGCCCCGCACCACCATCTCCTGCACCGCTCCCGCTGGCGTGCCGCCACCTTCGCCGGAGCCGCCCAGCCCAGCACCGCCATCTCCTGCACCGCTCCCGCCTGGCGTGCCGCCTCCTTCGCCGGAGCCGCCCAGCCCCGCACCACCATCTCCTGCACCGCTCCCGCCTGGCGTGCCGCCACCTTCGCCGGAGCCGCCCAGCCCCGCACCACCATCTCCTGCACCGCTCCCGCCTGGCGTGCCGCCACCTTCGCCGGAGCCGCCCAGCCCCGCACCGCCATCTCCTGCACCGCTCCCGCCTGGCGTGCCCCTTCCTCACCAGGAGGCAGGTAGGGCAGTGGCGGGGGCTGTGGAGCGGCTGCTGCTGCATGATGACGTGGAATACGTCGCAGCGGCGGTGACGATCACGGCGCGTCCCTCAGACACCGACCACCCAACACCATAATCCCACCGCCGAGTTACCAACCGCCCGGCGGCGGGGAAGTCGTGAGGGCGCCGCCTCTCCTCCCTCCATCTCCTCCCTCAGCCACCCGTGACCCGAGGTGACGGAGGTGGCGGCGGAGGTGGCGGAGGTGGCGGAGGCCGCGGCGGAGGTGGCGGAGGTGGCGGAGGTGGCGACGGAGGTGGCGGCGGTGGCGGCGGAGGCCGCAGCGGCGGTGGAGGCGGCGGTGGCGACCTTGGGGGATGCGGCGAGTGGCGGCGGCGTTGCACATCCTCTGCAACCGACATGGTGCCGTACTGCATGGCTGCATGTTGGTCTCGGGCGTCTGGTGCCTCTGTGACCGGCAGCGCTGGGCTGCTGAAAGCACTGGCGGCGGCGGAGAGGGCGGCGGCGGCAGGGCAGTGGCAGCTGCAGGGGCGGCAGCAGCGGCGGCAGCAGCGGTCGCAGCAGCAGGGCTAGATGCCGCTGCAGGGGCGATGAACAGGGCGGCGGCGGCAGGGGCGGCGGCGGCAGCGGCGGCAGCAGCAGGGGTGGCGGAAGAGGCGCCGGCAGCGGTGGCGGCAGCAGAGTGGACCGCCCGCCCTTCTTGCACCTCGTCGGGATGCATGCGGTGTGGGCTTGGAGCGCCGCCGCCAGCTTACAGTGGCGGCCCGTCCTGCATCACGGTGGCTGCGTCCACCGTGCCGCCGCTGTACGTCCCATGGGTCGGCCCCTCCCGCCTCCGCCCCGGGATGTGAGCGCTCCATCAGAGCAGCCCCACCTGCTGCTGCAGCTGCTCGCCCCTGCAGCACCACCACCCGGCCTAGCCATGCACCGCCGGAGGGCAACCTGGCGAACCGCCTGCCGCGGCCCTGCTGCCCCCCGCCAGCTAGCGACCCATGGGTCGCCCTGCCCCCGCCGCCCTTCCGCTGCTGCTGGCGCCGCCGCCGCGCCTCCTGCACCTCGCCCGTGCAGCCCCTCCGCCTGCTGACCACCGCCCCGGCAGCCCCGCGCCTTCATGTCGCCACCGCATGACATGCACCGCCTGCCGCCCAAGCTGCTATCGTCCCGATCCGCGCGTCGGGAGTGGAAGCCTACTGCCGCCGTTTCGACTGTGGTTTCGGAGCCGGTTTCGGGCACGGTTTCGGGCCCTTACCGCAGCCGCCCAGACCCGCACCGCCATCTCCTGCACCGCTCCCGCCTGGCATACCCCTCCGCCACCCCACCCTCCCCCTCCCTCCCCCCGCTCATCCAACGTGCGCATAATGGTGCCGTACGTGGGGTGTCGTACCTCATGGTACGGTAGCTGCAGCAGCGCCTCCACCACCTGCGAGGCGGTCAGGGGTAGGAAGGGAGGAAGGAAGAGGAAGGAACCGTAACCAACTAGTAAAGTGGCGGCGGCGGCGGAGGTGGCGGAGGTGGCGGAGGCGGCGGCAGCGGTGGCGGAGGTGGCGGAGGCGGAGGTGGCGGCGGCGGCGGCAGCGGTGGCGGAGGCAGCGTATTAGAGCTGAAACCGGCGTAGTCCAGGGAATCAAGACAAGCAACTATCGCAATCGTCTGTGGGTCATTTGGATTGTTTGCAGCAGATGTCGGTATGGTAGTACTACTGAAGGTGGCTGCGGGTGGGACTGAGCTGCATGCAACAACATGGTGTGCGTGAGCGCCACGGCAGCGGGGGCTGCATGCTGCTGTCCGGCGTCCTGTAGGTATATGCTGTTTGACATTCCCGACCGGCTTTGCAGTGAGGGGCAGAGGCAGTGCTAAGGTGTTTAGTGTTTAGCCCTAAGACAGCATGCATACTCCTTCACGTGTGAGTAACCACAGGAATGGCTGCTGCATGCAGACGCACAGAGGGCGGCAGCAGCACTTGGAAGAGCGTAAGTCATGGGCTGCATGTGCATGTTGGCTAGTCCCTTCATTACGTCTCGGGGCTCGACAAACTGTGTCAAGCCACTTTCGCCAAGCCATAAAGCCGCAAGCATACCAAACATTCCGCCTGCGCCTATAAGGCTTCCTTCACACAAACACTTGGGCGGCAAGCTTGCCATGACAAGAAACATTCATACATTCCCCTTCCTGGGAGCCACACGCCAAGCAACGGGTGTAGAAGTGCAGCCACAACGCGTTCCCGCACGTCTTTGCGTCCAGCAGCGGCGCAGCCAGCCATCAGCATAACCTAATGTGCATGCGTAAGGATACAACATGCCCCTCCTCCAACGTGTTAGTACACGCCAAGACGGAAGCAAACGCAGCAGCAGTGGTTGCAGACCTCGCAGGGCCTTAATACCCTACCACCACGACCTGTCACCCACGCTGCAAGAGCAAACAAGCACCCCGATATCACCGTTAGCAAGCTGCGTGGTATCCTAACGGCGTGTTGATACTGGTACGAGTTGCACGGCAACAAGCAGTTCCCAGACGACAACACCCCGAGCTGCTTCCCTAAATTTCTGTAAAGTACACGCATGCGTCGTTCATACTATTGACTTCCCCACCTTTCCCGGGCCTCGGGTCATCCTCCAGAGCTCAAGCCCTCACACAGTCATACGATGGCTCCCCCAGCTGGCACCTGACAGCAACTACTACTACCTACATGCCTGCTAACGCCATTGCATGGGCGGCCTAGCAGCCGTACTCCTGAACTACACCCTAGATCCCGCTGTTGCCGTTGCTGCAATCCGTCATCCGGCAACTCCACTCTCCGCACCCTCCCTCTTAAGGGGCCAACCTACATTGAAAGAGGCCTCCTCTTCCCTCAGAAGCCGCCCCCAAAGCCGTCGTGCTCACTGCCGTATGCATACGGCACCCCGTTGTCGTACGGCGGGCCCCCCGCGTTGATGAGCGCGTCATCCTCCTCATCCTGCTGCTGCTCCCCCTCCTGGTCCTCCAGGGGGTGCTGATCCGGTTGGAGCTGATCCTGTTCTTGTTGCTGCTGATCGAGGAAAGGCTGCTGCTGCTGCTGCGGGATGTGAGGTTGCAGCCCTGCCGGCCCGCCAGCTGCTGAGGTTCCGGGTCCGTGATGGACTGCCGGGAAATCCGCTTGCTCGGGAGCCTGGGAGTTGACCGAGCCCGCCATGTCCACTTGGCCTTGCGGCATGGATGCTGGCTGGGTGCCGGAAGGCTGCGGGGGCAAGCTGCCCACGGCAGCTGCAGGTGGCTGGAGCTGTTGCTGCGAGGGTGTTGGTGGGACTGCTTGCGCGCTGAAGTCTGCAGGAGCAGCTGCAGGCGCCGCGGCCATGACCGCAGCTGGCGGGGGCGATGGCTCCACCCTGCGCCGCTTTCGGCTTCCGCCCAAGGGCCTTGGCAGCAAGAAGTAAAAGCGCTTTACGCCCATGATTAGCAAGTCCCGCGACCGCAACGGGGTGGGTCCTGAGTCCGGTGTATACAAATTTGTTGTGCCGTTGGTGCTGCTCTCCACGGTTACACCGTTTTTCCCAAGCACTACCAGCTCAAAACACTTGTTCTCAAAGTTGTAGCGGATGGTGGCATGTTGCCGACTGATCGTGGTGCTGTCGCCCAGGATTAGGTCCAGAGTGCTGTTTTTGCTCGTTCGTCCCATGGTGACCTCATATTTACGCATAAAGTATTCAATACCATCGCCCTGAAGCTTCGCAAAGCCTACACGCGCCAATCGAGGGTCATCCGGCTGAATCGAGGGTGTCGTCGCTGTCTCCATGGCAGGAATAATTGCAACCTTGCGCTCCAAAGGTGTATGGTCAGGGTCTAAAGTATTAAAAAGTAGGTTGCAGCAGCGGCAGTGCCTAGGTTTGCTCCTACAGGAGCAAAGCGGCAGTCAGGCCAGTCACTAGAAATGCATTTCAAATTGCTTAAGCTCTTGGCGGTTCAACTAAAAGCAGGAATGGAGTTGACGCCTTCCGCCTGTCTGCCTGCGTACGGCACTTTCCACCGTTGCTTCCCTCGCACCTAAGAAAAGCCTGGCAATCTGTCGAAATGCGCGCGATGCGTGCCGCACTCCATACCCGCTCCGAAAAGCTGTCAAAGGGGCAAACCAATTCGCTGCACGCATCAATGCAAAGCTTGTACGGCACTCTCCACCGAAGCGGCAACCAATGTCACTTCATCATCAAGCAATCACAAGACACGACGACATCAGCCTGCAACACCGCCCGCATTAAATCACCTTCAACCCCGGATCACTCGGACCGCGTTTCTCAAGCCGAGCATCCTCTCCGCACCTCTGTCACCACGGCACCCCCACCTGAGACAGGATCCAAGCCGGTCCCGACTGCCGTACAAAATCCAGCTCATCTTCAGATCGTACAAGTATCGTACCCGCGAATGCTAAGCTGTTAAGCGCCAGAGGGCCGCAGCGCTCCGCGCGCCTCGGGACGAGCATCATCCAAGATCTCGTTAGAAGCACATTGTACGACACATCTTGAGGAGCTGTAGTAGTAGCAGTAGCAGCAATCGCACCATCAGCACCGCTTATGTTGCTTCTGCTGCCGCTAGCATCTCCACTGCCGTTAGCGGCGCTAGCACCGCTGATGTTGCTGCTACTGCCGCCAGCGCCACCGCTGCCATTGCTGCCGCTGTTGCTGTTAGCGTTGTAGCTGTATCCCGGATGGCAGAGCTGTAGCAGGGAGTTAAATGTCGACTCCAGCTGGTCGGGTGTGGGGCTGTGGGTGGGTCAGAGCAGGAACACGGGGTGGGGACGGGAGCAGGGCGGGAGGTGGGTAGGAGATGGGCGGGTTTTGCGACGGTATATGAGGGCAGAGAGGATACCAGGCAGTGATGGGTGGGACAGCTCCAGTCAGCACAAACGGCATACGTTAGTCAAGTCAGGAGCAAGAGAGCAATAAGGACCTAGCCCAGCCAACGTACTGCCTTCACTGCCTTCATGTTCCAAAGCACACAGGGAGGGCCCAATCCACCAATACACCCGCGGCCTATTCCTTCAGCGCCACGGTACGGTGCACACCTCACATGCCGGACCCACCCACCCACGAAGCACCCAACCCACCTCTCAGGCAGTAGCGCCGCATAGCACTCGTACGGCACCTGACGCAACGCAAACGGCTGTAGCGCTGCTGCTCCCCCTCCTGCTGCTGCTGCCTCAGCTGCCGCCTGCATCACCAAGCGGTGTACGGGCGCCTCGGCAGACCGCTCCCCGCCTGCGTGCTGCTGCTGCTGCTGCGCGCCCTGCCCCTCTCCCTGCCGCTGCCCCTCTTCCTCCTCTTCTAGGAAGGGCAGGGGAACCACCTGAGGAGGAGGAGGAGGAGAAGGTGTCAGGGGGTGTCAGGTGTCAGGGGGCAGCCCAGGTGCACGCGGGGGGCTGCATGGGCGCGCCAAGCCGCGCAGCGGAGGCTGCTGACAGGGCTGGGGAGAGGGGAGACCGACAGACCGACGGACTGGAAAGGAAGGAATGAAGGAGGCGGCATGGGTGAGTGGTATACACACATGAGGAGGTGCGTTCTTGGGCAATGCGCTCACTGCATGAGTCGGGATTCGGAATTGGGACACCGTTCATGCACTTATCTATATCTTCCCCCCCTTTTTATCCCGCCCCGCCCCCACCCCCCACCTGCATGTGCTTGTGCGGCTGGCTGCGACCCGAGTGCGGCCCGCAGTTGTAGAACGCCACCCCGCCCCGGGGCATGGCCTGGGGGGGGGGTCAAAGACCATACCAAACCATAGGAGTCCACAAGTTAGGGCAAAGCAATGGGGGTAGGAGTTGGGAGTTGGGAGTTGGGGGCGGGGGAGGATGTGGATGATGGGGGGGGGAGGAGGGAGTACGGGGAGGGTAGGGGAAGGGCAGGGGAAGGCATGGAGGTGCATGGGGTTGCTAGGGCGCGCGGCATTGCGGATTGGGGGAAGGCGCGGTAAGCGGTGAGGGTACGCGGCGGTTACAGGAAACGGCCAAGTGAATGCCGCACCTGAGCACATCAGGCAGCAACTGAGCTGAGCTGGGCAAAGTTGAAAGCATCACCACAGCCCCTGAACCCCCTTGCTGCTCCCTCCTTGAGTCTCCCTCTCCCCTCCTCCGTCCACCCCTTCGGGATTGGGACTCCGTTGATGCATTTATCTATATTTTTTCTCTCCCCCCCTCCCACCCATAAGGTATTCTTCTTTTCCCTCCCACCCCTCCTCCCCCCCTCCGGGCTCACCTGCAGTACCTCCATCGCGGCCGCCAAGTCCCCGCCGTACAGCGGTTCCGCCTGGCTCCGAAACTGCCTCGTGATCACCAACACGTGGTGCCGTACGACATTGAACTTGTTGAGAACCAGGCTGTGCTCCGGTTCACTTTCTTGCAGCAGCTGTTGTTGTTGTTGTTGTTGTTCCTGCTGTTGGTGTTGGTGTTGTGGTGGTGATGGTTGTACAGCTGGTACGGCTGTCAGTTGTGGAGGATCTCCCTGCGGGTCGTACCGGTGTCCAACATGCCGTACAGGCGGTGAATCCATGTCGTACTGCTGTCCGTACGGCCCTAAGTGTCGTACGAATAGCTCGGGTTCTGGCGGCAGGAAGGGATTGCGCCAGGCGGGCTTGGGGGAGGCGGCGGGTTGGGGTCCTGTGTGGTGAAATAAAAGGAGGAGGGAGGGAGAGCATGTACGGTAAGAAGGGATCCCAGGCTGTACACGTCAAAAGAAGCAAGCAAGCAAGCAGTTTGGGGCCCCTGCAGAGCCTGTAGAGCTCATTTCGCAACCAAGATGATTAAATGACGAGCTCACGATAAGCACACACCTGACCTCCTCCCATCCAGTTTACCTAAGCCCTGCCCGTCGCCCGTTCCCCGCTGTGAACATGTACCTTTGCCAGACTGCTCGCCAGGCACTTTGGAGGGTGACCCCTGGGTCGGCGGTCCCTGGGGCTTTGCCTTCAGCGCTGTCGCCACTCGCAACACAAAGTCGACTCCAAGCTGGGAGTCGTGGAACATCTCAGCCTGTGTACGGAAGGGGAGGGGATAAGATGTTGGGATGGGGTTGCTCGCAGGGGAAAGAGGGAGTAGAAGATGTACATGAAAATGAAACAACTGGAGGAGGTACCCAAATGGTAGGGGGTCATTGCTGTTCTTGAACAAAAGGCGTGGTGGCAGGCGGTGTTGATACGGCCGATCGTTTTGTGTGTAGTTGAGCGGAAACAAGAGCAAGCAGTTGGGATAGGTTCGCTAGAGGGGTTGGAACAGGACTGAACAAGGTTGTACAACTTGCACATAGGAACCATGGGTCGTCATGCAGCAGACGGTGTGGATGTCGGTTGGGTTCCAGCACGGTGTGTCACCTGCTGCTCACAACAACATTAGCAAGCGGCAGGCAGGGTACCTGTGCACTACGAAAACCCCTGCATTCCAATTCCACGCCGAAAAAGTTAAGATACGCCCCATCCATGACCTTGGGTCCAAGTTTCATAAAGTTTCATCCCTATCCCTCGTTCGACAAGCGCACGTAGACTAACACACCTTCGTCTCCGTCTTGCTGCAAGCACCGCTAGCCTGGGCCCTGTCGTACACTGCAACCACCTCCCGCCAGAGATCCGCTCCCGCTGCTGCTGCCGTACCATCCACCATTGTCGTACAGCAGTCAGGACGTACGACAGATCCGGACGACATTGGGGCTGTCATAGGACTCATAGCAGCAGCTACGGAGGAGTCGGACGTTCGTGTCGTACAAAAGCACGACACGTGTCTTTGCGTTACAATGAACTTGCGGTTGATAGGATAATCACTGCTACTGCGGTAGCAGCTACTGCTACTCCAGGTCCGGCCAATGCTACTGTTCTCGTTAGCAGCGCAGTAGCAGTAGCTGCGGCTGCCGGTGGCTGAAGTGTTGCTGCTGCTGCTGCTGCTGGCTCCCACGCGGCTCCAAGCAGTTGCGTTTGGGAGGCGTTGTCCAACCTGAATTAGCAAAGGTAAGTGCGGGTGGAGATGCGGGTGATGATAGGGTAGGATACGGCCGCTGGGATTCTTCATAACTGCCGCCGGCCATCCCCATTGGGTTGTGAACACGTAGGTGTAATAACGGATCCTTGGGGTGCAGCAGTCTTAGCAGTCTACTGCTTTTGATTTTGATTTCAAGCACGCCCAGGCAGTCCTGCCCCAGATCCACCCCGGACCTGCACCGTGTTCCATCCACATGACTGGCTACCCAATGCTGTCCAAGTACAATCGTGTGTCTTGCCCCATTGCGCCTTTCAGCAATGCTACCTAACCACCCACGTGCCACGCCCATGTGCGGTGAAAAACCTAGGGCTCTAGGAGGCGCCCAGTTTGCCCGCATAGCAGGTGATGACGCCATGCGATGGGAGCAGCTCGCCCTCACCTCGCGACGGGGCTGGTAGCCTCTGAAGCGTAAGGCGCAAGACGTGGCCGCCGTTATCATCGACGCTTAGCTAGGATATGACTGGACACTTTTAATTAGCCCAGCCTGATGCATACACATTCAGTCACGCTTGACCGAACAACAAACAGTGGCAATCAGGATGGCGCGTGTGTTATGAATATATGAGTTGTCTTAAAGCTAGCAGTTAAGGAAGGCATTGGCAGTTGGCGATAGCCTGCGATTCAGTGCCGTATTCGGGCAACCACGCACGGGCCTCATTCAGTCAAGCGCACGCAGTTGTAGATGGTGATTGCTTAGCTAACTTCCAGCAATTGTAATTTCTTGGCATGCGCCGGTATTCTCCTACTTACGGTCCTCCATGGCTCTGACGTGCGGGCACGGCAACATAGCCGCACAGAATCCCACTTTGCGACCATACTTCCAGTCAGCGCAAATGTTTACGAAGCTTTCTGCGGGACCTTGCGCCCTTGCACGACGCACTTTAGCGTCTGCAACATCCACCAAATGGCTGGGCTCATGGAGCATCAGCAGCCTCCGTGGCCCTAGAGGTTCTCTGGTTAGCAGCAATTCAGCTACCACCCAGCGTTCTAGTGTGCAGAGTAGGTCGACGACGACGGCATCAGCTGCTACGGATGGCGACATGGCATCGAGCCCAGGAGCTCGGCTTGAGGTGGGAGGACGCTTAACAACTGCTTTTAATCTGACAATAGCAAATGTTTGGTGTGTTTGTAGTTCCACTGTTAACTGAGGGTGAGAGGATGCGCATGTTGCCGCAGGAATTCACATTTGGCATTGGTTTGACTCCACGACAAGTTCCTTAACAATACCCCTGTGCCACGCGCCCCATCCTCGATACTTCGTTCCAGCATTAGCGTTCCTCGTGTCCTCGTGTCCCTCCCCCTCTTCCTTGCAACGACCACGCCCCTCTTCCCGCCAGTCCCTACCTTGGGACCACACCTTCGTTCGCGAACTGCCAGCAGACCCCGACACACGCAACACCGTACGGCAGGTGGGGAACGGTTTGGACAGGAAAGGATGTGTCGTACGGTTATACCGTACGTGCTGTCAAAGGTGTGCTGCATTACAGATCTTCCCACGCTGTGCAGTGGGAAGAAGCAAGGGGCATGTGTTTGTTTTGCGCATGGTAGGGGGGTGATATCATATTCCCAGGTTACCTGAACTTCTGGATGGCATGTTCGGCGTTTGTAGTTAAACGTGACCTAACCGTTCCCAACAAAGCAACCTCCTTTAAAAATCTTAAGCTAAACCCATGATGTCGTACACAAATACCTGGTTGTTGCCGTACAGGTGGAGGGCGCCCTGTTCTCCCGGGTGTCCCCCACCCCGCCCACGGGGGTGCCGTACCTCATTGCGTACTCGGAGAAGGTAAGAAGCAGGTCGCCGTACGACAAGAGCAAGACAGGAGATGTACGATAAGATGCGAGCTGAGGGGAAGGGAGAGGCGTTAGTGAAGTGTCCCGTACCTCCCCCCAAACCCCCCCTTCATTCTCCCGCTGCAGGTCGCCCGCCTGATCGGCTTAAACCCCTCCGAGTGCCTCCGACCCGAGTTCCCCCTCCTCATGTCTGGGGCCGCACCGCTGCCCGGTTCCCTGCCGTACGCGGCTTGCTACGGGGGACACCAGTTCGGGTCGTGGGCGGGTCAGCTGGGGGATGGACGAGCAATAACCCTGGGGGAGGTGGGAAGCGGGGAGCGGGGAGCGGGGAGCGGGGAGCGGGGAGCGGGGAGCGGGGAGCGGGGAGCGGGGAGCGGGGAGCGGGGAGCGGGGAGCGGGGAGCGGGGAGCGGGGAGCGGGGAGCGGGGAGCGGGGAGCGGGGAGCGGGGAGCGGGGAGCGGGGAGCGGGGAGCGGGGAGCGGGGAGCGGGGAGCGGGGAGCGGGGAGCGGGGAGCGGGGAGCGGGGAGCGGGGAGCGGGGAGCGGGGAGCGGGGAGGAGGAGCCAGAAGGGAAGGAGAGAAAAGGGGAGGAGGGCGAAAAGAGTGGTGCAAAGGGAGGAGGTGGTGTTAAGGAGTGAGATGCATGGATGCAGGCCTTGTATGGGGTTGTCGGGGCATGCTGCAACAGCGTGGACGGGTGGTGTGCTTTTTTCTGGTTCACGACCCATGGGTCGCTTGTGTTATTGAGTTGAGAAGCGACCGCAGAACTGCACACCACGCACATAACTGGCGGCACATTGTGTATGTACAGATATTGCCTCTCCGTACAGTTGCAGTAATTTGCATCTACCCAACCACCCAACCAACCGCCCAACAGCTCCTCAACCGTCACAACCCACCCGACCAACCGCAACGGTGGGAGCTGCAGCTCAAAGGCGCGGGTCGTACGCCGTACAGCCGCCGAGGCGACGGTCGTGCCGTACTTCGCTCGTCCCTCCGCGAGTACGTGGCGAGTGAGGCGCTGGCGGCGCTGGGGTTGCCGACCACTCGGGCGCTGTGTCTGGTGGGGACAGGTGGGGCTATGGAGAGAGGGGGGGGGGTCAAAGATATACCAGAACCACAGTTTGGGGGGGGTGTAAGGGGAGTAAGCATGTAACGAGGGGTTTGTGTGTGTGTATTTTAAGTGAACTGACGCCGAGTCGAAACGTACTGTATTTGTCGGAAGATCAAGTCCCCACAGAGAGCGCCACAGGGGTGTGTAGTTGAGTAGGACAGGAGCAAGCAATGGGGAGAGGTTCGCCACAGGGGTGTGTATGTATGTGCTTGACACGTGGCCCTGAGAGAGGGTTCTCGGACCCACGGCGAGTCGGGTACTGTCGGGGGGGGGGGGTGTACAACTGGGTCGGCCCACAACCCAGTTGGCCTTGTGTGTAGCCGCTGTGTACCTCCAATTGGGTGCCGCTGGTAGAGGCGGGTGCGTATGTTGACCTGGTCGAGGGGGTGGGTGTCTTACAGGTGGAGGTACAGGTAGATTGTGTTGTCCGCCGGAGGAGGGAAAGGGATGTAGGGGATGTAGGCAGCGCGTGTGCGGGGGGGACGGGGGTTTCTTTCGGGGCCCTATGCTTGCTACACACTTTCCCCCCTCCCCCTCCGACACGGACAAGTCATGAAAACACACCCCAACCCCATCATCCCTCCCGTTCCCCCTCCCTTCCCCCTCCCTCCCCCGAACTTATTCTGTTCCTCTACACTTGCAGGTGACCAGGTGTCGCGCGACATGTTCTACAACGGAGACGTCCGCTGGGAGCGCGGGGCGGTGGTGACGCGGGTGGCTCCCTGCTTCGTACGCTTCGGGAGCTTCCAACTGCCTGTCAGCAGGGGGGCGGGGGAGGTAAGGGGGGGGTTGGGGGGGGGGGGAGTGCGGGGGAGTGCGGGGAGGGGCGTGTGTGTGTATGGGGGCTGTGGGATTGGGTTGGTTGTCGTTTGAAGCGCCTTAGCTGTGCTAGCCGGTCTAACTGTACTTCTGTACTAAACCAATTGTCGCACTTACCATATGAAATACGGTATGCCACTTCGTTTCTACCTTGTTTCAACCCCAGACCTACACCTTTATAACAATTACAAGTATGGTACTGTATTGATAGACGTTAATCCTACCCCAGGACTGCGCTGCTTGCTTTTTACCGCTGGAACAGCATCTTTCTTTACATGACCGTGCCAGGCCGTGCGGCCCGGAAACGGAAACGGAAGACACGGAAAACCCGGCCATGACCCCCCTCGCACCCCTCACCCCTTCCCTCCTCGCCCATGCCAAACCTCGGAAACGGAAGACACTGAAACGGAGGGGTGTCTTCCGTTTCTGTGTCTTCCGTTTCCGAGGTTTGACTTGGGCGCGGAGGGAAGGGGGGAGGAGGGGGGGAGGAGGGAGGAGGAGGGAGGAGGGGGGGGGGAGGGGGGGGGGAGGGGGGGGAGGAGGAGGGGAGGAGGAGGGGAGGAGGGGGGGAGGAGGGGTAAAGAGGAAACAACTAACTGACTGAGGGATAAGGCGTCAACATGGGTTGCATCATGTGAGCCAGCCCGACCCGCCCAACCCGAATTAGTGAAGCCAGTACGTGTAATGCACTTACCAAAAAATGAAGACTTACCGAAGCCAGAGCGAAGATGGAGAGGGAGAGAAAGAGTAGAGGGGGAGGAGGAGGGTAGGAGGAGGGTAGGAGGAGGGGAGGAGGAGGGGGGAGGAGGGGGGAGGAGGGGGGAGGGGAGGAAGGGGAGGGGAGGAGGAGGGGGGAGGAGGAGGGGAGGGGGGGAGGGGTGTTTGACCCATGTGGGGCACTTCTACCGACTTAACATGCACGCAACATGCTCATGTATATGCTGGCCTCCCTCCCTCCCCTCCCCTCCTCCCTCAACACATTGGATATTCTCCCCCCAACAGGTGGGCCTGGTGAGGATGCTGGCGGACTGGGTGGTCAAGTACCACTACCCACACCTGCAGGGTGGGGAGTGGGGGGGTCGGGGTGTTAGAAGGGTGGAGGTGGGGAGGTTATGGGCGTGTAGTTGGCTGGCTGGTTGGCCTCCCTCGGGTTGCTGGAGGCCCTCCCAACTCCTTCTCCCCCCTCGCGGCTCAGTTTATCTAATCCCCCCCTCACCTTCTGTCTCATCCACCCACCCACCGCACCGCCCACCTGAGATAGCTCCTACCTCCGGACCACGTGCCGTGCCAAACACACGTGTCAACCCCGCCCACCCCCCATCTCGGCTCAGTCTACCTAACCCCCCCCCCATGCAGGCACCCCCGCCCCCTACCTCCCCCTCCTCCGCGAAGTGACCCACCGCACAGCCCACTTGGTGGCCGGCTGGCAGGCGCTGGGGTTCGTGCACGGCGTGCTCAACACCGACAACATGAGCATCCTGGGGCTCACGATAGACTATGGTGGGGGTGGCGTGCATGTACGTGCATGTATGCTCATATGTTCGTACGTCCTCAACGAAAACACAACAGCAAGATGGACCGGTATGTAAAATGTAATCGGTGAGAAGAGAGTGAGTGAGCAACAGCCCAACAACTTGTAGCCAGCGCTGAATACCGATAGCAGCAGCAGCAGCAGGTGGCAGCGAGGCCGGTAGCAGCAGGACCCGATATTTACCCGCATGCCCCCCCCTGCCCTGTTTTTCGCCCTGCGGCCGCCTCATGCACCAAGCTACTCTTAAGTTACTGTTAAACTATTGTTAAACCACTCCGCACGCATTAACACCCCGCCCCCCCCACTTGCTCCTCCCGCGCAGGCCCCTTCGGCTTCCTGGGCGCATTCGACCCTGACTGGACACCCAACCTCACCGACGTGGAGGGGCGCAGGTAGGGGGGGAGTGCATGCATGGCGCTCGGCGCGACATGTTTGGCTACGTGCCCTCAGCACCTCCCCATTTCTCTCTACATGGCTCCGAGCACCTCCGCACCCCTTCAGATGGTGGGGGCTTCTCACATGGTTAAGTATCCGCTTTGCCCCTTCTGAAACCCTCTCCCCCCACTATGTGTTTGGGACGGTCATTGACCCCAACCCCACTCACCACAGTTTTGCCCCGCGCGCCCCAAAACACACCTCCTCCAAAACCCACACCCACCCACCCCCAGATACAGCTATCGCAACCAGCCGGAGGCAGTTCAGTTCAATCTGGTCATGTTTGGAAGTGCGCTGTGTAGGGCGGGGCTGGTGGGGCAGGAGGAGGCGGAGGGGGTGCTGCGGGAATACAGCGAGGTAGGCGTTGTACGGCATACACGATACATGCATGCATGCATGTAAGAAGTATGGGTTGGTTGGACGTACGGAAGATCTGGAGAACGGCATGGGCTATATTATCTGGTAACCTGCGTTACTTGTAGAATCGTAGTATTCACCCATCTTGCGTCCCCTCCACATAACATTAGCCCCTTCCCCCCGGCCGCTCGCCTTTCCCCCTCTCCCCCTTAACCGGAATATGGGATTGGGACTCCAGTTGCTGCACTTCTAATCAATTATATAACCCCCCCGTCAGGTCCTAACCACCGCCTACAACGCCCGCATGGCTGCCAAACTCGGTCTCCTCGAGTACGACAGGGCCCTATGTACGGAACTTCTCAAGCTGATGTACGAGGATGACGCGGACTTCACAAACACCTTCCGGGCCCTGTGTGAGGTGGAATCAGCCACCACCACCTCGCCCGCCTCCTCCTCCTCCTCTTCCTCTCCCACTGCAACATCATCATCATCATCTGACTCCCCAACCACCACCACCACCAGCACCACCAGCACCAGCAACGTAAACAGCAGTACCTCCACCACCCCTCCCCACGGTCTTCCAGCCGCCCTGGCTGCTGCTCTGGGCGGGGGAGGGCCCCGTTCCGAGGAGCGAGCGGCTGCTTGGCGGCAGTGGCTGGGGGCGTACCGCGCAAAGTGAGCAGCAACAGGGGGAAGCGGGATGGAAGCGGGAGGGGAGGTTGGGGCGAAAGGGTTGGGGGTCTTGGGGGGATGCGTGAATGCAGGCGGGGTGCCTTGCCTTGCCTGCTCGCCACCATAACCACTGCATACACAAGATATGCACCGGTGTGTGCTTCTCAACCCTTCCACTTCCACCCCTCTTGCTCTTCCTTCGAGGCCACCCTAACACATACCGCTTCCCCTTCCTGGTATCACATACCGCCACTCCTACCTCCTACATACTCCCCCTTCCCCCCCCCAAACAGGCTCCGTTCCGAGGGCCAGCCCGACGCCCCCCGCCAGGCCTCCCAGCGCTGCTCCTGCCCTCGCTTCATCCCCCGGCAGCACCTGCTGCAGTGGGCCATCGAGGCGGCGGAGGGGGGCGAGTGGGGCGAGCTGCGGGAGCTCATGCGGGTGCTGGAGAGGTGGGGGGGAGGGGGGGTGAATGGGGAGGGGTGGGGGATGGTTCGCAGGGGAGTGGAGTTGGGGAGGGGAAAGTACCGGGAGTTTATTTTCATGGCCTTATAGCAGTGCTGCTCAAAGGGTATGTGTGTAGGTTGCCTCCACCTCCTTTCCGCTTTCCTTTCCCCTCGCCCACAATACACACACGCCACCATACACACACACACACACACACAGGCCGTACGACGAGCAGCCCGAGGCCCCCTCCAAGTACTCCCAGCCCCCCCCGCGGGAGATGGTACGGCCGGGGGTGTGCATGCTGTCGTGCTCCTCGTGAGCTGAAGGTTGTGGAGGAGGGTGAGGGGGGTAAATGCCCTCGCCGCGGTGGGGGAGCAGCGGTGCTGCTGCTGTTGCTGCAGAGGGGGGCACGCGGGCTGCAGAGACGTGGTGTGCGCCTTGCTTGTACTTCATAATGAGCTGAGCTGCATACGGAACGTTGACCCTGGTTGTTGCGCACTGCATATGTGGGTGTTTTGATGATCTGGTGGTTGGTCCCGATGAAACACGCGCTTGGCGCTCAGCGTTTGTGCGAATGAGTGGTGGAAGGGTGGGGCTAGGGGTGAAAGAAATGAATGCGGGAGAGGTACGGGTAGCTGGGGGTCAGTAGTACTGAGCCCTGCCCTAACATGGGAACGGTTACGACAAAGGCAATGCGAGGGGTGTTTAGGGGGCTATACGCATATAACGCACGCAAGAACATAGATCGTTGGCTCAACGAACGTTTATCCTGAACGACGAAAGAGTGCGGCGAGAAGCGGCGAAGTGCGCGGCAGTGATAGTGAGATGTACAGCAAGACAACCCAAGGAAGCGGATGCGCACCGTTATGATGTATGATAGGCTGCAGGACCTCGCAGACCTCTCTGAGGCTCCCTCCTGTTTACTTCCTGTGCACACTGCTGCTACTACAGCTACGTTACCGGAACGTCAACGTATTTATGAATAAAGATCCACGCAAGACGTGCCTCACACTCCCTCCGCCCCGCCTCGGCCCTGCAACCTATGCCTCAGCTGTATAGTGCCTGTGCTGTCTTGCAGTGCGTCTGTACAAGTCAGCATGATGTGGACTCATCAAGGACGTCAAGGGTAAAGAAACGCACAACCAGTAAACATCCGCCCGCCTAACAAATTGAATAATGTTTCAAAACCCACCCAAGACCCTCGCCCACATGTCATTTACAAACGACGTCAACCAAAGACACAGCGGCGTGTTAAGCCGCAAGACGGCGCATATGGCACCATCTCCCTCTGCACAACAACGGCACTCAAGTTTATCCTTACCCACACAAAACTCCACATAACCAGAAATAAACCGCTGTAGACGGGTGTACGGCCAAACCGGGATGGTTCCGACCCAACAGTCACGTGGCTCCGACCCAACTGCTGCAAGCGTGTGTGACACACACGCTTGCAACCCAGCGCACGGGGGTTGCTTCCGTGCGTGGGCGCAGCACCCCCACGCACGCAGCAGCAGGTTGCAACACAGGGAGATTCCTATTCATTGTTGCGGAGTTCGTCCATCAAGGAGGAGGAGGCGACCCGTTTCTTCTTCTTCTTCCAAGAAACCCAGCAAAACACACAATGGCCGCCAACAACTACATGTATACCGGTACCCGAAGAGGAGTACAAGGCATACATTCAAGGAAACAAACACCCAAGCCAGGAAGCACCCCACAACACAGCATTGTGATTCAAGTTCCTTCGACACCCAACCACTTCTGTTGTTGCCTGTTGCACGCACGAAGTGCCCTCCTTCTCAGTTCTGGGTCGGCGAGGGTGGGGGCGGCGCCCCAGCTGCTGCTGCCCCCTCCCCACCTCCCATCGAGCCCTCCAGGTACGTGTCCTTGTGGCACCTGCGAGCGGGGGTACGACATCGTGCAACAGCGGGGTTGGGGGCAGCAGAGGATTGATGGGGGCAGCAGAGGATTGATGGGGGCAGCAGGGGATTGATGGGGGCAGCAGGGGATTGATGGGGGCAACATGAGCGACACGAGCAGCAGCAACAGCAGTCCAAGCCGAGCGAGGTGTATGCGCTCCCCAATCCCCTTCCCCTCCTCTCCCTTCCTCACCAGAAGCCCGCACTGATGAAGAAGTAGGTCAGCAGCAGCAGAATGCCTTTCAGGTAGTTGGCGTGGCCGTCCTGCACACGAGGGGGTGGGGTGAGAGGGTGAGAGGGGGGGGGACGTGGGGTTTCACGTGGGGAGTGAGGGTGAAGGCCCAATAAAGGAAAGGAATGGAAGGGCTGTAGAGTAATGGGAGGTTGTGAGGCTCACCACCTGCCTCCCCTCCCCTCCCACCCATGGTGAAGTCTCGACATACCGCTCGTCATTTTCTATTTTTTCCCCTCCACGCCTCGCCCTAACCTCTGGTACCATTCATTTGGCATGGTTTCCCTCCCCCTTCCCTCCCCACCCGCCCCCTCAACCCGGCCCCCCTCACCTGCACCACCAGCACCGCCAGCAGCACGCACCCGAACAGCACAAACGCCTCGAACGAGGTGAAGTCCAGGTCCAGAGGCAGCCCCATGGTCCACGCCAGCAGCACGCAGAAGGGAACCACCATCATAGACACTTGGGTGCTGCTGCCTGGGGGGGGAGGGGAGGGGAGGGGGAGGGAGGGGAGGAAGGGTTAAAATAGGAAACTGACAAACTGTATGACGAGGCTTCACCATGGGGAGAGGGGGGGGACAAGGAGATCCCATGTGTTGATTGATGAGAACGGCAAACAAGGTGACAAGCCAATGCTGCATGCAATCAAGTTGAAGTCGAGCCGAAGGTGTGACGACTATGGAAAGGCCTGGGCGCCAGGTTTCCGCCCGACAGGTGCGAACGTGGAGCGTCCTTCATAACAATGACAATTACAACCCCGTCTCCTCCTCCCCCCCCCCGCACACATGCACACATGCCCGTTGGAAGAAGCAGCAACAGTGTGGCAAGGTGCTCACACACACCTCCCACACCGGTCCTTAGGTCCGGTCGCGTTACGACATTGCTATTACTGCTTTACACTGATTCCGATACTACTCGATAGCTCTATTACAACATAGCCAACGGACTTCACTTCACCTGTGGCGTTTTCGGTGGGAGGACTCCATCTTTCGGCAATCACAGTACGTTTCGCCTCGCGGCCAGTTATTTTAACACACCTCCCACACACCGCCTCAACCCCCACCATCAAACCCCACCCTCCCCATCAGTCCCCCCCACCCACCCACAGCCACTCCCAGCGCAATCTCAATCCTGTTGCGGTAGGCGAACACGATGGCGGATGCGTGCTCCGCCGCGTTCCCCACAATGGGGAGCAGGATGGTGGTCAGGAAGGGCATGGGGATACCCAGGGAGTGGGAGGCACCCTTGGGGGGGAGGGGGGAGGGAGGGAGGGAGGGAGGGAAGGATACCCAACGTGTTGAAGGGTGGAGGGAGGGGGGTCAGCACATGCATGCGGCTGGGTGAGGGGGGTCAAAGACCATACCAAACCAGAGGAGACCACAGAGGGGGGGGGAGGTGTGGTTGGGTCAGTTGGACGCGGTATCCACACCCACCCGCGCACTGCCCCTCTGCCCCAACTGCCACCTCAACCAGACAGCCCGACTCAACTGCAGTACCGTGCGTACCGTGCATAGTACCGTTAGTTCGCCAGCAGCACTGGCAACGGCCATCCTCCCACAGCCAACCACCCACCGTTCGGTCCGGTCCTCCGCCCCACCTGAACCACCCTTCAACTCCGGCCAACCCATCAAGGTACCCGCATCTCCCCCCCATCAGCCCCTCCCACGTCCCCATGCATTGCCACTACTGTTCACTGCATGGTACCTTCTTCTTCCCTCCCCCCCACCCCCATTCTATACGCCAACCTAACCATCCAGCGTAATGCGGATTATGTATCCCTATTAATGCCCCCCCAAACCCCGCCCCCACCCTGTCTCCTCCCCCTCCACCCACTTTGATCGCGTCCGTCACAAACTCCGACAGGAAGGAGATGAACACCGTCACCCCCGCCAGCCACAGGAAACACCCGGTGCGCGACAGCACCGGCGCCTCCTCCTCCTCCTCGCCGCCATGGGAGGAGGGGCTGCGGCCCTCGTCGTCGTCCTCGTCGTGGTCGCCAGGGCCCTGGGGGTGTGCGTGGGTGCATGGGAGGGGGGGGGGGGGTAAAAGGGGCTGGAGGCGTGAGTGCATGGGGGGAAAGGGCAAGAGGGGTCCACTCCCATTTGCTCGGGATCGGTCTCTTCCTGCCGCCCCCCCTTTCTCCTTCCTCCCCTCTCCCCCCCCCCCCCTTACGACTCATGGTACGTAGCACCTATTGGTAAGTTCATTCATTCTTTCAATTGGACTACTTCGGGTAGGGTGGGATGGACCGGCTACCATGTTGCACCCCATGGTGAAGCCTACATGTCATACAGCTCGTAAGCGTCAGTGTCTCTTTACTTTTTTACCCCCTCCCCTTCCTCTCAATCTCCTCCCCCTCCCCCCACCCACCGTGGATCTGTCGGCCGTCACGAGGGGCAGTCGCTCCACGTCGGCCGCCTTGCCCGTGCTGCGGCCGCTGCCGGTGCGCTGCGGGGGGGGGAGGGGGAGGGGGTGATTGGGGGGATCGAGGGGTCGATTGGGGGAGGGAGGGAGGCAGAAGGACCATGCGTGCGATACGTGACACCGGCACATGTGAGGCACAGGCACGAGGGGTGGGGCAGATAGACAAACACGAGGAGGAGGACTCCTTTTTCGGTTCTACTCGTCACCCCCGCTCGGTTTCTCCCTGACCCATCTCCTCCCCTCCCCCCTCACCTTCTCCACCATCTCCAAGTTGCGGCCGCCCACCGCCACCGCACCCGAAGCAAACCGCCCGCCAATCGTCACCTCACGACCGTCAATCGAGCAGCTCCGCAGCAACCCTCCTCCCACTCCTCCACCCCCACTGCCACCACCGCCTCCTGCTGCTTCCAAATCACTCTCCCCCGCGCCGCCTGGGTTGTTCAAGCTGGCTCCGAAACCACCGTTTCCAACGCCCGTTGCGCGTCCGGAGCCTCCCCCGATGTAGCCGCTGCTGCCTAGTAGGGGCGGTGAGGGCGGGAAGGAGCCCAGCCCGCCTCCCCCGCTGGCGGGGGCTGAGGGGCCGATGGCGGGGGTGCGGGTGGTGGTGGTGGTGGCGGCGGTGGGGGGGTCGGAGGCGCCGCCGCTCTCATCAAACAGGTCGCTGCGGGGGAGGGAGGGGGGGAGAGGGGGGGAGGGGGGAAGGGAGGGGGATAAAAGGATGGGAAGGCGAGGGAGGACGGAGATGGGGGCATTTTGCACCACTCCTCTTTTCCTCTACATACCAAAATGCGACAAATGCGGCCTCACGGCCCCACCCTCAAAACCCCACGTTTCACCCCCGCCCCCCCCCCCCCCCAAAACACCTCGCTCCTCCTCCCACAACACCACCCCACACCCCCCTACCTGTGCGTCTTGAGTTGGAAGAACAGGAAGACGCAGTAGCACAGGAACATGAAGATGCACTCGAAGCGCGAGAGGGCCAGCTCGGAGCGGTTGCCGCCCTTGACCTGACGGCGGGGAAAGGTGGGCGGGTGGGGGTCAAAGACCATACCGAACCATAGGAAGCCACAGGTTGGGGTGCATGCGGGTGCAGGCGCGGATGTGGGTACGGGTGGGTGGGCAGGCAGGGTAACTGTCAAGAGCTGTGCCAGCTAGCTAGCTACGCCCTTGGCACCCCAAGTACTGTGCACCCGGCGCATGACCGGCACGCAAACACACACACCGGCTTTGCTGTGACCATCCACCTCCCCTCCCTCCTTCCTCCTTTCCCTTCCCCGGAATATGTATCCCTGTTAATCCCCTCCCTCCCTCCTTACTGCCCTCCCTCCCCACTTCTCTCCACCTCCCGCCCCACCTCCCTCCCCCCACCTCCGTGTGTGTCGCATCCAGCAGCGAGGGCAGCAGCACCGCAAAGGTGGCGAGCACCAGCATGCCCGCGTTCACATTGATGCCCGTCTGGTTGAAGGTCTGCATCTGTGTGGGGGGGGGGGGGGAGGGGGGAAGGCAAGGGAGGAGGAGGAATGGTTGGTTTCGGGAAGGTTGCAAGGTAAACGGTGTGTCTGTGTCATCAAGGCAAGCACGGCAGCCTCTCTCTCGTCTCTGCTACCCCCGTATTACCCCTGCCGCGCCTACCCGACCCGCGCCCCCCTACGTCCTCCCCCCCCCCCCTCTTCCTCGCCCCCCATACCCCTCTCCATCCCTCTGCCGCACGCCGTGTCCCTGAATAAACCCCCGGGCAACGCCGCTGTCCCCACCCGCCCCCATCCTCCATCTCCATTCCTTCCCTCCCACGCCCCCACCTTGTTCCTGAACCCCCCTGCGATGAACGCCGTGCCCATCACCAGCAGCAGGTTGGACACCACCGAGCCCAGCAGCGACAGCTGCACCACTCGTAGGTAGGTGGCGGTGCTGCCGTGGCGCGCCTGGATGAGCGCAAAGGCTGTGTGTGTATGGGGGGAGGGAGGAGGGGTCAATTTAAACCAAACCATGTGGAACCGCAAAGGGCAAAGGGGGGAAGACGGGAGGAGGGGGAGGAGGGGGGGGAGGGAGTGAAGCACAGTCCTATGTCCCGACTCGTGCAGTGAGCGCAACAACCGAAACTACTGCGGAGACGCGAGGCAGAGGGAGGGAGAATGAGTGCCGGAGTGGGCCGGATGAGGGCAAAGGCCGTGCGTTCCTTCCCCACACCTTTCCTCCCCCCCCCATTCCTTCCCCCCCTCATATTCAATAGGCATCAGCCACATGGCGCTACACACCCCTCTCCCTCCCCACCTGAGCCCCTGCCACCCCTTCCCACACACACCTGATATGATCATCTCCGTTGCGTTCCCGAACGTGGCGTTCAGCAGCCCCCCCAGCGTGTCACTCGTGTACATGGCCAGCTGCTCAGTCACGAAACCAAGACGCTGCGGGCGGGAGGGGGGGACGGGGATGCGGGAGGGTGGGGTGAAGGGCAGGGGAGGGTGAAGAGCGGTCCATGTGAGAAAAGTGAGCAAGGGAAGCAAGGCGGTGAAGGCGCACGGGCCCCTCCTGCACACCGTATACTGCCCTCGGCGAGAGGACGGCCCTCACCACCACCTCCACCGCGGCTCAGTTCAGCGGCTGTTTCCGCGGTTCAGTACATCTAATCCTCCCCACCCCCACCCCCGCCTCAGCGAAAGGACGGCCCCACCGCCCCATCCCCACTCCCGCCTGCTCACCTCCGCCAGCGGCACCAGTGCCAGGCAGGAGAGGGTGAAGGTGGCTCCATCGCCCCAGTCCGCGAACCGCGCGATGAAGGCGAAGGGCAGTGCGAACAGCAGCAGGTTGAGCTTCCAGGACTCAAGCAGGAACTGGCGGGCGGGCGGGTGGGTGGGTGGGTGGGGGTATGACAGCAGGGCAGCAGGTGGTGGTGGTGGTGGCAAGAAACTATACCATACCACAGGAAACCACAGGTTAGGTTACCGGTAGGCTGGGGGGAGGTGTGAAATGGAGGTGGATATTCCACATAGTCAGGGACGTTTAGGATTGCGTATAGGCAGGCATTCGTTGGGTTAGTAGCAGGAACTGACGTGTGTGCGTCTGTGCGACATGAGGTCAGCATGGGGTGGGGGAGAGCAGGTGGGGTGAGGGAGGCAGGGAGGAGGGCGACGAGGTCAGCAGCAGCAGGTTGTACGACAACAGCCAAAACTTTCAATTTTCTGGTGCCGTACACCGACTGGTAAGCAAAAGGATGCAAGCAGCTTGTCCACCACCCCGCATCCAGCCTCCCTCACTGTCACACCATGCCTAGTCCCAACACGCTACCCCCTCGCTTCCTATCCCAATTATCTTGCCCCAACCTATGGCCTCCTACGATTCGGTATGGTCCTTTGACACCTCCCCCCTCTCACACATGGGATTGAGATTCCGGTTGCTCCACTTCTTATTCACCACCCCTCCTGCACAACTACAACAGCCAGCGTTCAGCTCGCTCGCTGGAGAATCGCCGTTGCGTGGCCACCCCGGCCTCGTTATCGGTAGGGAACGCTAACAAACGCTTGTTTTGTGGCACCCTACCGCTCCTATCCCCATTGTCTTGCCCCCACCTGTTGTTTCCAATGGTTCGGTATGGTCTTTAACACCCCTCCTGCACTCCAACACCTGGTTCCCAAATGCAGCCTGCCCTCCCTCCCTCTCTCCCACCCTTCCTTCCATTCTTCTTTTACCCTTCCTTCCATCCTCACCGCTCGAGCCTCCACTTTGAACTGGTCTAGTCGCCCACATCCGCCGCCACCGCCACTGCCACCGCGACCCTGTGGCACAAACGACAACATCACGTGTGTGCGTTGGTTAGTTGGTGGGTGGGTGGTTACCGAGCCGTACAGCAATTGAAGGACGGTTCGGTTGCAGATGGTCATGGCTTGCATGTGAGATAGTGCCAGCGGGAAAAGGTGCCCGGAGACATGGTTTGGCGTGACATGCCTGACCCATGCACTTTAAGTAAGCGGCAAGGGTTGGGAAGCCGATTCACGAAGTGCAAGGAGTGATGTAAAGTGGTGCCCATGTTGTGTGTGCGGCACACGAGTCATCCATGGTAGCGTGCGGTGTTGCATTATGGGATTTTAAGGCGTGGCAGCAACGCCATAGCTAGTATACGTAACGGAGTGCCATGCGTGCTTGGGAAAGGGGCGAAACCGGTATGGCATAGGGTACTCCACCGACATGCATGGGAGGAGGCAGTCAACTCCCTAAAAGCAACAAAGTTTCCGCAGTATAGGAACTGATCTTGGAAGATTTCATAGACTTTTATTGAGCTTAGTCATGCTGTTTCCTGGAGCTTGCCTTTCACCGCAGGGTACTTTCCGTCCCACCTTGCTGTTTGTCCGCCCAAGTGGTGGCTGCGCACGCTCCACCCCAGCTGAGCTCCTGCCCAAAGCCATTAAACCATCAGCCATGGGACTAAAAGACCGGCAACTGGGAGGAAAGTGGTCGTGCAACCGCCGCTCCCTGGCGGGAACTAACTCAAGCTAGTTGAAATTATCTTGTACTCATTGTACAAATTAAAGAAGTATATAATATTGTGCAGTGCGGTAGCCCAAGGGCAAACCGCAATATAAAGTAATAGAAAGCGCAGCCGATTGCTTAAATTCTTGACTTTGTGGCGGTGCAGAGCAAAACGTTTGCTTGGGTTCCTGCCTAGGAAAGCTGGCGGCGGGCTTGGAAGGCCCATGGAAGGCGGATACATCAGTACAATGGATCCATTTTTCCGTTGGCCAAAACTCGAGGCTAGGCGCTGCAAAATGAAGCACATATTTTAAAATTAGGTAGGATACTATCCAGCACTTTCCGTAAAAGCACCACAGTCATACTGGTCAGACACGTTGAATTAAACACAGCGCAGACCTCCGACCCAGGCTTCACAGTATTGTAGCAATGCTAAGATTGTTGTTGTACTTGCCACGTATGAGCTCTTAATTCTTGCCGCAGCTTGCAGCTGTACCTGTATGCGACCAAGCCAGACGCCCATAATCTCTGCATGTTACAATCCAGAGTTTCCTGTCGTCGGACATTCGGAATAACTCATAGCCTGTAAAAGCCGCACACAGCACATGCTTCACGGATTGGCGCATGCCGTACTTGCTGTGCAGCATGCCATGCTGATCTCCATGCGCGTCTTGCTTCTGGTCACAACGGATGCCAGTCAATGGAAGACTTCCACATCTTGCGCTCAGGATCACAGGATCAAAGTGCCCATACCCACCAGGCCCTACAGCGGACCCCAAACCAACTACTGTACCGGTACCGGTTTTCGTTTCCGTGAACGCTGCCTCCTCACTCTACCCCAGTATAATGCTGATGTCCCCGCTCAGCAAGTTTATATCATCAGCGTCCGAAGCAAAGCCAATTCCAACTACCACCTTTTCCCAAGTTCCAAACCCTAATGTATAAGGAACTGTAGAGGAAATGCTAGTGCCTGCCCACACGTGCTAACGCTGCCTCTGCCTCAAACCTTATGGACGCATTACGCATGGTTGGTTTTGGTTGGGCGCATGGGGTCACCGGAATTAACGTCATACATTAAGGAATAGAGAATAAAAGTTATTAAAAAACGATGCCGACAGTGATGTGACTTGGTCGCCATAGCCACAAGTAAAGACCCTCCTGCCACGACCTGATAATACCGGTACAGCACTCTGGCCTACAACTTCCCCATTGAGCTTTCTTCAGCTCCTCACTCGCGCCTATCCATGTGAGGCACCTCACATCCACCCGCGCCGAAAGGACATTCCGCTTCGCCAGTTTGTGTTGCCTCGGATGGCGACCCATGGGTCCATCGCTGCAACCGCCGGAGGTTCAGTCGCCGTACATGCTCCGTTATGCGTACATGCAGCTCGCTGCCTTTGAAAGAAAACGAGGAGGCGGATCCATAGGCGTCCGATTCATGTCTTGCTTGGGAAGACCCCACGCGCATCCCCATATCGTCAGGTTCGTCTGATTCATTACCACCACCACCACCACCACTGTCGCCGTCTGTTCTTACAGTCGCTGTCGCTGGGGCTAGAGCTGTAGCAGTACTCGAACTAGCTGGATAAGAGGTGTGCGAACCGTTACTATACAACTGCTGGGGTTTCGTCTGGTTGTTGTCGTACGGAGATCTTCCGTACCGCATCTCCAGCGCTTGAATGCACAGCAGCGCTGCCACTGTCACTGTCTCGCAACGTTGCACAGCCGCACCCCCCTCATGCTGCTGCCTTCTGTGCGCCTGCTGCTCCTCCTCCTCGTCCTTTTGCTGCGCTCCCTCTTTACGCCTGGCATGCTGTTGGTCTAGCTGTTGCTGCTGGCGGGGGTGGTGGTGGTTCCGGTCCTGGTTCCCACAGCCCCCAGCCGGCTGGGCCTCGCCAGTTGCTGGCATGGAGGGCATGTGGGCCACCTGCGGGGGGGGGGGGATAAAAATAATGTGACACTGACGGGGGGGGTAGAAGAATATTCAAAGTGTGTGGGGGGGGAGATACCACGCCCATTCATGACGAATCCGCGTGATAGGGCAAGGCGGGGGCGCGGGCCGGGTGGTCGAGAGCGGGGCGGGCAACAAAGGAGTACTACCAGCAGTCTTAAAGGGCAGTAGTACAAAAGCCAGAGATCTCGAGCAAGTGTGTCATGGATGTCACGATTCCCTCATGCCCTCTACTATCGCTAACGACATGGTCTCCCCCGGCGACTACGCTGTCTATATCGTTCGGCACCCTCTGCCCCGACCTCCTGCCCTGCCCTGCCCTCCTGCCCGATCCCACCCCACCCCACCTGCCATCCAGCCAGCCATAACCGCGTCGACAGCTCCACCCCCGCGCACTCGGCACCAGCAGTGCTGCCACCGACAGCAGCACCAGCGCCACCACCATCATCAGCAGATCCGCCGTACAGGGCTGTCGTACAGCTGCTCCCGCGGCCGCCCCCCAGCAGCAGCGATTCCATTAGCCCTGCTGGAAGAGCTCCAGTAACCCCTCCTCCTCCCGCCGCATCCGTCATCACCTGCCGCCATGCGCTTTTGCGGACCGCCAGAAATGGCGGCGACTGCGAGGGCGGCAGGTGCTTGCAGCTGCTACTGCTGTTGCCGCTGTTACTGTCCTTGACAACCCCGAGGTGGCCAGGTGGAGTTGTGCTGTTGGATGGTAAAATGTCTTTGGCTGTCGTGTTGTTACAGCTGCTGCGCTTGCTGATGGAATACGGCAATACGGCAGTAACGAACTGCATGGGCAGGTCGTTGGCGGCATCCCTGCATGTACATGCATGGCGTTGTACGGCATGACACGGGTGTACGAACAACAGCCATAACGCAGGAGCAGCTGCAGGAGTCCAATAATGGGTGTGGATGACCGTGAAGTGGCTGAGAGAGGGGTTGCAACGATATGTATGGCGGCGAGAGTGCTTACAAAAAGCACAGAGCAACTATCTACTCAGCGTCCGCACGGCCTTAGGACGGAGCGGGAGAGAAGCAACAACACCCGGTGCAGCCGCCTGCCGCCGTTAATTGCAACCTATTACCGGTAATTATGAACTCATCCACAATCTTAACAAGTTCTAATCTCCAATCCCCCCAAAACATCCCCAAGCAGGCCCAGGACACCAGCAGCCCTCATGGGCACAATAACGCACCAAAAGTGAAGTCCCCGGTTGAGCGAGTCCGGGTGCCAGTCCATCACGTAGCCCCCTGCTACAGGGGCAGGAGGAGCCCCTCCTCCGCAGCCGCCGCCACCCCCCAGCGCACCCAGACGAGGCCAGGCGCGGAAGGCCCGCGCCGCCGCTTGCAACCAGCCACACCAACTGCAACCGCCGCAGCAGCAGCAGGCGGTGCTACCAGCAGAGCCGCCACCGCCACCACCACATTCGGCAGCAGCAGCAGCAGTAGTGGTGGCATTACTACAATCGCTGGTGCCCATACTGGAGCGGCGACTGCTGTTGGCGAATGTACTGCTGCTGCTTTTGTTGCTTCTGCTGCTGCTGCTGCTGCTGCTGTTGTTGCTGTTGCTGCAGGAACAACGACTGCCATCACCGCTGCTGTTGTTGTTGTTGTACGGCAAGACGTGTCCATCCTGCATCGCATGGGTACATTGTCGTGACACATGACGTGGCACATAACCGGTAACAGCTGTAGCAGGTGTAGAACGAAAAAGTTTGCCGTGGGCGGGTGATGGGTCTGTGTGTAAAGGCGGCAGGCGTGCGTATGCGCAACGGCAGGTTAACGGCCCAGATCATTGACGGCCCTTGTTCCAACACGACGTGCCCACCTCTCGCACTCCTTCCCCCAGCCTATTCGCCCAACAATCTTACCCCCAGCAGCAGCAGCACCTCTCCCCTAGCAGCTGACGTCAGTCGATCCAATGCTTGCTGCAACATTTCCTGTTGTTGCTGGTATTGCCGCTGCTGCCGCTGCCCCGACCCATTGGTCTGCTGCCGCTGCCACTGAGATCGGACAATCCCATGGGACGATTGGAACACGGGGACGATGCGGCCGCCGCTCTCCGCAGCGATTGCTGCCCACTCGGCTGCCTCAGACGGCTCATTGAAGCCGACCAGCAACTCAAAGTCCAAACCCAGTGCAATTGGGGTTGCTGCTGCGGCTGCTGCTGTGTCTGCTGCTGCCGGTTCTCGAGTGTAGTCAGCTTTCAATGACGCATTGCCAGCGCCTTTGGTAACTGTAGCTGTAGCACTAGCACCAGCACCAGCAGTAGCAGTAGCAGCACATGCTAGCAAAGGCTCGACTACGTTTGCTACAATGTACGGCAGGCGACGGCCAGTGTACGGCAGTAGTACAGAGGTCTGAGGTTGTGGTGGGTACGACACGTAGTTGATTGGATCCAGGTGGGCTAGGGCGCATGGCGCTAGCAGGAGTTCGTACAGATCTAGGTCGTTAGGATTTGCTGCTGATGCGGTTTGGAGACCGTTGGTGGTCGTTGTAGAGTGTGTTGCTGCTGACGCTGCAACTGGTGCTGATGGAGACGCCTGGGTTACTGAAGAGACCTGGGCAGCGGTAGCAGTTTCCAGGGCACCAGAACCAGATCTCGTTGCGCGGTCCGGAGTGCTGCTATCCGTTGTACGGCTGCCATCATCGGTTGCGACGCTGGCACGAAGCAAGTCCTGGCAGGGGTTCCAGTCGGGGGGATGGATAACACAATGCAAAACCCCCAGGGTTGTGGTTTGTAGATACAAACAATCCTATTCACAAATAAACAGCACACGCATGCAGCCTTCACGTAGCATGCACTGTGCGACCCACGGGTCATCCTATGCACACACACATGGCACGTCACCAGAGCCTCCTCTCATCCGCCCTTCACCCAGACACCCAGCCCCCACTTCCTTCACCTTCAAGCGCTGCAAGCTGGCCTCCACCCGCGGCCTCAGCAGCTCCAGCTCACCCGCTGCGGCAGCGCGCCGAGACTGCAGTTCCGTCTGAAAGGGAAGGAAGGAAGGATAGGAAGGATGGAGATACCGGTATCAGCTAAGAGGTTGCGGAGCTGCTGCGAGGGAAGGAATTGCCAGGAAAACGTCACCCTCGCTACGTACGCCAACCCCTTAAGCTCTTGTTCATAATCGCGATTGCGAGTTTTGCGGTCACTGCACGTTACTAGCGCTCTCTCCGCAAGTCCCAACCCACTGCCCACGCTGTCTCTCAAGTCGCACAATCTCCGTCTTGAACCCTAGGGTAGCCCCCCAAATTCCCAACAACCGCTCAGCTCCCCTCACCCTCAGCTCCTCCGCTCGGCTGCTGTCCCCCCGCAGCACCTCCTCCACCCAACCCAACCGCCATGCTGCCTGTGAGTCCTCCTGCAGGGGTTGCTGCTGCTGCTGCTGCTGGGGTTGCTTTCCGGGTTCGTCATGTCCCCGGGGGTGCTGCTCCTGATCCCCTTCCTGCCGTCGTCTCCGTGCTTTCAAGCCCATGGGCAGGTACGGCACCCAGGGTCGCTCTTGGGAAGATTCGGGCGGCCGCGAGAGCATATCTAGATCCAGTTCGTACTGTCGTACAGTTCGTTGGAGGTACTGCAATCGCTGCAGGGAGGCCCGCAGGTCCTGCGAATGGGATGGAGGGGTGCCAAACACGGGAGAGAGGCGGAGGAGCGTGGCATGGCTAAGATATTTTATTTAACGAGGAAGTAAAGGAGGTTGTATTCGGACAGCAATCTACCACATAAGGTAATTAGGCATTGCCATGGTCCCTATTGCATCCAACCGATGTATGGCCCAATGCTTGATTGACAACTACACGAGGACAGGCTCCTGCTAGATTGTGTCTGCTTGGTATCGTCGAACTAAACGCATGGCTATACCTCCAGAATAGAGGCCATATGCAAACCGGCCCACTGCTGCCATGTACCCATGCATGTGCAGCCCATGCAAGCAAAGAGCCATTACGGCGTAGCGTCGTCACTTTCCAGTAATGTCACACCTTCAGAGCTTCTCTTCCCTCACGTTTGCGTTCCAGTATGTGCAGCAGCGCCTGGCAACTTGGGAAGACGTGAGGATGCGAAACCAACAGCTTCAACCGGTTGAAGTTCTTATGCGCATGCTCGTCTTCCATATAAATAGCATCATCAAGAGTTTTTGACGAGTTAATGAATTCCCTTACGAATTGGCTTGCGAATTTGTCCGCTATTGACACATCGTGCGCATAAGTCAGCCACTTTGCGCTCCCCATAAACACGAGGCACCAAAACGCAATAAGCGTGAACCTCATTTGCAAATTACATTTCGCAACATGAATGTAATTGGAGTCGGGGGCTCGGGGCATTGACGACAGTCGGGCATGCAAGCTTAACATGGATAAGCTGAGGTAGGTTTCACACCAGTATGTTTACCAATATGAAAGATAGGCCTGCTCGGTAGTTGATTAACCCATGCTGACAAGAAAAATCCTAAAGTCTGGCAGTCGCGTCAGTCAGGCTACTGCATCGGTCGTTCATTGGACGAGCAGGCCGGCCATGAAACACTCACCGTGCGCCTGCAACGTGCGTCTCTGTGATGGAAACCGGCGCTTATACCATTACGAATTGTTCTTCTGTGGGTTAATCAAACCTTCTTCCTTACAAGACAGGCAAACGGCGACTTGGGTGCTGCACTATCATGAAAGTATTATTTCATTGCCAGGTAGAGACGCACGTTGAGGCGAAGGGACAGAGCGTGTCTCCTGTGTTATTGTCTCCTAGGCGCGGTGGATGGACACAGACGGGACACACGCCGAGGAGGGTGGTGCACTTACAGAAGCCTAAGCCATTCACCCTCGCATGCCTCCTCCTGTGGCCCCACTTCTCCGACTCGCGGCCAGTTTTTCTAACATATGAACGGGCATGACGGCCGCTGCCCCCAGGTCCCAAGCGACCTAGGCGTACGATCGCTGCTGCCGCAATTTGTTCAGCCTTGCTTTGCATGCATTTTGGAAGCAAGGCAAACTCATGCGGATATGATAGGCAATGCCCAGTGGCCTGAGCGCAGCTATGCAGCGTCTGGTAGGCGGGCAGTGTTGTGGCAGAGTGGCACCCCTCCTGAAGCCTAGGAGCTCAATTACCCTATCTAGTGTCGCTGGCGGGCACTACGGAACTTGTCATAAGATTACAAGCGGAACGGTGGATGCAAATGAACCGTGGACGACCCGGACGATACGGTGTCTTGAGCGGGCTCCCGTCCTTGTCAAAGTAGAAAGTCTGGGTGAGGCTAAACTATCATCCTGCCGTGAGGTCTGTCGAGGTCAACGCAAGACAAGGCCATGCATTTGTATAACACATACAAGCGGTGCGAAACCAAGTCTTCATGTCTATTGTGACAGTGCTTGCGCTGTCCTGCTGCTGCTAGAGGCTGCTAGATACCGCCCGACCCATTCGTTCAACACTCGGTTGTGCGCCAAGAGCGGCCAGGAGGGCCTGAGACGACTACTGCCCCTCCCCTTCCTCCTCCAATCGCCGCTTCACACCCGCCTTCTCCTCCTTCCGCTTCTTCTTCTTCTTCTCCTTGACGTCTACCTCCTCCGCACCAGCTGCCTCTTCCACCTTCCGCTTCTGCTTTTTCTTCTTCACGTCAACCTCCTCCGCAGCAGCAGCTGCCACCTCCTCCACCTTCATCTCTTGCTTCACCCCAGTGCTCAACGCGCCCACGCCCTTCTCCTTGCCCCCCTTCTTCTTGCCTCCCTCCGCCTTCCCCTTCCCCTCTCCTCCTGCTCCCCCATCCCCACCGCCACCTCCTCCCCCGAACAGCTTGGTAAACTGCTCCAGCGTCTTGGAGGCGGAGGCGGAGTGTCGGCGCCACTGTTCGGGGTCTCGGCTGTACGTCTCGGCACCCACCTGCGAGGACGTGGAAGGGGACATATGGAGAAGACCAAGCTGTCAACAACAGTGAAGAACCCGCGACGAAAGCGAGAGCGGCAGAAGCGAAAAATGTCGCCCGGCTAACCAACTCCCCCGGCCACTGGATAGGTCCGAGGAAGTTACGATACCGGCTGTTGTTGTCGTGTGCAATAAGGCCCGCAACGGCGCATGGTTATAAAGCGAACGGAGCGGGAAGACGCACACCGGGGTGTTGCAAAGTGAGCAACGCTACAGTAAAGATTGCACAGACAATCACCTCCTTCCTTCCCATTTCCCCCTCCATCAATACGCGCCTTCCTGCCCCACCCATTTCCCTAACCATAACCATACCCATACCCTATCCTTCAACCCCGCCCGCGCCTCTTCCTCTCCACCCTCCACCCACCCCGCCTCGCCTCGCCGCCCCACCCGCACTCACCGTCCTCAGCAGCGCCGGCCCCCAGTGCGTCACCTCCAGCGCCTTCTGCGCCCCCGCCAGCCGCGCCACGATCGCCTCCTTCACGCCCAGCTCCCCCCCGCGGTAGGCCGCCTCCACCAGGAAGCTGCCCGCACCCGTGCCCGCTACCGCCTCCCAGTGACCCGCCAGCCGACCCAGCAGCTGCGACTTCACCTGAGCAGCGACAAAGCAGGTAGGGGGGGGGGCAGGGGGGGCAGGAGGGGTCGGGGGGGGCAGGAGCGTGAGGAATGTCGCAAGAGGATAATGTCCCTAATACCTAGTATAGTAAGCGCGCCGGCCGTCCAATGAAGTCTCACCATGGTACTTGGCACTGTCCTGGAAGCCGGCATGCCTACCCAACAAGAGAGCTTTACATAACGGTACTTCCCAGGACCTCCCCACCCCTACCTCCCCCCTCACCTTGGCCGGCGCGTTCCCCTCCAGCAGCGCCTCCAGCACCCTGCTGCCCGAGGGGTCCGCGCCCACCCGCGCCGCGTCGTGCGGCTGCAGCGCCACCACACTGTCCGTGAAGGCGCGGCAGGCGCCCTGTCCGTAGCGCAGCAGCTGGATCAGGATGCTGCAGCCCACGGAGGAGAGGCGGGGAGGCGGGCCGGCGGACTCGCCGGGGGCGGCGGCGGGGAAGGGCTCGTTGAAGCCGACTACGGGGGCGGAGTCGAGGCAGAGCAGCGCGGGAGCTAGGGCGGCGTCGCCTGCGGGAGTGAGGTGGGAGGTGTGGGAGAAGGCTTTAGGGTCGTCTGACTGGATGCTGGGGTGCAGCATGCGGGGAGCTGTACGGCAACCCGGGTTGCAAAAAGCTGATGCAGCTGAATCGTACGATTTGAGTTTAAAGAGATGTCGCCCAGCTAACCAACTCCCCCGGCCACTGGATAGGTCCGAGGAAGTTACGATACCGGCTGTTGCTGTCGTGTGCAATAAGGCCCGCAACGGCGCATGGTAAAGAAGCGAACGGAGCGGGAAGACGCACACCAGGGGTTGCAAGTGCAGGCCAGTCTTATCTCGAACCTCATCCATGCATGTACCCAACCCCCTTTCCCCACTGCCCACCTCCCTCCCAACCCCTACTATCGTCCATCAGCCAGCCTGCTCAAGAAACCTGTCCCAATCTGCGACCCATGGGTCATCTCACCCCCTCCTCCCTCTCCTCTCACCCTTCAGATGCGCCCACTGCGGCAGGCCGCTGAGCGCCCCCGCCAGCGCCGTACACACCTCTCGCTGCCCCACTCCGTGTCGCCCGCAGCAGGCGGCCAGCGCAGCCACCACCCCACTGCGCCGCTTGCGCAGCAGGTCGGGCAGCAGCGGGCAGAGCGCCTCGTACAGGGTGCGGGCCTGAGAGTGAGGAGGAGCGGAGGAAGAGGGCGGGTGAAAGGGTGAGGGAGTGGCTTGGGGAATTCGAAGGGAAGCGGAGTTGGAGGAACAGAGAGAGACACATCAAGAATGTGACGAGGCGGCGTTGCTTTACGTTAGGTTTGGAGTTAGGAGGTAAAGCGGGTGCAGGGGTTGGGGCTCACCATTTCCTTGGATCCCGCCGCCGCAATGGCCGCCTGCAGTACAAAGTTGGCGCTGGGGTGGTGTGCCAGGTCGGGGATGCGGGGGGCCATGAAGCGGCGGAAGAGCTCCTCCACCAGCGGGCGGGGCAGGACCTGGGGGGATGAGGAGAGGGTGGGGGAAAGGGGGGGGGTATGGTGGGGTGGGTAGGTGCGAAGGGTTAGGCGGGGTTGGGTGCGACATGAGGGGGCTGAGGGTGTGTGTGTGGACAACAGATGGGCGGCTCGGAATTAGACTCATTCTACTTTGAAGCTCACGTTGGAAATCAAGTAGGCAGGTTATCGTCATTGCCGGGACACCACCACAACAACACACTGACGCTCCCATGCGTCATGTTCATGCTTGAGACCCATGGGTCGCAGCCCCACACTGCAGAAGCTGTGGAGTCATCAGTTTGGACATGAAACGTTCCAGCAACTGCGAGGTGCGCTGCTGTATGCGTCCTCACGAAATGTCGCCCGGCTAACCAACTCCCCCGGCCACTGGATAGGTCCGAGGAAGTTACGATACCGGCTGTTGTTGTCGTGTGCAATAAGGCCCGCAACGGCGCATGGTTATAAAGCGAACGGAGCGGGAAGACGCACACCGGGGATGCAGGAGTCACGGTATGCCGTACAGAACCTAACGAGACCAACGCAATGCAAATGGAGGCCAGGACGCGCGGCTGCAGTAGCGGCTCGGAATTAGACTCATTCTACTTTGAAGCTCATGTTGGTAATCAAGTAGGCAGGTTATCGTCATTGCCGCTATCGACATCGCCGTTGACAACACTATGCTACTACAATCAAGAGGTCTTGCTGACATTAAGGAATTAAGTGTTACGGGTACTCTCTTGACTGCATGGACGCATGCATGACGTACCGGTATTACAAATGGTACGACACCTGATAACATCTTTCCCACATAGCTCACGAAACATTGTAAGCCTTCAGCCCCCCGCCCCCTCCCCACCCGCTCACCTGCAGCATCACCTCCACCAGGTGGCTGGTGGTGGGGTCGCTCAGCAGCGCCGCCACCTCCTCCTCCCGACACCCCTCCAGCAGCGCACCCGCACCCACTCGCGCGCCGTCGTTGAAGCTGCTGGCGCCCAACAGCACCGGAGCCAGCTGGCGCAGCGTCTTCCTGGTGGAGCGGGGGGACGGGGGGAAAGGGAGGGGGGAGGTGTTATGGGTTGCAAGAAGTAGTTGCAACAGCTAGCTCTACCCAGACGTCAGCAACCCTAGCGCCCATCAGCTAACAACAACAGCGGAATACACAACCCCTCACTCCCTTCCCGGCTTCCCCTCCCTTTTCCCTTCCCCAACCTTCCTCCCACTCACTTGTCACACCCTGCCGCCGCCCTGAGCAGCGCCTGCAGGAAGGGGCAGGCGTACGGGTGGTACACCAGCTCCCCCACCGTGGCACCCACATACTCGTCGCTGCACAGCACACCCACAAAGCGAAGGATGAGGTCCGGGAAGCGGGCAGGCGGGGTGGCGACAGCGGCTGCGGACTCGTCGGAAGCACCTCCTCCTCCTCCCAGCAGCTCGGCGGCCATGGCCGCTGCTGCTGATGATGATGAGGAGCCTTTTCTGTGCTGCTCAGCTGCGGAGCCGCCGGATGAGGGTCCGAGGCGTGCTGCGAGGCCGGAGGGAGGCCCCCGAGCCTTGCTGCGCTGCATACAAGGGAGCGGGAAGGGAGGCGACGAGGGTGGGAGGAAGAAGGGCGCGTGAAGGGAGGATTGTCACATGACGTTATAATCAAGTGTGCATGTGCGCGAAAAGGAGAGCGCGAAAAAACTAGGAGTTGCATGTTGGCATGTGCCCATGCCTGTCCTCCCACTTGCCCGGATAGCCCACCTTGTTCTCTAACCCTGGCAGTTGCTGTTGCTGCTGCTGTTTCTTGGGCGGTAGCACGTTGCAACCCGCAAGCAGGCACAGCAGTCGCCGTACTACGTGTGTGGCGTAGCGATCAGTCACATAGTCGTACAGGTGGGGGCAGATGCTGTCTGTTAGGAGGCCCAGCATCTGCAGTGTGGAGTGAGGCAGGCGGGGAGCACGGGCAAAGGGGTCACATGGAGGTTAACGTGATGTTATTGAAGGTAGAAGAGCGCTGCGAAAGGTGCGCATTGGATTTGACCCAAGTATGCTATCCTCACAAACCAAGCAAGCACGACCAGACGCAAGGCAAATTAATCGTAAAAAAGAAACAGACGACGTACAAGTGCGCACCCTCTGGAACTCGTCGTACTCGTCCTGCGACATGGCGTTGACTTGCGACTCGAGCCTTACAAGCAGTTTCTCCACCGCGTGTGAGCCGAAGGGGCTGTTACAGAATAGGGAGGATGGGAAGAGAAAAGGCGTTTCCCATTGGAATGAGAACTGGTACACAATTGGCATGTCCTTGATGTTGGTCTAAAGTAAGATGAAATGGAGGTTTAAGAAGTATTTGGATAACTATACGAGGCCGGGTGAGCAGTTCAGTCCTCAGGTGCTGACCACAAGCTGCCAAGCATAGCAAGCGATGCTTGCGCTCCGGGGCCCAGTTTGCAGTGCAAGCGTGATGGCTGAGTATATGGAAAGTAAGTAAAAGAAAAGGAATTTCCAAAGCCCCACCTGCTGACAAGCGAGAAGAAGCCATCGACATCCGAGACAGATGTCAAAAATTTCAGCAGTTGCGGCGCCTGCGCTGCCGCCATCAACGTTTCCACATGTCGGCTGCAAACGGGATCTCCAGCTACTTTGACCTCCTTTCCCGCAATCTCCTCCAAGACGTTCCCAACAAGCAGGGAGCGCTCCTCGTCATCGACCAACGTTTTGAAGTGCGCCACGACCTCCTCAAGGTACGTAGCTGTCTCTGGATTCACCAGCGACCTATTTCGCCGCCTGTTGAATCCACCTTCGTCCGCGTCGCCCTCATCACCGCCGCCAGCGCCGGCAGCAGCCGCCTGGCTTTCGCTTGCAGGAGGAGCTTCGACTGCTCCCTCCTCAGCATCAGGATTTTCGTCGTTCAGACGGCGCCTTTTCGTTCCCATTATGCCGCCATGCGATGTAGTGGAGGAGCTCCTTACGGTTGATGTCTCGGTGCTTGTGAAGGACCGACGTTTTAATAAAGATGCACCAAACAAGTAAAGACCAGTTGGTAGCAGAAATTAGATTTCGAAGTGAACATAAAAGTATGATATAGCATCGAGCTATATCTAGCTTGTACGGATGTAGTACTGCGGATCAGCATAGATTGCATGGCAGCACGACACGCGGCTCTCCTGTGTGCTATCCATACTTCCGTGCTATCCCCTTCCTCTAACAACCGTGCATCACGACGTTTACAGCCCGTCAGCCGAACTGTAGCTACCCATGCAGCGGTTATGTCAGGCAACAAGTACGGTATCTCCTATAATACAACCGGGGCCTTCACTGCTCTTCCCTTGAAGGCAACAGCCTCCAGAACAGCACGCACAAGAGAGACCCCTGATGATGTACTGCGTCATACTGTCATATCGTACAAAAATGGTTTACAGACATTCCACCTCTCCTCCCCGCCTCTTTGCAGTCATGTCCAGCCCAACGACCGCCGCCAACTGCCCTCCCTCTCAGCCACCTCCATTAGGCCACCATATCGGTGCATATGCGAGTCCAAGCATGTCACAGCCGCCTGTAATAGTTCTGCATCACAAATCACACTTGTTGCCTTCTGGTACCGCATACCGGTACTACCCCATGTACGGCCGCAATGCACTACTTCCCGCAACCAGTACAGCCCCGGGAGGGACCCGCAGTCACAACACCGCAAACCACCCCCATACATGCCACCTCCATAACTACTACTGGAAAGAATGCCATAATCCTCAGCAACAACCCCCGCCACCCTAACAAGTACAACAGCAGCAAGCAGTACACATAGCAGTACGCCGCCGCACATTGCCGCCGGGCGGCAGTATAGATCGATAGGTCAAAAGGGTGATAGGTCAAAAGGGTGATAGGTCAAAGCGTCTACCCTGCTGCGCGGCTAGCAGGAGCCCAGGAACGTGTCCAGTGTGGGGGCAGGCCGCGGGGAGAAGCAGGGGCAGCACCCCCTGCTGCTGCAGCTGCTGCTGCTGCCTAAAGCTGCTCGTGAGCAAGAAGACACATGGTTCACGTGCGGTAGCGCCCGCCTCGCCAGGCACCCCCAGCCACCGCCGGCATACCGCGCCCCTATCCACTCACCCTCTCGCTCCTCTTGGAATCCCAGTGAAGCAAGACCGCTTCCCTGCCGCCACATCACACCACACCACATCACAACGCCAGACGGGCAGCCGCACACACCTATCCGCCCCACCACCCCGGCCGGGTGGTGCACACCCTCCTGTATCCCACACCCCCGGCATCAGCTCCCCACTGCCCGCCTGCCATCTCCCCCCGGTGGTCTCCAGGCACCCCCGCTCCGTCTCCCCCCCCTCTCGCAACCGCGTTTGGTATGGTCTTTGACCCCCCTCACAACCTCGACCGCGTGTCACCACCACCGCTGCCGCCGCGGCCTCCCCCTGCCTCCCCCCCACCGCCTCCCCTCCCCCTCAGCAGCCCCGCCAGCTCCTCCGCGTTGCGACGGTAGCGCTCCTGCCGGGGCGCCCCCACTGCCGCCCAGTGCGCCTCCTCCTGGTGCGACAGCTGCTGCCGTACCTGGGGAGTTAGCTCCGTGGACAGCACCTCACTGGGGGGGGATGTGGCAGTTGGGGTTGGCAGTTGGGTGCCGTTGGGCGCCGTTGGGAGCAGTTGGGTGCAGTTGCCGATGTTGAATGGCAGGCGGTTTGGGTTTGGATCCCATCCAGCCTATGTGGTTAGCCTTACACAGATTACCTCTAGCCCCTCTCCCCCGGTAGCACCCCTATGCGCTCACTGCAAGACCCTGAGCCGCCTCTTTCGTTTATAATGGGGGCCCACATGAGCTGTGTTTTTCGGCTCCGTAAGCATGCATTTTGATTTGTCCATTGACCGGCTCCAAATGCACCTATTGTGGCTTCTGAGTCGGGCATGCCTGCATGGGACTGTGCATCTGTGCTTCACCTCTCATTCCCTTTCCTTTCCCCCCACACACCTAGGGTACCGGTATTCTTCTCCCCCCCTTCCTCCCCCACCTGAGCTGCTGCAGCAACACATCCGCCTCCCGCAGCCCGAACACCAGCGGGGGTTTGATCTTAATCACGTTGTCGTACGGCCCGTCCGTGGCCAGCAGCACCCGGCGGGCCTTCATGCGCTCCTTGATCCACCTGGGGGGGGGGAGCGGGGGGAGGGGGAGCGGGGGAAGGGGAGGGGCAGTGGTGTGGGAGTAGATCAACTGAGCCACGGCTACACTGGCCCTGACTGTGTAGTATACCGTAATGGGATGGGATGGGAGGCTGAGGTACGTGGGGGGTTCTGCGGCTGCGCAGTCGGTTGGAACCACCAACTGCCCGCTGTCCCGCATCCCGTGCAGCCGTACGACGCAGCTCCACCTCCCGCTTCACCGCAGCTACACACCCCTCCCCTGCCGTACTCCAGCTGCACCCCAGCATCCGGAAACACCCCACAAACCATCTGGAAACACCAGATACATCGTATGTCTCCCGCAGCACTCCCCCCCTCACCTCGCAGTGACCGGCGCATGTCGCTTGCCGCCCCCCTCCCGCACCACCTCCACCCCCACCAGCAGCCCCAGGCCCCGCACGTCCCCCAACACATCCCCGCCGCGACAACTCGATTGCAGGGACCGCAGCCCCGACAGCAGATAGGCGCCCACCTGGCGGGGGGGGTGGGGGGTGACGGGGGTGGGGGTTATAAGTGAGGAAATTGACGAGGCAACTAACGAGCTGTGTGACAAGCTGGTGGTTGTGGTGGTGGGGGACGGAGGACCACACTGCACATGGTGTCGTGCGAAGTTGTAGGACAGAAGGTAGGAGGCAGGGTGTGAATGTGAGTGTACGGCAAGGTCAAAACCCTGCAGGGAAACACTCAACCGCATGAGCAGCGGCAGCAGTCGCAGCACCCCCAAAACACACCACACCACCCCACAGCCCCCCCTCACCCTCTCCGCATGCTGCTGCAGGCCGTCCCGCAGCAGGATCCGCAGTACGGCAAGCCCCGCCGCCACCGCTGCCGTACTGCCGCCGTACGTGTTGAAGTACTCCATGCCGGTGGAGCCGAAGAGGTCGGCGAGGGGGCGGGTGGTGGCGAGGGCAGCCAGGGGGTAGCCATTGCCTGAAGCGGGGGGGGGGGTAAGAAAGCGGGGTCAGGTGGTGGTGGGGAGTGAGGTGGGTATGCTTAAGGGCGATGGGAATACGCGTGCACATGTAAGCGGGGTTTCACCGATCCTCTCAGTGCATGCAAACCGCAGCCTGCACCCTCCACCGCCTCCACCGCCCCCACCTCCCGCTTCCAACACCACCGACCCCCCTCCCATGTTGCAAACCATGATGATGCCTTATCACACGGTCAGTTAGTTGTTTCCTCTTTACCCCTCCCTCCCCCCAGGCACCCCAATACACAACCCATCCCCTATATTCCACCCCCCCCTCCCCCCCGCCCCCCACCCACCAATTGGCTTGCCCATGGTCACGATGTCGGGCCGCACTCGCTGCTGCTGGAAGCCCCAGAAGGCGCCCTGCCCTGCCCGCCCAAACCCGCACTGCACCTCGTCCGCCACCACCACCACCCCCGCGGAGCGGAACACGCCGTACATGTCCTGACAGCGGGCCAGGGGGGGCGGGGGCGGCAGGGGAGAAGGGGGACGGGATAAACGACAAGTGCAGCAGAGGAGGGGGTAAATAATAATGAGACACTGACGCTGCAACTGAGGAGGGTTGGGGAGGGCTGCCCCTGGGCCGCAGGGGGCCAAACACCATACCATACCATAGGAAGCCACAGGTCAGGGCAAAGGAAAAGGGATAGGAGGCGGCAGGGCGTCACAATACAGCAGGGGGGGCGGGCTGCAAGGGGAGGAGAAGGGGGTGGGTGGTGGGGGTGGGGGCAAGGGGAGCGAGCGAAGCAGGGACAGAGGCGTGTAGGGCATCTCTGGGACAAGCCGGGGCAAGCCCGCAGCTCACTTCCTCCTCTCTTGAGTCTTGACACACAACTGCATACCTCCTCTCCCATTGCCTCTTCATCTCCTCATCGCCCTCGCCCTTCTCCTTCTCCGAATTCCCTCCCTCCTTCCCTCCCACCCCCCTCCTTACCTTCCTGCATGAGTCGGGATTCGGGATTAAGACTCCGTTGATGCACTTATCTATAATTTTCCCTCCTTCCCTCCCATCCTCCCACCCCCCCTCCTCCCTTTCTTCCCGCCCCACCTGCAGGTACCCCGCCGGCAGCACCACCTGCCCCCCGCAGCACAGCACCGACTCGCACAGGAAGCCGCCCAGCCGCCCGCCCGCGGCAGCAGCGGCAGCCAGCACCGCCCGGGCTGAGGCGGCGCCATCCAGGTGCTCACCACTGGGGGGGGTGGGAAGGGGTAAAAAGAGGAAACAGACGAGCTGTATGACGAGGCTTCACCATGGGGTGGGATGGGTTGGGACGGGGTGGGTGGTGAGAGGGGTGAGGTTGCAGGAAGGGAGGGAGGGTGAGGACGAGGGGCAAGTGGGTTGACAGGGATACCAAGCAGGGGATGCTCTACAGGGCAGGTGGGGGGGGTGGGGGTAGTAGGGAGGGAGGGGCCTCGTTATTCGCACCAGCACCCCCAGCCCTCCCCTCTGGTAAGCAAACCTTCGGCAAGTTACGCTTATCTGCGTGTGTCTAGGTTAGTGTTTCCGAATGCACTCACTGCATGAGTCGGGCTATGGGATTGGGAATCTCGTTGTTTGCATTTATTATATGAATGTTTCCCCCTCACCGGTAGGGGTCGGGGCAGGGAACCACATGCACGTGCGGGGGCTTGCCGCCGCCCCCGGGGCCCCAGAACTTGTACGGGCTGAGCGGGATGAGGGAGGAGAGGTGGCCGTGGTAGGCGCCGCCCATCACAGCGATGTGCAGGGGAGGAGGGGGAGGAGGAGGAGAGAGGCTGCAGGAGGAGGAGGAGGAGGAGGAGGAGGAGGAGGAGGAGGAGGAGGAGGAGCCGGACGAGTTGCATGTAAGTGAAGCGGAGGAAGCGGAACAAGAGGAGGAGCAAGAGGAGGAGGAGGGTGAGATTGCGTATCTGGCGTTGTGTGCCGCGGTGATGATGCGCAGCGCCAGGTCGTTGGCTTCGGAGCCAGAACACACGAGGTATAGCACCTCTAGCGGGGGCGGGAACTGGGACTGGGACTGGGGGGGCGGGGGAGGGGTTGGGGGAGTCGGGTGGGAAGGAGGTTGTTGTTGGTGTTCCTGGATCCTGTTGGTGCTGCTGCAGCAGCAGCTCCCGTTAGAGCTGTTGTTGCGGCCAACACCGCAGCTGCCGCTGTTGCTGCTGCTGTTGGTACCCTTGCAGTTGCTGCCGCTGCTGCAGCACTTGCCGACAATGCCGTCGTTGCGTCTCCCTTCGCAGCAGCCGCTGTTGCTGCTGCTACTGCCGCAGCCTCCTTCCCCTCCTTCCCCTCCTCCTCCTCCTCCTCCTCCTCCACCACCCCCATTCAGTGTGTCCAGCAGCAGTCGGCTGTAGTGCGGCAGTGACGGGTGCAGGTAGCGGGAGTTGGTGTTGAGGGTGTGCAGCTGGGCGGAGATGGCGGCGGCAACCTGCGGGAGGGGGAGGGGGAATGGGAGGACGGGGGGAGGGGACAAGGGGGGAGAGGGTTATGTCTTATGTGGATGGGGTTATGGGCCGAAATGGCTTCGAGCGTTGGGTAAGGATTGGTGGTATTTGAAACACGTGGCTTTAATGGACAACTGACGAGAAAGCAGCCGGCACGCGAGCAGCTTGGACCGTCCGCTAGGCACTCTTGAGGCGGTGAGTCGGTCTGACAATACCATAACCAGCTAGGCAGCTACGCAACACCTTCATCGTCCCATGCGTCCTGGCCCGCGCCTTGTTTCCGTACGCACCTCCGTATTGCCGTGACCCAGATGTGATACGTTGTTGACGCAATCCAGGTACGGCAGCCCTTGATCGTCGTACAGATACGTCCCGTGGCCTCGTACGATCATGAGCGGTTGTTCGTACGACAGAGCTGCGTTGGGGCCGTACAAACGGCGCCTTGCCTCCAGCGTCGCAGCTGCTGCGGGCGAGGTTGTGGCTGTTGTTGTGGTGCTGGTGGTCATGGTGATGGCGGTATTGTTGGTATTGCTGTTGTTAGTTGTATCACTCGTACAGTCATCCATGGTGAAAAGCTACTTGGATGCCGTTCACTTGGGAGGTAGGAAAGTCTCCAAAGCAGAACAGGAGGAGGAGATACCGGTAGTGCTCGGAATGGTCTTGGCAGTTGGAAGGACTGTGTGGCAAGGCGGGGAGGAAGGCGTTAGAATTTTGGAGCAATTTCCGACCATAAGGTGAAAGGGAGGCGGAAGGAGGTGGCAGGTGAAAGGGGCGCAGTAGACGTGACAGCGGATGCGCACATGCACTCCTGCCAACGTGCAATGTGAGGCAATTGTAGCTGACGAAGTATAGAATGAAGGTATGCTGAAATGTGCTTGCATTCGTTCAGTGAAAGCTTAAGGGACGTGGAATCCCAAGTCTACATGCCAAGTAGGTCAACGCCCGCACTTCAAGGCGATCAGGACAGAGTCCGTACGCTAATTGAAGAGAGCAATCAGACGCAAGAGGTTACGTGAGGCATGCAGAAAGGCTGGTGCGAAATAGGGTCTACGCGGGCTCGGCTTAACCGAGAATTGACATTTGCCTTGAGGCTAGCATGTAAGAATGCCAAAATGCGTTGCACAGAAAGGAAGTGGACTACATCATTTGCTCTATGATAGATGCATGGGCACAAGACGCAGTGTTCGGAGTTGCAGCGCACCTCGGCTACCAACCGACGAGGCGTCGACGTCAGCCGGCAAAGCTGACGTTTGTACGCACTTGATTCTAGCAGAGTCCTTGTCGGATTCGCACGCTATACCAGGCCAAATTGACGGTGTTTATCACAGCTTGGCGTTATGTGGTCTCCTGTTAAGCCCTAACTTCTTCAAGAGACGTATAGGCCTTAGTTTGAGGAATCACAGTTGCGAATTGTAGAAACCGTTTCAGCTTGAAGGAAATATGTGGATGTTGGCCGAGTTGATACCCTGAGATGCCGCACGGATGCGGAACAAATAATGGTCTCGGGGCCAGTCAGCGTCATGTTTCGGTTATCGGTATATCCCTCCGAGCGTCTTTAAGCAAGACACTTATAGTGATATTAAGCTGTAAAATGTTGACGCTGATCGGATCGCCTCCTCTTGCGAAAGCAAGGCCACGTACTTTAGTCGCACCTCATGGATCGTCACGCGTGGACCCGTTCCACTGGTAAGATGGACCCTAAATAAACTAACCACAAACATAGCTGGAGCACTGTGCTGATAACCGCGATCATTGCCCAGGCTCCGTGACGATGAGCTCCGGAACCCTGAGTTGCTTGCATACCTCCACGCTGAGAACGAATATGCGCGACGCGTCCTGCAACAATACAGCAAGGTACAACGATACAGCCAGTTCTGAACCTTAAACGACTTGCTGTACCTCCTTGTTAGCCCTTGGCGTGGATGCGGTCTGTTTTGGCTGGGAAGCAGGGGCATGTGTTTGGGGCATGTTTACCCCGATGCACTGTTACGAAATCCCTCGATGTGTTGGTGTTATTGCCCTAAAAGGGGGAATGCCCTAAGAGCTATGCGTGGCGGATACAGCCGCAGTTTTGAGATGGGGGAATTAGAGGGACCAGCTGACCGGACCCGCTTCCTTCCAACCCACACCGGCCTCGACCCCAGTCATGTGCAGTTGCTTACCCTGTTGCATGGATTGACAGTCGTCATCATTTCCTTGATCACCGCCTGCAAGTTGCCACCATTTTGAACTGGGCGCCATAGCACACCTGATAGCACACCTGAAGCCAGCAAAACCCCTGCACACATGCTGTCACACGAATGCCGTACACGCATCCCTACACAATGCATTGTACCTTCCGCTGTACACATGTGGCCCCAACGGTCGTACAGTTGGAGGACCGGCTGCTGTACGACATGGCCCGACGTGTACCGCACACGGAGACGGAGGTGCCGTACCCTTCCCCGGATCTGTCGTACTGGTACGGCAGGAGCCGGGGACCCGGCCAGGATTACTGGGTGACGTACCGCCGCAGGGGTGCTAGCAGAGGTGGGTACGACGGAACTTAATAAATCCTGAACAAGCTTGAAAGGATTGGATGATAACCCTGGTTTGTGTTCGAATTTTTTAATTGACGGGAAATTAAAGTATTCCACGTTCCATCGCCACACCCATGCCGTATAAAGCGTGGAAACCTGATGTGGCACACTATAACATGTGTATCATACCCGGCCTGCTTTCTTTCAATGTCATCGGTACTTTGACTTCAGTACATTTTGCCCCCCCTATCGTACACAAGCAGGCAATAGCGATACGACCGATCAGGTGCCGGGGCCTCTGTCGTACGGTCCCGATGAGTCTGCCGTACAAGAGGTGGTACTGGACGAGAATGAGGTGGCAGCCGGGCTGCCGTACTGCGACGTGGGGTCAGTGCGGGTGAGTGTGGGGGCGAGAGATGCGGTATCCGGGAGAGGGTGGGTAGAGGGTTGTGCTAGTGTTGGCGGTTAGTCGGTTGTGTTAGTGTCGTGGGGGTGGTGGCGGGGTTGTGGGAGGTGGAAGGACTAGGGGTGCGGAGGGGTTTGTCGCTGCAATGCTGAAACACACACGCCACCCCAACACCTCACCCCAGCCATCTCCCGATGGTCGTTTCGTGGCGTTCACGGTGGACACCCGGGGCGATGAGCGGTACGACATTGTCGTACTGGAGATTGACGGCGGCGGTGGTGGTGTTAATGGCCGCCGCATCCCGATTGCAGGTATGTATGAGTGAATGATCGTTAAAATGGTTCCCTAAAAGCTTGTAGGTTGTTGGTTGTGCGGTTATAGTGTGGGTGGTTGGATCCTGATTGGGTTGCTGCTTGCATCGTGGGTGGCTTGGGAGCGGCGGCTCCTTCCTCCATAGCCCCCGCCCCTTCGCACCCCCTTCACGCCCCCTTCACGCCCCCACATGTGGACTGTTGCTGCTCGCTGCATGCGCCCCTCTCGCCTGCATGACGGCTGCCTGCCTGCCGGCTGGTGGCATGCGTGCGCGCGGTGGTTGCGCTGCCGCTGCCACTGCGTGCGTGCGCGGCACAGACGGCATGGAGGAGGAGGGGGAGGAAGAGGGGAGCGAAGAGGTGGAGGAAGGGGAGGCGGAAGAGGACGAGAAGGGGATCAAAGAAGAGGAAGAGTGCAATGAGGAGGGCGGGGGCGAGACTGGGGAGTCCGACAGCCAAGAGCCGTCCTCTGAGACGGAGGAGGGCGGTGGTGGGGAGGAGGGAGGGGAGCAGGAGACGCAAGCGGCGACGGCGGCGGGAGAGAGAGGTGGTGGCGGCGTCGACAAGGGCCCTGCTGGCAGCGGTCGTTGTCACCCGCGCCACCACCATCATCACCAGCAGCAGCAGCAGCGCAGTCAGCATCACCACCACCACCACCACCACCACAGCCCTCACCACCACCACCCTGGTGGGCGGCACTTCGCAGCCGCGCTGGAGTGGAGTGGCGACAGCCGCTCTCTGCTGGCGCTGAGGCTGGTGGGTAAGGGGTACTGCTGGGAGCGAACGGGGGGGCGGGTGCGGGGGGGGGGGGTTGCTTGGGGTTGATAGAGCGGTGCAGGATAGCTGGGAGCTAGGTAGGATAGATATTTGATCATATGTACTGCGGCACACAGGCGGTGCATGATGAGCACAAGGGGCGTGTGCCGGAATGCGGGGGGGGAGTGAGTTTCGTGTGTGTGTTTGGGTTCGGGGTTGGAGGTCGGTGGTGGGGGTTTCCTTCCCCCATGTCCCTTCCCTGCTGCCCCCACTCCATCTCGCCGCTCAGCACCCTCAGCGTCCTCTCCTTCCCCATCCACCTCCGTCACCCACACACTCTCCTTCCCCCTCCCTCTCCCTCCCTCCCCTCGCAGACCCCACGCACCCATGAGGCCTATCAGCTGGTGCGCTGCGATCTGCTGCTGCACCCACCCTTTGTACGGCAAAGGGGGCAGCAGGATCAGCCACCGCCGCCACCACTACCGCCACTTCCGGCACAGCAGCAGCGGCTGGAAGAGGAGGAAGAGGAGGAGGGAAGGCAGCGACAGTTGGGGGAGCAGGCGCAGGCGCAGGGGCAGGAGCAGGGGCAGGAGCAGGGGCAAGAGCAGGGGCAAGAGCAGGGTATTGCAGCTCCACAGCAACGACGGCGACAGCGGCGGCGGCGTCCTGAGCCCACCGTGCTGTTGGAGGTGTGTGTATGGGTGTGGGGTGGGGAAAGGGTGAGGTGGGGGGGGCAGGTGGGGGGCCAATACGTGTGTGCATGCACGCAGTGTGTGACTGTGTGCCTAACTTTGCAGAATGTTACAGTAACAGGACTGGCCGCGGGTTCGGCTTCGTACTGTAACCACCCTCCCCTCCCTCCCTTTTACCCCCCTGCCCCCCAGGCGGCTCACGGCTCGTTGGAGCTGCTGGGCCCCAGCGGCTGCGGGGGCTTCCTGCTGGTGGTGAGGGGGGGGGTGGGGGGTGCATGGCAGTTGGGGGGCCGGGGGAATGAATGAAAAATGAAGCAACGGAAGGGGGGGCGGGGTGTAGCAGGAGGAGGGTGAGGGGGGGGGGCGCGTGAGCACTCCATGCGCGGGGGAAGGAGGGGCAGCAGAGGTGGGTTGGTGGCGGGCATGACGCGGGGGGCTAGCGGCTAGAAGGGAAGGTCCCGGGGTTGGGGACAGGGGACACAGGTGAGGACGCCGAAGGAAACTCCATCGATACCCCACTACCCACATGCCTGCATGCCTGACTGCCTGACTGCCTGCCTGCCTGACTGCCTGCATGCCTGACTGCCTGCATGCATGCATGCAGGGCGGCCCAGCGCTCCTGGCCCTGCCACTGCAACAGCCGCACCCACCGCCCGCGTCAATTGAAGCAGCAGCGGCGGCAGCAGCAGCGGCAGCAGCAGCGGGTGCACTGCCAGCACCACTGCCAGCGCCAGTACTGCCACCGCCGCCACCGCCTCTCCAGCCACAGCCTCCGCTGTCATCGCTGCAGCCACCCCCGCTACTGCCGCCGCCGGCACCCTTGTCCTCGTCATCCTCCGGCCTGGAGCCACATCAGGAGGGGCCGCGACGTGAGGAGGAGCCACAACAAGGACAGCGCATCAGCCTTGGTAGGGATGTGAAGGAGGAGCAGCAGCAGCTGCAGCAAGCGACGGAGGTGGACCAGCAGCCGCACTGGGTGGTGGTGGCAGATGAGTCGGATGGTGGTTGTGACGTACTTCGGGCGGAGTACCTGTACGGCGCCTTTACAAATAGCAGCGGCGGCGGCGGCAGCGGCAGCAGCAGCAGCAATAGCAGTAGCAGCGGCAGCAATAACAACGATAGCGGCAGCAGTAGCAGAGGTAACCGAAGCGAGACATTTGCCGTACTGGCGGATACGGATGAGTTCCCGGATGGTCATGTGTGCGCTGTAACAGACGGAGATTTAAAACGCCGTACGGTAAGAAACACGGCGATGACAGAGTGCCGCTCTACAATCTATTAACGGTAGTGGTGTAGTTAAACGATCTTGCCGTACATCCTAGATTTAGCTCTATGTGCAATTTTGAAAACCTTCTGGCACCGGCGCTCTTGCGTTTTGCGGTCTTTTGCGGCATACGACAAACGACACCCTAAGGAGCGTCCTCTTCCTGTAAGCGCTTCCCACCCATGCTTGCCTACCTGTGCTCCTCCCCGCCCCCTGTTTCCCCCCGTAAGGTGTTGCTGCCGGGGCGGCGAGGGACGCAGTTCGTGGATATAGCGGTGGTGCACTCGCCAGGCGCCAGCAACACCGGAGGCTGTGTCAGGGGCAGCACCACCCCCACCCCCACCCCCAGCAGCATGGACAGCAGTAGCAGCGGCATCAGCGGCCCCAGCAGCAGCCCCAGCACCCAGGCCAAGAGCGGCACCATACCCACCCCCACCCCCCTCACTGCCGCCAAAGTCATCCCCAGCGGGGCCTACCTGGTGCTTCACACGCTGCGGGGCATGCAGGCGGAGGTGGAGGTGTATGACATGGGGGGGCTGGAGGAGAGGGTGGCGGCGGCACGGAGGGGGGATGGTAGGGGTGGTGGGGGTGGTAGGGGTGCTGCCGCTCGTCAAGTCGCCGCCGCTGCTGTCGCTGCCGCCGCCGCTGCTGTCGCTGCTACGGCTGCTGATTCAGTCGTTGCTGGTGGGGTTGGGGGTGCGGGTGGCAGTAGGGGTGCTGCTGTAGCCGGGCGGAGGCTGGATGAGCTGAGGGACGTGGAGGAGGAGGCGGCGAAGGAGGCGGAGGAGGCGGAGGAGGCTGAAGAGAAGAGGAAGGAGGAGGACAGTGAGGAGGGGAGTGCGGGTGATGAAGGGGACCTGACCTCCGCCTTGCACCCCCCGCTGTCCTGCTTGTGGCGCTTCTGTCCGGGTCCCAACATCTCCAGCCTGCATCTGGACCACCGCTGCTGGAGGGGGGGAGGGGGAGGGGGCGGTGGAGGGGGAGGTGAGGGAGCAGCAGCAGGAGGAGGAGGAGGGGGAGACCCGAAGCACCAACACCAGCAGCATCCGGACCCGCACCCGCACCCGCACCCGCACCCGCACCCGCACCCGCACCCGCACCCGCACCCGCACCCGCACCAGCAGCAGCAGCAGCACCACCACCAGTTGCCGTACATTCGGTTGTCGTACAGCAACCTGACGACCCCGGTAACGACGGTGGATCTGGATTTGGAGGCGCGGAGGGCGTATGTGCGGGCGGTGGGTTGGGTAGGCTGGGGGTTGGGGGCATGGGGGTTTGGTTAAGAGGGGTTAAGAGGAGAGGGGTTGAGGGGGGGTGGGGGGGCGCCTATGTGGGTGTCTGGAGAGCCTGTGGAGGAGGCGTAAGTGGCTGGGATAGTGGCAGTACGGTAGATAAGCTGAGTCGCGCAGGGGAGTACGTGTCTCTCTCCTGTATCTCTCAAAACGGACGCAACCCCTCCGTCTCACCCTCGCCTTCCTCTGTAAATTAAATTACAGCATCAGCATCATTATCCAACCCATACCTCACCCTGTGCCCCCCCCCCCCACATGTCCGCAGGTTGAAGCAGTGGAGGGTTTCGACCCCGACCGCTACACCTCTGCCACCCTCTGGGCGCAGGCGGAGGACGGAACTGCCCTACCCGCCACACTGGCCTGCCGTACAGACGCCTGGCCGCCAACCACCAACCGCCCGCTTCCCTGTGTCGTACAAGTGTACGGAGCGTACGGCAAAAAACTGCTACCGGATTTCAACCCTGCTGACCTGATCATACTTGACGGCGGCGGCGGTTGCAGTGGCGTTAGCGGTAGCGGCCGTAGCGGCACCACCACAGCGACCACCACTAGCAGCAGCAGCACCACTAGCGCGACCACCATTAGCAGAGCCAACACCGCCATCAGTACCATCAGTGGTGGTTGCGGTCCGTGTTTGTTCGTGATTGCCCATGTGAGGGGCGGAGGGGAGCTGGGTGCGAGATGGCATTCGTACGGCAAGCAGCGGTATAAGGCCCGTACGGCAAGCGACCTGGCGGCTGTCGTACGGATGTTGCAGGAGGGAGGGTACTGCAGGAGGGGGGCGCTGGGGCTGTGGGGCAGGTCGGCAGGTGGGTTTGTAGTACTAACGTTGCAGTACGGAACGGTTTACCGGGTATACCGGGTTTACGGCACAGTGCGTGCCTTGCCTCCTACCTTGGCCTCCTATCTAGCATGCGTGGACTTTGGCAATCGAGGAGAAGCATCCTTCCTTCCTTCGGCTGACAGCTCCCGCTATCCCCCCACGCATCCCAACCTTTCCACCTCGCCTTTCCTCAGCCATCCCTTTTTTCCCCTCCTATAACCCTCCCCCGTAGTGTCTCCGTATGCGCTCACTGCATGAGTCGGGATACGGCTCCAGTTGCTTCACTTCTCATTTACTTTTCGCCCTTCTTCCCGCCCCCCCTCCGTCCCATGCAGGCGGCCTGGCAGCCGCCATGGCCCTGTCCGCCTGCCCCCCCGGCACTTTCCGCGCCGCGCTGCTGGACGTGCCCTTCACGGAGGTGCTGGGTGCCATGAGTGACCCGGGGCTGAGGCTGACACGCAGCGAGAGGGGCGAGTGGGGGGACCCGCTGGCCAGCCAGGTGGGGGGGTGAGAGAGGGGGGGTCAAAGACCATACCGAACCATAGGAAACCACAGGTTAGGGCAAAGCAATGAGGGGTAGGAGGCGGCAGGGTGTCACAGAGAGGGGGGTGGCGGTGCTTCAGGGTGGGGGTGAGGGTGAGGATGGGGGATGGTAAAAGGGAACCACATGTGACAGGGCTCCGACATGGTGGGGGTGCTGCATTGGGGTTGCCTACCCTTCCAGCTCAAATTGGTTGCCAACAACACCTTACGTGGGAAGGGGCGCAAGGGCTGGCTGGCTTGATGTCGTCACGTATGCAGCCAGCCACCGTAGCCATGATGCCCATAAAAGCATGCATCCTCACGTAACCGAGAAGCTTACATCTTAATATTCTAAATCACACATTATTCCCCTCCTTTGCCGGGATCTTGTCTACCGTACCTGGCCGTTCGTACGACAACAGGAGGAGTACGAGTACATTCTGTCGTACTCGCCGTACGACAACATTGAGAAGCTCGTTGCCGCACATCTCCACCCGCCGTCGGCTCCGTCTCCGCCACCACCGCAGCAGCAGCACCACCACCAGCTGCAATTGCCTCCACAGTTTTCAGAGCTAGCTCAGCAGCAGCAGCAGCCGCTTCCGCTCCTGCCAGAACGAGGGGAAGAACCGGCGGGACCTCCGGAGCATCAACCTGAGGCTCAGCCCCGGCAGCAGCCGCCTCCACAGCAGCCGCCTCCCCTGCAGCAGCCGCCACCCCTGCTGCTTCCCTCCATGCTCATAACCGCTAGCATCAACGACACCCGAGTGCCTTACTGGGGGCCCGCCAAGTATGTAGCACGACTGCGAACCGCAATTGCTTGCGCCGCTGGTGCTGCTGGTGCGGCTGCTGCTGCTGCTGGCGGTGCTACTGCCACACCTGCTACTGCCACTGCTACTACCGCTGCAGCCTCCAGCGCTGCAGCAACAGTCCCTCCCACAGCGGGTGGACGCGAAGTCTCAGAACAGCAACAACCGCCGCCGCAGCAGCACTGGCAGCAGCAGCAGTTGCAGCAGCGGCCGTTGCTGTTGCTAACGGAAACGGGCGCGGGCGGTCACTTCGCAGCTAGCGGTGCGAGTGGTCGGTTGGGGGAGAGGGCGTTACGGCTGTCTTTCCTGTTGGGGGAGTTGAGCCGGGGGGTGAGGAAGGAGGAGGAGGAGGAGGAGGTGGGGAGCGGTGGAGGGGGGGCGAGGGAGGGGGCGATGGAGAAGGAGGGAAGAGCGAGTTAGGATGGAGTTGGGATGGGTCAGGTGGGGGTGGGTGGCGGAGGTAAGGGGAGCCGGTCAGATCTGCCAACTGGTGCAGCCGGCGTTGGTTTGGCTCTGAGAGGATCAGGTGGATGGCGAGGAGGAGGGTTGCTCGTTGGACGTTGCCGCTCGATACGCGCTAACCAGGATTCTGCAGTGGCTGCCCATTCTCACCCAGCGGTGCCTCAGCCGGGCCTCCACAAGCCAGCAGGAGGTCGACAGTGAAGGGGCGAACAGCAGCGCCGCGGCAGTGGCGGCGGCGCCTTCTGCAGACACCGGAGCATCTGAAGCCGGCCGGCGTGGAGGACGAAGGGAATGACGACGGCTGGCTGCTGCTGCTGGAGGAGATAGATGCGGTGGCACGAATGCTGGGGGCGGTCCTGGAAGTGGAACCTCCGCGGCTGCAGCTCGGCCCAGCAGTTGGCGACCTCGCCTTCAGCTGCTGTGCTGTGGCGGCGGCATTCCCGGAGCAGGTACGGCAGGCGGCGGTGGCGGCAGGAGCGAGTCCGGACCCGGCAGTGGGTTGGCGATCTGAGCTGCTGTGTGAGCTGGCTGACATGCCAGCCGCCGGGGGGTGCGGAGACGCAGGCGGAGGAGGCACCTGGCGGGCCTACAGCCTGCAGCCGAGGGCGGCAGCAGCCGTAGGGCGACAATCGCTGAAGCGGTGAGGTCCCTGGCAGCCGAGCTGAGGTTCTGGAGCACGCACTGGCCGCGAAATGGATGAAGACAGTCGAGCCTTGATCTCGTGGCTTCGTAGGTGGGGTGTCCCGTCCCTACCAGCAAGGGAAGCGTCCTGCTCAGCGGCTCTGGTGTCGCCGGGGGAGCTGCGGGTGCGGGGGCTGGTGCGGGGCTGCGGCAACCCGGGCTGTGCCAACCTGGCGGGGGACAGCGAGGCGGAGGTAAAGCTGAAGGGTTGTGGGCGGTGCGGGGCGGTGGGGTACTGCTGCCGGGAGTGTCAGGTGGCGCACTGGAGGGCGGGGCACAAGAAGGCATGTGGGCGGGACCGTGTCGAGTAGAACAACCTAGGGACGGGTGTTACTGCAGCCGTGTGTGTAGCTTTGGGGGCTAAGCAGGGAGCTCAGGTGGCCTGGGGCTAGCGGCGATAGTAGGGGCACCCCGCTATGGGATACAACAGCTCCTAGTACTGCATGACAGCAGCTGGTGCTGCGTGTGCAGTGTGGCTGTGTTCACGAGTGAAGACACCGCACCGAGCCTCCGATCAAGGCGGCGCTGGGCTGCTCCCCTCTTCGCATATAGTAGTGTTGTTGGTCCTAATCTCGCTGGTTTCAACTCCAGGCTTACTGTGTGTATCAAGTGTAAGCATTTGCAGGGCATGTTTGCGAATGTTTTTGCTGCTGGGTGTTTTCGCTCACACTGTACAGGCCGGCCTGCATTGCGGGCTGACGGTAATAGTGCCCGATTCCGGCAGCCGGGTTTGCTGCTCAGGGCTCACAGCGCACACGCACGCAAGGGTGCTGCGAGGTTTGACACTCTGGGATGTGCGGCTGTGTTGTACGGCACATTAGGTTGCAATCTAGTATGATGGCGTCATTTCATGGAGGCGTCTTGTTCCGGGGTTGGAGAGCTGCCGGCTGCGTTAGTTGACGGGCGTGGATGCCGAGGGGTTTTAGCTGACCAGTCCCTGTGTTGGCGGCCTCGCAGCTCTGTATCTTGTCGCCTTGCGGAGTGAGGAGGTCATTGTGAAGCATTGCGAACTGCATTCGGCGCATGCAAGCGTTTTTCGGGGTTGCGATGCTGCGCCGGCGGCCTTGCCATCCAACACTGCCGTGCGAGTGTGGGAAGCAGCGCCCGGCTGGACCCTCAAGCAGACTGTATGTCTCGCGGGATGTTGCCTTGCTATGCAGCGACCCGTGGGTCGAAAACGTGCCTATTTCCAATTCTTGAACTTCCGTGTATAGTACGTCGCCCAGATGAGGCCCTTGACATGCAAGCAAACATTTGGCTTCATTACATCGTTACGGTTGTCATTGGAACGCGGCGTCATATCGCCGTACTACAGCGGTATCCCAGCATGGTCGGGAGGGGTCCCCTTCCAAACGTACATCATGGGTACACGCTAACTTGACATGACCATGCATGACATCAAATGTTCGGAATAACGATAAGTTTATAGGTTTGTCCACGTAATATGCAGTGACACAGGCGCCAGCGTAAGGCACCACACATGCCATGCCTTGCAAATTTGCTCAGCATGTGAGCCCAGCACCACCCATCCGGACGAAACATTCCATAAAAAAATAACCCCCCCAGAAAACAATGTATTCCCGCCTTGAAGACGGCCAGGAAAGCTGAAGACGTGCGAGAATAAAAGAAAGAAAAAATAAAAAGAGAAAAGAAAAGGAAAGGCATCCATGCAACCCATAAGAACGTATAAGGACAGAGGGATGAAACCCAAACATGCGCACACCAAACCAAATACCAGTTCACATTTACTGCCTAAGGGGCAGTTCAGCGTCGAAAGGCAAACAACAGAGAGGCGTCACGACGACAGTACCATGCACCCAACCAAAGGGCAGTTTGGCAAAGGAAAGGCAATAAACAGAAAGGCGCGGCAACGCACGCCTACAAGCAAGGGGTATAATGCAGCAAGAACGGCAATGACAGTACCATGCACCCTACCAAAGGGTCAGTTTAACGTCGAAAAGGAAAGGCAAATAATTGAAAGGCGACCATCGACCCGGATAAATGCAGCAAGGATGGCAATGACAGTACCATGCACCCTACCAAAGGGGCAGTTTAGCGTCGAAAGAGCAACCAACAGAAGGCATATACACGCAAGGGGAGTACTGCAATGCAGCCAAGGCATAAGTGACACACCAGGCACTCTATACCCAAGCGGCAATCAAGTCAAGCGGGATATCATCCCTTCACACCAGAAGCTAAGGGGCGTCAAGTATCATCACGAGGGGTACACCCTCAAGCACCAGTGCCACGCCATTCATGGATCGTACGGCCACGTGCTTAAACACTCCTAACGAACTAACTTTTAACTATCTCTAACGGGGCAACCTATAGACAAGCCCCCTTTCATGTAACGGGCAGCGACGCAGCCTAAACACATCCTATACCTATTATAACCAACTATTTATGTATCTGCGGGATTGCAAGCAACCATGCAAAGCCAAGCAGGCCCGCCGGCATTCCCCACATCCGCCCGCCCATGGTAGCAGGCCCCTGGCAGCCTCAGAGCGCCACAGTCAGCTCCGCCTCCCGGAAGAACGGGTGCCTCAGCGCCTGCTCGACGCTGGGTCGCCTCCGGGGGTCTGGGGCCGTCATGCTCCGGATGAGCCTCCGAATGTACCGGGGCAGGAAAGACGGCAGCGGCCGCTCCCCGCTCAACAACTCCAGCACGGCGGCCTTGTTCCCGCGCAACCCGGGGATCAGACACTCCGCCAAAACCACTCCAACGCTAAACACCTCAGCCTTGCCCGAGTACGGCACAGCCGTTTTACCGTACGACGCTCGTACGACCTCCGGGGCCATGTAGCCCGCCGAGCCCGCCCCACTGCAGCTGCCGCTGCGCACCGCCCCCGTCGTCTCCTCGTCAACCCTGGCTGCGCTCCCCATGCCGCCTAGCATCACGCGGCCAGCCGGGGAGATCAGGATGTGGTCGGGTTTCACGTCGCGGTGGCAGAACCCGCCCTCGCGCATGTCCCGCAGACCACACAGTGCCGAGAAAGCCACTGTGCGAGCAAAGTCCTCCGACGTGAGGGGCTGGCTGGGGTTGGCGACACACTTGTCCTGAGGGCGAGGACGAGAGGTAGGGGAACGAGAGGGAGGTTACACAGCGGCACGGGAAACCGCTCGAGTGCAGGCACCTAACATGCATGCGTGCGTGTAAGAGCACATGCAACCGCAGTCTACAAGCCCCTCAGTAAACCCGTCTTGCCACCGCAAACGCCTTCTAGCACAGCAAGCCGACCGCACGTCACAGTACGACAGCCACTCACCAGATGCTGAGTCAGGGACGAGTGGGCGCACTCCATAAAGATGTGAGTCTCGTGCGAGTCGACCTGCTTCCCGAGGCAGCGGACGACAAAGGGGCTAGCGACGGCGGCACTCAGGGCCGCAACCTCGCACTCCGCGCGAACCTCCGCCAACTGGATCTCAGCAGGAAGCATCTTGAGCCGCTTGGCTGCTGACATGGCAGCCCGTAGCAAGCGCTTGCCGTACGGGTTGTTGCAGCCGAGGGAGGGGAGCCCACTCGTGAGCTCCTCCAATCGCTGCTCCGATACGCCGGTCATGAGGGTTTTGCGGACCAACGTCACGCCGCCAACAGTCACCTCGGCCATGTTGCCGCCCCACATTCGCTTCACGACCTTGCAGGACCGCATCTCCTCCTCGCTGAGGAACGAGACGGGCTGGGGCTCAAGAACGCTGCTGGGGACCTGCGAACAACACACAAGGTGAACGGGGATACGGATGGGTCAGCAAAGGAGCAAAAACAAGACCCTAAGAGCGGTGTTCGAGGAGACATCAGGGCAAACAGGAGCAAACACATACGGATCAACCAAACCTACCTCAGGCGTTGTTGTAGTTTCCAATTCGGAGACCTCCGAGGGGAAGGAGGCCAGGCTGCTGTTGTCATCATCCGTATCGCTCTCTGTTACAGGGACAGTGGGGCGGAAAAGGAGGCAAGGTTAGGGACAGTTGCGATGGAAGCAGGAGAGACGCAGCAGTCTTTAAGGTCAGGGTGATGCCAAAGTTAGCTGCGTCTCCTACCTCGAAGGGCTCAAGAGGCTCGTTAACCAGCGCAGCGATGTTGCTGCTGCTGGCTTCATGGATGTTGTTGGGAGTCTACGAGTGGGCGAAAGGTTGGCAGCAAGAGTCAGCATGATCAGGAAAGGCGGCGAAAACCGAAGCAAGAGACAGGAACGCCATACGTCCAAAGCGCATCACGACTAAGGACATAACGATAATGTGTAAATGCTGAACCAACTTGGAAAAACCGCAAGGCAAAACTGGCTTGCAACGGCCATGACAATTGACAGCCAGGTGCGTCACTTACCGGGCTACTCAATACCGAAGGGAAAGGTGCAGTTAAAGCACCGGATAATTTTTGAGGCTTAAAGGCCACCAGCTGAACACCAGTAGCCCACTGCCAGCCATGCTGCGCCAACGGCAGCGCCAACCGCAGCAGAACCGCGAAGGGAAGCCAGAAGGGTGCGGCTACAAATGTAACCAAGAGGAAAAACAGACAGGCCAGACGTTCCACTATTGATGAGGAGTTGCGCCAAGAAACTTGCTGTCTCGCCATTGTGCAGTAGGAATAATAAGGATTACTATAAGGCTGATTGAGAAAGGCGAAAGCAGCTATGTTATTATCTCAACATTCCTTGTGAAGGAAGGTGTGGGATCGCGGGCGCGGCTGCGCTCTTGTACCCGCCATGGTACGTACGATTGCCTCCATCCTGCAGGACAGGGCCCTTCATGTCGTTCACCAACCCAGATCATTCCGTCCCCACAAATGTGTTTCCTGTTCATGGCCTCACTTTCGTTTAGGGGTCCAAACTTTGGTGCGGTAGAATTTAATGTGCTTGCCTAAGTAGTGTGAAGTGGACAAGCTAAAACCGTATCCAAACAGGTTACTTTTTGTCTGGAGGCTTCATGGAGGAACCAACATGCTCAAGGGGCAGAATATATGCATGTTACTTGGTGTCTGATGACTGGCCTTGTGCAGAAAAGTCACACACATTGGGCAAATGTTCACATTGGGCATGTCCCAGTATCACTCAAATTGCAGAGGGGCATATGACTATGTTTTGTATTCGACCACGAATTGCGGACTGAGACCATCGTTGCACCGGCATGTATTGCAAGAAAACAGCAGACATGGAAGCATGGCCAGACCTGCAAGCAAGTGCTTCCATAGCTTACCCCCTCACTTTTAAAATTGGATATCGATGCAATGCTGCTGCACTATTTCCAGATGCCATTCTTGCTTCAATCCTTGCTCGGCAACACTGAGGCCGAGACTCATCGACATCGCCCATGGGACGCGTTATAAGCGAATTCCCAACTTACGTGGATAAAGCACAATATTGTTGTTAGGAAAGTAAGCGCATCTGGCACTTGCTTTAGTCGTCTTGATACAGGGCAGCGTGCCCAATCGGTAAGAGCGTGAGGTATCCTACCCAAGCGTTAATTGAACCTTACTCCATTCTCTAAATGGTGCACTTTATACATGCAGCAACGGTGCAAGGAGACCCGGCGAAGATGCGTGCAAGCTGCGGTTGGACGCGCTGCTCGGTGAGGAATTCTTGTAGGTATTTAAGTTGTTGAACGGCTAACGCATATGCTTAATGTTCGCGCTGCAATCGTCCCCTTTACGAACAGGCGTGTTTCGCCCTCCACAATGGGTGGTTGCAACCGGCTTGGCCGCGAGGCTAGAACTCCTTTCCGTCCAGTCGCAGTATTTCCATTCTTTAAAAGCGCTGGCTCAAAACCTCCAATCGCCGAGGAGCCCGTGTCTCAGCAGAAGCAGCAACAACAACACCCTCACCAGCGATGCCATCACCACCATCATCACCACAAGTTTGACCTGCCGCTTGCGGTCGTGCTGGCCGGCGCTGCCTTCGAGTCGTTCCTGCAGCCCAGGGCGGCTTCCATCAACGCACCCTGGGCGGCCCCACCGTCACCTACACCGACAAGTGAGGCGTGCTGCTGCTGCTGCTGCAGCTCCTCTCCCCGCCTCCAACCCGCGTCCCTCTGACGCTTCCTCTGACCCTCCCCCTGCCCTTCTCCTCCCCCCCGCATTCCCGCCCCCTCCCCGAAACCAGGTCCTTCCTCACGCAAACCCACTACGGCGTGCTGCACGTGCAGCTGCTGTCCGCCTCCAACCTGCGCCCCGCCGACCCGGGCGGCGCCTCCAACCCGTACCCGTACTGCTGCAGCTGGGCGCATGCAGCGTGCGGTCGGCGACGGTGTGGGGCAGCCAGGAGCCGAGATGGGGGGAGGGGGAGGCGCACTGCCTGTATGTGAGGTAGGGAGAGGGGGGGGGAAGGGGCGGAGAGGAAGGAACTAGCGACAGGTGACCGGGGAGCAGCGCCCCGTCAGGCCACCTCCCCTTCCCTCCCTGGCCTACCTCTGGCTGCCATCATACCTCACCTCACCCACACCCACCCCTCTCCCCCGCTCCTCATCTCCCCCCCTGCAGAGACCCCCGTACGGAGGTGTTGCGGGTACGACTGTACGACGAGGACCCCGGGCCCAAGAGCGACGACGAGCTGGGGACCGCCATGATGTGGCTGGGGGGGCTGCTGGAGGCGCTGGAGGGGCAGGGGCAGGGGGCTGGAGGGGAGGCGCGAACGGTGACGCTGCCCCTCAGGTGAGGGAGTGGAACATGGGAGCATGCCGAGACGTCGCAGTGCATGCGCGAGCAAAACAAGACAGGCAAAGCAAGTGCAAGACCACTATGTGCGGATGCCGCGTGTGTGTGTTTGTGTGTGTATTTGGTGTACCAGCCACCTGCCACAAACCCCCCCAACTGCCCTCATCCAGCACCTGCCCCGCAACCCATCAACAGTCGACTGTCCACCCCCCCCCCCTCCTCCCATTGCTTTGCCCTAACCTGTGGTCTCCTATGGTTTGGTATGGTCTTTGACCCCCCTCCTCCCCCTCCCCCCCCAGATGATGGTGCACAAGGGCTTCCTGGACGCCTACGACAGCGTGCGGGCCACTGTGTTCGCCCTGCTGGATGCCATAACCACCAGCAGCAGCGCCAGCACCGGCAGCAGGAGGCGGAGGCGGGTGGCGGAGGCGGGGGCGGAGGCGGGTGGCGGAGGCGGGGGCGGGGGCGGAGGCGGAGGCGGCGGCCCCCGTGTGGCGGGTGCTGCTGACTGGGCACTCGCTAAGCGGTGCGCTGGCAACACTGGCGGCGTATGAGCTGGCGGAGAGGAGGTGGGGGGAGTGGGGGGGGGAGAGGGGTCCGCTGCTGCTTGTGCCGCACCGCCCCCCACCGCCCACTTGCCACCTGCCACCCTCCTCGCTCCCTCCTGGTTGCCACTGTCGTTGTCCAGAGCTTGATGATACGGTAATACCTTCTTGTTTCCCCCACAGGGAAGCCTGGCCACACAGTTGTATCTTACCTTTCACCCTGTCCCCTCCTCCCCCCAGTCCTATGGTTTGGTATGGTCTCCTCCGGTCCCCTTTCCCCCCCGCCCCCCTGCCCCCCCCCTAGGACCCCCGCCCGCTCCCGCCAGTCCATCAGCCTCTACACCTTCGGCGCCCCCCGAGTGGGCAACCGGGCCTTCGCGGCAGAGTTCGACCGGCTGGTGCCTCGACGCGTGGCGGGTGACCAACAGCAATGACATCATACCCAGATGGTGGTGTGGGAGGGACGAGTTAAGAGGTTGTTGTTGTACGGCACACGCATGCTGGTTGTTGTCGGTTGCCGGGGCGGTTGGGGGAGCAGATGTTGATTAAGTTGGAGACGTTGATGCTGGGTGCTGACGTGAAGGCGCTGGGGAAGCGCTGAGGACGGGTGGCGGGACGGTGGAACGAGGCGGTCGACAGGGAGTAGGAAGTTGGTGTCGATGCGGTAACCCAGTAAGGCGGGGGGGAGGAAGAAGTGGGCGCTGTGCGTTTCTTGGGTCACGAGACTGACGTGCATATAGTGACGCGAGAAAGTAGCAGCAGCATCCGAGCGGTGTAACGGCAATTGCATACGCCGGTGTTTCCGCGGCTCAGTTTATCTAACCCCGGCAGTAGTATGTTGGCAATACCGGTAACCCGGTTCAACAGGCAGCTGCTGCTGCTGCATTCTCCCTTGCAGCAAGTAAGACCGGGCTCTTTCCACTCCGAGGCAGCGCCAACATTTGCCAACCCACGGTTCCGGCTCGTCGCCTACCCAGTGCGCCGGCTCCCCTACTGCCAGCCCTGCTGCGGGTGCTGCCGCCGCTGCTGCTGCTGCTACGTTTACCTGTCTGGTCTGTACCGCTCTGCGCAAGTCGCACACCTTGCAAGCAAGCAAACTGTTGTGTCAACGTCGCAACTGGCAGCTGCAACCCCCCCCCCCCCACATGCGACATGCTACACGGCAGTACCCCGTACATAACAAACATACGTACGACGCGCTTTTGATTATCGTGGATGTATAGACAGCAACAGGGGTACGGAAACAACCCGGAATCCTCCTGCATGCGCCATCCGCGAGCCCCCCCCCTGCATGCATGCTACCCCACCGCGGTGCTAGCCCCACCGCCTCTCCACTGCCTCCTGCTACTGCATCCAGGCCCCTCAACCTACACCACACCACCCCAGCATTAAGCGCGGGAGCGCGTCTAACTACCGTAACCCCCTAACCACCCCTACCGCCGCCGCCGCCACCACCACTACCCCGGCGACCTCTTCCTCCTCCTCTTCCCCCTCTGCCTCTCCGGCCCCGCCCACGCCTCCCAATTCCTCGGCCACGACCACCACCATCATCGCCACCGTCACTACCCTCAACACCGGCAACGTCACCTGCAACCCCAAACGCGCCCTCCTCTCTGCCGGCGCTGCCACCATTGCCGTTGCTGGAGGGCCCCTCCATCGCCCCCGCCTCCACCGCCTCCGCCGGCCCCACCGCCTCCGCCGCCCCCGCCTCCGGTACCCCCAGCCCCAGCTGCGTCATCTGCAAGCTGAGCAACTCCAACGCGAATGCGCCGCTGGGGGCCGTCTCCTCCGCAGGTGCCACTCGAATACCCTGTGCGTTAAGAAAACCATGTATGTGAGTGTATGGGTAGGTCACCGGTATTATCAGCGGGTAGGTAGGGGGGATGAATCTGGTGTATGGCAACGGTCACTCGTACATCTACCTTTCCCGCCTTCTGTGGGGAAGGCGGTGTACTGCAGCGGTTGAAGAGTGGTCGGGTGCCGTACGCCTCCCTTCTACGACAATTGTACGGTGTACTGCGTGCTACATGGGGGTGTTGGACGGAGGCCCTGGTTGTCGCTCCCTTGGTATTTATCGCCCCATTGCTTCGTTTCATGCTGCCACCAAAGATCCATATATTTCCAGGTGCACGGCACTGCTACCCCCTCCCTAGTCGCCCCCTCCCTAGTCGCCCCCTCCCTAGTCGCCCCCTCCCTAGTCGCCCCCTCCCTAGTCGCCCCCTCCCTAGTCGCCCCCTCCCTAGTCGCCCCCTCCCTAGTCGCCCCCTCCCTAGTCGCCCCCTCCCTAGTCGCCCCCTCCCTAGTCGCCCCCTCCCTAGTCGCCCCCTCCCTAGTCGCCCCCTCCCTAGTCGCCCCCTCCCTAGTCGCCCCCTCCCTAGTCGCCCCCTCCCTAGTCGCCCCCTCCCTAGTCGCCCCCTCCCTAGTCGCCCCCTCCCTAGTCGCCCCCTCCCTAGTCGCCCCCTCCCTAGTCGCCCCCTCCCTAGTCGCCCCCTCCCTAGTCGCCCCCTCCCTAGTCGCCCCCTCCCTAGTCGCCCCCTCCCTAGTCGCCCCCTCCCTAGTCGCCCCCTCCCTAGTCGCCCCCTCCCTAGTCGCCCCCTCCCTAGTCGCCCCCTCCCTAGTCGCCCCCTCCCTAGTCGCCCCCTCCCTAGTCGCCCCCTCCCTAGTCGCCCCCTCCCTAGTCGCCCCCTCCCTAGTCGCCCCCTCCCTAGTCGCCCCCTCCCTAGTCGCCCCCTCCCTAGTCGCCCCCTCCCTAGTCGCCCCCTCCCTAGTCGCCCCCTCCCTAGTCGCCCCCTCCCTAGTCGCCCCCTCCCTAGTCGCCCCCTCCCTAGTCGCCCCCTCCCTAGTCGCCCCCTCCCTAGTCGCCCCCTCCCTAGTCGCCCCCTCCCTAGTCGCCCCCTCCCTAGTCGCCCCCTCCCTAGTCGCCCCCTCCCTAGTCGCCCCCTCCCTAGTCGCCCCCTCCCTAGTCGCCCCCTCCCTAGTCGCCCCCTCCCTAGTCGCCCCCTCCCTAGTCGCCCCCTCCCTAGTCGCCCCCTCCCTAGTCGCCCCCTCCCTAGTCGCCCCCTCCCTAGTCGCCCCCTCCCTAGTCGCCCACCCTCACCAATTGCACAACTTCTCACGACTAAGAAGCCCACAAAACACACACATACAAAACACACCAAGCATCACGCGCACCGTCGCAACCCACCCGCTCCGCCGCTAGCTGCTCCAGCAGCCTTCCATCGTACTTATCCGAGGGCAGGTGGAACAGCAGGCTGGACACCAGCTCGCGAGGGTCCTGCTGCTGGTGGTGGGGTTGCTGGGGGGGTTGCTGCGGGTGGTGGTGGGGTTGTTGCATCAGCAGGTGGCGGGGGTCCTGGGGGGGTCGCTGCTGCGAAGGATGCCGCTGGGGGGGTGGTTGCTGCGGGTGCTGCTGCTGCGGTGGCGGTAGCGGTCTGAGTGCCCCGGGGGCGGCGGCAGAAGCGATAGCAGAGGCGGCGGCGGCGGCGGCGGCGGAGGGTCCTGCGGCTGTGGGTCGGTGAGGAGTGGGACGAAGGGAGATGTAGCAGGGCACTGGAGACGACATGAGGGCCCTGGTGCGACCCATGGGTCACCAGGTAAGGGAGACGTGCATGACAGGGCGAAACCGGCATCGGATGAAATGCATGCATGAGCGCCGCCACCCCCAACAGGAGCTACAAACCCCATATCGACATCGACCCCGCCAACGTATCCCAAAAGCCAAACACGCACCTGCACACGCTGCACCTGCTGCTGCTGACTTTCGCCTCCTCTTGGCCCCCCCTGCTCCACCCGCTCCTCCCCCATGCCCTCCCACCATCGCCGCCGCCGCTGCCGCCTCCTGCGCTGCCAACTGCTCCCCCGCCGCCCGCACCAGCCAATCCAACAGCTCCTGCAGGCAGCCCCGACTGCCCGGCAGGACGGCAGAAGAGGAGGAGGAGGAGGAGGAGGAGGAGGGGTGCGGCGAGGAGGAGGAGGCGGCAGCAGGTGTTGGGGCAGCAGGGGGCCTGCTGCCCCTAGAGGAAGCCATGTGGTGCGGGTACCAGCCTGGGAGGTGGGGAGGTGGGGGGATTGGGGTGGGCGGGTGGTGCGGGTGGGTGGGTGGGGGGTCTTGGTGCATGGTAAGGTGGAAGGACGGAGGGGCAGGAGAGGGTAAATGAGGATGGATGGAAGGATGCGGTGCTACGCTGGGTGGAGTTGTGGCGCAGATGGCGCCGAGAGGGCGGCACTGCCCTGCCTGGCTCCTCCACGCCCCCCTCCGCCCCCGTTCCGGTGTCCATTGTCCCACCCTTTTTGCTGTCCGCTCCGCAGTAGCTGCTGAAGCTCATGTGCCCAAGCAGCTCCCGAACCAGCGGCCGCCAGTCAGCCCCGTCGCAGTCAGCCCAGCGCATCAGCGTGAGTAGCGGCACGGAGCTGGGCAGGGGGAGCGGGGAAGGGAAGGGGGGAGGGAGGGAAGGGGAGGGGAGGGGTGGAAAGCGGGAGGAAGGTGGCATCAAACCGGTTTTGCGCACGTCCCGCCTGTCCTCTCCCGCCCTGCCCCCTCCCCCCCCACACACCCCTCCCCCTCCCCCCACCCCTAATACCCCACCCCCGCACACCCCCGCCCCCACCGGTCCGTGTTCCTGAGCATCACGAGCTCCGAGGTCGCACCCGGAAGTACGGCAGCAGCGGCAGCAGCAGCCGCTGACGACCTAGTAGCAGCAGCATCTCCGGCAGGGGAGGTGCCGCCAGCAGCAGTGGCAGCAGTGGCGGCTGCAGCAGTAGTGGCACCACTACGACCTGAGGCGCCTCTTCCCCCTCTTCTGCCGCCTGCATCACCACCTCCGCCACCACCACCACCTCCGCCTCCGCCGCTGCCGTACATTCCCTTTTTGCTGCTGCCTGCCGGGGTGGTTCCTGCTCCCCCGCCGCCTTCTCCGTAGGCCGGGTCAGAAGCATTCGGAGCATCATGCGGGTCGCGGCAGGGGGACGGCGAGGTGTGCTGGGCCGCACTTGTTGCGGCTGCTGTGGTGTTAGGCCAGCAGCAGCGGGTGGGGGCGGGGACAGGGCCGCAGGAGTGGTGCAGCAGCCAGCGCACGACCTGCAGCCTGTGCGGCAGCGGCATGTGGGGCACGTCGTAGCAGCCGGCGGGGCCGACCTCGGAGGGGGGCGGCCTGAGAGGAGGGGGCAGGGGGGAGGGAAGGGAAGGAGAAGGAGGAAAGGACTAAACAGGAGGAGGGAGTACTTCAGGGCGCCGTACCTTATCGTACACTTCTTCAGGGCGCAAGTAAGCCACACTGTCCCCTCCTCTCGCTCGCTCCCCCCAACCCCCCAGCCCCCCTCCCACCACACACTGTGGTGCGACACCGCCAGGTGCAGCGGCGACCGGCGCTCACGACCCGTGTGCACCCGCTCCCAGTCAACCGCAACGTAGCTGCTGCTGCTGCTGCCGCCCGCACCGCCCGCACTTCCGGCCGCACCGCCGCCCGTGTTCGCGGCGCCGGGTCGGGAGAGGAGGTGGGGTTGATGGAGGAGGTTGGGGGTTGGGGTGTCCCGGCGGGGCAGCAGCGGCAGCAGCGAGGTCATAGCCTGCCACGTGGTGCGGTTTGCAGCGGGGGAGGGGGAGGGGGAGTGGGGTTGCGGCCGGGCGAGGGATTACTGGATGCTGCTGGGGACGGAACTGGACTGGAAGCATGCATGCATGCGGATGGTTGCATGCGGCCGGGTGGTTGGTTTGGTTGGTTGGGTTTGGTTGGTTGGGTGCGGTGGGTGGGTGGGTAATTTGATACGGGAATAGGTTACCGGTTCCGGGATGCGCGCAAGAGGTGCGCCGCATGGTAACGCGCCGCATGGCGCCATTGCAACGCACCTTGTAGCACCCGCGTTGCCCGGTACGACAGGCGCCATGTACGATAGTGTAAGACAGACGTGTACGACAGGCGGACGACACGCGCCATGTACAACAGACGTGTACGACATGTGCCATGTACGACATGCGCCATGTACAACAGACGTGTACGACATGTGCCATGTACGACATGCGCCATGTACAACAGACGTGTACGACATGTGCCATGTACGACATGCGCCATGTACAACAGACGTGTACGACATGTGCCATGTACGACATGCGCCATGTACAACAGACGTGTACGACAGGCGCCATGCCCCAACTCAAAACCTAACCCCTGAGCCCCCCGCCCCCCACCTCCCCACCTCCAGGTTTCCCATCACCGTGGCCTCCAGGAACAGGTACACGCAGTTCTGGCAGACCGCCAGCTGCCACTGCCGCCCGCGCCGCTCCCAACAGGATGGCGGCGGCGGGGCGGCGGCGGCGGCGCTGCGTGAAAGGGGGAAGAAGATCAGCAGCAGCCTGCAGCAGCATCAGAAGCATGCAAAGGAAAGACAGATCGGAGAGCCCCTGTCCCTGTCCCCGGCCTCCTCGGCCCCCTCGGCCCCCACCCTCCAATGCCCACCCCCCACCCCGGCAGGGTGTCCCCCTCCTGGCCCTCACCCTGCTCCCTCCTCAGCAGCCGCCACTCCCACTGCGCCTTCTACAGGAGCACCCGCAGCCGCTGCTGCCGTCCCCGCGCTGCGCTTCCCGCCCACTCCTCCCGCCGCTCTACCTCCGGCTTCCGCTCGGTCCGGGGCCGCCCGGTCTGCCGCGTTGACGATGACCAGGGTGGCATCGTTGTGATACCAAACCTGCAAACACGCCGTCGTACAAAACGACCATCGCAAAGTACGACACAAGATCACAGTGTTGATGTACGGCAGTGGCAGTCCAGCAGCACATCCAGGATGTGTTACTTTACTTTCACGCAAATAAAGCTGCAATCAGGTGCGATGAATTACTCATTCTCGTTCCGTACATGGACACCGTACGTACACCGTTATTGTTAGTCGTACGGCAGGCGCCTTTCCTTGCAGCTACATGAGATCAAGAGGGCCTACCTTCGCACAGCTGCCTTTGGGAGTGCCTTGCACCGGGTTGGGGAAGATGCTGGCGGCCTGCGGGGAGTTACAGGTACAGGTACAGGTAGGTACAGGTACAGGTACCGATGGGCAACAACCTTGCCAAAAACTGCGAGCAAAGAACGCACATAACGTACCTTCACCATAGCTGAACGTTAACACTCCAGCAGTTCCGCTTGCAGAGAACGGCAGCAGTAGCCTCGCGCGTCTCGCCCTTACCCACCCGTACCCACACCCAGTAGGCTCTTTCTCCCCCACTCCCTCCCACCCTCCCCTCCCCCACCCCACCTCACCTGCTCCTTACTCAAATACCCGGGGGCTGCCAGATAGAACCGACTGACAGGGGTCCCATCCGGCCATACCGCGCTGCCCTGCACGGAGCCCCGGGCCTCCACCAGCAACCGGAGGGGCGGCGGCAGCTGCAACTGCGGGGGAGAAGCGGGTCCGCCGCCGCCGCCGGCTGGATGGGGCTGCGGTCCTCCGCCAGCAGGCAACGTGCTGTTACCGCCGCCGCCGCCGCTACCTTCGCCTCCGCCTCCGCCGCCGCCGCCGCAGCCGTACATAAGGTGAGGGACAGCGGCGGTGGGGACAGCAGCAGCGGCGGCGGCGGTGGCGCTGGGGTCTGCTGCGTGCCGCAAGGTGCCCCCGGAGGCTCCTGTGACGCTGCCCAACCCGCAACCCTGCAGCGGTGCAGGGAGGATCCAGGGAGGGTGCGGAAGCAGGGCGTTGGATGCCCGATGAGAAGAACAAGCTAGCGCAAGCTAGCGCGCCCTCAACCCCCCCCCTTCCTCCTCCTCCTCCTGCTCCTCCTCCTCCTCCTCCTCCTGCGCACCTGGATTCCCTTGGCGGCAAACACCACTTGGTGCAGCTCCTCTCCCGGCAGTTGACGTTGAGGCCACACCCGCGCAGGTGCCGTCATAATGCCGCTGCCAGCACTGCCGCCCGCGTTGGTGTTGCTGCTGCTATTGTGGTTATTGCGAATGTAGTACGACAAAAGGTTGTACACCGCAGCGTAGAAAGTCGGCCGGCGGAAGAGCTGGCCGGTGACGGCGGCGGTGGCGGCCGCTGCTGCTGCTGCTGCCGACCCCGCTGAGGTTGGCGGTGGCGACGGTGCAGCAGCGGCAGCTGCTGCTGTCCTTGGAGGTATCGCTATATGGGGTTGTGGATGGGCGGCTAGGAGTGATCCCGTCGCATGGAGTCCTGTAGCGGTGGCGACAGCGGTCGGAGGTGGCCCTGCGGGAGAAAGGTTTCAAAGACAACTCCGTAAAGGGGGCAACGGCAACTTCGTAAAGGGGGCAACGGCAACTCCGTAAAGGGGGCAACGGCAACTCCGTAAAGGGGGCAACGGCAACTCCGTAAAGGGTACAACAGCAACTCCGTAAAAGGGGCAAATGCAACTCCGTAAAGGGGGCAAAGGCAACTCTGTTATCTGTGACCGCGACCGATACCGTGTCACATGGCATACGGTAGCCATGTAAAGCATCTCTTCCCTCCTCACCCTCAGATGCAGTCAAGCGTGTCAATACGCCTCTTTCCCCTGCACCTCCTGTGTCCTGCAGCCCGCCCTCCAGTCCCTCCCCCTGCAGCAGCCCTGGCAGCCCCGGCGGGTCGGGTGCGGGGTCGCGTCGGAAGTCATGGAGCACCTGCCACAACACCTGCTGCAGGTGAGCGGCGGAGGGGTCGCATGAGGCCCCGGAGACAGGGGATGAGGAGGCAGGGGCGGCGGGCGGGGGCGGCAGCGGCTGGCGGTGGTTGGGAGGAGGTGCTTGCTGTTGTTGTTGGTTGTTGGGCTGTAACTGCTGCTGTTCGAAATAATGATGCAGCTGTTGCTGAAGCTGTTGCTGCTGCTGCTGCTGCAGCTGTTGCCGTTGAATGTCTTGCTGTTGCATGTTGTTGCTGTTGCTGAAGGTAGTTGTCGTTGGTGGTGTTTGGATAGCGGAGTCACTACCGGTAGCCGAGCTTTGGATGCTGCCGGTCCTTGGGCACTTGGTGCAGGCCAGAGGCCTTTGTTCGTTGGCGTAGAGTACGGCGGCGTCAGCGGTTACGCCGAGCACCTAGAACGCTAAGCGTTGATGATCCACCGCTGTCGAGCTGACGTGATGTTAAGTAACCGGGCTGCTGAGCATGATCAGTCAAATAGGTTTCGGCTATGCTGATGCAATTGGTACACCGTTGGGCACTCGACTCTACAGCAAGACGGAGTTTTAGGTATCTTCAGTTCAGAAGAGCAAGACGAGCAGAAGGAGACCTCCTAAATTCGGGCAGAACGGAAACCAAGGGTTTGACGGGTCGTCGACGCTGCTTGCCGATATTTGCACACGAGGCAACCGATTTCTTGCGACATGCAGCTGTCAGCATCGCTTTTGTTTCTGCACTGAAATATTCATTTAATTGGTGGCAGCGTAAATTCTTGCTGGGGGCAAGGTGCATAACCTTTGCAAGCCGTGAATCCGGCCGTGGAACTCACGGCGCCTTTGATTTCTTTTAAACAAATGCTGCCCCTTGCCGTGCCAACTTACATAGAACTGCATGGCATTTTCTTATTTACACGTCACGTACAAATACAACGTAACCATGCCACCGCTTTGCACGCTCCGAGACATCGATAGGTTGCAAGTCTGCCCGAATTCTCATCCAGCAACCTTAAACAGGGGGCCTATTCATCACCTTCCGCTTCCGACAACTTACAGCGAGTAGCTTACTGTGAAGTCGATCGCCAGCGTCTAGCACACATAGCGTACCAACCGTAGTAACAACGAGATGGCCACAACAGGAAAGGGCAATGGCCCACGCGCCGAAAGCTGCTAACACTCTCCTGCCATTAGCTGCATATCTGAAGGGGACCGTGTGAAGGTTGCTGTCAACCACCCCTTCCATCGCATCGTCGTAATCACACGCATATGGCGTGCGTCATCCTCCCCACGCAACTACGGTTGCCTACGCGTCTACGTCCCAAAACCTCGTAAAGCTCGCATTCCGGGAAACCAGGCAACCCCTCCCTTGCAAAGGTTTCCTTACACCCGCTCTTGTCTCCTCATAACACCAGAGTCGTGCGAGGCCACTTGCTATTATGGCTTTCCTGCCATACACCGTGTTACATCGCACCGCTCTTCCCCCATTTCGTCACGGTGACCTGCATCCTCCATTCCATTCCGTTCCCGGTCCGTGTTATCTCGCGTCACGGGAAATGACATCACCGTACGTCCTGACACAAACACCTCTTCGCATCCCACGCAGCACCAGAGGTATCCCCTTCAGACCCATGTTCCAGTCACCCACAGCCGCCGTACACGCAACAAATCAAGACCTCATCTCACCTGGACCCCACCCCACCCGGCTTTTCAGTTGCCGTACTTTCCAATGAGGTTCACCAGCTTCTGCCCCTCCGCCACCCAGTCAAACGCGTCCACCTTGAACGCCGTGTGCCGTACACGCCTCTCCCCGTTGTACTCCCGCGCCTTGCTCATGAGCACAAAGCTCCAGGGGCGCCACTGCGCGGCACGGAGGGCGGCGTTGAAGGGCGCGTCCCCCTGGGACTCCTTGAGGGCGGCCAGGTCGTCCGCCTTCATGCCCAGCAGCAGCTCAGCCTGTTTTGGGGGGGGGGGTGGCGAGGTGGATGTTTGTTAGGGGAAATGGATAGGTTGGGAGGCGGGGATGGGGGGCCAGGAGGGTTGGGAAGAAAGAGGCATGCCGGGCCCTCTTCTCCGGTTGATTGGGGTGCCAGCCGTGCGCTGTACATGCAAGATGGGGGTTTGTTGGAATTACCGGCATGCGATCCCAACCTGCACCTTCCACGTAGCTGCGGACATGACATCAACTCTCGAATCAGTCTCAACGCAGCCCCCCTCCCCTCCTCTGCCCCTCTCGCCCCCCTCCCCTCACCTCCTTGTTGAACAGCTGCACCGAGGAGACCCCGCAGTGGTCGCCCAGCAGCACCGACAGCACGTAGCGGTGCTCAGCGCGCTCAACCAGCCGCCCGTCGGCCTCGGCGTAGCGACCGCCGCCCTGGTCCGTCACCTGGACAGGGGGGGAGGGAGGGAGAGTTGGAGGGGAGGGGAGAGAAGAGGAATGTTAGGGCAAGGGAGGAGAGGGGGATGTTGAAACGGCTATTGTTGTAAGGGGCGTGTGGATGGGTGGGGTGCCACATGCGTTGCGTGTCTTATCGTAGGAAACCGTATGCCGTGTCTTTCCAACGAACCCAGAGCAACAACCCCCACAACCTTGGCAGCACCAATCCCAACCCCCGGCCCCTCCCCTCCTCCCTCTCCCACCTTCTTGCCGTTCTCCGGGTTAGCGAGGTAGTAGAGCTGCTGGTTGGTGTTCACCATCACCACCTGCGCGGTGACGGGCTGGGGAAGGAGGGGAAAATTATATAAGAAATGCAAACAACTAAGCCCCAATCCCATATCCCGACTCATGCAGTGAGTGCATTCGGAGGCACTAATAACACGCAGGGGAAGGGGAGGGTTGGGGCGGGTTGTAAGAGGGGTATCTGGAAGGCGGGGAATGGGAAAGGAAATAGGGGAGAGGGAGAATGATGCCTGGAAACTCATTCCTTCCCTATTGCGTAGTAATAAACAGCCATTCCGTTCTGCACCCCATCAAGGAGAACCCCTCCTCCCGAGGCGCCTGCCTGCCCCCCGCTGCCGCCTATGGTATGGTGTGGCCTATGAACCCTCTACCGCCACCTATTCCCATCCCTTTGCCCTAACATGTGGTTCTCTAGGGTTTGGTATGTGGTCTTTCTCCCCGCCTCCCCGCCTACCGTGAACGAGGCCTTATCGTCGGGCAGTGTATCCGGGGTAATGGCCGACACGTCCTTCAGCGTGTGGAAGCGGTCCCGGGACACGGGGCCGGCGCCGCCAGTGCTGCGAGGCGGGGGAGGGGAGCGGAAGACCCAATTTGTTGTAAGCACAAGGCGGGGGAGGGGAGGGGGGAGCGGAAAGGAACGAGGCAGCAGCGAGGGGAGCGGCGAAGAGGAGGCTAGTGTGGAGGGGCTACTAACAAAAGTGGTCAGGGCGGAGGAGGCGCTGTGTGGAAGAAACGGGGCTGCTGAGAGGTCGCCGAGGTGGAAGGCTACACAAGTGAAGCAAGCCAAGGCACAAAGTGTTTGCAGCCACAACAAAATGTTTGCACACACCCGCACGCCCGCTCCCTGCTCACCTGTTTCCGCGCGTCCCGGGGAGGTCTTGTCCCACGGGTGAGAAGCGGTCGGGTGTCATGCTGGCGGTCGAGTACCAGAGCAGCAGCTCCTTGGTGGCGGGGGCCTCGGGGTTCACCGTCACAACCGACTTGGTGAGTGAGGAAACGGAGCAGCCGTTGAAGTCGGTTACGCGGGCTTGCGTCACCTGCGGAGGGAAGGAGGTGTGTGGATGTAGGTGAGTCGAATAGTACGGGGGGGGTGTCGAGAAACGGATGAAGCGAAAGACAATGAGGAGCACGCAAGAGAATGGGGAGAGGAGCCTCCCCCCATCCCACCCGGCCTGTCTCCATATGCATGAGTCGGGGTATGGGATTGGGACTCCAGTTGCTTCGCTTAAGATTCATCTTCACCCCGCCCACCTGCAGCACGGCCCGCCCCTCCTGCCCCTCCAGCTGCGGTGCGGAGGAGTGTGCGTTGTCGCCCCACAGCGTCACGACCACACTCTTGCCGCTGTACGGAGCAACAACAACAGGGGCGGTACACCAGGGCCCGCAATGGTGAGGTTAGAGGCGGCTCGAACATGTGTGGCAGTGGCCACAGTCAGGGTAGAAGGCGCTTGCAAACCGTGGCGGCAAGCATCGGGGTGACACGGACGGACCCGTGGGTCACCCACTAACTGACGTGTGACGTGAAACAGCACACAACGGCGGACTCCATTCACGCCGCCGTAAAACACCTCTCCCACACCGTCCCTGCCTTCCATTCTCTTCCCTCCCTCCTCCCTCCCACCACCCACCCCACCTGCTGTCCCCAATGGTCACATCCCGCCTGGGCAGCTCATCTCCCCCCGCCTTCCGCTTGATGGTCCCCAGCGGCCCCAGCGCCAGCACCACCCCCATCACATCCACCGGGGCCCGCGCGCCCACCCGCCGCGGCAGGGCCTCGATGGGGGTGATCTCCACTGCGGCGGTCATGGAGGAGGTGTCCTGGTCGGCCGCCTCGCTCACCTCGGTGCTGTGGAGGGGGGAATGGGGGGGGCAATTATATATGAAGTGCAAACAACTGGAAGGGGGTGTTTAAGAGGAAACAACAAACTGACCGTGTGAAAGGGCGTCGTCAAGGTTTGCAACATGCGAGCCAGCCCGACCCGTCCAACCCGTGGGGAGGGCTTCAGTTAAGTTTGCTGCTTACCCCATGCCGCACTCCCCCTCCTTTCCCCGCATCTCGCTTCACGCCCACCTGTCCGTGAAGTCGATTTGGTAGTCCGCCTTGACACTGCTGTACTTCTTGTCAGCCGGCTTAACCTAAGGCGAAGGGGAAAACAAACGAGGCGCCAGTTAACCTCGGTCAACTCGTGCAGTGAGCGCATTAGGATTTCATCAACACCAAGAAACCCCGACTCCCCCTCAGAATCCCCTGCTGCTGCTGCTACTGCTGCCATGTTGTCATCACCCAGTGCCCCCACCCCCACCTTGAACTTGTGGAAGAAGTACACGCGCCCCTCCATCAGCTGGTCCGAGTAGCGCTCCGCAGCAGCCCGCCAGAAGGTGCCCTGGATCTGGGATCCCTGCAGCGGAGGGGATGAGGAGCGGGCAACAGAAAGGGGGAGGAGGGGTTTCACACAACACCACTGCTGCATGGTGATGGTATAGCATTTCTACGGCATGCGAATTTACAAAACAACCCATCACCTAGCACGTCGTACAACTGCTGCACCATCACCATGCGATTATCGGTCTTGTCATTCGACATCACTGCTGCCGTACAACGAGCACCCCAGCTCCCCTCACCGTATCGTCCACCAGCTCAATGGTGAGGATCTTGACATCGTTGCCGCGGATCGTCATGGACCGCAGCTGTCCCTTGTGGGTGATCTTGGCCTTGATGCACCAGTTGCTGTCGTACGGGTGCAGCTGCGCAATCTTGTGGTGGTTCCTGTGATGGTGGTGGTGGGTGGTGGTTGCATCTTGGGGGGTTATTAGCGTCATGGAGCTGGGGAGTGGCGGTTGTGGAGCAGCGCGAGGGACGTAACGAAAACACACGTAGTTCCATATTTTTAGCTCGTGACAATAGCAGCATCTTTCCAGCGGAAGTACGACAAACGAAGTCGCGCCGCTTCCTGACCCGCCCCATCTGCTGCCGGGCAGCTGGGATCAGCCACTGAATCTCCCCATCTGCGATAGCACGTCTATTGCGCAGTATGAAAAGACACACCAGGCCCCACTCAAAGGTTCTCGTTCCACACTCGCCGCTGATAAGGGCCCCTGATACTCCCGATTCGCGATTTCCACAGCGATTTGGTTTCTCCCCAACTCTTATCCTACTTGCACTCACTTGCGGTCGCTGACGCTCATGCTGGGAGGGGTGCCGGCCAGGGTCTTCTGGCCGCCCAGGGGGGTGGGAGTGGGGGTGGTGGAGGGGAAAGGAACCGGGCTGCGGCTGGCCTGACCGGGAGTCGTGTTGAACTTGAACCTGGGGAAGTGGAGAAAGGAGGAAGAGGAGAAAAGGCGCGGCTGTTCAAGCGGAAAGGAAGGGAAGGAGAAGGAGGAGTACAAGGGGGGGATAGCGAAGGGTTGCTAGCTAAAGTACCAGCAAGCGGCAACGTTGTTGGGGCTGTGTGCATCCAGACCCCAAAGGGCCCACATATGATTATTCCTCATGCCCCGGCAGCTTTCCCTCCTTCCAGCACTCCTTGGCTGCCAAGGAAGTTGCAGTTATAACTGTTGTGCATGTCACTTCGCATATTATAGATGGACTGGTACGGGGTATAGGCTTGAGGCGACTTACTCTGTGGGTGGTGACAGCATGGGGGTGCTGTTTTCCTTGGCACCCATGCCTGGGGTCTTAGATGCCTGCGGCTTGCCGGCTGCCTCTGGAGTTGCGTTGCGCGCGGAGAGGGGCGCCGGGTCGGCATCCATGGGCTGACTGCCATTGCCCGGAGCGACAACGCTGAGGTCGGTAGCCAACAGCACCTCCTCACTGCCGACTGTGTTGGTCACGTAAACCGAAATCTTCACAAGGCAACCGTTGGAGAGCTCGCCAGAGGTAACCAGGTCCGCGAACTGAGATGCCAACACGCCCCGAATCGTCGAGTTGCCGTCCGAAAGAATGCAGCGGTGCTTCCTACCGCTGACCTCTTGCAGGTCGGAAACCTGGTTTCCAAGAGGGAACGAAGGATTTGGTGAAGACGCCTCAGGGTGCGCCAATACCTAAAGAGCGCTTGAAAACGCAGCTTCTTAAACTATAGAAAGCTCACCCGTAGAACGACACCATTTGCAAACTCATGCTTTGATTTAATGCGCGCGACATCACCCGAAGTTAACGTCGCTGTGGCCATTTTGAGCTGGCGGGGCAAATGCTAGATTTTCAGTCTTCGTTAGGATCCCCAGCAAGACTTATAAGCACCTAAGAATTAAGAAGTCATGTAAAGGTTAACCAAGCTTTTCTGTGCGAGTTGGACCATCGTTGGTGATCCAACCTCCCGCGCATTTGAACCATGCCGTACAGGCAGGGCCGGTTACTCATGTTGGCTTGTCCTTTGCCAAAGGCCGTATAGCATTCACATTTGTAACTCCTCGATCTTAAGCTAAAACGCACCAAAGCGCTAGTAGATAGTAGCCGGTGGCCCAACCCCCGGTACCGGTAACCACCTGCACTTGGTCTCAACTTGCGCAACAGCTTTATTCCCATAGTTCGTAGCCATACGGAAAGGAAGTGTAAAGCCTAAACGTAAATTTACCCCTACGATCAAGAAACCAACCGTTAGTTAGACGGTGGCGCCTGCCTTGGCACAGGAGTAGCAGGCAGCGTGGACGGCGTAGGTGCTGCTTCTACTGGCCTGCGAAGCAGGGGACAGCCTCGGCACGACCCTAGCAACAGCAAAGAGTTGCTCAGCTGCTTGCCAACAGGCAATTACCACAGTAGTTGGCCTAATACCAGGAAGCAACCTCGCTTTTGTGCACAGGCCTGTTGGCTGTTGCTGCTTCATAACGGGCACCGAGCAGTATAGCATGCAGTTGTCCCGTGTGTTCACACCCCCCAGCACACAATCGCTGCTGCATCAAGGGGGCATGAGTGCAACTATCTGGGATTGGGCGCCCTTTTGGGGGCACAGCGTTCCAGCAACGGGACAGTGGCATAATCGGCTGTGCTGTACGACCTTCCCAAGCATTGGTTAGGAGGGTTCGCTACCCGGATGCAAGTTGCTTCTTGCAATCTGACGAGACCATGCACGTAGCGTGATTCAGCCGTTTCACTGCTTCATCAGATCATCACCCTGCCAGCAAAAGCCAACCTGCGGAGCTCTCCTGCTGTGACCATGAGCCTGGGCTCCTGCCCGGGTCCGAGCTGACCAGCAGCACCACCATGCTGCAGCAGCATTCACTCCACTGCACCACCGCGTGCCACCTGCGCCTTCCTACCGCCGTACGAACAATGCATGACCACCCGACACGCACTCCCCTGCCGCACGCTTTGAACGCCCGCGGTACGAGCCGGCCCAGCACACAACCCCCTCTCCTACCGGCCACAAACTCACATTGCACGCAAGCCACGACCTAGCGAGGAGGAAATTGCGCCAACATCAAAAGGGAGGCGGACAGTACGGATGCCGGTTTCTAAACCGCGCCCCGTACACCGCACCAAGCCATTTCGTGTCGCACGCACTTAGAACTTCTCGTAGATCCAGGGCTTGGCAGCGGGGGTCCAGTCAGCAACGCCCTCGGGGAACCACAGACCAATCTCGCGCTGGGCGTTCTCCACGGTGTCGGAGCCGTGGATGACGTTGCGGCCCACCTCGATGGCGAAGTCGCCGCGGATGGTGCCGGGCTCGGAGGCCAGGGGGTTGGTGGCGCCGATCATCTTGCGGCCGGTGGCCACGACGCCCTTGCCCTCCCACACCATGGCGACAACGGGGCCGCTGGTGGGGCGTAGGGAGAGGTGGGGGATGGGGCGAGTTGAGGAGAGTTGGGGAGAGTTGAAAGGGAAGAGGGATGGGGTTAGGGTGGGCGGGAAGGGGTTAGGTCCCACACGATTACCGTCCGCATTTTGGGTCTGTGTGCTCTTGAGGCAAATGGGTTCGTCCTACACGTGCACTGCTTTCCCGTACACCATCAGTCAACCCAAGAAGACAGGTGACACATGCCCCGTGTACATGCCTTCACCCGACGCAGAGCAACCAAAGCAATACCGTCAGCAGTTGACGCAACAAGACTCTGTGAGGAAGGGGAACCCCGAAAGGATGGTAACTGTACCTGACGATGTAGTCCACCAGGTCGGCGAAGAAGGGCTTAGAGCTGAGGTCCTCGTAGTGCTTCTGAGCCAGGGAGCGCTCCACGTTCATCAGCTTCAGGCCCTTCAGGGTGTAGCCGCGCTGCTCGAACCTGGGCATCGGTGCGGGGCCATTAAGCACGGTTAATCAAGCAAAGGCGCGAAGCAGAGAGTTGCATGCGTGTGTCTCGCGTGGCTAAGACCCAAATGCCACTATGGAGAAGGCAGGCAACCGTTAGTGGCTCAGGTAAAAGACATCTGCCATCCAGCGCCGCCTTGACGGTCCTATAAAATTGAGGCCCTAAAAACGTGAAGCTTTCATGTTGTGTTTAACTCATACGCAGCTTTGACAATGTGACCATTCTGTGCAAGCCAAACCCACGGGTAGCAACGCTGCTGAGGACGCCGTCGGAAGGAAACACAAACTAACAGCACAGTGCATAATGCTCCTTCCAGCTGAACGTCACATAAGTTGCGTATTAGAGGAAACCTAGGAAAGCTTTCAGGGCAGGATATCTCACCGCTTGATCACCTCGCCGACCAGGCCGCGCTGCACGCCATCAGGCTTGATCATAATGTAGCTCTGCTCGGTGGCCTGTCGACAACATTCCCAAGTGTTACCGTGACATCCAAAAAAGCACCAGCATAGGACATGTCAAGCATCATGCTCCGAGTTAACGCACCATTTTTGCAAGGGCTGATGACCGTGAGGTAATCGGTATGTTCGTAGGATTGAAAGGGAAAGAGTTTGGCTTGATCGGCTACTATATCCAAGGTACATGCAAGGCCCTCGCAATTGGGAACATTCCATTTCAGCCCATCACCCCTTTCGCCCGCCCATAATGCTTTCCTGAAATCAATTACAACAGAGTACGAAATTGCAATTTTAGAATTTTACTCGGTGCAAGATTGCCGTCTTTGTAAGCTCAATTCCTTACTGTGACTAGGTACTCCACACTGCTTTCGCCCTACAAGGATGGCAAACATTTTCTATAGGTCCACGAACAACCTACTTAGGCCTACCGCGGGCACATCGGGGCGATCCATAGCATGTCTCCGCCAGTCGACTCGTCGGAGCCTGCGACCCACCCATTTGGTGCCGCGAGCTACAGATGCAGGCACAGAGTCTGGAAACCCTTACACACTGGCAGAGCTTGTGCAGCGGCGCAAAGATATTGAGCTGGAAATGAAGCTTGCTGGTGAGCCAACCGCTCACAAGCAATTCACCTTGCGTTGCTCGCTTAGACGCACCTAAAAATGGGCGCTTCCATATGTCATGTCGACTTGCTCTTCAAGTACAATTGACGCCTATACTGCTAGCAATGTTACCTACACTGCCCCTAATCGTGCAGTCAAAGGCGAAAACTTCAAAAGAGCGGCACAACTGAAGGAGGAGCTCGAGGCGTTAAACCGTAAGGACCCGGTTATGATTGCAAAGGCGGCTTTGGAGCGGGCTATCAAGGAGGAGCGCTATGAGGTGCGGCCATGAAGCTTTGCATGAGCCCTAGCAAAGCTGGAGCATAAGCCCTAGCAAAGCTGGACGCTCCCAAAGGCACCACACGAGGTCACTACGCTAAGCAGGGATGATACGTCGCTATTCACTGAGGTTTATCGGGCTAGGTTGGATTGAGGGGGCTCGACGGTACCCCCTCCGTCGTACAAAAACCAGAAGGCCCCGAAGCAAGGACCATGGCTGTCCTCACAAACCCAGACCTCCCCCCCTCTCCCCCACATATTGGGTCTTCTTCTCCTTTTTCGTGCGGCCCTCATGCACACCGCGCCACAGGTAGCCGGTGCCCCGACCCCAAACCCACAACCCCCTCCCTTCCTTCCTTGGACCCACCGCACGGGCGGCAGCCCGCACCTTCATCTTACACTCATTTCACTTAACTACGTTACGGCCTGTCAAATCCGCCTCTGTAAGTCAGGAGCAGCATCCTAAACCACCGGCGCCATCCCATTCTTCGTGTTCGCCCACGGGTCTGGATTTCAGTGCTTCGTTCACTTCTTCGCCCTCCCTAACCCCACCAACCTCTCCCACCCCAGGAGGCGGCCCGCATCCAGGCCCAGATCCGGCAGCTGGAGGCGGAGCTGGGTCCCGCGGCCCTGGAGGCGGGGCTGCTCAGCACCCGCAGCAGCGCAGTCACGCAGGGCATACGGGTGCAGGTGCAAAGGTGAGGGGTAGGGTCTAGGGTTGTAGATGGGGTTTCAAATACATCCCTTTGGAAATGCATCAACGCCGCCGCGGACTCGGTGTCGGTAGGGACTGGTGAGGCTGCCTTGTTTTATGGCACCCTGCCGCCTCCTATTTCGCGGTTGCATTACCAGCATTCGTTGTTTTCTACGGTTTGGTCGACTTTGAACCCACCCCCTACCATGATGTGTCCTTACCACCTGGTCAGTCTCTCCTCGTTACCACCCCTTCCCCAGCTTTCCCCTACCCACCCTGGTTTCTCCCCAACCCAACCCCCCGAACCCCCACCTCCTCGCAGCTTCTTCCTGCCTACCAAGTCCGCCCCCTCCGCCGGCCGCTACATGTTCGCCTACCACGTCACCATCTCCAACGACTCGCAGGACACCATCGTACAGCTCCGGAACCGCCACTGGGTTATCATGGACGGCACGGGCAAGGTGGAGGAGGTCAGGTGAGTGACGGGCGGGGGGCAAAATATAGATAAATGCATCAGCGGAGTTCCAATCCCGAATCCCGACTCATGCAGTGCGCGGGTGGCAGACAGGGTGCTGTCGCGTACGGCAACAGGGAACCACAACGACAAGATCAATAACGGAAACCTGCTTCCGTCTCCCGCTTCACCCGCTTTCCGGGGGGTCGGGTTCGTGGTGGTGGACTGAGCCATCAATGGCGCGTTACCTCCTACCGCAATACTCTTAGCTGTTTGGCCTCTTTACCTTTTTTCATCCTCTCGCAATGCCCCGTTCCTTGCCCGCAAAGGGGTCCGGGAGTGGTGGGCGAGCAGCCCATCATCCTGCCAGGAAAGAGCCACGAGTATACCAGCGGATGCGCGCTGACCACACCACAGGTAGGCTTGGGTTTGGGTTCGTAGTACGGCGCGGGCATGTGCGTACGGCACTCCTAGGGCGGCTTCGTACACGTGCGCATCTGTTGCTGTATTATACTGTACGGCATGCGTAAGCCCTGGAGCCAAAAGTTCGCTTAACTTGCTAGTGATGTCAATCCCAGCAAATGACTAACACTATGTTCCAAGTTGTACGAAGTACGAGCATTGTACGACACACGCAGGGATGCATGGAGGGCGACTACACGATGGTGGTGCTCAGTGCAGAAGATGGGCACTGGGCGGAGACGATCGAGGTGAGTTGGGTTAGGGCTGTTAAGAGTGGGGTCGGGGGCCTAGCGGGGCATGGGTAAGCTGGCTCGTAAGGCAGGGTCTAGCATGTCTTAAAACAAGACAAAGTTTTCGGCAAAGGGGACAGCGTTTCGTATTGGGTTGAGGTGTACGAGTTTTGCATTTGAGTGACGAAGGAGATTTAAGTGCAGGCGGAAGTCCAAAGGATCTGAGGATGTAGGCATGTGCGTACCCAAGGCGCAGAGATTGTTCATGGCTGTAAGCGGGAGCCCGGCATGAGGTCATATCTCATGTGGGTCGGTGATAATAATGCATAGCATGCGTTTCCTGGTGTGTCGGATGCACGGTGGAGTATTAGCAAGGGCTGGTACTTATGAGGGTGCGGTGCATGGGTGCGAGCGCTGATGCCTGTGAATTGTCAACATTAGTTGGCGAAACCGAGAAAGCGCATACGAAGGTGACAGATGTTTCTCCCGTATATGTTTGCAGGTCAAGATAGGGAAGTTCATGCTGGATGCCAAGGGTCCTCAAGCTATGTAAGCTTGCATGTCAAAGTACTGCAACTGCCATATGAACGGACGACTGGGTCCACGGCGCACTTCACTTCAGCCTTCTTGGCGAACACTTGCCAATTTTCCCTCGCATTTACACACGGCGCACCTGGCTCCGCAATCACTTTCTTCGAAGGCACGGAGTAAACGGACGTTGTGAGAACACACTCCTTTGCAAACGATCAAATTATATCCTTATTGACGTAGCTACATCTTACATCAGTTACATTCCCAAGGCTACTTACATTCATGGCTGAAGGGGGCAATGTGGGCATTCTAGAGGAGCCCCTGCGAGTAGCCTCAACACCAACTCCTGCTGTTCCTGGGAGAGCTGGAAAAGTGAATTATGGTCTACACGACGCAGTTGTTCGTCTACCAGTCCTTGACAAGGTGCGAATACTGCTTATTGGGTCAGCACAGCGTGTCACCAGACGTACTCCTGCTGATGAATAATTGTCATCCGTCCTCAGGTAAAAGAAGCTAAGAAGGCAACCATTGAAAGCAAGCCGGACATATTAGGAGTACGAGGCCCAGTATGGAACGGGAGCGTGGAGCTTCAACCAGGGAAACACCACCAAAACTTCTCAGGAACCCTTTTATCCAACACCCTCACGCCTAACTTGTTAAACAGCAAGGTAAGCTCCCGTAATCTTGGGCTCGCCCTTCGACGATGGACCTTGCCTCTCTAAAGGGAACTCAGCAGGAGGGCTGACCTTTCATTGCCAGCATGGAAGCTTGGGTTAGACATTTAAGGCTTGGGAGACCGTTGTGGAAACGCAACAGCCCACCAGCAACAACCATCGTGCATGCCGGTTCTCGCAGCCCATTACCCCCCCCCGTCCCATGGCCCTGTCCTTGCCACCACTCCTCCTCCTCAACCCTTCAAGGATGTTCGAAAGCTCACCGGCACGACAGCCTGTCGCGCGGACAAGGAAGCGGCTCTCCTTGACCGCTCCAAGAGCCCCAGCCAGCTGCCGGGAGGGTGGAACACTAGCACCGTGACTCCGGGGCCGCGGGTAGGCGGAAGCGCGTGTTGCGGGCAGCCCAACGGATAGAGACGTAATAAGGTTTCCGTCGTGTGGAGGGGTACTGCTGTCTTTCGTTGGAACAAGGGTACGTGTGTGTGTCCGTACGGGCCAGGGGGCCCTAATGGGGAATGGGAGTGTCTAGGCGGTATGACAGGCGTGTGCAAGGCAGGTGCCACGCACTCTGGATGTGACGGCGGTGGTGATGGTGACGGCGATGGTAATGGTGTTTAGGCAGCACGTGTGTGTCGTACGCTCCAGCGCACACACTCATAGTGAGAGCCATGACGCCTTCACCAGGCCTTCCTTCCCTGCAAGGGGACATCTCAGAGGTTCACCTTATTGCACCACACGTCGCCCTCCACCCATGCGCCAACCCCCCAGCCCCCTGTGTGTACATAGGCTCCGGCCCGAACCCAGACTCCTGCACCCTCTCGGGTCCTTAGTACCGCCCCTCCCTCCCTCCCTCGTCAGCATGCCTTCTTCTTACCTACCTCCACGCGGCTCAGTTGCATTGTCCTCACCCTTCCCTCCCGGCCCTCAGGAGGCCCAGCGGATGCTGGCCGCTGGCACCGCCGCCGCCCAGACCGCCACTCGGCGCTGCAGCCCGCCTCCGGGGTACGTGGACCCCTACTCGCGACAGGTGGGGAGGACGGGAGGAGCCACAGGGGGGTTCAGAGGTATACCAAAACACAGGTTAGGTCAAGGCATTGGGGCTAGGGGGGACGGGGTGGAGCTAGCTGGGGTGTGGGTTGGCTTCATGGGTGTTGGGAAGCCGAACTGGTTCTGGTGCGGCTGGGCAGCTCAGGGGCTACATGGAGGTGTATGAAGTGAAACGTGCATGGAACTGTCGTGGTGCTAGTTCCCAAGGAGCACGTTGAAACGTCCCGGGAGGCGGCAGCGAGGGTATTGTAGCCGTCAGCAGCGAAGCATAAAAGGCAGGGATTGTAGGTTTTCAACGGAACAGGCGAGGGAGGGGGCCTGGGGCGTCGGAGGGGATGCCATGCCATGGCAGGGGACAGGCGGAAGGGGACGCGCCTCTGGAGACGAAGAGAGTGTGCCAAGCGTAGCGCGTTTCCTCCACTGTTCGCTCCCTGTGTATGCTCTTGAACTCAATTCACCCCAACTGCTCTCTTTCCTTCTCCACGCCCCGTCCTCCCGACAAAGGTCGCCTTCTCAACGGCTGTGCGGGCGGCAAAGGCCGACAGCGGGGCGGACATGCAGGTGAGGGGGGTCCCGGGCGGGACATGCAGGTGAGGGGGGTCCCGGGCGGGACATGCAGGTGAGGGGGGTCCCGGGCGGGAAAGCGTCATGAGCTACTTACACAATGCGATTAATGTATGGGGTAAATGGGAAGAAACTAACGAGTGGGGTGGGGGTGTGGGAGGGGAGGGCACAAGCAGAGCGCATAAAGGAGGGAGGGCGAGTTACGGAAAGCTGCTGGAGGGATGCGCGGTACGGTTATGTATGACAGGTGCTGGGGAGGGGTTGTGTACTGGAGTTTCGTTGGGGGCATGCAGAAGAGGGGTGCGTAATAGCCGGAATATCCATTCGCCAGCAGGGGCTTATTAGGGTTAGGGTGATGACCAGGTCCAGGGCTCGCATGGGGTGTTCGTGAGGAGGTGGCGCATGACAGGCGCGCATGCAGCGCGAGGGTGCCAGGAGGGGACGGCGGTAGGGTGAAGCTGCGACCTGCTAGGATACCCGGGGCGCCGTTGCCCCCTGCTGCGACACTCTACCTACCCTACCTGCCCCGCACCACCCTCCGCAACCAACCTCCCGCAACAGCCCCACATCGCATCATCATCCCACACCCCAACCTTGCAGCCTTACCAGTTCGGCTCCCCAACCCCCCTACCCCGTGGTCTTTTTGGTATATCTCCGACCCCCCCTTTCTCTTTACCCATGCCCTACCCCCCACCCTAGGAGCTCACTGCGCGTTACGGTCCCGAGGGAGCGCAGGCCATGGCCGCCATCCTAGCCGCGCAAGCAGCCGCCGGGTGCTGCTCCTCCTCGCCCTGCTCGCGACAGGGCCGCTCCGGCAGCCGCCCCGCGCCGCGAGCCACCCGGGCGGACCTGGAGGCGGTGCGGGCGCTGGAGGAGTGGGAGGCGGGGCGGGGGGTGGAGGAGTCGGAAGAGGAGGAGGCGGAGCCGGTGCCGCTTGGGCCGGGGAGTGGGGGGCTGCAGTAGGGGATGGGGAGGAGGGCTATAGTAGGGAGTGGGGGATGTGTGGTGAGAGCTTTGTCGGCGGGGGCATGGGGCCCGTGCGCTGGGGGTAGAGGAGCGAAGTGTATACTAGTTCACTAGCTGAGGGGTGGGAGGAGGAGGAGGTTGAGGGGCAGCACTGGTGGAGGTGTGACATGGAGGAAGGGAGGAGGGCTGGGTTGTTCTGGTGTGCTAGGCTGCCTTACTGTGTGCTGCCCCGGCAATGAGCAAGGCGAGAACTAGGTGCCTTAACCCCCAGCAAGCCCGGTGTAGCGCCAGAGGTGCGGTACCAGCGGGCCCTACTGCACTGCTGGCCTACGTTTTAATGATTAGTGAAGTGCGTTTCCTTTCATGAGTGACCCCAAATGGCGAAGAGCGTTGGTGGTTGGGGGTTACGGGGGGGATGGAGGCTGTGGGGTGCGTTGCGAAACGGTGCGCGGGAGGAAGAGCTTTAGGAGGGAATAGCGAGGTAGAGGGTTTAGGACGGTGGGAGAGTGTGGTAGGAGCGAAATTTCGCGCGTGTCGCATCCTGGGTGCCGTCGGGTAGGTGCGACTAACCGCGAAAAGCTATAGGTCAGCGTTGCTGGATACATGAAATGTGTTGTCCAGCGCAACGAGAAGTAGTTGCGGGTAATGCGGTGGTCGCATCATAAGCAGCAGCTTCTTGAAATATAGCGCAACCATGTGGCGTTAAGAGGGTCTGTCAAGAGGAAGCTTTACAAGCTTGTCATGCTAAAGCTTATACCCCTTAGCCCACACATTGTAACATCATCCAAAAAAACGTTTTCATCAAGATGAATGACTGCGCATGTGACGTGCACGTGCGTGTGGCACAGTTCGCACTTTGGATCAGCAATGTACGGCGAATCCTTGACCCTTGCTGGCCTCCCGAGGAAATCATGACAATTTGCTTGTGTGCATTGGGTTTCATGTTGTTCAGAGGATGGGGTATTGCACGGAGCATGCTCTTTGTTGGCTTGTACATCGCCTTGGGATGAGCTTGCAAGGTTGCGCAAATTGGACTAGCGATGAAGATATATATGTTGGTGCGCATGCAGGCGAAAAGGGGCAAGGAAGCGAGCGTCTTCAGGTTCCGCAGGGTGGTGGGCGCAGAGCCTTGACAACCAAGCTGTGCATCAATTTATCGCAGGGGTGTCACAAAGGAGTACAAAGCAACTAGCCGAACATACCCAAATGCCTATGGAAACAAACGAGATACCTAGCGACGAAATATCCCTGAGCGACATTCCAACACGCTGGGGTCGACAATTGGCCCCGCACCGACAATTGGCCCTCAACCATCAAAGCTAGGTTACTACTATGAGCTGGGGTTGACCCGAGGGTCACACGCCGCACCTCCTATGAGATATTTCGGCGGCGGGTTTCCCGGCACTGTAAAGGTCGGCGTTGACGCCTACACAACATTCCAGGCAACAATGTAAGGTACCATACAGCCAATTCACTTCAATTACGGGTAGAACAAGTGTCCATGACTTGCATTCTTGCAAGCAGAAAATATCGCTATCTCGTCAAATGTACGGGAATTGCATAAAAAGTGGTTGTTGGGCAATTTTGTGAATTGCCTCTTCCTCACAATTTGAGAGTCGCTCTACATAGTAACTTCACAGCCTGTCGTGAATTCAGCCCCCGGGCAGTGGGCGACTAGTTAGCAACGCCAGACACGCTTTTGACGGATGCTCCGAGCTTCAGAAATCTCGCTGAAAAGTCTGCCAACTCCTTTCAAGGCAAGATTAACTATGCTTAGGGCAGGAAGCGCGCGCTGAACGCCGACCTTGAAGATGTCGACTGCCCGCGTTTTGCGCAGCGAGTCTGCTCCGCTTAATTGTGGCTTGCATATGCGTAGGCGCTGGCTCCTATGTCCTCCTTGCCCTATGACATGGAAGACTCTGAGGAGCGTAGCAGGTGAGGGCCTCGGCCTTTAGGTCCAGGCGATATCGTGCGTATCTTCGCCCTGTAGCTGTGACCCCAAACCGCATTTTGCCTTGGTTTCCTTGTAGCAATGATGAATTTGACTACCAAGGACATTCTTTGAAGATTGCGCATGCGGGGTCGCGCTCTCTGGGCTTGACTCTGAGCGCGTCTCGAGGAGCGTCCAGGAATGCATCTGTAACTTGTGCTTCCTGGGTTCCAGCTTTTCTCTCCGCAACATACTTCCAACCATGCGAGCGGCACCGGCACCACAAGAAGAACGAGGTGGGTTGGTTCTCCCGATGGTAATTGGGAATCCGACTCAGCTCTAGCAAAGCGACGCTTGATTTGCACGTTACATTCAAGTGTAATAGGCGCTTTTGAAGTGTTGTTTCGTCCAAGTAAATTGACCTGCGCGTAGCTTACCTGTTCGACACCCGCCCCCTGGCCTGATGCGCGGCGCAGTGTACATTCTTCTGCGTCACCTGCGGCGCTAAGCCTCACAGTGTGTGCCAGCATTGCATGGGAGCTCACGCGGGTCATCAGGTCATCCAGGTGAGGTAGTCCAGGTTGCAACACCTGTGAACCAGTCATCGCGTTCCGCTTTTCTTTGTTCCGAACTCTTTTGGTCGCTTTTATATCAACGGTAAAGCAATTGGCGTCAACGCCCGTTGGGAGCGGTGCAAGCGCAAAGGTCGATAGGTGCATTTGCGCATTTTGCACTTAGTAGCGGTTCGGTCCTGAATATCCTCTTTACACACGCAACATTCTCTTTACACACATGCGGCTGGCTCTCGCCTGTCGGCGTAGGTTCGCCGGTACGTCTACTGCGATGTGGTGCGCACCTGCGACATCAATGCCTACGTGGACACAACTGGTGTACAGGTGGGATTTGCAGAACGTTGATGTTCTAAGTTATCTATGTTGCCACAGTCTCAAGGGTTAACCAATGCAGTTTGGGTAGGGGGGGAGCATGGTAGGCAAACACGACAGCCCGATAGCCGGTACATTCCTAAGGTGCAAAAACACCTGTGAGCTTGTAACGTTTCAAACAATGCTAGAACTCACCCATACCATCGCCCCTTCTCGTCCGTTACACTTGCAGAACTACATTATTAACAGCGCCAAGGTGATGTTCCTCAACCACCGACCGCACTCCAAGATTGGTCGCGCAAATGGAGTGGACACCTGCCGCACCTGCCACCGCCATCTGCGGGAGGGCTACAGCTACTGCTCGCTAGCTTGCAAGGTTGAAGCACTAACGCATGGCGAGTCGGGGCTCCGACCCTGCCCTGGCGGCAGCGGCGACGTTGATGTCGATGGCGATGAGGCCTCCGCCGCCGCTGCGGCGGCGGCGGTGCTGGCTGGAGGCAGCCCCCGGCGCTTCGACAGCGGCGTCGCCACAAAGTGCGCCGTACGCTCCGCCGCCGCCGCTGCGGCTCACGGCGGGGTGAGCAGCGACCCAGAGAGCAGCGAGCCGGGAGAGGATACGTTTTTGTACGGCACATCAACCAGTCGCCATGTCGTACGTTCGGGCAGTGTTGTGGTGCAACAGCACCGACCGACTGCTGCTGCCGCGGCGGCGGCGGCGGGAGGAGAAGGACATGGCAGCGATGGGTTTGGCGGCGGTGCGGGCTCGTCCGAGGATGACTGCTGCGACTTTAACTTTGAGAACCCGCCCAAGTGAGTATCACCTGACCGACTCTGCCTTGAAAGCTTATCCTGGTCCCCTTCTCATCCTGGTCCCCTTCTCGAAACCTGTTTGCGCCACCGGCAGCCTTTTTCGTCCGCAGCTTGGGTATGCTCCCTGGCTTCCTTTTACGTTCCCCCTGCAAATCCTAAACCCCGTCGCTTGCTCTTCTTCTCTAACCCCCAGGCGTCGCCGATCGGCTCTGACGACTCGTCGCCCCGCAAGCCTCGATGCAGCGCATCCGGGCCGACCCAACCCCCGCTCCGCTGCGGCAGTAGCTGCGGCCTCCGCAGCCTCCGTGGCAGCAGCGGCGGCGACGCTGCTTCAATCGTATAGAAACGGAATTGCCGCGGCCGCTGCCGCCGCCGCTGGCAAAGCCACCGCTGACGTCCCCGCCGGCGGCGGCTCAACGGATGCCGGCGGCTGTAGCTCAAGCGACGGCAGCGGCAGTAGCGGATGTGAGTCTGCAGCGGCGGCGGCCGCAGCCGCTGCTTGCATGAGTCGCCGGAAGCAAAATGCTCCGCAGCGCTCTGCCATCTGAACAACCTAATCGCCTGTTGGGGCCTGTCTTGACGGCCCCGCTGATGGGGCTGCTGGGTTCTGGTAAGCCTTTGGGATAGGAGGAAACGGTGGAGAAGATGAGGGAAGGGACGGGGTGTGGCGAGCGGATTTTATGTTTTTTGTTTGGGTTTTGTTGTTGTTGCCGGGCAGGGAGGCGGCTGCCACTGCTGGTCGGGGAGTGCGTGTTTTGCATGCATGAACAGCTTGCACTGACCCATGGGCCACCCGCAGAGGAGGGTGCAGTTTGGCTACCTTGAAACTCGAATTGGAAGCCCAGAGAGCCGGTTGGTTGCCGGGATTTGGAAGAGATCCAGGGGGCTCCTCCGAAATTGGATTGCGATGAATTTTGGCTGATTCGTTTATCGCGACTCGTGCATCTATTGGATCGAGTCTGGTTTCGGAGGTATCGCGGTGAGAAATCGAATGGCTGTGCGGGGCGGGAGGTTGGCGAACAGCCTTCCTCTTCTTCTTCTCTTACTCCTTACGTAATCTCCTCACATGGTTGCGACTTGTGGGTGTTGTTAGGCAAATGGGTATACAGCCTGCCCAAGGGTAGGTACGGCGAGCCAGCCGTCCTGAATTTTGCCGTACATTAGCAAGTCGCTGCGCAGTAGCAGTGATGTACGGCGTTTGTGTTTGGAAGGAATGTACGGCACAACTATGAGATGTGGGCTGTATGGATCCGGTTAAGGATCCTGTCCTGACGTCCCACTTCTCGGTGACTGTCATGATGTGTTTACCGCTGGTGGCCATGTGAACCGTCGTGTCTTTGAAGGTTGAAAAGCCTGGCTGACACTACATTCGTTTTTTCGAGCTTTTTGTTTACCAGGCATTTCTGGCGGTACTTTTGGCGGCCTTTTGTGGCACGGCATTGGCAGCCTTGAGAGAGAAGGGCAAGAAAGACGCTTTCGTCCCTGCGTCAATTATAATAGTATCGTTGGATACCGCGAATATTGAGAGAGCGGAGGAGGGATAATAGATTTTGAGAAGATAATCGTCATTTACTGGATCACGAGAAGACAATTTCCTTCACTAGGTGGGCGAATGGTTGGGGACTTGGGCGCGCTGTCAAATGCTCACGTTACTGGTAAGTTCAGCGTTGACGTGACTGATTGACGCATCGTGGGAAATTGACGATAAGGACGATAACCCGGCGATTTGGTACCTTTTATAACGGCGGCCTTTGGCCCTTCTTGCACGTGTGACACGCCTTGGACTCCTGTGCGGTATTTATATGTGTGGGGGAGACATGGGGGGAATGAAGATGTATGGGAGGTTGGGTTCAGGGCTTCCGCTGCTAGGTGGTGGCGTACAACAGCGTTGCATGCCGCAACGTCCATCTCTGTCATTGCTGTACAACGGATATCACAAGCTTTGCATCTTGTTAGTTGGTTGATTGTTGGTGGCGGTTTCGTCGTCGTCGGCGGCGGCATCGCTATCATCCCCAGTCGGTCGGCTTTGACAATACAATTTTCACCGCAGTTGGGTGCGAAAAGGAGGCGAGAGCTCGGCGGCGGCTGTGTGACCCATGGGTCGGTTTCAGGCTCAAGGCTCTGTCATTGGAAGTTGCATGGAGGAGGTCATTTGAGGTTATTTTTTGGTTTTCCTAGCGTTCCGTGGTGCGTTCCGAGATGCATGTTTGTATTGGCGTATGGTCTATAGCCGTCTATAGCCGTCTATAGTGAGTGAGGTACCACGCACGCAAGCGGCAACGGGGCCATTTACGAGAGGGCTAGCCACCTGCCGTCGCATAAGGCCCTCTCCGCCCTTTCTCCCATGTTTACCATCCTCATCCGGTTTGGTGCGCATGACAATATCTCCTCCGTTTGTCTTTGCGGGTTGGCGCTTTGTGGCTTGGTGCTGCATGCTTGTGGTCTTAGCATGTGTTCTAACGCATGAATTTGGTGAGATTTGGTTCTGGTGGAGTGGATTTTGCGGTTCATGGGAGGTTTCCTGCATTTCGCAGTCCTGACGCAGAAGCATGCGCCTCTGCGCGGGTCGCTTTTCATGCGTGTTCCTTTCATCTTCATCGTCATCACCAGCTTCGAACAGGTGGTGGTGGTGCCGCTGCCGCTGCTAGTGGTGATGATGGCGGGTTTGCTGGTGAGGCGTTTTCGGTTGCTTTGTGCACAAGTCGTGCAGCGACGAGGTTTGCCCTGGTTTCGCGCTACTGGCCTGCTTACTCGCCTCCTGCTTGCTGGTGTGGGGAGTTGCGAGTGGGGTGGGCGAGTGAGACCCTGAACCGAGCGCGGCTTACGCGTTGGCTGTCGCGTAACGGTTGGAGGAGGAGGTGGCTTGGGCCGAGTATGATTGGGTTTGCTGGACAGGATGGGACGGGAAACCCCCTTGTTTTGGCGCCTGCCTCGTGAACAGACACGACCCTGGCTTTGTGCACAACCCAATATCACTCTACACGGTCTGTGCCGCAAGCCGTGGGGAAGTTTTGTTTCCTGCTGAGGAGTGTATAGTAGTGTGGAGCGTCAGGTGAGGTGAGGGGAGTTGGATTGTGGTGGGGGAAAGGGACCATTGACGATTCCGAGCGGTCTGGCGAATTCCGTTGCTGTTCTGTCTGCCTCCCGATTTTTTTACATTTTCTTCTCGCCTTTGTACTCGCGCTGCCGTATTCTATACGGCGTAGCGAGATATACAAGACGCTGAGAGAGGGGGCAAAAACAGACAAAGAGGGGAGCGACTGATGGAATCGCGAAGACACAAAGTGGGTTGTTGGATTCGTGGGTTTCCATTGGCTGGGTTGGCTAGTATTGGTATGTGGCTTTACTCGACGTACGTGGCTACTGCGCAATCTTTAAATTGCCCTTACACTGCTGGATTGCGCGTACAAACCACAAAAGGAACGACTGCATATGAAACACGGTATTTTCGGATTTGAGGGCTTGGGGGTTATGCTGTGGTATCAATCTGCCGTGGAGCCACCGTACTTTCGATAATGTTGGTGTGGAGAGTCGATGATGATAATAAACGATAAATAGTTGGTTGCACCTTTTTTGTTCTTTTATGTATCGGCGGGGGCCGGGGTTTTCCGCTGCATGCTGTACAGCTGCCGCGCTTACGTTTCTTTTCGTACGGCAAGCGGCGATGCAGCTTGGCGAAGTCGGTGGTCGCTCTGGTGATAAGCTATTCGAAGGTTGTGGGGGCTGTTATAGAAGGTTGTTATGGCCGGCTGTGTGGGGTGTTCTTTAATTGTACGAGTTTAACAAAGGCCGACCTCAGGAGCACTGCGGCGGCCGGTGGCGCTGTGAGACTTTGATATCAGCATCCGGCCTGAGTGCTGGTTCGGTCGAGAAGGGCGTGTCACCGCATCCCCCGCTTGGATTGAGGAGGCCCCTGACCGTCTGAAGACCTTTTGTATGGGCTCTCGCCTTGACTTCCGAGGAGGGGCGTTGCGGCTTTTATCTTGGCTGATGTCGTCTGCAGCCGGCTAGTTGTCATGCGCAAGCCACAGGCATGCGCACGGCAGGCAATCCAGGTGCAACGTCGGGTTGTGAAACCAGCTGCCGACGCATCTTTGGTGGTCGTGGTAAATCGGTACTGCTGTGTTGTGAAGTGGTATAATTTGGAGGCTTGGGTTGGTTGGATCCTTGCTAGAGCAATTGTGTAACGGTGTGGTTTTTGAGCTTGAGGTTGGTTGTTTGGTTGTTGCTGCTGATACCGGTACCTAGCCATCCCTGAACTTCGCATGCCCCGGCGGTTCCAACATCACCTTAAAATTTACAACCTCAACGGCGGCATGCATGGATCGTCTGGGTCTTGGCATACCGGTACCTTGTATTTCCTATCGCACAGCTTGTGTTCACAAAGGGCTGCTGGTGTTGCTTGTGCTGGCGCCGGATCGTATACCGTAGCCGATGTTGGTCGATTCGTGCGTGTTTACCCGTGCGTGTGGAGATGCCATGGCCCGTGTCATGGTAAAATACTATCCTTTAGCCAGCCTGTTATAGTTTTAAGGGCTCTTGCGTGAACTTTTCGAGACCTGCTGTTTGAGAAAAAACCACCAACTGGATGCTCCCGCCGCTGATTTGTTTGTCCTGTTGCACGTTTTTATCTTGAGTTTGATGTTGGTGGTTCGACGCAATTACTTTTGGGCTGATGGCAAGCTAAGCTGCATGTGGCTTGGGACAACCATTCAGTCGACTGCAACAATTAATAGCGCATGCATGCGGGGTGGCGAGGTCTCTTTGTGTGTGTCTGGAAGAGCATGCAGTGTGTACCAGGAACGGCACTTTGCCTTTGCTTCTTAATAGTAAGCTTTGCTTGTGTTAGTGGTTTGGTTGTGTGCTGTCGGGGTTGTCAAGGGGTGGTGGAAGGGAAAGCGATAAACGATACACTTCCTGTGGAGGAAATGACACGCAGACTGGATTATAGTATAAAAACGAGAGAGCTATTTTTGTTCCTGACCCTGGCCAATTAAATGGTCAATTTACAACGGTACTGCCGGTATGTAAGGACACCTTCATAACTACGACCCTTCCAGGCAACGTGCTGCTTCGCCTGCTGCATCCTTAACTGGGGAGCGTACAACCGTTCAGCGATATGCAACCTGCGTGCACATGACCTGAACTGCATGTATGCGACACCTGCACGAACAGTAGTGTTGTTCACAAAAAACGGAACTGCGCTAGCACATGTGACCCACGGGTCACGCAGAGCCTTGCAAGCTGTACCCATCATGCATGCATGCAAGTCCAAGCATGTCCGCCCCTTCGTCTCTGGATGCAGCTGGACAAGCCTGTGGAAGGCCGTCAACGCGGGTTGCCATAATACGGTTGCCCATTATACCGCCCGACCCATTCACTAAAACGCCAGCCGCATAACCTCTCGCGCTCTCCGGCGGCATCTCTCCGGCACCCCTCACAAGACAACCAGGCAAGATCAAGACAGCGGATCTGCGCCGCTCCAATCGAATCCAAGCTCGTCCAACCGCCGGATCCGAGATTCGGGCAGCACCCCGCTTCTCCTCGCAATGCGCTGGACGGAGCACCTGCCATCAGTTCCAAGGAGGCCGGCAGGCAGGCATGAACACCAACACTAGATTGGGGTTGGGGAGTAGCGTGAGGGGGTTGTTGGTTGACTACACGGTAAATGGAAGCAGAGAAGGAGATGAGCGACGAGGTCCATGGAACCATGCAGTCGCGGAAATAGTCGCTTTGCATCCCCCCCCCCCGCCCCGCGCCCCCCTCACGACCCACCAATTCACCAGGTACAGCATGTCTGGTTGCGTCGCTGCGCCGCCTGCCGTGCTGAGGAGGTCCACATGCCGCTGCTCCAACTCCTCCCGCCGCTGCTGCGGTCCCTGCTGCTCCTCCCCCTGCCGCCCATCCTCATCCTTCCCCTGCCACTGCTGCCTCCCTGCCGCCGCCGCCAGTTCGCGCCACCAGCGGACCCACTCCGCCTCCTCGGAGTCGAACAGGAACCCCAGCGCTGAGAGCTGGGAGAGCCTGCGGGCGGGAGAGGGCAGAGGCAGGGGAGGATAGTAGGGGCAGTCGGGGCAGGGCCGGATAGGCAGGGGCAGCAAGAGAGGAGGGAGCGTGTGTGTGTGTGTGTTGGGGGTGGGTGGTGTGGTGGAGCAGGGGAGGAGGGAGCTGGGCGGTGCGGGACTCCTGGTGAGACCGAAAGGCGCCTGAGGAACCGAGTGCGCTGAAGCGGCAGTCGGGAGCCGAACGAGGGCCGCCACCTAGCTGGCTGGCTGGCTGGGAGGGCACCTGGCAGGAGGGGCGCCTGCGGGTGCTGCAGCCCCCGCAGCAGCAGCAGCAGCAGCAGCAGCAGCCATCTGCAAGTGCACTGCTGCGCGCGTGCATGCATACACGCAGGGTGGGGGTGACGAGACTTCCTGGCAGCGCGTGCCAGGTCAGCGACTTGGGAGGCGGAAGGTGAGGCGGGATAGGGCAGCCGCTCCTAAGGGTAAGGGAGGAAGACCCCATCCTGTCGCAGCGCTACCCCGCTTGCCGTCCCGCAGCCCCCGCTCTCACCCCCTTCAACTGCCCCCTCTTCCCCTCCTGCACTTTTCAACTATTTTCCCCTCCCGCCGCCTCACCGCCTCTCCCCCAGCTGTCCCCGCCTCCAGTCGGCTCGCTGCTTCGCGGCCCAGCGGCCCAACTGCGGGTCGTCACCCTGCCTGAAACCCACACACGCGTCCCCGTGCTCACCCACGTAGGACGACAGCTGGGCCAGGCTGGGAGTGGGGGCAGGAGGCGTGGGAGGCGGGGTAGGGGAGGCGGGAGTTTGGAGTTGAGGAGAAGAGGGAAACGAGGAGGGGAAATGAGGAGGAAGAGGAACTAACCACAATGCAGCTCTGTGGCGTTGAGAGGCAATCAGAGCACGGTTAGCAACTTGACGTAAGCTCAAGGCGCAGGGAGGAGGTGTAAACAACTGAGCCCAGATGTGTCATGCACGTCGTACGTACCGTAGGGCCCATTCCTCGTCGCTATCTGAGGCCACGCCGTACTGCCACGCCTGCACCAACCGCTGTACGGCTGTACCTGCTGGTGCCTGTACGGCAGCCTCAGCTTGTACGGCATGAACCCCTGATGCTGACGAGGACTGCTCCTGCTGCTGCGTGGCCACGGCTGCTGCCTCCGGTTCTCCGTCCGCCGGTACGACATGACCATGCTGCCGGCCTGCCGTACGCGTACCAACACGGACGCCGTTACTGTTGCTGCCCTTGGCACCGCTGCCGAATGCTGCCGTACTGCCTCCACCGCCACTGCCATACGGTGCCGTAGGCGCAGCTGCTTCGTCACCCTTTGCATCCGCTGTCATGTCAGCGGCTCCCGTGCTTGCTGGAATTCCTCCGCCTGCCATCGCCTCCGCCACCGCCCCCACCACCGCTGCGGCTGCCGCCTCCGCCCCTCTGTTGTAACACTCCAGTCCTGGCCTCCACAGCCCCTCTCCATCCGCGGTGCTCAGCCTTGCATGCATGTCGGGCGGGTTGCTATTTGAGGCGGTGCATGACGCCACCTCGGGGAAGGTGACGGCATCGGAACGGGCGGCTGGGGCAGCAGCAGCAGCGGCGGCAGTGGAGGCGGTCGTGGAGGTGGTTTCGGGGACTCTAAAGCCACTAGAGGAGAAAGACGAGGAGGGGGGACTGTCCATGCGGCTGTCGGGGGCAGCCTGCGAGGGAGGTTGGACCCATGGGTCACCAGTGCAACCATGGACGCTTAGCTGTAGGCGTACGGCGGCTAGGGGCTGTTGCTATGAAGCGGTATGCGGATGACATGACACGGGCTCGCTTCCAAGGAGTGGATGAGCCCCTGAACCCTTGATGTACGGCAGATGTCTAACCCCGTGTGTTGTGATGTGTCACGCTTACCTGTAAGGATTCGAGGTCCAACTGCCAACGGTCGCTGAAAAATAGCGACGGTTGGGCTTCAACCACCGCGAGAACGTCCACGGATGTGCCGTACGTGGCTACCTGCCGTACGTGAAGGGAGCAGGGGAGGTTAGCGATGGGAAGTGCGTCCTTAGATTGGGCGATGAAGCTGAGAAGCTGAGGCGCAACAGACACTACCTGTCAGTTAGACATGCGGCACTGCCTGTCAGTTGCAACATGCGAAGACCTCGGAAGGGACAGCATGGAGTACTGATTAAGCACACTTAACACCAACCAACTAACCAACCACCAAGAACCGACCGGAAAAGGATTTAACCAAAAACGTAACAAACCGAACAAAGAGACGCCGTACCAAGACGCCGTACATGTGTACGTACGGTACCTTCATGTCCAGGAGGCGCCGTGTGATCTCCGTCATGTCAGCTGTTAGCAGTCGGGGCTCCCGCACAACCATCCAAACCAAATCCACATCCCCGCGGCCTGCATCACTACTGCTCCTGCTGCTGCTGCTGCCATGACGAGTCCAGCTGCTGCTGCTACTTGCGCTGCTGCCGCCTGCAACGGCCCCGGTGTTACCTCCACATCCACCTAGCAGCTGCTGCAGCGCCACAAGCCGTCGAGATACCCTCCGGACCTGCCGTACAACGGGCACGTTACACAGAGAGAAGTCTCACGCACCCATGGATTGGCAACTATGCGGAGGAGACACATTATCACGGTGGCAAGGATCCCACCACCGCTGCTGCACTGCAGGGTTGTTGGAGGCCGGCAGGGGCGTTGAAGCTGTCAAGCACAGACGGCCTTCACAGCAGTTGCGATGGCCAGCAGCTGCGATATAACCCGCCCAACAGTATTTGCAATCAAGCGTCACGTCTCCAGGCAAACGCCGGCCCCCCTGATTGTGCAGATTATAGCTGACCGCAGCACCCTCCCAATATGGACACCTGACATGACCATAGGCCATTTCCCCCATCCCGCTTCATCCCATCCCGCTTATCTCTGCGGTGTTGTAAGCCGTAAAGTGTTGAACGGCCAGTGTTAGCTCGATTTCCCCCAAAGCCCCTCAGCTGCTGCAGAAGAGAAGCAAACGGATACACCATCGTCGCACCTCACCTCGGGAGCGGACTGCTCCAGCTGCCAGGCGGCAGTGAGGCCGGGCAAGGGCGCGTCAGCGGGCAGGGGGGCGGAGTCCAGCGGACGGAGCGCACCCTCTGCAGTGCACAAAATATCGTACAATGGAGGAAAATCGCTGTTGGGAGACCTCGACATGCGGGGTCGTAATGCACGTACGTGGGTTTGCATAGTCGCTGCAATAACGCACGGCCCACAACATAGGCAGCCTGTGTAATACTATCGATAAATTAAGAGGAGCAATCTTATGATTGGTCAAGTTGCTATGCGGGGACCGTAGAAGCACTAGCAGAGGGTTCTCATCCATGGCATCCCAGCAATGCCCCTTCCCATAAGCCTGCCTTCGCTTAGGGCATCTGCTGCATCAACGAGCAGCTTGCGTCGTGCTGGGTCCAACACACCACGCGCTTTCCAAAAGGAGTCAAGCAGCTGCACGACAGGGTCCCTAGCTACTGCCCGTGCGACGAATTCACGGTGTGGCTTAAGTCGCCATGTAAGGGCTTTCTGTGGCTTCCATCGTGTGCCATGAGTCTGCCATGTTAGCCTCATGGGGATTGCTTAGCGGGGATGAGTAGCAGTTCGCTTTATCAGGTAGGGTTGCTGACATCTGGATAGCGTTTAACCGCCACTAGCTTACGGATAAGCACTGACCTTACCGTTGAAACGGCTATTAACAATTGCAGGCAAACCTGGTGCAACGATGCTGCACCGTCGACGACCCTAAATGGTACCAGGATCCAAAGTCGGACGAGCTCGTAGCGAGGACGTTATCAACACAAAGTAGCGCATCTTGTCAAGATTTAAACACCACTAGACAGGGGATATGACAGTTAAATAGAAAAACGTTGAGCGCCTGTTAATTGTTATGCTTTGCTCAGCAGCCCTACGGGCTGCTCCTTGACGCATTCCTAACAACTGTAGGTAGTTCAGTAGAGAACGAGGAACACTACTAAGGTAAGCCGTCGGCCAGGATACCCATCTCTGCGGCCTAGCCTGAGAATCGCTCGTCATGGCCAGCGTGGTTGTCTACTAGGTTACTGTTGCTTCGTACCGGGAGGGCAAAATATGGAACATTGCCAGCTATCGTGTCATCTTTAACTTCGGCAAAGGAACATCAATGGAGCGGTCAGCGATGGATATCCACCGGGCGTAGGGGAGGCTAAGGCACGTGGTGATGCACGGGCAGGCGTCTGCGTCTATGGCTGTCTCCGCAAGGAAACAGAGGAGATGCAGGCGGTAGTCAACGCGTTCCTACACACGCCCAACCCGTCATCCCAACCCGTGTAGCCATCCATCCCGCCTCGTGAACCCCCCTACCTTCACACCCCGCACCTTCCTACGCTCCCCCCTTGTGTTGCCATCACCCACACGCTCTATGTCCAAACGATCACAGCCAAACCGAGCACAGCCCAATCCCCCCCTAACCTGTGGTTTTGGTATATCTTGTGTTTCCTTACCCCACCCCATCGGTTTGTTGAGTCCCCTTGACCCCTTCCTTCGCACCCCATTTCTTATCACGTCCCCCACGTGCAATGCCGTCACTTCAACGCTGCCCTACGCTCCCAACCGCTGTATGCTGTACCCTCTCCTTCCCTCCGCATGCCGCCCCAACGTCACCTCATCCCACGTAGTTCTCCATGACTCCATCCCTTCCCCAACCCCTCCCGCCGCAGCCCAATCATGGCTGCTGTATGTATTGCCGCCAACAGACGCCCCCCCGGTACTCCATGCGTCGCCCCTCCCGCACTGAGGAGGGGCGACGTATGGGGCAACGGGGGAAAGGTGCAGGGTACGGAGGCAGGGGGCTAAGGGACGCGATAAAGGGCCATGCGGGTTGAGACGGCTGTAAGGACATGTGGCCAGGGAGTAGCGTAAAAGGATACCACTACCAGAAGCAAAGCTTAAGTTTCGAGGCATCCAACTGGCGCATCCTCAGGATTTGCGCTGCACTGGGTATCCTGGTCACGAAGATATTCAAGAACCTTTCCTTGTTGTGTACTTAATCAATTATTAAGCATTGGATTTCGATAGGATGTAGCCCGTAGGGCTCCTTAGCTGACCGTCGCAATAGACAGCTTCCCAACGCTTTTTGGCAAGTTGAACGTATTTCCTGTTCAGAAATGTTGATTATAGCCAAGATGCTTAAGCCGGGGTTGATAACGTCCTCGCTACGAGCTCGTCCGACTTTGGATCCTGGTACCATTTAGGGTCATCGCTGCACCGTAGGCCGTACGTTGGTTAACTTTGGAGATATTAAGTGACATAAGCCGTATAGTGTAACACTACATGTTGTAACGCAGTATCAGATTTTCCACGAAACAACAGGGACCTCTATTGTTGTAGCTTGAGAACTTATGCTTGCGTTGGTTGCATAATATGCGCAAGCAGCCGCGAATGCCTGAGACTAACAACATGGAAACCATCCCGACGAAACTGTTGTGTATGAACACTGGACTGGGGCATCGAAGCCTAAACGCCGAGGTAACGGCCATTTACATCGAATCGGAGTCATCCTCAGCCTTGCCGCCCCTGGGCCCCTTCTAGCAACAGACCGGCTTTAATAGTGGGCATCATGCCGCAAAAAACGTCGCTTCTTCAAGGTTAACTAGGGACTAGAGTCCCGAACTTGCGCTGCAGCTCACCGCCTTTTTGGATGTGAATTCCCTACCAGAACAAGAATTGATTGTCCCGAAATGATACGGTTGCGTAACGTGCGTAGCGCGCTAGAAGTTTGTCCGGGTTGTGAAGGCTATGGACGAGCAGTGCCCCGGGCGGTTACCCCGGTGACCCACCTACCTGATTCGCATAAATTGCTTACTCCTTTGATAGTTTTTAGCATAACGCGATACTACCTAATTTTGCAGTACCATCGGTGATTCCTGTGATTTGCTTCAAAATCGTAATGGCACCCAAGAAGGATGAGAAGGCCTCTGCGCCTGCCCCCGATGCGTCTGAGGCTAAGACTGATGTGAAGCCTAAGGCTGAGAAGGCCCCCAAGAAGGAGAAGAAGGCGCCCGCGAAGAAGGTTGAGAAGAAGGATGCCGGAGCTGAGGGTGGTGATAAGCCCAAGAAGAAGGTGAAGGTGACCAAGGCTGAGACCTACAAGCTCTACATCTACAAGGTTCTGAAGCAGGTCCACCCGGACACTGGCATCAGCAGCAAGGCCATGTCGATCATGACCAGCCTAGTCACCGATCTGTTCGATCGCATCGCCACGGAGGCCAGCAAGCTTAGCAAGTACAACAAGAAGCCCACCATGACTTCCCGCGAGATCCAGACGGCGGTGCGCCTTGTGTTGCCTGGCGAGCTGGCCAAGCATGCTGTGTCCGAGGGTACCAAGGCAGTTACCAAGTTCACTTCTGCATAATTCTTCTACGCCGGGAGCTTGTACTATTTCCTAAGAACGGTGTTTCTTAACACCACATCGAAAGGACCAGATACGTTTGGGGTTCGTCGGGGTACGCAACATCCATACCCATATGATCACCGTAATCGTGCGGGGTTGTTGGTGACACCAAGTCACTTTCTGTTCAGACAAGGATGCTTCCCTGCAGTCCTGTAAAAGCTTGTGCTTGTCAAAAGCTTTACTTGTACGCCATTACACCGTGCTGGTAGCGATGGTGGAAAGCACAAGCTTTAGCTTACTAGATAGCTTGCATTTAGGATACCGGTACCGCTGTAACCATAAGTGCTCTATGCCGCACTTCCGAATCAACCACCGCCGTACATGATCTGCCTGCATGTCCCGAGCATGAGACGAGGGTCTCCTCCTCCTAAAGCAGTCTACAAGCGTTTCTACCCGGCTCAAAACGGTTCTTAGCCCACACACGGCAGTCCGCACATCAGGCCCCTTATGTGATGCTCACAGAATGCTATTTCACACATATACCCTCCAACCCCCATCACATCATAGCTGTACCGGTAGTCACTGTCATACAGAGTTAGGAGAACAGTACAGTATTGGTCCAAGCTACAAAGGAATGGGGCGTGACCAGTAAACCCAACAGCCTCCAGTTAATGCCCCGTGCAAGTATCCTCTTAACCCTTAGGGCTCATAGGCCCATGTGGGGGGACCAAAGACTTGAAGGGAGCCTGCCTGCATAATCCAATTGAACATCGTTAACCGTCGCAACCCAATCCTGCAACGAATGTATAGGCCGTACCCCTGATTTGTACTGCCACAGAAGCACTCAACTGCCGGGAAGCTCTTCCATGCAAGAGTGTTTGCGGCCACACCTGACGCAAAACCACTAAAACCAGCACAAGGAAGCAAAGATGCACACGCAAACCCATCAAGCACTCCCGTCATGCACGCGCTGCAACCCGGCACTGCAAAAACACCAGGTTACCCAGCAGCCTTAACTCGTCCTTCCATGCACGCCATGCGTTCCCCGCCACTTATCCAAAACATCTAAGCTGCTATCCATTGGTGCGTACTCTCTCTGGTGCCCGCAGGGCATTATTTGCAGCTACTACGCGGCTCTCGATTCCATTCGTGGATGATCACCGCTGCTGCAGGCGCTAGAACTCATGCTTACTACGCTTATCCACGACGCTGCCAGCTTAAGGCTGCTTAACAATTACTACGGGCACCTTACTGTGGTGCGACACGTACTGCGACACCGAGCCCATAAAGAACTCCGCGACCGGCCCCTTGTTGTGGCTGCCCATCAGGACTGCCGCGGCCTTGAGCTCCTCAGCTTTCGTGCAGATGACGTGTCCCACGCTGTTGGTGTCAACTTCCGACTGCATGGCGAGGCAGGGATGGCGCAAACAAAGGGACGAATTTTACCGTTAATTGCAAGGTTATCACGTGAAGTCGCTTTACAAGGCCACTTTACATAAAACATGCTTGGGTTTCGCGAACGGTGCAGCGAGACAGAGAAGGCCCTAGCGTACCAGTGCAGTGAAGGCAAGGACAAGTGTTGCAGATGGATCACATCTGTTACAAGTTCACCTTAATGATGTGGACAATTGGTGTCGTCTGGATGTGCTGTGGGAGCCTGGCAAGGAACCGCTTGACGATGAATGCCTCAGCCTTCTGCACAGCTGCCTCATAGGCCTCCCGGTTAATCTGGGGTGTGAAGTCCACGGCTGGAACCCCCAAGGTTGCTGCAAACGTCAAGCGCGATATCACGTTTAGCAAGTGCACTTCGTCGCCTTCCCGGTAGAAGTTGTTTATGAACCAATCCCAGCTTTTCTGGGAGTCGTCCGTATCGTCAACAGGAAACAACAGTACCCTCGGCATAGTTGCTAGCGTTGTCGGGAAAAGTGCGAAAGGGTTTCTCTTCTGGCGCTATATAGACCGTTGATGACAGATTGGGCCTGTGCTGTGCAAAAAAGATTGTAATAACAAAAGGTTTATAAAGGTTAAAAGCAACACGTAGCTTTGACAGCATCAACAAGGAGGTTGTGCTGCGACGATGCAAGTCCCTTGTTCGTTGCGTAAGGGCACGCTGCCGCCCGCTGTGCCATGGCGCAACCCTAAGCCGCTTGGAAGCGCTATTAAAATATGTATTAGCCCTGCATCGGGAGCCTTCCTCCGACCGGGCGGTTTCTGCGCGAGAGCAGCAAGCGTCGCCGTTGTAGCCCCAACGAAATCCGCAGATACCACCCTGGGGAAAACCCTAACTGAGTCAGCTGCGCCGGGCCAGGATCTAGAGGCCCTCGCGGAAGCCGCGGGCGTTCAGAAAGAGGTTCGATGCGGCCCGACGCCGTTAGGTCGCGGGCTACTGGCGACAAGAGCGCTGGGACCGCAGACCATTGTATCCGTTCCGCTTCATAACGCCCTTGTGATCACGGGTGAGTCTGGACCAGCGCACTTTGGTAGCGACCTGCCGAAGCCGTCGATTGCCTCCAGCACTGCACGAACGGCCGATGTTGGTTAACAGAAATGGGCAAGCGCTCGCTTTATGCATCGCGTCCCGTATCCCTGGCGACTCTCTATACTATTCACCTTGTGACACCACGAGGCAAGGTGGCACGGGTCATTTGCTTCCCACATCCACAGCCATCCCCTCTACTGCCCCACTCACAGCCACCTTCCTCTCCCTCTTCACACACACAAACCCAGACAGCTACAAACCTGTAGTTGCGCCCCTCTGTTGTGTCTCTGCATTTCAGGTCTGAATGCCTTCTATTTTCACCATCCAAAAGCAGCTTTCGCGCCTTCTGATCCCACCTGCTCACCTCCAACCCAACCCCGCCCCGCACCCCAACAGATCAGCCCCTCTCCGGGATCTCTGTGTTTGGAGATCGCTGCCTTGCGGAGTGGCAGCGCCAACACGCCACCCTGCCACAGCAGCTGCAGGACTTTGTCACAGGTGGGCAGGGAGGCGGGCAGGTGGGTAGGCAGGGAGGCAGATTGGCTTGCTACCTTGCTTGCTTAGGGATGGGCAGCAGCGGAGGATGTACGTGGGTGGGTGGATGGCGGCCGATCGATAGCTCGCCACCACATGCTGCCAGCAGCTGCACCACCCTAAATGGCGTGTAGGGTAGCATTGGAGAAAGCAGGTGGAGGTGAGGCAACGGGGTCCCTGGTCCCTGGGACTTTGCGGGTGGGACGGGTTCCGAGGGATGCATCAGCAGCAGCTATCAGCCTATCACAGCAGGGATTTGGAGCTTCTGACGCTAATCGCGACGCGGGTGCGCACCCGCAAGATTGGGCGGGAAAGCAGTGCTGGGTGCAGGACGGGTGCTAGTACGGCACTGCTGTGAGGGCCTGTACGGCGGGAGTCGGGGATGCATGGGCGTGAAGAAGCAGGACTAGGGTTACCCTCCCCCCTCCATCCTCTAGGACTTCCCCCCTCGAGAGAGGGAGCCTCTAGGATTCCCGCTCTCTTCGACCGGAACTGGAACCCTCCCCGCCTCAGCCCCCTGTCTCCTCCTGCTTTGTCCCAAGGTTAGGTTTTCCTCTCTATCCCCACCCCGCATAACTTACCTTGGGTGCACGATTCGCTGCCGCATCACTTGCATGGGCGGTACTTCTTGCCTTTGAGCTTCCAAAGTGATCCCCCCCCCGCCCTCTCCCGACAGGTGACGCCCGATGGGACGTGCGCATGACGGCGTTGCTGCTGTGGCTGGCGGCGTGGGTGGCGGGGAGGGGCGGGGAGCGGGGCCGGCGGCAGCAACAGCCGTTGACACAGCAGGAGCAGCAGCAGGAGGAGAAGCAGGAGGGAAGGGGCAGCGGCAGCAGCAGTCGGCAGCTGTGGAGGGCCTACCTGGCTAGCCTGCCGCCCCCAGAGGAGGTAAGCGGGATGGGCTTTGTGACACATGCTGCTGCTGCGGCGGCGTAAGCTGTGTTCACGTTTTAGCCGTGTGGCATGCATGCGTGCTTCAACTGAGGCATGGTTTCGTGTTTATTGAACATTGCCGATGCTTTTTTGTTGTAACGGCTAAAAGATGGCAGGTGTGTGTGATATCATTACTGGAACCAACCTATGTGCAGGTGACTTGTCTCATAAACTATGCTCCCGAAGAAGCCAAGGAGCTTCAGATAAAAGAGCTGATGGTAAGAGCGTGGTCGGGTAGTATGGATTACAACCAAGGTGTGATGCTTAATCGTATCCAAGGATGTGTATGGATGTGTTTGGATGCTGACCCGATTACTCACCTTGGTTGTGGTTCGCGTTTTTGTGGCTCACGTTATCCTGATGCTCGTAACTCAGCACCGCGCCATTGCCGTACCTCAGCTGTCCACAATGCCTTCAATCAATCACTCGCTGCCGTAAAAACGTGTTTCATGTCGTACAGGAGGAGGCCGAGGCGCAGTACACTTGGGCAGTGGGCGTTCACCGCAAGTGTGTTGGGTTATTTGGGTGGAGCGAGGGGGCTGGGTTGGGCTGGGTCGGGTTGTTTCCGATTCCGTTGTGAAGGGTCTTGAATGCGGCAGGCAATGCGTATTGCTGCGTACCACCACCATCATCATCTTTCCTTCAGTGTACTAAGAGTTCTTACAAACATGCGCACATACACACCGCAATCACCAATCCTAACGTTCAGCTTACACCTTGGCGGACCGTTTCCCTCTCGGCGAATGCATCATTACAGTACGCGTCCCCTACCTGCCCCAACCCTACTGTTTCCCAAACTCACCCTCATGTGGCTCAGGTACTTTGATTCGGAACGAGGAGAGCTCCGCGACCTGCGGCTGGCTCCCACACTGTACGACACCCTGTGGGCCATGTCCATGGTACGGTACGACAGTTTGTACGACATGTGCTGATGCGTGCGTGCATGCCTGCGTGCTGAGTACCCACCTCACCTAGCCACCTGGTCACCCGCAAAACCCGTGTGTCTCCTCCCCCTCCCTCCCCTGCAGGTTCGTACCCGCACCTTCTCCGAGGAGGTGGACGGCGAGGAGCTGACGCTGATGGTGCCGTACGCCGACCTCGCGAACCACTCCTTCAGACACAATGCGACCTTTTGCATGGCGCCTTGTCGTACTAGGTAGGCGAGGATTTACGGTGGGGTATAAGAACGGGAGATACGGGTGGAGGAGGAAACTGTATGTACGGCAACATTGCTGATGATGCGGTAGGGGCCTAGGGGCTTACTCTACCGGTGCAATACATCCGCGTGCGGTGCAAGTCACACGCATATGCTCGCGCACAGCCTTCTTCCACTCATTCCCACACTCATGACGAGAGCAACAGAAGGACTATATTCCCTCCCCTTCACAGGCCCATAGGGGTTTAGGGGTTTGGGTTTAGGGTTTAGGGTTTAGGGTAGTTGAGCGGAAACAAGAGCAAGCAGTTGGGATAGGTTCGCTTAGGCCCATAGGGGTGTGCGTCGTTCTGACTTGAATCGTTCTAACTAGTCTGTAATAATCGCAGCCTCTTCACTGATAGCACCGCTGCTGCCAGCAGGTTCCAGCTGTGCCTGCTGGCGCCCTTGGAGGCGGACCAGGAGGCGACCATCAGCTACGGAGAGGGGAAACCCAATCCTGAGGTGAGCGGAAGGGCACAGGGAGGGGTACAGGGATACGTATACCATATGTTTCTGGAGGCTACAAGACTCTCCGGTCGGTTGCACTAATCTCGATACCATTTTGTACCGTACCGCGTATGTCAAAAACAAGGAAATCGGCACCACAACCGTTGCGGTTAGGGCCGGGAGTTTGGTTACGATGGCAGGCACATATTTTGTTTGGAGTGAAAGGGCTGCAGGGCGAGAGTCCTCCGCTTGTGCCGTACATGTATTTGCGTCACCGGCTAGCTACCGTAGTGTTGACGTGGGGTAAAAATAAGGAAAACTGACGAACTGAAAGACGGGGGGGCGGAGGTCCTGTGGGTTAGATCCACAGCTCTGGTGATATCAGACTATGACCGCCACGAGCGAGGTTATATGACACGAGGCCATAGTTTCCTGGTGGCCCCTGCGAAGCACAGCAAACCTGCAACTGTTTTCCTCTTTCATTGAAAAACCCTCAGAAACCAAGGACAGGCTGATTTACCCGCCCTTTCCCGCTCCCTCCCCCCTCTCCCATCCCTCTCTTCCCCCCCATACCTCAGGTGATGCGGGACTATGGCTTCGTGGTCCCCGGCAACCCCAATGACCGGCTGCTGCTGCCTGATCAGGCAACCCTGCCGCCACTCAACGGCGCCGCGTTGCTGCAGTCGGTGGGTCCTGCTTGCGGCCCTGCATGCTTGCTGGGGCTTGGGTGCTCTAAGGGGGCGCAGGGTGTGGGGCTAGCTGCCTTCGTACCTTACCTCCGTACACCTGTTACCGGTACCCCGCCACCGACCATCACACACCCAGGCACTCAAGCGTGGGGCGACCCGCCTGCTTTAGCCTTCCTCTTCTCCCTGCCTGCCACCCCTCTTTTTCTCCCCGACTGTCACCCCTCCCACCCCCGCCCCTCTCCTGCCTGTCCACCCCTCGCTTAGATTGGGTTCAAGGGGGACTGGCGTGAGGGACAGGCCGCCCCCACCCGCCCCACGCTTGAGGCAGCGGAGGGGGACACGGAGGCACGACTGCAGCTGGCTCGCAGGAGGTGAGAAGGGGGGATAGGCGGGGGGTGGGCCGAGCGGGGGGAGACTAGGCGGCGGACTCCTAATCACTCACTGGGGGCGAGGGAGGCTAGGGTGTGAGGGCTTGCTGGTATCATACTGGGCAGCGAGAGGAAACACTGACCATGCCTCAATGCGTCATCTTACTCTTTTGCCTTCCTGCTGCCGCCCCAGGTGCGCCGTACTTTCCATGAACCTGGCGTCGGGCTTCGGCTCTGCTGCTGACGTGCAGCCTGGACAACAGCAACAGCAACCGACAACAGTAGCAACAGCCACGACATCAACAACCAGGAATAACGGCGATAACGGCTCTTCGGGGGCTTCCTGGCCACCCCTGATGAACACCCTGGTCAACCTGTTTGGCAACATGTTGCCCCAGACGAAGTCAAGGCCTAGTGCAATGACCGATAGCAACGGTACTAGTTCTTCGGTGCCCGCGGTTGCTTCTTCCGGCTCTCTCGCTTCTTCCTCTCCGTCCACCCTATCGGCCTCCACCTCGGTCTCCGTATCTGCGTCCGTAGATGACCATGGGGAGCTGTCACTAGCTTCTACCACCGCCGCCGCCGCAGCGTCTGTGGAAACCCAGAAGCAGCTGCCACTACTGCCGGCAGCAGCAGCGGCCGCGGCTGCTGAGCTAGCAAAGGAGAGGTCCCACGTGACGACTGTACGGCAACGCTACCAGAGGGCCCTGGATGAACTTCCCACGAGCATTGAGGAAGACCAAGCGGTACTGCTACAGCCAGTGCTACAGCCGGTGGCATCGCGACCCATGGGTCAGCGGCGTTCGAACCTGCATGCGGCGGCGGTACGATGCCGCTTAGAGCACAAGCTACTGCTGCGAGAGGCTGTACGGGTACTTGACGTGTACGAAAAGTGGCTTGTTAAGCGGCAACAGCAACAGCAGCAGCAGGCCCTAGCGCAACAGCTGTAGCGGCAATGGTGACTGCCAGCGACACGCTGCAAATACAGCTGCTATGCTGTGCACTTGCAGTAGGAAGACCGACAAAGAAACATTAATTAAGAGGAACCCAACTTTACCAAATTCACCAGTACGCATGACAGGCTTGAAGAATTGCAAGCAGTTATTGGATGGTAGCAACTGAGCATGAGAGTGGGAGTGGGAGAGTGGCCGCCAAGGCGAATGCTGCTTTATCTGGTACTGGTATGTGGAATTGACCTTCTGTTGCTTTTGCAATTTCTGTGCAGCGGGCGTGACGGGGCATGAGCAAGTCGTGGGCACCCTGAACGGCCTCTTCGTAAGCTGGACTAACATCTTATATTCTTGTAACCGTACGACAGTGTACGAGCAGTATCGACAGGATATGAGATAGGGTGTACTAATTTGCAAGATAAGTTTGTTCCATGCCATTTCAAGGGCAGGGTGCGGAAGTTGGTGGTTCAGGGTCCTCGACTCAATTTGGCTGAAATCAAACCAACGTGTGACCAGGCAGATATGGGTTCCCAATGCTGCACAGGGCCCGTGCAGGGTGCAACGCCGCATGGAGCTGCATACGGACATGAGGTGTAATGAGGCACAGTCAGCCGTTGTACGCCCTGCGAAGTGATGTTGGCAGCTAAGCAAGAGCTCACCCACATGATGTCAGAACTACGGTGCCAGGAGGAGATAGATACATGCAGCGCATTGAGAGAATCCGTACGTTACAACGAACTAGTAGTGAAAGAATCTAATGAAAACCCAAAGGTAGCGTTTGCAAAAAACACAGCCAATCAAGTCAATTATTCTCTTCTCTAATAGATGGATCTCGTCTTCTCAGCATCACTCGAAACAACTAAACAAAGGGAGCAGGCAACACACACTATAACTACAATGTCCGAAACACAAGAAACACAGCAAGTCTTAACAGCTAACATCAGACACAGCTAAAACACAAATTATTCTGCAATGTAGCAGTAGCCAACCCAGCAGCAAGACAGTTGGCCGGGCAACACTCCAATCTGTTTTACATATCGCACACCGTATAGCCCTTAGCAACACTCATTAGATGCATTGCCCAGGCAAAGGGAGACGACCCAAAACCGACACATGACAGCCATGTCACAACGTGTTAGCAGAACCCTAGCTAGGATGGGATACTAGGACCATCCTGACAACCACAACAACACCTCTCGACACTAAACGCGCGAGGAAGAAGGCCCTTTCCCACAATTGTTGCGGGTGACATTTAAGCGCCTTGACCACACGTGCATATTATCCATACTCCCTCGTCTTTGAATAGCCATGACGGCCCTCTCGTTCTCTTTGTGCTCACCCGCAGGATCATCATCGCTCAAAGTCCGCAGATACCTCAAAAGCTTGCACTAGGCTAGGCGCTCTAAAACCGGAAGATGACTGACGCTGCACAGCTTACGTCGCGACAACGCAGACTCGCCAATTGAACATATGACACAAGCCCGAAGCTCTGAATACCAGCGCCCTTCTTGCATGACCACGACCCCGCATGCACTGCAAAACGCTCCTGCCTGCCGACACTCAAAGAGCGCCCGCCTGACACGTCATCGCAACATGTGCAGCATCGCTCACTACCCCGAATATGGTATATGATGGTAGCACACTCGTAGCGCGCCTCGCTCCGCCTCAAACGCACTCCTGCCAACATGTTTTCTCGCAACTCTTTTTCTTCTCTTGCTTATGCACACGCCGCCTATGCAGCAGCGCCTTGCGTCTTCTCCAAGCCAAAAAAGGCATAAGCATGCCACGCGGCAACTACCACCTAATCCCTCCAAATGCGTGTATCAGCAACATAGCGTGTCCCTTCCTTGATCCATTGTACATTAAGTTGTCAACTTGGGTCAACATTAGGGGCAATACAATGGGCACACACAAGAGGGTGAGCCGCCTGCCCAAAACAACCAAGATAATGTCATGGTAAAGTAGATCGTCATTGTCAGAAGAGTAAAATCTTGCGTTCTCGGCTATCGCGAGAAACTTTGGGAAACATTGGAAGGGGCACAAATCACACATCCGATGCGCGTGTTCGAGCCTGAAAACGATGCTCACGCAAACACACACACCTGATTCAACACACGCATAAGGACACAACCAGAGCAAGCCAACCCGTGCCAACAAGCGCAAGCTAACCCTTGCCAACACAAAACGTGGATCCGAGCTCTTGGCAAAGCCCCCGCAGCCCCCGTGTGCTGCAAACGCAATCGCCTGATGCCCCCGTAAGTGACCGCCCCCCCCGGGGGAAACTGTTGACGAGCAGTCTGCGAATGGCTTGCACACAGACGGACATGAAAGCCACAAAACAAAGTGGGTCTGAAACCAAACGAACTGGTACTGCGCATCCATCGCAGCTCACCAGATGTACAGGCAGATCTCCGTTTACTCACGCTTTTATTCTGAGCAAACAAACGCCTAGCAATTTAGCAAGCTAGGGACGTTTTGCCAAACGGGACCAACACCCTGGCAAAATGCTGTAGTAATACTTTAGCACTGCGAAAAGCGCTTTCGCCGCGTCGACCCCCCTCGCCGCGCCCTTCCCAAACGCCCAGATCAGTATCCAACTTTGATTGAAGCATGGTCCGAGAAACCCCCACAACCCACCCCACCTACCCCGACCGTGCCCCAATCCGGGTAAAAGCCCTTCGCCATCCTAACCAGCCCACACTCAGCATACATTTTCTTCTCAAAGTGTCATTCTTCTCAAAACAGCCTTCACTTATGGAAGGAATAGAGCAACCAACCCCTCCGCTCACCGTCTCTCGCCCTTACAGTTTCACGGCTTCCTTGCACAAACACCCTCTCGCCAAAACACAAACGCTCCTCCTCTCATGGCAATGCTAGCAGACACAACCGAGGGTACCTCTCCAGATGAGGAAAGCCACACCGGTTGCCCTTAATAATGACGGTAAAGAATCACAGACCCCAATAGGTGCAGTATCGCCGTGCCACCGTGCCGCAACACCGATCAAGCGATGCGGGCTCCATACAACCGACCACCCTGCATGCCACACACGCAGTCCCAAAGCAGAGGTGCGCATGCAGGGACGGCGCCGTGACGCAGCTGCTACTACAAAACTGCTGGGACATTATCCAGACGAGGGACCGCTGCGGTTGGCAACGATACTGCGAGCACATCTGTCCCACCGCCAATTGGCTAACTTGTAAGGCGCCGGACGGCGAACAAGGAATAAGGGCAGCAGAATAAGAAAACGACTAGCCTTTATTCACAAAACCGCCCATCATCATCAGCATGTCCGAGAGCCCGATCAGAATGCGCATGTACCATTAGCCCAGCAGATTGCCGTGCCGCCGCCAAAAAGCTTCCATTTGGCAGGCCTACTAAGTAGTAGCTTCCATAGTAGTAGTAGTATTAGTAGTAGCAACTCGTGGGTTGTTAAGGCAATGGGAGTTCGTGCAGTTTCGATGGACTGTGCCGAAGACATGCACAACCCAGCTGACTGGCGGGCGACGTCCCGAGTCCAACAACCAGAGTCCGGTCGCCGTTGCCCAACCCCTTCCCCCCTCCTCCTTCCCCCCCTTCCTCCTTCCCGCGACGCTGCCCTAGTCTTCCTCCGTCCAGCCGGCTGCTGAAAAGGCCCCAAACGACTTGCGTGCGCCGACGGGCACGGCCGTCCGAGCCAGAGCCTGGCCCGTCAGATCTTGAAACGCAGGCGGTCCTACCTCGAGGGCACAACAGGTCCGCTCATGAGCCAGCAAACAACAGATGGACGGGCTGGAAGGGGCGCCAGGCAGGCCGGGTGTGTCGTCTCCCTCCTCAGAAGGCGCTGATGGAGCAGGAGAAGGGGTTCTCAAAGTCGAGGTCCAGGTCCCAGCCATCGGGAATCCTGTGGAGGCGGTAGCAGCAGAGGGCATGGGAGGGGCGGCCATGCGAACGTGCGAGAAAATGGTTAGGTGGGGGGCGTTTGGCGGGTACCGTAGATGGAACGAGGCAGGCAAGAGGCAGGATATAGTCGTGGGAAGTTGGCAGTTCGGTGAGAAGTATGTCGTGTAGTACATCCGTGCATCGCAACAGTAACCGCCTCGCTACGGCTGGCTGTCCATGTGACGTCATGCTAATGAATGCACAGCGTATACAAAGTGCGTCGCATGGACCGTGTTATTACATCGTACAAACAGTAAGGGGGTTGGCAGCTTGGCATGGCAACCCAACCCAATTCAATCCTCTGCCCTTGTTGCAGGACATGCCCCGTGCCAAGTGCCCCTGAGCTTACCGGTTGTCGTCCTCCCCAAGGAGACGGGACAGGTCGGCGGCTGAGAGCGTGCACTCCTCCGCAGCCGGCTGCGACGCCGGGGCCGCGTCCGTCACAGCAGCGGGAGCAGCGGTGCCGGCAGAAGCAACAACCGCAGCAGATACCTGGGCCTTGGAGGACTTTGAAGCTGAGGCCTTCTGCACGCCGCCCTTGACCTTGAGGGTTATCTTGGTAACCGCAGCGCCAGTGCCGGTTGTGGTGGCAGCCGTAGATTCCCTGCCCGCAGTGGTAGCTTCCCGAGCAACGCATCGGCTGGAACGCGTTGACCTGCCGTTGACCGGAGAGGAGGCGACCATGTTGTTGAGATCCCCCGACCTCGCTTTGACGGGCAACTGCGATGGCGCGGTGTTCCATGCGGTTTCTTGCGCGGCAGCAGCTGTGGTTGCAGAAGGAGCATCGTCCATGTCCATGTCGAACGTGCTGGCGAAGTTGGTGCCCGGAAACAAGACATCGCCGTTGTTGTGCATAGCGCCGCTGATGCATAAGCTGCCGTTGCTGTTGTTCTTAGACAGCGCGTGGCCGTCCATGGTGGCCGAGCTGCCGTTGGAGCCCTCGGAAAGGACGTCGTCTTGAAGGTGCTGAAGGAATGGCATTCGGGTTCATAAGGAGTCAATAAGACCAACATAGAAAGCTAACTTGCTTAACTGTGCAATTAAACCCGCAACGTTTTAACTCCCTTTTACTGTCCATGTAGGGTAGAGGCACGAAAGAAAATACTTCAAAGAACCTCGATTTTACAACCTACCTCCAAGAATGCGTCGTCCCCAAGCAAGCGGCAGATGTCCTCCAGCTCCATGTCAGCCTCGGCCTTCGACGACCCAGCCGCTGGGGCCGCCAGGGAAGTATTAACCCCAGATGCAAATTTCGCCGGCTTCGTCTTTGGCGCTGCCTTCTTGCTCGGCGACGCAACCTTCCCAGTCCTGCCGCTGGCCGTTTCTGGGAGGGCAGCGCTCTCCTTTTCCTGCTCCGCAATTAAAAGCAATGCGCGCAGAGATGAATGTTAGAAAAGGCGGCACTCGAAAGGTTACAACTAAAAGGACGTTAACATCCAAGACCGCACCTGTTGCCCAGAGCCCTGCGGCGCAGGAGGCGAGCAAGGCGCTGGTGAGGGTGCATTTGGTGCGCACGAGGGAACCATGGGCGGCAGGTAACCTGCATCGCAAACAACAAAGACAAGATTTGGAGATCAGTCCCCCTCGACGTTTCAAAGCAGCGCGTAACAGCACGGTATATCGCTTGTATTACCTGTACAGGATGGCATAAAGCCAGGAAACATAGCAGCGCGGCCAGTTTGCACCGCTGAAAGGTGCGCATACTGCATTTGGGGTAGGGTGCACATAAATGCCAGCTGCAAAAACTGGGTGTAAAGCGCTTGTTGTTGAAGTAGGGAAGGAGTGCCCCAGCTGTACTCCGCAGGCTCCACGCTGACACCGGCAGAGACCATGTTCAGATGCGCCACAGCGCTAGAGAGCGACATTTGCACAGCTTGGCCTCGTGGAGCCATATAATTCCCTGTTTGGGGCGCCGAGGCAGCGCTGCATTTGTTGGCAGCCATCAGTGGCAACTCGTCCGTCAGCGGGGCTAGCCGAGGAACGATGAAAAGAGAATTCAGACGTGCTGGCAACAATCTGTTTGATAATGTTCTACCCTATGTACTTTCGCGACTTCACTTCGACCCGTCCTATCAGACTCTGCAGGAAATGACAACAACGAACTTTGCGACGGGGCCGCCTCCCTGGAGTGTCTTGACGTCCCAAGGTTACCTAGCCACCGCAAAGGCCGCAATGAATTTAAACCGGCACCTTGGAACAGCGGCACTGGTTTAGTAACTCATCTTAATTGCCAACGTTTGCTGGCTTCATTGCCTAAGAAACCCTTCCAGTTTGTTGCGACGTTTGGCAACGGGCGGCCGCGAATTAGATTAGGTGGTTGCGTCCTTCTGCACTGATATTAAGCCAACTGGCAAGCTTTAAGCCCACCCTCCAGTATTTATAAGTGCAAGCATAGTGGCAGAAATAACAACTCATACCGTAATTGCGCATTTAAGCGGCCACATGCTTTGTTGCACTGCGAACGATTAGTTTAACAATCCTATGCCTTAAGTTCTAGTCAGGGCTGCAGGAGTTCCTTGGGGGTACGTTCGCCAACAAGGCATTCTGCACGGGAGCTATGGCTGCAACTCCACGCAAGGCTCAGACCGAATTGAATTGCATTTTTGACAACATAACATGCTGACCCCCATTATAGTTTCTAGGAAGCGGCAAGAGGCGAGGGTTTTTGCCGGTACAACGTACTCCTGCGTCAAGTCACGTGACATTTCGCCAGCAACAGTTTTAGTGCAGAGCTCATCCCGATGGTATCTGTACGTAAAAGATAAATGCTCCGATCGCAACGGGACCAACTCTTGCCTTCTTGTAGTTATATTAGGAACCGTTCGTAATAAGCCTTTGTGCTTACGCACCCCCGCAACTACTGAGGACCTCAAAAGTAAAAGCAAAAGACGGACGTCCCACGCCAGGCAGTCATGTTCCAAAACCATCAAACCTAGCAGATAACAGGAAGGGCGGCAACACGCCCACGTTACCGTAACTCATCGCGTTTTGACACCAGCAGGATTGAAAGAGCCGGGCATTCGGGAATGTAGGCATGCCAAGTCCTGCCCACGAGCAATGGCAGCCAGGTCCACATAACCCCAATACTCCGAAGCAGGCCTGCACGCTTACCGTAATATAGAGTATGTAGTGGATGGGGTGCGCCGTAAGCTCTCTACCTAGGGTCACCTGTGCCCCACATATACCCCCTGACCCCGGCTCACGCCGCTAACCCTGGTCGCATGATGTGGGGCAGGGCAGGGTGTGCATTACAATAACAATCACGGCTATGATGCAACAATTAAACTGAAAACACGTTCACATGACATCAAGCTGCAACAATGCCTGCTGCCTGCTCAATCACCTCCATTTCCCCACCCATCCCCACCCCACCGCAAGGGCGCACACGGGCCATGGATGCAACTGGTGAGATTGTTTCAGAGGAGGACTTGGCGATGAGGGGACAAGCGACAAGCAAGCACTCACCCTGCTGCTGCACACCAGCTACCGCCCTCCTCCCAGCAAAGGAGCAAGCGCCCGCTGCAGCAGCCTACCCGCTGCAGCAGGCTACACCCCCCGCCGCCGCAGCCTCCGATCGAACACCCCGCTGACGCCACGACCGCCGGTACTGCCACGGCCACTGCCAGCTACTGCCACTGCCACGACCCTCAAAACCTATCACTGCCGGTACCGCTGGCGATGGCGATGTCGTCGGCTTAGTCTCGGCCCCAATCGCCATCGCCGCCGCCTCATTCGCCCCCGGCGACTGCTCCACTGATGACGGCGCCGACTGCGGTTGCACCCCAGCCACGCCGCTGCGTCGTACACTTGCAACGGTAGGCACTCGGACGGCACCCGCCGCGCCTCCCACTAGCATGCAATTAGTACGCGCAGGTCGCCGACTCTTGCGCCGCGTTGCGCGCAGCCTAGCATACAAGTGACCACGCCGGAGGGTAAGAAGGAAGCAGACGCGGGAATAGAGGAGGGTAGCAGGGAACCGAACAGAAGCCGGGAGGGAGGATGGTGAGGAGAAGCTGAAACTGAGCGAGCGGGAGAGGTGGAGTTCCGGTAATAGATAGATCGTACAGACAACACCACAACGGGCCAGTAGGAAAGAAAACGCCAAAAGCGCCAATGAAGAGCGTACTGCTGCAAGGTGTGTAACCTGATGGGGCGCTAGCAGGTGCCAGGGGGGCGCAAGGAGGCATGCGGGCATCTGACCAATGCTCTTCATGGGTAGAGCATTGGGCGGGGGGCCCGTTTACGGGCTGACTGGGTAGGGCAGCTGGGCGCGGCTAACTGACACGGCTGAGAATGCCATACGGCAAAGGACAAAAGGAGCCTCATGGTAGAGGCTGAGGCCGAAGTTGGGCTGCAAGTCAGTTGAAACACAGGTTACCTTGTCAGAAGATAAGAGGTAATTGTGAAGTTGCATTTGGTGTTCTACGTACGGTCACAATCGACAGACTGCGTGTTGGCTGCGGGCGTGGCGGTGGGGCCACCCTCAAGCCTGCAGTAACTAAGGCTCAGCGTTTGCGGTGTGTTATCCTGGAGAAACATGGTGGTGGTATCATGGCGATGGCGGTGGGGCGAGGTAATCAACCTCTTCCGGTGCAACAGGTCCGTATTGGGCCTGCATGGGGAAGGGGAACACGCCAAGACGATAGGGCCCTTCATCGTACGATGAACCATGCTGCTAGGGCTCATTCGGTTTTGCAGCAGCCTGGTAGAGCATTGTAACCACGTGGACGATAGAAGCACCTGTGCTGCTGCAGGTGATCCCAGAGAGCGGCATGCATGTCCGCCGCCGCAAACACGCATGCCTGCATTCGCCTGCGTGTACCGGAGTCTCTGCGTTAGGCCGTCCTCCGCCTGTGTGTTTTAGGCACGCCTGGTATCTCCTTCCGAGCCCGCAACATTGATCACACGTCGTGCCGGTATGGCATCACACACAACCATACGAAACAGCATCAGCGGCGCGCACGCATATGCGCACTCACGTTGCCTGAACACACATGCGTGGGCCGCAAATCGCAGGCCCTGCGCCGCCCTCATGTTCATGTCGTGTCGGCGTCACTACACTGCTGCCACCACGTCAGATGACTCCATGTACCCCTCCACCCTGCACGCCTCGTTAACCAAACCCTAAACCACATCCATGCACGTAAAGGTGCCACGCCTGCATCGCTGCAGGCAGCACACGTCCGCGATGACACCTGCTGTCAGACACGGCAGCACTAGTAGCAGCGTCGTACCATTGTACCTAAAGCCGGCCCAGGGTGCCATTAGGGGAAGCAGCGCAGTCACAATACGCAGTCGAAAAATCCGGCCTAAATCCATAAATCCATTTGTGTCCATTATCCAGCAGCCAGCTATCCAGCAGCAGCAGGAGTAACCCCTCCAGTAACCCCATGTCTGAGGAAGGCCCCGGAGGCCCAACGACGCCCGCTGCAATGCACAGTCGCCCACCGCAGCAGCCCCCGGTCCTCATCACCACCCCCTTACAATACATTCCCTTCCCTTCCCCACAATCCCCTTTCCCTTGCACCACTCCCCTTTACACCGCGCTTCGCAACCCCAGCTGCTGGAACACATGCAGGATGTGCGCAGTGCCCGAAGCCCACGCCTGCGGGTAGCGCTGCGCGGAATGAAGGCTCAGTGGCGTCCCGCTGATCATCAGCGGCGGCGCCGGCAGACCACCTCCTCCGCCTCCAGCCCCACCTCCTCGGATAGCAAAGGAGCTGCTGCCTCCTCCGTACCCGCCGCCGCTGTGTACATCACTGTCCTCCTCCTCGTCTTCCTCGTCCCGGTGGGCGGACAGCTGGTGGCTGGGCAGCAGCGCGGCGCGGAGCAGGGCGGTGGGCTTGAGGCCCTGGGGTTGGGCACAGGGCGGGAAGGACGTGTAGGATTAAGGAGGGAATGAGGGAGAGGTATGATACCGGTATGTCTCTAGCCGAAAGGGGAAAGGCGGGGAGAGGAAATGGGAGGGTACCGGTAACAGATGGTGGTGAGAAGGGAAACTTAGTAACAATGAACGGTGAAGAGCAGCAGGAAATGGGGGGTGTTGCGGTTGGGGGAGAAGGATACGGATAAGTGAGAAAGGCGGATGACCCGCGGATCGCTCAGGCAGCGCTCACCTGCACCTCCATGAGCGCCTCCAGTGCCGCTTGCGAGGCGCCCGGGTGCACTCGTGGCCCACGGGTCAGGAGCTCCAGCGGGTCATCGGGGCCGGCGCCCTGGAGAGGGGAAGGTGAGGGGGCGGTGAAAACGCCGGGGCGTGGCGATTTCCGATTTTAATGGGTCGTACAGTACCGGTAAGTCGCCAGAACGATGCGGGGGTTTTCCTAAGAACCGTCGGGGTGAGCTCGCAGCACCTAAGCTCGGTATTCGTCAGGAATGCCAGTATGTCTTTGCATGCAAAAACGCTTTACCGGGCTTCCTGAAACCCCCCATCCATGCGCCCTCACGGCCTCACCTGCCGATAGAGTTGCCGTAGCATGGCCGAAAGTCCCCGCTCTCCGTACACAATATGCAAGAGCGTCGTCTGGGCGGCTTGTACGGCAGCCACCCCGGAAGAAATGTACGACGGAAGCGGGACCTCCAGCCCCAGCAACGCCTCTCCCAACGGTCCGCTCGCGAGCAGCCGCCGGGAGCCGTTAAGGCTACCGCTCGACAGCATGCGGTTGCGGTTGGCGTTATGTGCGGCAATGGCGGCGGCGTCGGTTGTGGCGGTTGGCAGTTGCGCATGTGCATCGGCCAGGTCTGATAGGATTTGCGTGTGCAGAGGAGTTAGCTGCTGCTGGGGACCTGAGGCGGCTAGGGCGGCTCTAGGGGCGGGAAGGGGAAGGTAGGGAGGGGGGGGGCAGCGGAGGGAGGAGTGAGCGAGCATGAAGCCATGATTCAGCGGTAGCTAAAGATGTCAGGGGCGTGGGCCAAGGTGATGTGGCGATGGAGGGCCATGCTATACGTGAAAGCACAACAATCAGGAAGGAAGGCACGCATGAAGCTCAAAGGTGTTAGCAGCTATGGAGAGGAGGACGGAAAAAATGAAGGCTTTTAAGAGGCAGAGAGGGAGGGAGAAGGAGGCGGCGTGGCCCAGGGCGGGGGTGCTGCGGGACCTGCTGCCCGCTCACCGCAGCATCTGCAGCTCCACTCGCCCCGAGCGACGCAGGTCGAGACCCTCCGCCACACGCCGCAGGGCCTCCTGCCGGGCCAGAGAGGAGGGGGGGGGGGGAAACACCGGGGCGGGTGGGAATTGATAGGGATACATGTTCCGCATGTGGGGGGTTGGGGAGGGGAGTGCACAGGGATGGGGATTAGGGTGCCGAAGATCAGGGCGCGGGCGTGAAGGAACGAAGGGAAGAAGGGAAGGTGTTAAGGAGGGACATAAGACGGGCAGGGAAAGGACGGGAAGAGGGGCGAAAGAGCGGGAACGCGACAGATGATGGCGCACATCAAAACACGCCTGCAGGTGTTCCACGCGAAACAACTTGTAGGAACGGCAACAGGAATTATACGGCAACAGGAAGTATACGGCAACGGGCAAGACAAGTCCCTCCCCTTCAGCGCCCACCTCCCATGCAAGTGCTCCTGCCCCGTCTGCCCCTCCCTCCCCCAAGCCTACACATTGGGTATCCTTCTCCCCCCCCAAGCCTACCCTCAGCTCCGCCTCGCCCCGCTCCCGCCTCAGCAGCCGCTGCACGTCCACGTCCCTCGCCGCCATCTCCTCCGGGGACAGGTGGTGCTTGCCGGTGGGAACTGCGGGGATTTGGGGAGGTGGGGGGAAGAGGTGGGGGGAAGAGGTGGGGGGAAGAGGTGTGCAAGCGGGCAACATGGGGAGAGACAAGGAGCGAGGAGGAAGTGAAGGGGCAAACGGAAGAAATAAAGCCGCCTGCAAGAAGCGCATAACTCCAAAACAAGCATGCATGCTTTTCAATTGCTTCGATACTACTCGATAGCTGTATTACCCCATAGCCAACGGACTTCACTTAACTTGTGGCGTTTCTGTGGGAGGACTTCATCTTCCGGCAATCACAGTACGTTCCCCCGTAACTCACCCCTAGGCGTGATTGCACCCGCCCAAGGAGCCGTGGTGGAGGTAATGCTGCCCGCGTCGCTCGTCCGTCGGGACTTGTTGGACCACTGGGACAGACGAGGCGGCAGACCCCACGTGTACGACGCGACGCTTCCGCTGCCGCCACTGCCACTGCCGCCAAACACACTAACCGCCGACGCACTCGCCGTCTTATCCACCAACCGTACCCTCGCGCCCGTCTCGTCCTCCCCCTCAACCGTTTCCGTTGCCCCGTACAAGGCGCTGTAAGTCACACTGGGGGCCCCCACCCGGTTGAAGGAGGAACGAGCAGCGCTGCTGCCGTCGCCGCCGCAGGCGGCAGCGGCGGCGGCGCCGCCGCCGCCAACGGCGCCGTCGCCGCTGCCGGTTGGATCGGCGGCGGACACCGGCGGAGATGCTGGACCCATGGGCCGGTGGGTGCGTTCGGCGGCGCCGCTGCCGCTGCCGACAATGTTGATTGAGACGTCGGAGCCATTGAGGCTGCCGCGAGCGACGGCGGCGGCGACGGCAGCGACGGCGGCGGCGGCATTACGTGAAGCGGCCTTCTCGGCATCTGGAGTGGCGCGGGGGGTCTCCAAGGGCCACTCCAGGTCCACGGCATCCTGTGATCAGGCGGGTGTGGATGCATGGATGGGATGAACTTATGATGGGCATGAGCCGATGGGCGTGAAAGGAGAGGAAAGGAAAGGGATATTGCCAAATTGGAGACGGTAAATGGCGGTGTAAGGGCGTTTTAATCGTCTGGCCGATTTGGCAAGTGGCAATGGGCACCTGGCGAAAACGTACGTACCTTCAGCGCTGCTGCGGACTCGGAGGGGGTCCACGCCGCCAGATCCTGGTCCGGGGCACACAAGATGAACACGGTCACCAGTGTCGGGGGAAGCCGGGGCTATACCACAACTATACCGGCAAATACCCGATATGCCTTTTATTACAAATCATGGAGGTCCCGTCACCTGCAGCCGCACCTGGGGCAGCTACCGGCACAGGCATGCACAAGCACCCACCCCCCCGGCCCCGCCTGCCTTTGTTGTCTCAGATTGACTAATTCAGACAGTATGGGGCCGGCCGGCTACCAAGTTTGCAACCCATGGTAAAGCCGCGTCATACAGCTCGCCAGTCTCCTCCATTTCACCCACCTGTTGCGCCATGACCAGCCTCCACACGTCCTCCAGCAGTCGAGCCGCCTCGTAGTCGTTGAGCAGCCCGTCCGAGTCGTCATCGTAGTCGTCCAGCACGTCCTTCAGCTGGGGGTGGGGCGGGGGGGTGGTATGGGGGGAAACACAAACGAGAATTACAGAATGCAGGACGGGGAATTGGTCATGAAGGGGTTAAGGGGCAACGGCCGGCTATCGAGCAGGGGGGATGGTTAGGTACATGCGGTGGCCGGTGGCATGCGGAGGGGGAGCATACCAGCACGTGGGGGAGGGGCCGCGCTGCTTAGCTTACTGCCCGGGCCTGGCCCGGGCAGGCACACTGCTGCATGCTCAGCTTGGCCCCCTGCCCGGCCGCCCCCCCTGCCCCCTCCCTGGCCCCCCCTGCCCCCCTCTGCCCGTCTGACCCTTTCATCGCTCAGCCTCAGCCCGCACGCCCGCACCAGCCGCCCCAGCTCCAGCATGTCCAGGTCGCCGCTGTGGTCCTGCAGGTGGTGGAGGAGCGGGTGTGAGAGCAGCGGGGAAGAAGGGAAGAAGGGGAAGAAGGGGAAGAAGGAGAAAAAGGGGGGCATGGATTGATGTAAAATTGATGTAACGAGGCGGCGTGACGTGGGTTTCCTTGACGGTCAGCCGTCAACGGGAGACGGAGTAAAGCGGCCCTTCCGTGACCGTGGTAGAGCGAGGCCAGGAATAGGCATGTGAGGACGTGCAGAGGACGAGGACGAGCAGAGCGCACCTCCGACAGTAACTCGGCATTTGCATTGGAGGTTAGATACCCCTACGGTGCTCACCCGGTCGTAGTAGGCAAACATGTCTGCCAGCAGCGCCGCCCGCTGCGGCGGCGGCAGTACGGCAGCTTCGGGGGCCAGCGGGGTGGCGGGGCCGTCGGATCCGGGCAGCAGCGAGCGGGAGGGGCGCAGCCTGCAGGTGCGGCGGAGGGTGCTGCATGGCGGGGGCCCGAGGGCAGGGGCAAGGGTGGGGAGGGGGAAACGGGGGGTGCGGAATAGGGGGATGGGAGGAGGGCGAGGAATGAGTGCAGGGGTGAAATACGGTAGACGTGGGAGGATTCCCCGGTTGAAAAGGGACGAAGCTCAGCCCATTCCCAGCCCCTCTCCGGCTCCCTGCTCTCCCTAATTGCTGTTGTTGGTAGGATAGCGAGGTGCCGTGCGCCTTCCTCCCAGCTCCTACCCCTCCTTCTCCTCCCCCTCCTCGGCTCAGATTATCTTCTGCCTCACCTGGCCAGCGCCTCCCCAATGGTCGCTCGCGCCTTGTCAGACGCCACCCCGCATGCAGCCTGCAGGTCCGTATCGTCAGCCACCTGCACAGGCAGCAGCAGCAGTAGCAGCAGCGTGGTGGGGGGGGGGGAGAGGCGGGTGGGGCGGGTGGGGTTGGTGTTGCTTGTTGGTGGAGAGGGGGGGGGGGTTGTTGCTAGCATGCTAGGAAAGATCTTTGCTAGGACAACAACGCGACGCAGATGAAAACCGCACACCGGGTTGCATGGAGGAGAAAAGGGAGGAACATGGAGGAACATGCGTAGGCGCCAAGGAACCAGGCGGGCGGAGGGCAGCGGCCTGCAAGGCATGCAAGGCATGCAGGCGAGATGGGCATGCAAGGCCCGCTTGCAAGCCCCTCCCCTCCCCCGCCCTGCCCCCCCCCCCTCCCCGGACCCCACCTCCAGCAGCGGTCCGTCCACTGCCAGCGCCAGGAAGCCGCCGCACCAGCGACCCAGCGAGCGACCCAGGGAGCTCAGCCACACCTTGGGGGGGAGGGTGGGAGGAATGGAAGGGAATGGAAGGGAGCGGGGAGTCGGACGCGTGCCGAGGGGAGGTGCAAAAGGAGCGAGGGTATGAATGTTGTTTTCTATGCGTACGGCGAGCCACAGGCTCCGCCCATTTCCATCCCTTTGCCGTGCCATATGGGATACGATACGACACAACCCACCTCCCTAATACCTGGCCCGAACTTGCAACTTCTTTCCGCGATTCTTTCTGGACACCTTACCTCCGCCACTTCCGCCAACTCCTGTATCCCCATTACCTCCACAACAGCTTTTGTTACCCATTTCTGCACCTCCAACATCCCCTCACAGCCAACTCACCACCGTGTCGTACATCGTCCAGTCCTCCACCGCCCGCTGCGTGTACGGCGGCGGCAGCAGGTGAGCGGCAGTAGCAGCAGGCCCGGGTGCTACAGCCGCATGCGCCGGCGACGCCAGGATCTGCGTGGTGAGGCTGCTGCTGCTGCCCGCTCCTGCCAGGGAGGCGCCCAGGGTTAGCGAGGAGGAGAGGGCTGGGGAGTCGCTGCCGCTGCCTGAGGAGGCAAATGTGGCTAGCAGGAGCTGCTCGGGTTGCTGGTGGATGTGTGCGGGATGGAGGTGCACGGGGGGCGGGTCGGGTACCAGGCGGAGGCCGGAGGAGGAGAGGGGGCTGTCGTGAGGGCGGCCGCCGGGGGAGAAGGTGGGAGAGGAGGCGGCTGACAGGATGTCGGCGACCGCGGCTCGAACCGCCTGTGGCAAGGGATGAGGGAAGGAGAAGGCATGGTAAGGAAGACAGACACAGGAGCGTTGGTGCTGCATGGCCGCGAGCCTCTTGCTATGCAGGCCTGGCGTTCGCGTTCGCTCTCCTGCCTTCGTGCCCTCCTAGCGGTTGAAAGAGCGGTTGAAAGGAGGCAGCTTTTTACCTGGGCCAGTGCCGTACCCGCCGGCGTGCCCTCCGCCCAGGGCTCCGGCGGCTGTGGCACCGTCATGTCAAGTACGGTCAACGGATACCGTTGTACGGGATACCCGGGAACCGGATCCGGCAACGGTAATGACGGTTCCGGATTGGGATTAGGCGCCCGTGCCGCTGCAGAGGCTGCGGCCGCAGCCGCAGCCGCCTTTCGACCCATGCCGGCAACGGCGGCCGCCGCGGCGGCGGCGGCGGAAGCCGGCGGCGGCACATGTAGCCGTACAACGAGTACGGCAGATAGCGGCGGGCCGGGCCAGGTGCCTGGCGGCGCCGTTAGTCTGGCGGTTAGGATTCGGCGCTCTATGGCCCAGCAGGGGCTGGCCTGGAGGGCGGGCGAGAGGACGACCACGGCCATGCGACACCGCTCCAGGGCTTCGGCCCTGCGAAGGAACAGGAACACGAGGGAAGCATGGCGGGAGAGGGTGAGGGTGGACGAAAGCCATGGTTGAAAAGAGGAAACCACAGTACGGCATGAACGTGGCCCTGGTACGGCAGTCGCGCAGGAGGAACGCGCACGTGAGGGGGAAGCCGCCTTAAAGCCGCGTCCCAAAACAGCATACCTCGTTTACGGTTCACCACCCATCCCATCTCAGCTCGTGTCTTTCAAGACACAGCGCTGCGCCCCAAACCCACCTGGCTAGCTGCGGATCCTGCATGCTCACACGGCTCTGTCCCAGCTCGCACCACACAGCCTCGCCGCCGCCTCCTACTCCTCCTGCTGCTGTACCTCCTCCGCTGCCGCTGCCGCCGCCGCCGTTGCTGCTGCCGCTGCTGGTGGTGGTGACGGCGGTCATGAGGGTGGTGGCTAGGGCGCGGTTGAAGAGGCGCTCCAGGAAGGAGGGGCCGCCGTCGGGGGCGGTGATGAGGGCGAGGGGCCGGGGTGGGGTGTAGTGGGGCAGGCGGAGAGCCTGCGGGTTTGGGTTTGGGCACGTGAAGGCGCGTGATGGGGTTATGAGTTTGGGAAAGGTGGTGGTGGTGGTGGTGGTTTGGTGGTGGTGGTGGTGGGCGGGTTGTAGCTGATTTGGGTCGCCGATAGCGGGAAACGGTTTGGCAATTAGTATCGGCTTACATGTGATGTGCCGTGCTCCGTACGTCCACCCAGCACCCACGCACCTGATACTCCAGGTTGACCTGCAACCGTTGTTGCCGCAGGACTGTCAGCTGCTGCTGCACCGAGCGACTGTGGGGAAAGATGGAACAAGAAGCAGCGGTGCCAATGTTCGTTAGGTCCGTTGTGTTACGGGACACGGAGTACCGGTAAGTCCGACGCATGCCGCCGAGTCAGGGTGGACCCAGGCCTACATGCTTCCGCAGGTTGTGTTGCCTGACATAGAACACATCATGCTAGGCGGCGTAATGAGAAGAGGAAACATAACAGAGGAGGAGCAGGAACACAACGCGCGCTTACCTGAAGGCCTGCTGCTCTCGGACCATGGTCTGGTGGGCAGGAGTGATCACGACGGCATCCGGGGCGGCAGCAGCAGCACGTCAGGTGATGATGAGCGAGATGGGTGGTAACAGGACCAACAGTCAGCCAGTGCACGTGATGTTGAGCAACGTTAGAGAGGGAGAGGTCAGAATGCACGCAGGATGCACGGCACTGCATGTCTCTGTGGTCAACGCTGTCGGCACCCGTACCTGGACGCGTGCATTGTAAGCCGCCTCGTCTGCTGCTGCTGCCGCTGCCGCCGCCTTGCTGTCCCTCACCGCCTGCTTCTCCTCGAGGTATTGCCTGAGGTGCATGACGTGGGAAGCATGGGGAGGGGATTCATGGGCTACGGCTGTGTGCCGAGAGGAGGATGCGCTGCTCAGGGAACAGGTGCAGTAGAGTTGTGCACTGATTGTTACAATTTAGCATGGATGGAGGTAATGATAGCTTCACAAGCTTATAGCCCTTCGCTCAATTAAGCAAACGGCCATTGCAAGTAGGGACATCCAGAGCTTTAAAGGGTGCGTATCTTTGCCATACAGCGTAATAGCCGGATAGCCCACGCATGTCAGGGTACAGTGCTGCCAACCTGTGAAGCTCTTCTTTACGGCCTTGGAACCAGTCCTCTGCGTTCGCAGCGCGCGCTTTCCTCCATTCCTCGGGAACCGTCCGCGGCTGACGATCGGTCTCTGCATCTCCTCCGTTGGGAGGTGCTAATAATTCCGTTTCTTTCAATGTCATGGTTGCACACGCTAGTACCTAACTACAAGCAAACTTTCTACGCCATATCGTGCGTCCGAAAGAAAGTTCGGTGCAACATGTAAGAGCGCCGACGCCTGTATTGCACACCTAGAAGCCCTGGAGGTACAGACTTGTAATAGCATATATCATCAAACCGTTGGAGTGCTATTTAAAGGTATAGCTTTTACGCAACTTTTTAACATGTAACATTTCAGGCTGTAACCTACTCAACTGGAGTGCCTACGAGACTAATAGAAACCAAGAGGTAGAGCATTTGTTACACTCTAACCCTTTTCCCTGGCGTTTAAAGGTAGATGCGCGCGTCTGTATGCTGCGCGTGCGGACAACGTTGTACGAGCCGAGCAGGGTTGTACTGGTCGAGAATCACCCAAGTCTGCACCCAGCTACCTTCCATGACATGTTCATCACGAGGTATAGTCATGTGTGCGGAGGTTGGCATTGAGGGCGCAGGTATGGGCGTGTGCATGGGCGCCGGTCAAGGGCCTTGGGTCTAAGTCTCCGGGTCCGCAGCCCCTGGCACCCTCCGGTGGTAAGTCAGCTTCAAGATCCAACGGTCACACCGTCAATCCGCAATTGCGCTGCCCCGACACCTTCATTAGCGGGGCAGGCACACCAGCCCCACCAAGGCACGTGAAATAAGTTGCGGCAACTTGGGGCCAAGCGGGCACGCCGGTGCCGGGGCCCTCAGTCCACGTGGATCGATACGCACTCCATGCGTTGAGTCGCATACTTAGTAGGGGTGTTTCTATGGGCTTAGGTTTGGTTTCGGACCGAACCTAAGCCAACCTAAGTGAATCTCGTCCCATGCTCGTCCCACCAATACTTAGCTAAGTTGCTGCTAAGTTGCTAAGTGGGGTGACCCCGCTTAGCAACTTAGCAGCAACTTAGCACCGGCTTAGGGTGGAGCGAGTGGAGCCAGCGGGCCCTACTCATTGAGCCTGCAGACCTTCGCATACAGACAAACAGTCGGGGATACTAAGCAAGATGACAAGGTTGCATAGTTGGCATTCCGGACCTTGTTTTTGATGTTAAAATGCCCAAGAAAGCAAAAGCAATTCCTCAATTGTCAACTTGAAAAATGCGAGATTCCAGCGCCACCCCATCTTGCAAACACGTTGCGTTAAAAGTGTCCTCATATGGACATTCTGCAAAATATGACGGCTTTCATAGGCTGCACCCGTGTGACATACCTGAGGGCGTTTGGGGGCATGTGGGCTGTGTCCTTGCTTCTTTTTGGAGAATCCTCCATTCCTTTCATAGAGGCTACATATACCCGAAAGCAAGCAACGTACTTCCCGTCATTTGCCACATGTATGGCACATTTTGCGTGTCTTGTTACGGGTGCCTTATCTCACGGAGCGGAATCTCCATTTAGCCAGCTCCACCATCACCCCTTGCAACAGAGCCGGTCGAGGGTCATCTAACCTATGGTTATCTTCCACCACACCCCTAGTGTGGTCCTCACAAGCGATATGTGCTTTGCGCTCCCTTGAATTGTAAGGTCCCACGGGCCCCTGACAGCAGCAGCTTTGCCCACTGGCAACCCAGGCCCTTGCAGGGGTCGTCCATTCTCTGCGAAGGTAACTTATGGCAGAACCTAGGCGTTTCCGTTCATGTGCTTCCTAGTTCCTACATGCATTCCCACATGGCTTGTCACGCAACTTGTCCTGTTGTTCCAGTTCACGTGCTATGGGTTGTTCTGTTGCCCGAGGTAATGTAAATTATATCCTTTCCTAACCATCAGGGCCGCAAACGGAAATCCACCGCTGCATCTATCCGCGAGCGCCCCTTTTTTCTTGGCTTTATAAACAGTTATTTCCCTATCCTGTAAGGATAAAGATTATGGTCTTATCATAAGGCTGGTTTCACCGTGGTTCCTGAAGTCCATAGAAACAGGTCACTTAGGAACACTTAGGAGCGCGTAGCGTACGACTTAGGTTTGCTTAGGTTTGGTTTCGGACCGCGCCCATAGAAACACCCCTAGTATCTGACGTTCTGCTAATTGCTATGTCAGGGGGTTCGATGGATTGCAGACTGGTTACAACAGCAACCGGACAGGTCTTTGTTCGTGAAGGAGGTTTGGATCCACAGTCGGTTGCCAACCTCTCCGAGCGACAACGACCTAAGGAGTTGACCAACATCCTACTGTGATGCACCTATTCTATAACCCCATGTAGGAGCCAAAGGTCGCACGCAACCGCCCGCCAAAACACGACACGAAACTTTCCAGCGCCGCCCAGCTTTAATTATGCCCTCCGCGTAGGATACACAAAGCCGAGAGGCCTATGAAGGACTGCTTTGTCGATGATGGAAAAACTATTTGCTAGTAGCTCAACAAACCACACGTTATGGTCAGTATTAATACGCGGCCACATACGATGGAGCGCCTTTCAGCACACAGACACAGACAAGACAAGAGCCGAAAAAGAGAGTCAGATGGAGTATATCCTCACTTCCAACGAGACAACCGGGACACACCCGCATATCAAGGTGGGACACTAGTGGGGCGCCTACTTTCCCTCTCCTTTTCTCACGCCTTCTTCTGTGTCTTTCGGCTTGAGTATTTCACCCTTTCCCTCATTCTCACCTTTGCACAGTAAAGAAGCCGTAAGCTGTACCGTCAAACAGCCCACCACAACAATGCTGCGATGCCTCCACTCCAAAACAGCGTCCACCTCCAACCGGCTCGTTTTAGCGACTGGCTGGCACTGAGACCAGCTGATGTTATGCACACGTACGCACCCGCCATACGTTGCAACAGACAGTTTGTTGTAAGATCCGGTATCCGGTCGCACGAGACGTAAAACCGCTGGCTGGTGTACAGCCAGCGCCTTCTGCATAGACTCCACGGTAACAGAACAAAGTAAAACCACAGCCGACATGGACTTCCGGCAATCACACACAGTACGTTCCTGGTCCTCGTCTCCCGTGGTGTTTTGGTGGGGCCGATCAAGTACGTTCCTACTCGCGGCCAGTTTCCTCAACACAGTACGTTCCGACTAGCAGCGCACAATTTTGTAGAGACACGCTACACAAATTAAGCCTCCTCAGATGGCGTCAAACTCGTGCTGGCTGATGTACTGCACCCGCACGGTGCTGCCCGCGAAGAGGCGCCCGTGGATGGCCGCATGCGCCCGCTGAGCTGCCATGGAGTCCCGGAAGGACACGAACGCCTGCGGAGGTGAGGTGGGGCGTAGGGTGAAGAGCTGAAGACATAACGGGGACATGTAAGGACACGTGGGGGCGTGCCCCTCTGGAGGGGCAGTGATACATGCAGGGTGGGGATACAGCCCATGGTTGCGGTAATCCTAATACGGAGCGATAACAAGGCACACAGGTGCGACCGCAGGCGAGTGCAAGCATGCGCGCTGGACGTAACCATCTCTCATATCCATACGCTCCCCACATGCTCTTCCCTTACCTCCCCATAATGGTTGACCCCCATGAAGCCAGTCGAGGGGTCAGCCCGCATGTCCACCGGTGGCCTGGGAACCTTCACCGCGACCACGCCTCCGGGCGCATGCCTGTCGCACTCCTCCGTCAGATCCTCAATCACCTGGCGGGGTGGTATCGGGGCGGGGCCGGAGGGCGGAGCATTGCGGCGGGGGGAAGGGCGGAAGCGGGGTGAGCAGATTGTCCGTTGGGTCGCGATATTGCAGAGAGCGAACCCGGCACATGACGCGTTTGTGGAAAGAGCCGCTCACGCACATGGGAGACCGTCGCGAACTGCACCATGGTAAATTAGTCCTATGGTCGACACAATTCAACGGCACCCACAAAACAACGTTCCCCACCACCGCCCCAGTAACACCCAGCAACTGCAACGAAGAAATTGCGGCCTTTTGCAATGTCTCGCGCAGTCCTTGAAGCCTGCCGGTTCCAACCAACCGCAACCACCGCCGGCAGCAGCTCTGGCGTCGCGCTTTCGCAGCAGCAGTAGCAGCAGCAGTCGCGATGCCGTAGCAGTGACAGCCGGGCGTTTTGTCTGGGCCGGGGCCTCTGGGGCTAAGTCTGGGCCACAGGGGTTGCGACTGCATGCATGCGCATGCGGGGCTCTACCGCCCGGGCACAGTACCTACGCACAGAAGCAGTGCGCACGCGCAACAGCAGAGGCGCTGGGCACACAGCCGCATGTGTACGTGCGTGCATGCGGGTTGCTGTATGGCCGATTGACAACTCCCCCGTATGACCCATGGGTCAGCGGTCAAGAGGGATATCCTGTCGCCTACCGATCACCACTAAGCCCTGTGTTTTTGAAGCCCGCCCGCCCACTTGTTATTGTGTCCAACATACCAACTCCTCTCTGTCTACCTCCTCATCGCATAACAGAACCCCCTAATCATTCCCTCATGCCCCAAACCCCTAAAACACGCACACGCACTGTCAACTTACGGCTTCATACTCCTCGTCGTCTTGCAGCATGTCGGCCGTCAGCATGCCATGCACGCAGAAGAACGGCGTCGGTGCCCCCCCATCCACCTCGCCGCCGCTGCCGCCGTTCTCATAGCCTGCTGCTGTGGCTGCTCCATCCCCCTGCTGCCCCTGCGGCACCCCCTCCTGCTGCTGCGTCCTTTGCTGCCCATCATCCACTCCCGTATGCACCGGCTGCTGGGCTGGCGGAGGTGTGAGCTCCTGGCCTCCGACAACAGCAGCAGCAGCACCCGCGTCTGCACCATCTCCAGTGGCCGCAGCGGTGTCAGCAGCCCCGGAAGCTCCTGCAGCAGCCCCCTCCACACCTGCTCCCGCCGCATCCGCACCCGCAGCTGCTGTCTTGGGCAGCATCAGGTTGGCTAGCCCCAGCTGCGCCAGGTTCATGCCCGCAGCGGTGGCGTTGGCGGCCAGGGCGTCCATGTCGCCCGCCTGCGTTTTGTATCGACGAGTGCACGCACATGGCAATGAAGGAAGCTGTTGGAGTGAACAAAACGTACGACGACAAGGAATGGGGCACGCGAGGCCAGACGGATGGATGGCCGGTTCTGAGCAGGTGTTTTGGAGGCCAGGGCGTGCCGGATCATTCGACCTACATCTATGTCGAAGTGCATAAACCCTCCAGCTGATCTCCCAATCCCCTAGCCCCAAGTCCCACCTCCTACCACACCTCCTGCCCCCCACCTGTTCCGAGTAACCGTTCACACACACCACCCTCACCTGGAAGGCTGCTAGCGCCTGTGCCGCCGCCTGCGCTGCCGCCGCCGCCTTGTGCGGATCCACATAGCCGCTGGGGCGACCCACGGAGATGGTCTGACCCAGCAGCTGAACCTGAGGGTGAAAGGGGTTGAGCAGGTAGGTACAAGCCAGGGAAAGCGCGGAGGTTGAAAATGGTACGATAGATGGGAGCACGAGCAAGGGAGAAGATGCTTGACCGTCTCCGTACCAATCACAGCCGTAGCCACGCCTCCAGACTCGAGCCAACACCTAGGGCGCTCCTCCCTAACCCGAGACGCCCATGGGTGGGGCAATCCCAGCGCCCCGCCCCTACCTGAGCGTTCAGCGCCAGCGCCGCAGTCGCCATTTCGGGGCTCCGGAACTCCACAAACGCGTAGCGTCCGTCGCTGTGCAGGTTGACGTTCACCACCGGCTCCACGCCGGGACTGACCGGGAAGGCGGCGGCGAGGGTGGTGTTGAAGAGCTGGCGGAGGGCCACATCCGTGACGGCGCCCGGGACTAGGTTGCCGATGTAGAGCTGCATGGGGTGGGGGGATGGGAGGACGGGGGGGGGGGAGAAATTCCAATGTGAAAGGTTAGGGCAAAGCAAAGGGGATAGGCGAGGTGGGGGAGGAATGGGAGCGAGGCATTACTGGGTGGACAAGGTTGGGAGGGGCTCGGTATCGGCGGTAGGATGGATTGTGTTGAAGAATGGATGCAGGTAGCCGCACCAGGTTGCCGACATGGAACTGCATGGGGGGGGCAGGTATGCGGTATCCGGCCCGTCCTGCTCATTTCTCACCTCCCGCTGTGTCTTGGCGGACGCTGCCGCCGCCGAGGCCGCCTGCTGCTGCAGCACCATCTGCCGACTCCGCAGCTGCTGCTCCAGCCACAGGCGCTGGGCTGCGAAGGAAGCACAAATCAGGGGGAACAGGAAGGGAGGGAGGGTTCAGTGGGGCGGGGCGTCAACCACGAATCAGGGCGAAACAATGGGGGAGTTGGCGCGCAACCGGTGTCCAGGCGGCCAGCGCCTCGGCCGCCTTGTTATGCCTAGCCCCCCGCCAGCACAGCGCGTATGGCTGGAGCATGCACCGACAATCGGTTCTCGCGTACAAACTATCAGGTGCACAGTCAGCCTTTCACGGAATAGCCTGGTGAGCATGACACGCATGCATGCATGCACCTTGCCGTACCTTCAGCCGGGTCTGTAGGCACGTTTTGCCGCAGGTAGTAGAAGGGGTCCTGGATGTAGGCGGGGCCAGCACCCGGGGGAAGCGGCTTGTCGAACTTGGCGGGGTCCTGCGGGGGGTAGGGATGGGGTGCGGGGAATGGGTGGCGTACGGCGGCGTTCCGGATAGCACCTACGGTAGCATGGGGACAGCCGAGAGCGCATGCGAGCCGTATGGGATCCAGCCAACTAGCCTGCATGCTACAATTTTCACATGCCCACCACATCCTGCCATCCCTTGACTCCATGCACCCCATTCCCCATAGCTTTGGTGCTTGCTGTGTCGGCCGTTAGGCATGTGTACTAATTACTAAGCCGTGGCTTTCGCCCTGCATGGCTCCATGCTCAGCATCTCCGCCCCCATCCATGCCCGCGACCCAACAGCTGCTATCGCTCCACCCCGACACGGCACCACCTATCGTCGCTCCTCCAACCCCAGCTCTCTAGCTGCCCGTCCGCTCCGAAACCCATCCCCCTAGTTGGGGTGGGTACACATTGGGTATTCTTCTTTTCCCCCCTAATAGTCCTCACGACCAGGCGGCTCACCGGCGGCACCTGACGTCTCCGCGGCCGGTAGCCCCCGTAGCCCTCCTCATCGCTGTGCTCCCGCTCCCCCCGCCGCCCCCGGCCGCCGCGACCCCGCCGCCCCTCGTCGCGCTCGCGGTCCCGGTCGTCACGTCTGCGGGCTCGAACATGGTACAGGACACAGGCGGAGGCAACGTGAGCACTGTGCGCATCCATGTTTATCGTTATTAGACGATTGATGCTCATGCATGGGGAGCGTCCCGGAAATTGGAGTTCTTTTCATCCAAGTGGGTTAGAAAAAGCTTCCTCAAGGTGCCCCGCAGGGGCCACAGGGGGCCAGATGGATAGGCATACCGCTCTAAATGGAGACAACTAGGATGTGTGGCTGTCGCCTATACTACGACAAGTGAGATCGGGTGACCGCCGCTGGCTGACACGGTTTCGTACCTGCCATCATAGCGATCCCTGGATCGAGAGCGCCGCCGGTCCCGAGACCTGTACGAAAGGGATTGCAAGGTGAAAGCTAGTAGGTAACTTGAAAGGCAGCGGTTAACAGTAGGTCAGGAAGGGGGTTAAGAGGTCATGGTCAACAGGACAGGGTGGGGGGTAAAGAGGTGAGAGTCGGTAGGTGCGCAGGAGCAGTGGAAAGCGGCGGTGTGGTGCCCAAACAAAGCGACAGGGCGCTGGGAAGGAGCTGCAAGTAGCCGGACGGATACTCACACCCCACGTGAACCCTACTAGGTACATGTTGGTCTTGCAGTGACGTACCTGGACCGGCGACGCTCACGCCCATAGTCTCGTGGGTCGGACCGCGAGTCCCGGTAATCCCGACCCCCCGGAGGAGGGCCGCGATGGTCGTAGCGGTCATCTCTCCGCCGGTCACCACGATCGCTACCCCAGTCACCACGATCACCGCGATCCCGCTCATCGCGGCGTCTATCGAAGTCACGGGGAGGTTCCCGATCGTAGCGGTCCCGCTCATAGCGGGAGTCGCGGCCTACGCCATCATCCCTCGATTTGGCGCGGGTGCCCTCATAGCCACGCTCTTCCTGGTAAATCCTATCATGTTCCTCCGGATAGTCATCAACATCTCCCATAATTGAGTACTAGTTCCGCGATGGGCTGGGAGGCTGCACCAAGACTAAGGGGCGAGCCCCCCTTTTGTCGTCCGTTGTTCGGCGCAGAGAGAAGTTCGTAAAGTTTAGGAAGAACTATACTAGCTTCGCTGCAAAAGATGTGCCCTCGCTTCTTAACGAGTTGCGAATGAGAATGCGACAGAGTCCGCCGTCTGTTCAGGTATGCCTAAATTAATGCGGAACCGGCCTTGCAAGGATTCCTATATCTGTGTTCACAGCATATCCCTAGGGTCTGCCGCTTCTTCTGTACAGTAGACCATGCACCGTACAACCCATTCCGGTCTGGTCCGTTGCTCCTTTCCCCCTTGTAACTTTCGCATTCTACCACCCTTCCTTGCATCTTGTGTCAAAAGCCGTTCAATCGCGTCCATCAGGCAAAATGCCTTCCGCTTGCGCTTTCTTTCCTTTTGCATAACTTTAAAGATAGCAGTCTGCTTCGCGGGTTGCAAGGCCTGGGGAGTACTGAGAAGCCCAGGGTGAATCAATCATGGAGACCATCTACGTAGGCCTCCTGGGCTGTCTGGCCGTGGTCGTCATTGGACTCTTGCTGTCCCAGGTGTGTTAGATGGTCTGTTGTAAACACTGTTTGAGTTGCCCGTGCAAGGCGACTTATCAACAGATATCGTGACAAAGGAGAGACGTATGCCAACCGGTGATCGGTGTATTGGCCAGTCGAGTAAAGTTAACCGCAGATTGTGAAGCTGACATGTCTTTGGATTGTCCCCGCAACACATACTAACGGGAGATCGAAATTTTATTGCTCCAAATCCTTTCCTTGTCTGCAAACACCTTGATCAGGCTAAGGATGGCGATTCAGTTGCCGGTTCAGGCAGCCATGCCTTTTACGCCTTGCGCAACAACTATGTCTTCGTTTATGCGCTGATGATGGGTACGTTGCCGTTATTACATACATATGGGTCTGGATCAGGGATGAGAAACTGTCGTTCTGCGCGTAGATGAAGGGCCACGCTTATCGCCACTGACATGTCCACAATACAACCTTAGCCGCGTTCCATGACCCCTTTGACCTCACCCATATCCATGCCCGGATATTGTTCCCGTCAACTCAGCTGGCGACTGGCTACAAGGCCCCTACGTGTACGCTCTGTATCAGCACTACGGCTATGACGTCAAGGTACGACACTGCCGTACGGCTCCCCCATTCGCAGCAGGCTCCTCCCTTCTGGGCCTTCTGAATGTGCCTTTATCTTGCCGAACCGTTTACAAAGCAGTGCTATCAGTCCGTTGCAGGATGGTGTCCGTCCGCTTTCTCGGCACCCATACCTGCTTGTCCGCGCTCACCTCCCTACCACCCACCTCCCCTCCTCCCTCCTTCTCTCCTCTCCCCTCCCTGCAGGACATCGGCCGGCTGTTCATCGCGGGGTTCGGCTCCTCCATGGTCTTCGGCACCGTGGTGGGCTCGCTGGCGGACAAGCAGTGAGCAGTGGGGGTGGCACTGGGGAAGAGGGAGGGGCATACACATACAGATATGCACACGCATACTTGCCAAGGTCAGTGTCAATATAACATACCATGTCGCAGCTTGGTTAACCTCGTCCTCCCTTCCCCGCCCTGCCCTCCCCGCCCCTGCCCTTTTTGCCCCTGCCGCCCTCCCCGCCCCTGCCCTCTCCCGCGGGTAGTGGTCGCAAGAAGGCCGCCCTGCTGTACGTGCTGACGTACGCAGCCTCCTGTGCCACCAAACACTCGCCCCAGTACGGCATTCTCATGGTGAGTGCGTACGGCAGGCGAGGATTATACGGCAAGAGGAGTTGGAGGATGAGGAGCAGGTGTGATCGCCACCTTTCGCCTTCCGCCTCCTCCCCCACCTGTCAAAACCCCTCCCCTTACATCATCCCACACCCGGCCACCCCTTCCACCCTTCCACCCGGCCACCCCTCCCCCGAATAACAGCTTGTCGTTTTGTTTTCCATTCATACTCCACACATTAAGTATTCTTCTTTCCTCCCCATTGTTTTGCCCCAACCTGTGGTTTCCTATGGTTTGGTATGGTTTCGGACCCCCTCCCCCTCCCCCCACGAACAGCTGGGTCGGCTGCTGGGCGGTGTGGCCACCTCGCTGCTCTTCTCCGCCTTCGAGAGTTGGCTGGTGGCGGAGCATGCGGCGCGGGGGCTGGAGCCCAAGTGGATTGGCAGCACCTTCTCATGGGTGGGCACCTGGGGAGGGGGGAGGGGAAAAATTAAATATGTGAAACAACGAGTCCCAATCCCATATCCCGACTCATGCAGTGCAGTGAGGGGGGAGGGGAGGGGAGGGGTGCAACTCGACTAGGAAGGCCGCGATGGAAGACTGCACACTGGCCACTGCCGAACTGGGGCGGGGCGAACTGACATGATAGGGTTGGAGCGAGGGACGGCAAGCCAAACCATGACCACTCAGGGGTGTTCAGATGGGTTGTTGAGAGGCCTGAAGACCATTAAGTAAAATGCAACAACCCAACAAACCATTTATACAACCATTTTTTGCAGAGGTGCAAGGTGTAACATGCTCCCTCCATGCCAGCCTCAGTGCCTCCCCCCTGCTCTCCTCCCTCTCCCCCCCTCCTCGCAGGCTGTGTTCGTGGGCAACGGCCTGATGGCCATCCTGTCCGGCCTCATCGCCTCCTTCCTGGTGGACAAGCTGGGGCTGGGGCCGGTGGCGCCCTTCGACGCGGCGGCGCTGGTGCTGCTGGTGGGCGGAGCGGTGGTGGCCCGGTCGTGGCCGGAGAACTACGGGGCTGGCGCGGCAGGGGGAGCGGCGGGAGGAGGAGGAGGGGGAGAGGGGCTGGTGGGCACGTTGCGGCGGCAGTTTGCGGTGGCAGCTGGGGCGATCCTGGGAGGTAAGGGCAGGTGGTGGGGAAAAAGGAGGTTCGAAGCGGCTTCGTGTTCTCTTTCCTTCTCCATGCCCCGCTACCTGGGTCCTCATGGCCTCCACCCCACCCCACCCTTCCCCCGCACACCAATTCTTCTCACTTTTACCCCCCACTCCTTTCCCGCCCCTCCTCACCTCCCTCCTCACCTCCCTCCTCGCCTCCCTCCTCGCCTCCCTCCTCGCCTCCCCACCTCTCCAGACCAGCGTATCGCCCTGCTGGGCGCCATCCAGTCGCTGTTCGAGGCCGCCATGTACAGCTTCGTGTTCCTGTGGACCCCCGCGCTGGCGCCGGGCGGGGAGGCCATCCCGCACGGCATGATCTTCGCCTGCTTCATGACGGCGTCCATGGCGGGCTCCTCCGCGTCTGGAATGCTCATGAAGCGGGTCAAGGTGTGTTAAGAAAACTGGCCGCGAGTAGGGGGGGAGAGGAACTGACGAGCTGATGGCGAGGCTTCACCATGGGTTGTGGGGGAGGTTGGGTTTTGGTGTGGGGAGGGAGCAGGGAAGGATTGGTGGCTGGATCAATGCTGGCTTGGATACTGGGTGGAGGCGTTTCGGTATGAGGGAAGCGAAGAGAGCGGTTGAGGCGGCTTGCCTTCCCAGGGCGCCTCTCAGTCGGGCCATGGGACTGGTATTACTGTGCTTCTCTCCCCCTCCCTCTTCCCACACCCCTGTCTTCTCCAACCCTACTTCCTCCCTCCCCTCCCCCCTCCCCCCAGGTTGAGACCTACATGAAGTACGTGTTCTCGCTGGCCGCAATGGCGCTGGCGGTGCCCTTCCTGTGCAACGTGGACCTGGGGCCGGGTGAGGCCCGGGGGGAGGGAGGGGTGAGGCGGGGGAGGGAAACGAAATGAGAAATGAAGGAAAAGGGGGGAGGTGCGAGAGGGGATATCCGCTAATGCAGCAACCAACAGCCGCCTGCCGACCCAACCTCTACCGGTACCTCTCAAACCGTCTTTTTCCCTCCGCCCCTTGTTATCTGCTTGACAGCTTTCAGCTTCTACCTCTCTCTTTCCCTAACCTCCTTCTACCCTTGCCTTCCCGCCCACTTAATGCCAATCCGCAGGGCTGCTGGCGCGCAGCAGTCGCCGCCTGCTGCAGGCGGCTCAAGAGCAGCAGCACCAGGGCGACGCAGCAGCAGCAGGGTTGTTTGACTCCTCGCTCCTCACGGCGGAGGAGAGCGGAGGTGTGGGTCGCAGTCTGGCGGGGGCAGCAGCGGCAGCGGCAGGGGCAGCAGTGCGGGGCATCAGCCTGCAGGGGAAGATACAGCTGGTGGCGTTCTGCGTGTTTGAGGTGGGCTGGGGGCTTGGGTGGAGGGCAGGGAGCGGGCTGTGGGGGAGGGCGCTCCTGCTCCCTTCTCTCCCGCCCCAGTCGCGGTGCTTGTAGCGGCACCTTCTAGCCCTCCACGATTATCCTCCGCTTCATCACTCCTCCTCACTCCACATCCTTCCTCCTCACTCCACTTCCGAAGCCTGGCTTCCGCATCTCTCACCTGCTCCCTCCCCCCCATGCGCTCACTGCATGAGTCGGGATATGGGATTGGGACTCGTTGTTTCACATATTTAATTTCCCCCCCCCCCTCCCCCTAACTTAATTCCATTCGCCCGGAGCTTGTCGTCTGGTTTGCATTCTCATTCAACGCATTGGCAATCCTTCTTCCCACCCCCCCTCCCCCCATGCAGGTGCTGGTGGGCGCCTTCTGGCCCTCCATGATGACCCTCCGCGCGCGCTTCATCCCCGAGGAGACGCGCTCCACCATCATAAACATCTTCCGCATCCCGCTCAACCTCTTCGTTTGCGTCATACTCTACAACGTACGTGATGGGCACGACAGCGGCTTGTGTTGCGTACGACAGCGGCTTGTGTTGGGGTTTAGGGCGGGAGAAACGGAATGGATGAAGCGGGAGAAGCTGTTATGCACAAAGTCGGTGCTCTGGTCAGCGTGTATTGTTGGGTGCATCAGGCATCCTTCCTTCTTAAAGCCTCCTTCCTCAACCTCACTTTCAACACATACCCTATACCGCTATCCCCACCCCAGGTGCACCTCTTCCCCATCTCCTCCATGTTCGCCCTGTGCGCCACCTTCCTGGCCGTGGCGGCGCTGCTGCAGGTGGGGGAAGAGGGGGGTGATGGGGAGATGCGGAGGAACAGCGCAGCCAGGGTATAAAACCGCGCAGGTGGCGGGTAGCGTGACGGGGTCCGGACATCGAACCGGGCTGGGGACGGGGTCAACCATCCCACGAGGATCACCACCGCCGCCGTCCTGGCTCCCGCACATAGGGCCTGTTACCTAAGTTACCTTACCGTCCTCCGGTCCTGCGCCCCATGCTCTAGACATGTGCTGCACATGCACTAGCGATCGCCTTATAGTGGACCCCAGTTGTGCCTTCCAACCCGCCCGGTCCGGCGGGCTCCTTTTCCCCTGCTCGCCGCAGGTCCGGCTGGAGAAGCTGATCCAGCAGAGCGCCCCGCCCGCCTTCTCCTACTCCGCCAAGGGGGCTGCTGCTGCGGGCGCGGTGGGGCTGAGGGACCTGCGGGGCTCGCGGGAGGGAGACACGGAGGAGCCTCGGTCCGAGAGGTGACTCTTTGCCGGGCAGCTGTTTCGACGACGCCGCAACGTGCCGGCGGGGGAGAAGGAGAGGGAGGGGACGATGGTGGGGGAGGAGGAGGCGGCAGGGGGGAGGCTAGGCACGGTGATGGCGGCGATGCGGCGGGAGGAGGAGGGACAGCTGCCCGGGTTTTTTGCTGGGGGGCGGGGTTCGCATGGAGGAGAGGGTGCAGCAGGGGGGGTGGGGGCGTTGCAGGCGGGGCTGCGAGGGCTGCTTCCTGCTGGGAGAGATGCTGGCGGGATGCTGGGAGTGGGTTCGGGAGGTAGCGGTAGGTCGGAGGTGCAGATGGACGCGGCACAGGAACACTACCATTATCAGCAGGGACACCACCAAGGGCAGCAGCAGTTCGCGGGCGTCCCCCGGCGTCTGTTCGGCTCCCTCCGGCCCCAGCCCCTGGCCGCTGCTGCTGGTGCTGCAGCCCCTCATCCCGCGGGGCCGTGGCCAACCATGGAAACAACGGAGGGTGGCGATGCTACGGCAACAGCAACAGCAGCAATGACCGCGCACCAAGCGCACGCGCCAGTAGCTGCGGAAGCAGCAGCGGCGGCGGGAGCGGCTGCTGCCACCGTATATGGACCAGCGGCTAGCGGCGGCGGCGCCAGTGCGGGTGGCGGGGGCCCCAGTGCTGGTACTGGAGGCGGTGGCGAGGAAGCAGCAGCCTCCCCCTCCCCCTCCAGGTCCCATCACACCACCTCGCGGTCACAGGCGACGAATCGCTCGCCGCCGAGCGCCCAGAGGCGACCACAGCAGCAGCAGCAGGGGCTCGCGAGGGCGGGCGGAGCGCCGTCCTCGGTATCACGTCAGCAGTATCGTGGTGGTCGTGGTGGCGGGGGTGGCGGTGGGGTGTCACCGGAGGAGGAGGACGCAGCGACGAGGAGGAGGACGCCTGAGCGGGGGTCTGTGGGGGCGCGAGGAGGTGGAGGTGGGGGAGGTCGTGGTGGCAGCCATCTGCAGCAGACGAGTAGTGGGCGTGGTAGCGGTGGGGGTCGGGGTGGGGGAAGAGGAGGAGGTGGGGCTACTTCTTCAGAGGCGGCCACAGCGTCCTCACTGCAGCTACGTAGGAGTCCGCGGCTGGCCGCTCGGAGCCATCAGCAACAGCAGCAGCCTGGGGAAGGGGAAGAGTGAATGGGTGAGGGAACACGGGAGCTTCTGAGCATGGCCATGGGGTTGGTGTTTTTTAGACAAGCGTTGGATACGGCTGGTTGTGCGCCATGTGAAGTAGCGCCCGTGAAGGTAAACGGCGGTGTACGGAGGAAGTTGCTGTGGCTGCAGGGCTTTGGAGGAGGTTGGGGATTGCGTTGGGAGCGTTGTGTTGGGCAAAGCCTTGGACAGGCGGTTAGTTGGCAGGTAGCGTTGAGGTTTCTGACAGTCCAGAAGGTTTGGAAGGGGTATACATGGAAAAGAGGCCTCGTTGGGTATTGGATGGTGGGTCGAGGCATCGAAGAGGGGTTGAGGTCCCAACATCGCATCCCAGCCGAGTGACGCGAAGGCGCTCATGTGGCGTATGAACTGACGGCCTGATGTGTTGGCCTATGGGCTTCGTGCTTGTGTTTATGCTCTCTGGAGAGTTGCAGAGTTGCTTTCTGGGCAAACCTTGTTGCGTAGCTCATCTCCACGTTGACCTGCTACTTGTTGTAGAGGTTGTGCTGACCCGTTGGTAATGACAGAGCGGATGGGAACGTCACCACTGGTGTTGCGCACCATAAAGGATTTGGTATGGGGGCCATGGTTACTGGTCGTCTATTTTGGGGCCATTGTGTTGGCATTGGCCACGAACCGAAGATGCTTGCATGTGCGGATGCTTATAGATGCGTCCCTCAGGGTTGTGTGGGAGCGTGACTAGCTGGGCCGCAGGCCACGGGCAGTAAAGGAGAATGACATGCGTGAGGGCTCAAGGGTTGGTGTCATGCACACGTTGGAAGGGATTTCTGCAAGCTATTAGCACGCACGGCGCAACCAGCAATGCGCTGTTTTCTTGCGTCGTACCAAAGGAATCACGGTGGGGACTTGCAATGGGGTATTCGTAGTCCCATGCAATGCACCTTCAGATCATCAAACGATGTAGGGAGGAAAGGGATGTTGGTTTCGGCGTGCAGGACAACAGCTGGGCCCTAGAGCGTATGCCCAGTAGTCAAGGTACCGAAGGTGCTGACCGTCGCCATCACCCATTACTCATGTACCGTTGCAAGTAATCCGTGATAGGATAGTCGTAATGCGAAACTAAGCAGTTAACATAGTGAACATGAGCGATTCCGTTCGCGAAAGGTTTTAATTCCGCCCTATTACAACGATTTAGAGGAGTAAAAGCAGCTCATGTTTGACACCTAAGAAGAGCATGGCGGTGTCTTCAAGCAACGTCGGAGCCCCATTCTTTGCAACTTCTGGCCTCCCGCTTTTAGCTTCCTGGGTGGCCTAGATTCACCGATGAAGAGCCGCGCTTCCCAGCCTCAAGCGGGGATGAAGGTAGGGCTAACGGCTTCTCTGGCTCTGTCCCCACATGGATAGATGGCGTATCCTGCCTACCGTTTCTTGTTGCCCTGTTGTGGACTTTTTAGCATTAGGAGTAAAGCATACCTTTTATGTGTGTTTGATGTGGCCCTCAGGCCACTACCTGCATGGCTTGCTTGCTTCAGACGCTAAGAGCTTTACTGCGTATTGTCCTAACTGACGTCTGTTGGCTAGATAAATGTAACCAACAAGCCATTGCACTCCTTTTGCGCTTTAACAGTGCACAGACAGCCAGGGCGGCATTGGCTTTGGCAGCGAAATCGAAGGCATGCTTAGGGACCCAACCACGCGCCAAAGCAGCGGCGGAGCGGCAGTCGGCAGCGTTGCTAATACCCTAGATGACCTTATGGCGGAGCTTGGTATGTTGCGAAGCGACCGGCGCGAGGTACGCATTAGGCATGTAACACTCTGGGGGAACTATCCTAAGTCAGGGTTTCTCGAGTCTGGTTTTGCTTTCTCCGGAGGGGACGTCACTTCTCACGGCTACACGGCAACCTACTTGGATTAGCTTTTACTTGTGCTTTTACACGCGTCCGGCCATGCAGCCATAGTGGCTGCGTTCGATCGTGCGTTCCCATAGGCCCATTGCCGTCCTCCTGCATCCTTCATTTTAAGGTCCAATTCCCAAATGTACCCGGTGTTCATCTATTCAACACCCTTGGGCCCCCGCCGTTGTTGTCCGGCACAGGTGCCCGCATCACCAGATCGACCTCCCGCCAGTCGTGCCGGGTATCGCCCCGGTCCGCGCGTATCCAATGGAGACGCAATCACAAGCGGCTCCGACGTGGTGAGGCTGCCTTCCCTCTTGCTTGATGCTTCCCACACTCCCATTACATCGGCACCACCTCAACCGGCTACTGGTATTGACGCTACCCACACGCCTGCGCTGCCCATCTTGTTCCTTTCCTCCTTCCCTTGAAGCCGCTGCGACCGGTGACGCCGCTGGCACCACGGACCTCCACAGCTGCTGCCAGCCCATCCACCGGGGCCATGACACCCGCCGGAGCACCCCCGGTGGCAGCGGGCGGCAGTCTGCTGCTTCCGCCGGCCAAGGGGGCGCTGCCGGCGGTGCCCGGGCCCGGCCCCGTGCGGGCTCAGAGTCCCATGGCCTCCCGACGGAGCATTACTGGAGGGCCCCCTGGGTCGCCCCTCCCCCTGGTGAGTGGTCCTGATGGGGGGAAGGAAGCAGCTGCAGTCGAGCGGTGTACCGGGACGGCAGCTGGTTTGCTGGGTCGTTGTTCATGGCTGCGGTTACATTGGTCGCTAGTAACGGTGCTGTAAGGGATCCCCCGCTTTTCTGCCGTATCCTGGTTTGCCGTCGCTTCGCCAGGTAAGATGCCCAATTGTTGCAGTGGGAGGCCTCGGACTCTCCCTCCTTTGAACATTGTCTCCCTGCTGACGTGTCGCTCCTCCTCCTATGCGCCATTGCAGAGCCAGCCTTTTCCCGCACCCTCACCTGGAGTGGTGGAGCGGCAAGCCCTACTGGAGTCCCGCATAGAAAGGGTGCGTACCGGAAGGGGGTTTGCATGGTCTGTCGGTTGGAAACTTGAACCGGTGCACGGGGCCGTACTTGAGGAAAGGGTGTATGTGTGGCTTTTTCTCGACGTGCAGCTCTCCCTACTCTACCCGCTCGTCCCCACCGCCTATCTTTCCCCGCCGCCCTCCTGCTCCCCCATTCCCCGCCATGTTTGACCCTCAATTGACCATCGTTTAACCCATGATTGACCTGGTCGCGCAGATGGAGGCTCGAGAGCACCAGCTGTTGTCCCTCATAGCGCAGCTGCAGCAGCAGGTGGGCGCCCTCACCCGCGCTCAGCAGCAGCAGCCACCATCACAACCGCAACCACAACAGTCGCAGCAGCAGCAACAGCCACCGCCACCACAACACCACCAGATCCTGGAGTCTCCCTCCTCCCCTGTGGGACCCCCCAGCAGCACAGCAGCTCACCTTGGCGGCCGGCAGCCCAGTAGTAACTCCCAATCGGGGCCGACAGGTGCCGCTGCGGAGGGGCTTCCCTTGGGGGGCGAATCGCTTCCAAGCCCCAGTCCAGAGGCCGCCATCATCGCCGCTAGGAGCTGCAGTCGCGACGGGGACCCAGCGCAGCAGACCCAAGCAGGAGCTTCTGCTGTTGCTGCTGCTGCTGCTACTCCTGGTGCGGGCATGCAGCGGCCGGGGACAGCGACCAACAGTGCGGTATCCATGGTTTCGGGGCCAGTGCCGCCGGCTATGGGCGCTCCCAGCAGCAGCGGCCGGCCCAACAAGCTGCTGGGTCCGCAGCCCAGCCCGGCGGCGGAGTGGGAGGCGGATGCCTCTCAGCTGCGCAAGGAGATGGCCACCCTGGCGGCCGCTGTGGTGAGATGCTGTGATGGGCCCAGCTCCAGGGGCCACTGGCCTGGAGGCGGGTGGGGGGAAAGAAGAGGATCCAATGTGTGGTGTGATAGTGGGGGGCGGGTGTGTTAAGAAAACTGGCAGCGAATTATCGGAAGGTGATGTCCCCACCAAAACGCCGCGGGAGCCAAGGAGTAGGTTGACGCGGCTGTGTGTGAGGAAGCGTGTGGGGCGCCATGCCCCCATGCAAGGGTGTGAAAATGCAAACTGGGGTGCGTACTGTACTTTACTGGCGCGTATGTACCGAATGGCATACTTCATGGGGTTTCCTCGCCAAACGTGTTCTTACCTTCCTGCCGCCGCCCCTCCCCTCCTCCTCCTCCTGCCCCGCCCCCTGCCAGGTGCGGTTGCGGGAGCAGCTGGGCTCCCTGGTGCCCGGAGGCCCCTCGCCGCTGTCGGAGGAGCTGGCGGAGCAGGCGGTGGGCATGACGCAGCTTAAACAGAACCTCACGCAGATTGCCATGGTGCGTACGACAGGAAGGCCTGCGCATGGAACCACATGCCGTACATGGCTTACCATTGTTACTGTGCTCCTGCGCTTTGTGATGGCGACCGCGCAAGTACTTGGTAATGCTCGACATGGTTTCCCGTCCTGTCTTGCTCGACTAATCTCACCTACTTGACAATCCTATCTTCTCTTGCTCGCCTCGCCTCCCCTTCGCAGGATGTGGTGTCTTTGCACAAGTCTCTCACGGTGAGTGTTGCAAGCGTCGCAAGCATGGGGGAGCTGCTCTGCCGCAATGCATGGATGGTACTTAGGACAGTTGGGAACCGCAGACTGTCCATTCCTGTACTCCTGCGTCATTTCCTTGCCGCTTGCGACGCGACCCTTGGAAGTGCTAGTGCTGGCTGTAGGCTAGCATAGCGAGGTGCAAGGTGCCTTTTTGACGGTGCTCTTCGTCATGCAAGTTTTGCCTAGGGCGGGAGCGGGATCGCCGTTATGCGCCGTAATTCACCTCAGGGAATGGGTTTGCGTCCCGTCTCGTGTTGCGTCCTGACAGGCTTTCAAGCAAAACACGGAGCGAACGCACACGACGTTTGAGAAGGCTCTCAACGACATACAGCTGCAGGTGCGGGCCCGCTGGGAAAGGGGCGCTAATTGTTTTGTGGCTTGCTTTTCTGTCCGTGGGTTCACCTCCTCCTTGTCTCCTTGCCGGACTCGGCCGCATGCGCAGGCCCAGACTAACGCCCTGAATGTGTTGGCTGCGGCGCCCGGCGGGGCGGGAGCGGTGTCGTCGGGGCCGCCTAACGCTGTGGCAGCGGCGCTCGCAGCCACTGGCGGAGGTGAGTCAGTCCCCTCTCGGTTGGTTGTGTGGCAGTTGCGCTTACCGGTAGGGGTCCCTAGGGTAGGTAGGCGACATGTCGTACCCAGAGGCATGAAGCATGTGCTTATGTCAGGCATGCGTTGGATCAACCACTGATTTCCTTCACCACGTTTCCTTCACCACGTGGAGCCATACGGTTGTCGTACTTCCCTTCCCGCCAGTTTCCGGCACGCTGGAGGAGAGCCTGCGCTGCGCCTTCGCCAAGCCCGCCATGCGGTCGCTGCCCACCTTCAGCAACACACCCGAGCTGGGCTTCATGCCCGACAACTCCGGAGCGGCAGCCGCAGCGGCGGCGTTTGGAGACATGGCAGGTGAGAGCCACCGTCCCCCGGAAGAAGAAGGGGAAACATTGCGGCTTATAGTGTACGGTATACGGTGGTACGGTACCCGAAACTAGCGGATTGGGCAGGGAGGCTAATTGCCTGATTCTATGGTATGGATAGGCTATCCGTCTATTCTCGACAGTGTTTACTACTGCCTACATTACGTTACGTTTCACGGCACGCGTCGCAGGCGGCAGCAGTGCGGCGCGGAAGGGGCCCCAGGCAGCTGCTCCTGCTGCTGCGGGCGCCGCCGGAGGTCTGGGGGCGGCCTGGGCGTTGCTGAACAGCTTTGAGGAGCAGGCGGCGGCAGAGAAGGAGGAGCAGCAGAAGGCGGCGGTCATTGCTCGCCAGGTGGGGCGTAGCCCGTGACCAGAGTTTCGATCATGGGTTTATCATTGTTTTGTGCGTTGCGCAGTGCAAGGAACAGCACTGGTGTGTTACCGGACTGTTTCCGGACATCACCATCACCGCATGGCCCCTTCCCGCCCCCCTTCCCGCCCCACCTTCCTTTCCTCCTTTGCCCCCCTCCCACCTTCCTTCCTCTCCTCTGCCCCCCTCCCCCTCAGGCAATGACCATCGTCGACGCCAAGGTGCAGCAGGTGGTGCTGCACGTGGACCGACATATGCACATGATCTCAGCGGATGTGGAGGAGCGGCTGAGAATGTACGAGCAAACCATCATTCGGGTGCGTATGTAAGCGGACGCGGGCTGACGTGGCTTGCCGTACAGGAGCAATGGGGCTCTGGATGGGGGTCGGCATGGGCGTGCGAACAGGGCGAACGGTCCTTCGCATGTCTGCATACAGTGTTCTGTGATGCTAGCTATACAGCTGTCGAGCCAGCTTTGTTACCGACGGCTAGAACGTGTGGGAAGTGAGAGAGCGGCGCCACACTTTAAAACCCTTCGTAACATAAAAGTCATCACTCAACCATGCGTCCCAGGATCCGCCCAGTCGCTACGGCCAAGTGTGCATGTGCCTGCTCCGTACTCTATGTTCTGTCCCCCTCCTGGCAATGACCCCCCCGCCCACTCTCCCCTCCATCCCTGCCGTACAACCCCCTCCCCACTCGCGTCCTGCCGTACACAGATGGCCCAGCAGATAGACCGCGTGCAGCGGGTGCTGCGGGAGCTGCAGGAGCAGGGCCCCGCTACTTCCTCACGCATTGTCGTACGACAAGGCGTGAAGGAGGTGGAGGTCGGCGACGCCGGCGGCGCTGCCGAGGGAGGCGTGCTGCCCTCCGGCGGGGGCGCCGAGGGGGCCAAGAAGGAGCCGGCTGAGAGGCCGGAGGAGGCGTCGCTGGCGGGAGGGGTTGAGGCGGAAGGAGGAGTGGCTGCTGATGGCGCGAACTCGACTGCGAGGGAGAACTGGGTCAAGGTGAGGACATGGGCGGGAGGCGCGAGAGGCCGTGTTAATTATCATGATGCACACAGCTACTAAACTCCACCCGCCATTTACGGCCTCGTTTCTTACCAACAAACTATGAGATGCTTGATCTTTCCGCGCACAACTGGCTTTACCACGCCAAAACGAATTTCCACGGTTGCTTACCGCCCCGGCTGTGATTTGCCGTGGCAATGCGCAGGCGGCAGCCATGGCAACCGGCCGCTTCGTGCCTCAGAAGGAGGAGGAGAAGAAGGGCGCAGCGCGCTCCACGCAGCAGCACGGCTACTTCCGGGCACCTGCTACCAAGCCAGCAGCACCTTAGCGGCATCCATGTGAGGCTTCCGTTTCCGCGTGAGCGGTGCGAATGGTAGGTTGGCGCCACCGTTGTTGTTAATTTATATTCCTATCGTGCATCACGGAGGCTCGGATGTGGACATCGTGCCAGGAGGTTCTGACGGACATCGGACGACCCACAGCTATCCGCCTGTAGGCGTTCTCTAGCGGAGCAGTTGTGCGCTGCAGCAAGCAAGCGACCTAGGCGGGTGAATGGGCTCTGTGTGGCATCTACCGGTATAGCCCTTCGGCATGTAGCCTTGGCGTGTTGAACGACTTTCTAGTTCGACATGATTTGGTGTAGCGCCAGGTTTGTGTAAGACCCGGCGCAAGGCGTTTTTTGATGTTGCATGCATGCATTCTTGGACTCCTGTGTTACCCTGTACCTTGCTTTGGATGGCGTCCGCAGAGGCGGACATGGTCGGTGACCGTCCCGCCCCAAGCTCCTGGCTGGAAACGTGTGTACATAGACGCCGGGGCCGGAAGGGCGCAATTTAGGGTCAGCCTGTTAAGTCCTAGGGGGCTAGGATTCTGATTTTTGGCTCCTGCTGTGTTGGAGCGTGGGGAACATACATGCGTTACGCATGTGTTGTAGAAACCGTGCGGAAGGCGTGAAGCTATAACTCATTCTCGTTTGGGTGGTCATGGTGTTGCGGTTACATGGTAGATAGTAGCCTCATCACCCATGCTCTCTTCTTGTGAGAACCACTGTAACGGTAAACATTTCACGTTGTCAAGTCCCCTTGTGCTCCAGCTGAAGCAAAAGCTTATCTGGATGTAACGATAGGATATGATCGCTACCGGGACCCCCCGGGACCCCGATACGTACGGCACTGGACCCCGATGCTTGGACGAGTATCGGGGTCAATGGGGTCCCGGCTTTACAAGCCGCAAAGCTAGCACGCTTTTACAATTGGGAATGTTATCTTAGTATAACTATGCCCTTGGTGTAACAGGAAAGACTGCGCGCTCTATCTTTCTCTGACATGGGCAGCGCCATTAACTGTCAGTGCCTTGGCCGCTTAGCATTGCAGCGCGATTGCCATGTCTGAAAGAATTAAATTTCCGCAATTGATTGCAATCAATTTTCCAGCGCGGTTTGCGCCATTCGGGATACCGGTTCCGGGTGCCGTATTGGAAGGGGTTCCTGGGAGTCCCGGGGCCGTCAATAACGGAATGGATGGAAATGAGGAATGAAGGCATTCAGCATTCACCTGCCGGTAACTACGACCAGCCCTTAGTTAGCAGAGACAGCGCGGGGGTGTGAGTGGAAACCTAGATGCACGCAGGTATCCCCACATATGTATCAGTCAGCAGACGTTACACAATTGATGGCTTAATAAAGAGTATGGGTAGCAAGGCCCTCTTGTGTAATCCTCGGGTACGGTTCGTGCGTTATGTTTCAGGAAATTTAGGGCATGGTGAGTTGCTTGACAGACCACCACCAACTGGCAGTTGCATGCTCTCAATTATCCAACATAATGACTACGCCTATCAAAGCTACTGTTCAGAGGATACCTCACATTGTACCCAAAGAGGCTCCCAGAGCAATGTGTACGCCGTACGACAGCGTCCGGCAATTACGATATGAAACCCGTCAATGGACCAAGAAGCCGTCAGGCAGCTGCGTACACAGTGGTCAAAAGTCAGTCATTTTATCAAAGCCCAGTGCAGTGATTGGAGGGGGAAAGAGGCAACATGGCAGCCAAAACGGATACCCTACATGCTGCCAGCGCCAAAACATATCTCGACCAGCACCCTACGGCATAACCTAGTACAAATGCTTTAATGAGGTACTAATGCAATACCTGCCTTTTGCAGCAATGGTTCCATACCGCCATGTCGCAACCCTGCAGAAGAGTAAAGTCAATCTGCTACTGACCCGTGGGTCATTGTTTAATCCCTTCAACGCATTCTACCTCCCTCTACTATAAGCAGAAATCCTTATAGAGCCCACAAAACGTGCAGGCCTACACCCTCTTGTCGTGTTGAACCATTCCTCGTCAAACTGAGGGCTCAATTACCCTTGGCTACAACCAACTACGGTACCCATTCCGACATCAATGCTGCTCCTAGAACCTACACAGCTCCTACCTACACAGCTCCCGAGATACAACCCATCCAGCATCAAATGCCGCTTCCATCCATTGAAAATGAACTGCTGAAGCCATCCCTACTTCCATCCTAGACACAGTCAATCGCACGAACCAATACCCCCACATTAACATTTTCATTACCAGCATCACCGCCGTACACCCATCAGAACTGCCTCCTGCGCCGCCCCCGTGTCAGCCACCACACTGCCCCATGCAGCAACCCCCGCCGCCGCAGTACCCCCCTCACTGGCCAGCAGATCTCCTGTAGGGCAGCACTGCTCGTCCGGCGAGAAGATCGTGAAGCGGCACCAGTCACTGCTGCCGTAGCAGAATCTGCTCAGCGTGTGACAGGGCTCGGTGAGGATGAAGCACAGCGGCATGCCGTTCCACACCTCCTCACGCGCTAGCTGGAGGTTGGTGAGCTTGAAGGTGGTGTAGGTGGTACCCCTGGAGGCATGGAGTGGGAGAGGCGGTGGGAACGGGAGCGGGCGCGGTGTAAGCTCAGGTGGGGATGATGGTTGGGAGAAAAGGAATGGAATCTTCGAACAGCGCTTAATACGGTACGGCGGTGCATTCGGGCCATGCGGCAGGACACCAGCGTGCGGCGGAACTGCTCATCAGTAGACAGAAGACCAGATGGCTGGCAAAACGTACTTGCCGCATCCATCATTACCCGAGCAGGTGCGGGCTTCACTGTGCATGGGCCCCGCACATGCTCATGACTCCCACTCCAACCCATCCGCAACCCCTCGCATGCTGCCCCCATGCTTGCCTGCTGGCCCCATGCATGCATGCCTGCTGGCCCTCTTGCATGCCTGCTGCCCCCCCCTCCTTAAACACATTGGGATTCTTCTTTCCCCCCCTTGCGGTTCTCACTGGTAGGTGTTTTGCGTGAAGCTCCAGGGGTAGCTGCTCCCGGCCAACAACGCTAGCTTGACCGCCTGCTTGCAGCCGTTAGCCACACTCAGCTCCACCTTCTTCACGCCCATGTTGCAGCAGCCCTGGCTCGGGTCGCACCCCACCACCGCCAGGTTAAAGCAGTGACGCATGCGCTCCTTGCCGTCCGCCAGCACAGGTAGTGCCGTACTGCTGTTGTACAGCAGGCGGTAGGGCGTGGGCGCCAGCGCGCGCTTCTGGCAGGCGCAGAAGGGGAAGCCGTAGTAGCCCGAGGTGGGGGGCTGTGGGGGTGCGGGTGAGGGGGGCTGCGGCTGCGGCTGCGGAGCCTTGTAGGGCGTGCGGCGGGTGGGCCCTATGTCGCCTGGTGGCTGAGGAGACGGCGGCGGGAGTGGTGACGGCGGAAATGGTGACGGGATGGGTGGCGTTGGAGAGGGAGGAGAGGGTGGCGGCGGTGGTGGCTTGAACAGCCGTTTGGGCGGCGGTGATGGTGAGGGCGGAGATGGGAAGGGCGGCGGTGACGGTGGTGGTGACGGCGGTGGTGATGGCAGAGGGGGCTGTGGAGAAGGCGGTAGGGGTGGCGTCAGCGGCGGTGGCGGTGGCTTGAGCCGCTTAGGTGGCGGCGGCATTGGCGGCGGTGGTGATTGCGGCAGCGGTGATAGCGGCAGTGGTGACGGCGGGGGTGACGGCGGGGGTGATGGTGGTGGTAGAGGAACGGGTGGCTGTGGGGAGGGTGGCGCGGGTGGTGGAAGCGGCGGCGGCGGTGGTGGCTTCAACCTCTTCGGCGGCGGCGGTGGTAACGGTGGTGACGGTGCCGGCGATGGCGCAGGTGAGGGCGGTTGTGGTGGTTGAGGGGGCTGCGGGGAGGGTTGTGAGGGCGGTGCCGGAGGTGCCGGCGGTGGAGGCGGCGGTGACTTCACTCGCCTGGGTGGTGGCGGAGGCGACGGCGGCGAGGGTGTCGGCGGCGACGGCGGTGGTGACGGCGGCGGCGACGCCAGCGGCGGCGGCGGCAGGCACGCCGTCCCCGTCCAGCCCCTTCCTCCAGGCCTGGGCAGCTGCAAGCTCCAAAGACACTCATTCATGACGTCACCACCGCCCTCAGCCCCACCCTCACTTTCCGCGCACCCCGCAACGCCGCTGCCGTCGGCTGCAGTGCTGCGCGGCGCTCCACACACCGCATCAACACCGCGGAGCGTCATGCTCACGTTCACAGGCCGCACCTGGCGGACGCAGCGCTTGTCGCCGCTCTTAAGGGAGAACAACACCTGTTGGGGCTCGTTGTCGGCCGCCGCCCAGCGCACCAGTTGGCAGTAGCGGCTGTGCGGAGGCCAGGGCTGCAGACGGTTGGTGCCGCCGGGGGCAGATGTGATGGCGGAGGCGGTCGATGATGCTGATGGTGATGATGATGATGAGGAGGAAGAGTTGACAGGGAGAAGGATGGTGGATAGCTGGTCGCCGGTACATATGTAGTCCATGGTGCTGTTGTTGCTGCTGGTGGTGTTAGAGCTGCTGGTGTTGGTGGTGCTAAGGCCGCAGGAAGCGCCGGCTCGAGGCCACACCAGGCAAACGCGGCAGTACAAGTAAGCGGCGCTGGGGTTGCCGCTACTGCTGCTGCTGCCGCTGCTGCCGCTGCTGCCGCCCCAGAAGCACTCCGAGGAGTCAAAGTCCAGGTCCAGACAGGCGGCTGTGTGGGCAGGGGGGAGGGGCAGGGGAGGGACGTGAGCGAGGGCGGAAATGCTGCTGCGTGTTGGGGATTGTTAGCCTGTGCGCTTGTGTCAATGAGGCCGCGGGAGAAGGGGGGCTCGCAGGACAAGCTATCACTAAGTCACCGGTACCTCTTAACAAAATCTAATGCAAGAATCATTAAAGGTACCTCCCAACAGAATTTAATGCACGAGCACAAATTGCTTTTCTAGAAGAAAGGTAACTCAGCCAGCGTGTGCCGTACTTCACGCTATCTCTGCTACCCGAGTGGACCCAGGCATAGGCATGCACAGCATGGCAGAAGCGAAAACTACCAAGCCCTGTTTCCTTCCGGTCACATCGACAACACGGCCCGGCATGCAGCGGCTCTGCAACACGCCAGCACTACCGCGGGCCCCTACCTTGCAGATTGCAGCTGAGGGCAGTGGAGGTGGGTGTGTCCGTTGTGACCCCGCTGAGCTTGCAGCCCGGGTCGGCAGCGGGGGATGGCTGCGGCCTCGGAGGCTGAGGGCCCGGAGGCTGAGGTGGCGGCGGCAGCAAGGGAGGAGAGGGAGGGGACGAAGGCAGCGGCGGCGGAGGAGAAGGTGAAGGCGGCGGTGGCGGCGAAGGTGAAGGAGGAGGCGGAGGAGGAGACTGTGGAGGAGAAGATGGCGGCGGAGGAGGCTGCGGAGTAGGAGGAGACGGTGGAGGAGAAGGCGGCGGAGGGGGAGACTGCGGAGAAGGAAGAGACGGTGGTGGAGAAGGCGGCGGAGGGGGAGACTGCGGAGAAGGAGGAGAAGATGGAGGAGGAGATGGCGGCGGCGGAGGAGGATGGGACGCCGAGGGCGGTGAGCCCAGCGGCTTGGGTGGTGGAGTTGGACTGGGTGGCGGGTTGCCCGGCGGCGAGATGGGCGGCGGCTTGAAAGGAGGAAGCGGTGGCGGCTTGTCCGGCGGTGGGGTGGCCGGTGGAAGAGGAGCTGACGCAGGAGTTGAGGGAAACAGCGGAAGCGGGAGGGGTGAAGGCGGCAGGGGTGATGGGGGCGGCAAGCGCAGACGGGGCGGTGACAGAGCGGACCAGGAAGGGGGCAGCGGTGGTGGCAGGCGCGAGGATGACGGCACTCCAGGAGCTCGAGGGGGAGGCGTTGCCAGGCGGAAGGGAGGTGGGAGGATGGGCGCCCCTGGGAAGGACGGCAGCATGGGCACTGGGAGTAGGGGAAACGGCGGTGGCGGTGGCATGCCAGGAGGCGGGCGTTGCGGACGTCTGGGTGGACCAAACGGCGGCTGCAGGGCTGC